ATAGCACCATCCCAAGCTGCCCAGGTATGACATTAAATGTCTATCATATCATATTTATTCACAATCTATGGTATGGGATGGCCCACATCATCACACTTCCCAAACGGCGAAATTGCTCCCTTTCTTGTCCTTCCAGAGTCCGTGGGCCCGAACATCTGGCAGTAGACCACACTCTCTCCTCTCCCGCCCTTGCAAAGCCTAACCTTCCCGTCCTCTCCACGCCAGAACCATGTAGCCCTCCTGCCAATCCATATCCCCGCCATCAAATCCAGTTCCCCCAGCAATACACGCCATATTGTACCCATAACGAAGGCTTCATTAATTCCCCACACTCCCAATCATATCAATATATCCATTTCATCCATATTTCTCCTTTACCCACATGAACACTATGCACGTTCCAGAGCCACACAGAACAGAGCAACACACCGAGAACCAGCGACACTGGAGGAAGATCCTCGACATCGCTCCAATCGTGTCAATTGCATTCCCAGCCGCCATGTACTTCATCTTCACCAAAGACAGTTTTGAAGATAGCCTTTTCCTCAGATTCATCACAGTACTCCTCCCCTTTTCATACTCAGCAGTACAGTATGCCGTACTACTCCACACCAACAGGATGCCACATAACAAACCAGAGGGCATCCTGCAGAGCATGCTCTACTACACCCTCAATCTCCTGCTTCTTGCATTCACCATCATCTCCATCCTTTCAATCATTGCATTCACCCTTGCTGAATGGGAAGATGATGATTCACTCCTCTACTCCATCACCCTTCCCTCTTTCTTCATCCCATTCACCTATCTCCTCTCCGTCTCCTGCCGCCTTGTTCCAGGACAGATTGGATTCACAGATACTGGAATCAACGTCCTTATTGACATCCTGATACTACTGTTCCCCCGTACTGCACTTGTGAGTAAAGAATCCAAGGACCGTCTTCTCTATGCAGTCCTATTTCTTTTACCCATCCTGATACGATTGCTCAAGGAGAAGTACTGCCCATCTGGAAAGAGTTCTCTTCCTACTGCATCATGGAGAGTGGCTGTCCTTGCCCTCATCCTTATCCTTGTTTTTTTTGCCTACACGTTTATGATGTGTAGATCTATGGTTATTCTAAATAATCATTTTGGCTTACTTAATAAGCTAAAGAGAGTCTCTGCTCCATCAAGGTCCGATAAGTAAACAATCTTCATTCTATCACATGTTCTCACGCCAACACAGACATTTATTCCACCCTTCATCACAATCAACATACATATGTCTACTAAACAACCTGAAGGAATTCCACAGGTCAAAGAGGCCGTAGTAGAGAACAGAACACAAGCATAGCACCATTTCTTTATTCATTATAACATCACACCGCTCAGATCACATATGGCCTGCGCTGAATCGTGAGACGCCGGAGAACCTTGGAGGTGTTTGAAGGATTCCCCCACACTATCTGGAATGCATCGGTCTCCTTCACCGTTTCAAACCTTACTCCTCTTGGATACACAAACATGCCCTCATCCTGGTATTCCCTATTCTTATCTATCTTCTCAATGTCATTAGCCTCAGCAAACTCTGGGCTCATAACATCTCCCATCCCCTCTATCCCTGTAACCCGGAACATCAGGTGGTACACAACTGGGCATCCACTAGAAGAGTCCTTGAACGTCCCAACCTCCACCACTCCTGCCATCCTCTTTCCTCCGCTCTCAAGAACCCCAATCGCCACCATCCTCTGCCTCTCACTCCCGCCCTTGGTGTAATCTCCTGTATCTATAAAGAACTTGTCTGCATCTTCACTCCTGAGAAGTTCCAGCACACCCATTATGTCATGGAACACCTTCTGCTCCTTGATCTCTTCAAGAGACCTTCCCCTCCACTTCTCCTCGCTTCCTTTGTCCCACTCCTCCTTGATCTTCTCAGGGCTCTTTCTCCATCGGGAAACCCTTCTGTGGATCTTGTAGCGCTTCCGACCACCCTCACTTTTCTTACCTGTCTTCCTGCGTGCTCCTCCAACCTCCACGGACGGCATCTCCGCTTCCTCACTTGCCTCCCCCTCCCTCAGAGACTTCCCACTCTTCTCCTCCTTCTTCTCCTCCTTCTTCTCCTCCTTCTTCTCCTCCTTCTTCTCCTCCTTCTTCTCCTCCTTCTTCTCCTCCTTCTTCTCCTCCTTCTTCTTCTTCTTCTCCTCCTTCTTCTCCTCCTTCTTCTTCTTCTTCTCCTCCTTCCTCTTCTCCTCCTCCTTCTTCTTCTCCTCCTCCTTCTTCTTCTCCTCCTCCTTCTTCTCCATCTCCCTTCTCTGCCTTTCCTTAACTACATTCGCGACCTTGTTGATATATCTCCTGTCTATCTCATCTCCCTTCTTCCCCAGCAGCATCTGCTTGACTAACTCCCTTGTAACATCTCCTCCATGCTCTCTGTGTGCATCTAATAACAGACTAGTGTTAACAACAGTATATTCTAAGTATAGACAGTGGCCAATCTCATCTTCATCAACCGTTGCCTTTAAATCCTTTTTCATCTTCCCCTCTGCCAACAGTCCCATCAGCTCCTCCTCTTTCAACTTAAGGCAGATCTCCTTGCATGCATTGCACACTATCTTCTCCACCTCAACTACCCGCCTCAATCTTTCCGTACTATAAAGAAACCCTGCGCGTTCCTTAACCCTACTCCAAAACCTTCGATACTCCCTTTTCTCTTCTGCAGATATTCCGGTAGGTGCATTTTCTATCATGTCGCTAAGTCTGTTTATGATACTTTTTCCATACTTCACTACATGACCATCTCCCGCTTTGTTGCATTCAAATATCATTTCATGCACTGTTTCCAACGACTCGCTAAACATCTTGCGGCCTCCCTTGTACACCTTTGATGCACCTGCAGATATCTTCTTCAAGTACCCGTCCATCATTTCACTAAACAGCCTCTCAGATCGATCATCCTTGTATGCTATCCCGCCAACCACAAAATACCACACCGCGTGAGAAATATTGTGTTCTAAAAAGGATGCAACACGTCTCCTTGCATTTCCCTTCAAGTCGCCGTACTTCGTTGTCGGTAGCACAACAATATTGTATCCCTGGAACATAAACGGGAATACTATCACCTGGCTATCTGGCCCGAGTGTAAAGGCGGCAGCCTTCTCCAATCGTGGGGAGCAGTCCATCACACCAGCCGCTGCAACTAGCGTCCATGCTGCATAGATCCGCCTCATGGGTCAGATCTTTCCTCCTGCTTAGTCGCCTCCATCTCCTTTTCATATGACGTCGTGATGTCTCTCAGCGGTGCTTGCTGCCCTGCACAGGTCATTTCCTCCAAGGCATAATGTCCTTTTGCTCCTTACCTCTTCACCGCAGAACCTTCTCAAACTAGCCCATTCCATCCACCTACAGAGCATCCTGCCTGCCGCAGCTCCCCCCGCCATCGTTCCCGCACAACATGGCTGCACACAACTGCCCGGCCCCATAAAGCCCTCGTCAGCACACATGGCCCACAGACCACGCCCTGTCCCCACACCCAACCAATCGACCATAAACACATATATTCGCCTCATCAATCACCGCTTCCCGTCCAGAAGGGATCCTGCACCTGCTCCAGCCTGGAGGATAGCTGCCCTTGTCCTTTTGGCCTTGCCATGTTTGTTTACTTTTCCATCCTCTATGAGTGCCTGCTCATTTTCGGTAACCACTTCCCCTGGCTCCCAAGCCAAGCACCTCCAACGACTTGACGAATAAATGATAGCCCGGGACCTTGCATACACACAGCCTACTGCCTTCAATGGATACCCCCACACCATCTGCATCCTCCTTCCTCCCCATCCACCTCCTTTCCAGCCTAGCTACATGTCGTGTAAGTTCTATCCAGCCACACTCCTTCTATTTACGTCCCTGCCCTGCCATCCGAAGCATCTGAATAACGTCAAGCAATACTTTGTCCATTCACTTCATATATTTATTATGTCCATATGCCACATACTCATACATTATCGGACCTCAGGAACCTCCCTTGTATCTATAAAGCCTAACCTCGATCTTCCCCCCTGCTCTCCTCCTCAACCTCTCCTGCACCTTTCTTGCCTTAGAACCTTTCCACTCTCCTCCATCCGAAGCAGCTCCTCTGCATCCCTGGCCCTCTTCTTTTCTTATTCTCTCTGCATCTTCTCTCTCCTTGACCTCATGCGCTGCACTGTTGATGATGTCATTATCACCCTATCTTGCAAAAATGTTTGCTTGACTAGTTCCGCTACAATATCAATGCTCTTATATTTTTCATACGTACTTATCAGTATAGAATGATTTATGTAACTCAACGTTAGTCCCCCAGACCTACTTCTTCTAATTCCAGATATCTTAAGCATGCCTTCATAACAAAGCTTGCCCTGTCTTCTTCTCTTCTCCAGATCCATCCATGCTCCTTGATTTTCCGAACCATTTCTTCTTTCCTCTTTTCCTCACCACACAGAGAGCCTGTAACATCCTGAACCCCCGCCTCTGCCTCATGGACGAGCCGTTACCCAAACTTACTCATAATATCACCATTATGCCCGAATATTCCCTTCACCAGGTCTGCGAACCTCATTGCAGACCTCCCTCTAGCTTGTATATTCCGACAGAAGCCTGATTCTGAGGCACATACATCCATACCATCAAATCCCATACTAACCATGAAAGTGATCTAACAACTTCCACAGCATACTTCCCTAGCATCCATGTCCTGATATCTAGTACCGACGACTCAACAACCCTATCTCCATCGAAAATAACCGGAATCAGCACTTTTGTGCTTAGAAATCCAACCTCGTCAAATGATTTTATAAATTCCACTTCTGAATCTCGTGGCTTGCAAGAAAAAAGTCTTTCAAAAACTTCTCTTATTCCCTCCACTTTCTCAGTCTCCTCCACATAAAAGCCATGTAGCCTGCCAAGCAATCCAAGTGACATGTCGCCACATCTTCATTACTCAACAAGGACACTCATTCACCAGATCCCAATCTGCCTTCTTTTGTTCATCCTGCAATCCCTCACCAGTCCCCAAGACTCGCCTATCGATCCACGGCAATCACACAAACTCTCCCTTTTCTCCACAAATGCAATTCCCAGCACTCACAGCCAGTGAATCGATAACTTCTGTTCTCTCTGATAAATAAACCCCTACTAACTCCACCAATCAGACAGATGTCAATGGAGTCTGTGCAATCTAAACAGCATATACCATATCATGCCACAGCAGAAATCCATTAAACACCTCATGTCCTATCACCTATCTATCCAGTCAATCGCGTCGATATATCCATACTTTTCCCACTCATCCCTATGAGCAACACGCACGTTCCAGAGCCACACGAAACTAATGAACAGCGCCATCCTACGAATCAGTCCCGCTCGAAGGTAACTTACAACGGCCTCGCCTCGGTTATATCAGTTGCATTGCCAATAGCCATGTATTTCATCTTCGACAAAGATCGTTTCAAAGAGGACCCTTTACTCAGATTCGCCACTATACTCCTTCCATTTTCATACTCAGCAACGCAATATCTTTTTCTTCTCTACGCCAACTGGAAGTCGAACTACAAGCCGGAGGACACACTGCACAAGGCACTCTACTACTCTTTCAATGCTCTCCTCATCGCATTTGCTACTATCTCCATTCTTTCGATTGTCGCACTTCCTATCGATGGATGGGGAAGTAGGAACGACATAGTCATCCACTCAGTGATCCTTCCTTTCTTCGTTGTATGGTCTGCCTACCTGACATTTACAATCAATTGCCTCATAATGAAAACAATCCGTCTCACAGACGTCAATTTCTGCATGCTTATTGCCCTAATGATGATGATAAGAATTATAGTAGAGTTTAAATCCTCGAACCGAGAATACAGATATTATAGACAAATGCCGACACCCATGTTTCGAGACACTTTCTTGCCTACCATAAAGCGGATGGTATCTATCCTTACCACCATGCTCGTCCTTGCTACATTTATGTATGCATTCATAGCATGGAAATGCCTAATCTTCCTTAGAAACATGTAGGAAAACCCTTCTAGCTGCTAATAATACTAATATATTAAATCTTCACCTTGCTTATTTGCAGCAGCTCATGCCAGCTCATCTTTGGTTTCTACGTAACAGTAAGGGCTTTTACCACCTTATTGGTGTGTTGCGATCTCCCCACACTATCTTAACACGTTCGAGTCCCCACTTCAAACTTTATGTTTCTTGGACACGAAAGCCCAGGCATATGCAATGAATCATTTGTGCTGTCTTCCACATCTGCACCATCTACTTTTCTGAACGCTGAGCCCATGACTTCTCCAGCTCTTTTTGTGTTGGATGGTCTGAACATCAAATGATAGATACCCATCCTTGTTCGTGTAAATTCCAATCTCTACTATTCCCAGTCTCAGTTCCTCTTCATCTAAGCTCTGCAATTGCTGCCAACCTCCACCGCCTCACCCCATCTTTCATATACTCTCCTGTACGCATGAAAAAACTACCAGCGTCTTCACGCCTGAGGAACTCTATCACCCCCGATATACCACCCAGTTCCTTCTGCTCCCTAATCTCTTCGATGGGCCTTTCTCTCCATTTTCCCACTTCAGTTGGCCTACTCCCCCTTAATCTTCTCAGGTTCCCCCACCGTAGAACCCTTTCATGATATAGCACCATCTCTGATGCAACCCATATCTATCACAAGCACCTATCAGCATCTCGTGATTCAAATGCCTAAACAATGGGATGTTCACACCTTTCTGCCCCAGCATTTCAAAATGTAAAGTTTTCAGGTATGCTGCTGGAACAAAGCTTGTTCGATCTTCCGACTTTCCCCAAAAATCACACGCACTGCATGCCTTTACTGCACCTTAATTGTCTAATCCTCCCATTCCTTAGTCTGCAGAGTCTCCCCATGCTCTTTATTTCATTCAATGCTTTCCCCCGCTCCTCTCTTCTTCCTCAGGCATCTCACCTGATACTCTATTCTTCCGCCTGATCGATAAGACATTTCCCAAGCCCATCCATCATGCTAGCATTACAATTGAATACCCTCACCACTAAGTCCGCAAGCTTCATTCCATCTCTACCCTTGGCTCTGTCTTTCTTGTACAGTTCAAGAGCATCGAAGTTCTTGGGAAAGGTTCCTTCAAAGACCATATTGATCAGTTCTGCAATCCAATCGCCATGCCCCGGCATGCGTGAGAATACCATTGAATGCCACCCCGAAGTCGGAAGTTTTCTAATGACCTCCTCCGCACACTTCCTTTCCATCTCTTCTCTCTCCCTGGTTTCATGCACTGCGCTGTTGATACTTTCGTCATCAATATCCTTGTTTCTACGAACACTCGCTTGGCTATCTCTGCTACAATGCCTATACTCTTGTATCTCTCGTATGTATTCACCAGTCTTTCGTAGCTCATATAGTGAAGCAGTGGCTCCTCCATCTCATCCGCATTCAACCTTATCATTCTTAAGCATAGATGCTCTGAATGCGCCTCCATAATAAGGCTCATTCCGTCTTCATCTCTCCTCCAGACTTTGCTTAAATACCTCCATCACCAGGTCCATCATCCGAATCCCAGATCTTCTCCTGGCCCCCTTATACAGAGAAGCAGGATCAGGATCCCTGAGAACGGCCATCTCAAAAACTTTTCTCATCAAATCTATGATCCAACTACTACCTCCACGCACATACATCCTACTATCAAACGCCACACCAGCATTAATAGCTCAACAACTTTTTCGACATACTCCTTTTCACCTTCGCCTGCATCCTGATATCTTGCGGCTGGGAATGCAACAACCCCATCCCTATGAAAAATAAATGGGGCCATCATTCTTCTAGAACTCCCTACCAACAACAAAGTCAACTCCCCTGGATTTCTCACCAAGCCTCTGGGTCTTCTTTTCCCATAACATCTCCAACTCTGCAGATCACCACACCTTAACACTGGAATCAATCTCCCATCACACCAACATATCCATCTCATCCCGTACCCATATGAACACCTTCAGCCCACAACAACACACCGAGAACCGCCTTCGCTGGAGCCCAGCTCTCAAAGGCCTTCCTCCGCTCGTGTCAATTGCATTCCCAGCCCTTATCTACCTCATCTTCGGCAAAGATCGTTTCGAAGAGAACCCTTTCCTCAAATTCATCACACTGCTTCTCCCCCTTTCATATTCAGCAGCCCACCATCTTTTTCTGGTCCACACCAGCTGGAACAGGAGCAACAAGCCAGAGGGTATTCTGCACAGCATATCCTACTACACCCTCAATCTCCTGCTTCTTACATTCGCCACCATCTCCATTCTTTCAATCATTGCGTTCCCCTTTGATGAATGGGAAGGCGATGATTCATACTACTGTTCCATCATCCTTCCCTCTTTTTTCATGCCATCCGTCTATCTCCTCTCCACCTCCTGCTGCCTTGTTCCAGGACGGATCGGATTCACAGACACTGGTATCAACGTCCCTATCGGCATGTCGATACTACTATGCCCTGCAGTAAGCTTCGTGCTTGTGTGTAAGGAATCAGAGTACCACCTTCTCCCTGCAATCTTATTTCCCATACTTATCCTGATCCGATTGTTCAAGGAGAAGTGCTTCCCATCTGAAAAGAATGCCCTGCCTACTGCACCATGGAGAACGGCTATCTTTGTTTTCATCCTCATCCTTTCCATCTTTATCTATACACTTATGGCACGTGTATTTGTGATCTCCCTCTATGACTATCTAAGCAGGACAGTCTTCTATTCAAACACCGCTCCCGTCCTCCGCCCAGACAGAATTCTCAGCCTACTATAACGGGAGAGTAGCTATCCTTGTCCCCACACTTTCCTTGCCCATCCATCTGTGCTATACCGACCCATAGCTTCTCCGGATAATCACTTCCACTTATTCAACAACCTAGAAAGCGCCCTTCCATCAAAAACCACCAAACGAACAATTCCCTGCTGCTCTGTCCACAAGCACCTCGTCAATCTTACGCCAATGCATGTATCCATAAATCAGCATAAAGCGTATAATGGATATCACAAACATCCGCTAGAAAAACAAGCCAGAAGAGATCGACTACTGCATCAGAGGACGTGCAGTGGAGAACAAAACATAAGCATAACAACACCTGCTTTATTCATCAACAAACAACACCACTCAGATCGCACATTGCCTGCGCTGAATCGTAAGACGACAGAGAACTTCAGAGGTGTCAGAGGGCTTCCCCCACACTACCTGGAATGTCTCTGTGTCTTTCACTGTTTCAGCCTTACTCCCGGAGGATACATAAACTTGTCCGCATCCTGGCACTCTTCATCCTCATCTATCTTCTCAACGTCACTTGCCTCACCAAACCCCTCCTCCACTTCTTCGGGTTCTCACCATCAAGAATACACCATATCCCATAACCTCTAATACTAGTATCCTGGTGCCCAACCAGTATGTTCACATATAACACCTTCCTTTCATTTCCTCAAATAAACAGACCGAAGGCATCCCAACTGCCATCCCAGAGTTAAGCACACATGAATCGACAAACTGCAAGATAATCCGAAACGGCCCTGTCTTGTCCATATCCTTCACACTTCCTATCTCTATGTACTACACATTTGGAAACATCCGCTTCAACAAAAAGCCCCTTTCCAAAGCTCACAACCCTATTTCTTCCTTACCTGTATCATTGGCACGGAATCTTCCCCTCCTCTATGAGAACTGAAAGGCAGGCCTCAGACCACCAGACCGACTCCGCGAGGCTCTCTGCTTCACTCTCAATATCCTTCTTGCCATCTTTGCTGCTTCCCTATCCTTTCAGTCATTGCATTCGCTGCTGACGAGTGGGACGACAACGAGGCCCTGGTCCACTGCGCCGTTTCCCCCTCCCCTTCTGTGTCTCGAGCCTATATACTATCCACACCCTGCAACATCGCTCCAGTTCACAGACACCTGCATCGACATCCTTATTGGCCTGCCGATACTGGTATGTGATGCAGTAGCCCCGAGGTTCTTGTTCGAAGAATCCATGCCTCTCCCCTACTCCGCCTTCATCTCTCTTGCCACCACCGCAGCAAGATCGCTCCGAGGATGCCATTCCTCAGAAGCTGTCCACCCAAAGAGTGGACATACAATGTGGAGAGTGGCTGTCTTTGTCCGTCTCGCCCTTACCGTGCTTGCATACTCACTCACAGCACAGGAGTGCTCAATCTTCATCAGAGTCATGCGGAAGAGATCCCTTCAGAACACCCCAATAAATAGCCATCCCAAGATCCAGCAACCACACTCGTTGACCACAACGTTCCATTGCCCAAATCCAAAGGCCATCCACTAAACAACTCTAGGGGTGTCGACTCCATCACTGGCATCAACCCGTTCTCCTATTAAGTCCATATCCTCTTTCCTCCTTTACCCTCCTATGGACACCATCCTGGGAATCCTAAACGTCCAAAAGCTACACACAACCAGCAAGCACCAAGAGAATAAGGACAAACCACCAGAGACACGGCGGAGAGGAACCATCAACAGCATCCTTCTGGCCATGTCCACCGTGTTCCCAGTGTTTGTATTCTTCACACACAGGGAAGACGGCTTCGATGGAAACATCCTTCTCAGGTTCACTACACTAGTCTTCCCCTTCTCATATTCCGCGGCACAGCACTTTCTTCTGCTCTCCAGCAACTGGGGATCAAGCTGCAGGTCATCCTCCGGACTGTACCGAGCACTCTGTCTCGCCCTCAATGCTCTCCTTGCTGTGTTTTTTGTCATTTCCATCTGTTCACTCATTCTGTTTACTGCTGACGAGTGGGACGACAATGAGGCCCTAACCATCTGCTCCATGCTCTTCCCCTCCTTGCTCCTGTCGTCCACCTGTCTTCTGTCCATCTCCTGCAACTTCGCCACATTCCAGTTCGTCGATTCCGGGCCTGACATCCCCATCGACTTGCTGATATTCCTGTGCCTTGTAATACTGCATAAGACTTCTCCACTAGAAGATTACGAATACCTCCCCTACTTTGCCATTCCTTCCTTTATCCTCGTTCTTGTAAGGTCGTTCAAGGAGCGCCTCCTCCCAAGAAAGAGCTCCCCACCCGCTGCTGCATGGAGAGTAGCTGTCTTTCTTCTCATCCTCGTCCTTACTATATCCGTGTATGTATTCATATCACGAGTGTGCTGGGCCGTCATCGAAAGCAAGTGGGAAGCCCTAACCAGCGACTAGCATGTCCTAAATAAACCGGTACAGTCTTCCATCTGCCAGCATACAGCCGTACTTGGCAAAGGAGACTCCTCACGCATACCCCCCGATCAATAACAGCAGTAGGCCTACAGCCATGATCTGTCTACTCCAAAGCCCCGGTACAATACTAATCTCCCCATCACACTCTGCATCGAGGAGACAAGAAACGCCTCTCCAAGCGCGCCAGAAATATATATAGACCAGTATGCTTCACACACTTTCCTTTAATCCTAGACCCAAAAAGACAAGAGATACTCCTAAACTGTTGTTTAGCAATATTCACCATCCAACAAGGTGTATGGCGGCACTGTCGATGCTAAGGGGTATCGCGGCGCTGTCGGTGTTGGAACGGTCGATGCCATCTCCGTCGTTGCTAACTTGAACATTCTGTCCATCATGTAATACCCAGCCGTAGTGCACCCTATAACGAGCATCATCTTCGCAAGCAATCTAAACCTCTTGACTTTCTCCTTCGATATCTTGAGATTGCGAATAACAACATCTTCAATATAACAGAATGTCGTCCCAACGAGCATCAGCAGCAGCAAAGCCCGGAGTAGCTCAAGTGGGGCAACAGCATCATTCCCGTAATCAAACGTCACTGCTAACACTATTGCAAAAGCCATTTGCACCACAGTGAGCGAAACATAGTAGGCTCTTTGCGATTCCATCATCTGCTGTGAATCTAGGAAGTTCCGAGATGCCATCAGAATCCCCAGCGGGTTGCGAATAATGACATCCGCTATATTTCCTATGGACCCCGAAAACACAAAGCTGTTGCAGACAAGAAGAGTGAACATGAAGAGATGCAGAAGCAGGCACATAATCGCCATAATGTCACTGACATCGAGTCCCTTGTCCCTGGACTCCTCAGACTTCAAGAACAGCCTCCTGATCGTCGAGTAGACAAGATATCCTAGGTTTCCCCATCCAACAATATAGAAGAAAAGGTTTCCAAGAGCCCTTTCAAACAGAAGCCTAAACGCCCACACAGTAACAGTTGAAAGAATCAGCAGAGCATCAATGTCGATCGAACTCTCAGATTCCTCGGCCTTCTCTTCCTCCTCCGGGTATATCACAGGCCTCTTCACACTTTCCAGGTCCTCAGTTTTTCCTTCATTACTAATATTGACAACCGTATTCATTTTGGGGGTGCTCGGTGCCATATTTTATCCATCTCCAGAGGGATATCTGTGAAGACTCCCATGCCCATTCCATCCGAGCATGCTCCAGGTCCCCCGTTGTCCTGGAGACAACCACGAGCTGTAAGCAGCCAGTTCAAGGGAGCTGCTGTACGGAGCCGTGCTTCCTGTTGCCCAGCTCCCTTCTTCTGATGCAGCTGACAAATTCGTTGTCCCTTATATAGAACCGGAGCTTCTTCTCCTCCCACTCTCCGCAGTTTCTGATTCCAATCCTCCGCCCTGCAACTATCTCCGGGTCTGCAACCTCCCGGCCCTCCTCCAGCCATATCTTCTCACTCCCCGCAATCCACTCCTTGTCGATCTCCCTCCGCGTTATTCCCATTGCAATGCACAGCTTCGACGGCCCGTTTGCAATGTCCCGGTCCTTGACCCTGCCTCCTCTCCGCTCCCTCATCTCCGAAACCCCGCACAGCGGCTCCAGTGCCCGCACAAGCACGCCAGCCCCCGCCTCAACAGACGAGATGTTGAAGCACTCGTATCTCCCGTATATCCTATACACATAGCATGTCCCGGCCTTCATGTACATCGCAGAGTTCCTCTCGGTTCTCCGCCCTCCGTACGAATGGCACGCCTTGTCCTCCTTCCCCAGGTATGCCTCCGTCTCAACAATCATCCCCTTCGTTGTCCTTCCCTCGATCCTCCGGCACAGCATCTTTCCCAGGAGCCTCCGGGCAAGCTGTGAACAAGGAATGCCCATGTCCATTTGCCCAGCCCCGTCGCTTGCATTATAATTCCCGCCAGACCCCCAGCAGGATGCAACACCCTACCGGTCACCAAAATCGAAATAGAACAATCACTAGACCATCCTTTAATAGCAGATCACATCAAGATTGCGAACCTTGTCGTCGTAGCTCCTGAACCTAAGCTCCCGCCCAACCTGGTTGCGGCAGTGCTTGCAGACCTCGTCAATACTCTTCAGATCCTCCTCGCAGAATCCAAACTCCATGTCTATCCTCATCAAAAGCTCGTTCACCTTCAACGACCTCTCAACCACCTCAATCGCAAGCCTCTTCCGGACCTCAAAGCTGCAGGCGCTGTTTCCAGCCGCCTCCCCAAACTCCGCTATCTTCCTCCCAAGCTCCAAATACTCAAGCCCAAGCCTCTGGCACATCTCCTCCACTTCCCCGCCGGCTTCTCTTTCCGAGCACTCCCTTATGAAGTCTGCCACCTCAGGCCCGCACACATACTTCATGATCCGGCTGACCCTCTTGGCACTCGACTTGATGTTGCTATATGCCCTTCCCTCAGTCCTCTCCCCTCCACTCTGTGAGGATACATCACTCTCCGGGTGCACGGGGATCGCCCCCCTCATCCCACCGAGAAGCCCGATAATTCCAGCAATTCCCAGTATTCGCATGTCCCCAGTTGTCCACCCATATAAATCCCTTGAACCTTCCAATTATGCCCTTTATGGACACATTGTCGAGAAGCTCGCCCAACTCATTCTCGACTCACTCCACATCGTCAATCCCAGGTCTTCCCAGCTGCGACAGAAGCACTTGGTCCTTGAACATCTCCTCGAGCTCCTCCCATCCAACCCACTCAGAGTCGCTCTCCCTCCTCAGCTCATTCCCCCGCAGGTCGATCTTCTCCAGCATCTCGCTGTCGAAGAGCATTTCTGCAACGCTCCTCCTCACCCTCTGTATCCTGTTGCCTCTCATGTCAAGCTTTTCAAGGCACCGCATCCTTCCCACCACCTCTGGTATCTCCTCAAACAGATTGTTGCTCAGGTCGAGTTTCTCGAGATACTTGAATCTCGTAAATGTCTTGGGTAGGCGCATATAAATTAAAAGTGTTAATAAAGCCAAGAATTAATAGCGAAGACATTTCATGTTTAATATCCTCGTGGGTAACTATTCCTCTTCCACTGATCTAGGCGCGATACTGCAAATAAAATTCGGGTCTGATAACAGCTCCTTAAGCCCTCTTGTTCCATTTTCGAGGCATTCATCAAGACGACGAAGGAACTCGATAGTAAGGAAATAGTTCACATTCAATCTTCCCGAGCATTTTATGACCTCAGCTTCCAAGTTGATGATGTCCAAAATCAGTCTCTTTATGCTTTCCTCCGAGAGCTCACCATCCCCAAGAACTTTAGAGACGACTTCCCATTTCTGCTGAAGCTCTTTAGTCTTTTCAGCCAAAAATTTAAAGTCATTCTTTTCTTCCTCTCCTAATGACACTTTTTTCCCTTCTTCCACTGATAGAACCTCTTGAACAGATGAACAACTCTCGCCATATAAATTACTAAGCCTTTTGGCCTCTGCAGCCAAGTAAGGAAATCCTCTCTTTGTCTCAGGATTTTCTAGAACCCTCTTGACACCATTTATCTGGTCAGCTGGGCTGAGCTCTCCATTGATTGAACTTAAAAACATTATTCCTAAAGCACTGCAGCACAATAACTCCACGTTCATCAAGGGCATTTTCAGTGCTTATTTTATACTTTAGGCTGTCACAGATAATTAATTACAATGAACGATTGAAATCTATGACATGAAAATTAGCATACTTCAATGGCAGGTCTACTTCAGTACTCTAGAAGCTCAGCAACATTTCAAATCGCCTATCTCCTCTTGGTGATTATACCTTGTAACCAGATTCTTTGATCTTGGACGATAGGCCTTCGGACTTGCAAATTCTGATAAACTTCCAAGCATCCTCTTGTTTGCATTCATCGGCTAAGAAATTTGAACTTTCAGCCACCTTTTCCCCTTGAATTTGATTTATAAACAAACCCTGTTCTAGAATGGACGAAAAGGAATGTGTTGCCGAATTGGTCGATGTGTTGAGTCAGCTTAGCAGCAACAGAGAGGAAGCAATGGATCGCTACGAAAGACAGGTGTTCACGTTTATAAGAAACATAAAGCCTGAAACCCTCGACTCCCTTAATCTTGAGAGCGAGCTTGAGAGGATTGCAGCATACCCTGTAATCCTTGGAGCTCTTTTCATGAGAAAGGAGTTTAAGAAGATCGATAAGATAGTCAATGAAAACCTGCTGTCCCATCTTATTGGGAAAAAGAGGGTTTACGACTATTTTGTTGGCCTTATTGTGAAGTTCCTTTACCTTGCAAGGAAGAACGAGTGCCAGGACAATTCTGCCCTCTTCAGCCTTCTTGTTACAAACAAGGAGCTTGGGAACGAATATACAGTTTCGGTGATAACCAACTGCCTCCTGGATATGCTTATTGGGAACAAAATATTCCAAAGGATTGATAATTCCATTGTAACAACCTCTGAGCAGGCAAGATACAACTATTACAACGGAATAATATTCATGGTGGAAGGAGACTACGAGTCGGCTCTAAAATGCTTCCATACATGTGTTATCCTCTCGACCAACCGTGATTTGGTTCTGGGCGCTGAAAAGCGTGTTATCTTGTGTATGCTGCTCAGTAGTGACTACAGTATTCCGTATCCTTGCAAGCCCAGCCTTAGAATATACTTTAAGCTTGCATCCGCCGTGAAAAGGGCCGATATAAAAAAATTCGAGGAGACTTTGGAGAGTAATAAGGACGAGCTGATGTCCCAGGGCCTATACTTTGTTGCAAAAAGACTGTCTCAAAACGTCATCCAGGAAGGAATAAGGAAGATAAGTGTTGTGTACTCTCGAATATCCTACGAGGACATAGCACATATCTTAGGCATTAACTCCGGGGAAGTTGAGTACCTGGTCAAGAGGACAATTCGAAAAGGGTTGATAAAAGGGAAAGTTGCCGATGGAATCTTCTATTCTTTGAGAGAAGATAAATCTAAGACCGATATAGGTATAGGCATCAGGGATTGTATACAATTGGCAAATTACATCCAGGAGCATATGAGATATCCTGCCATCGAGCCTTTGTGCTATGAAAAAGTCAGAAAAGTTCATGACAAATAAAATCTTTGGGTATGGCGCCATTCTAGTTTAATCTTCTTGGTGGAGATCTACATCGTCTTCGCTTTGGCCCTCTATGTCGTCGTGCTTGATTTTCTCTGCTTCTATATATGGAAGCCTTCTTTTGAGTTTCTTGTACTCTCTATCCAAAAGAAGTTTTACTTTGCGCTCTATTCCCTTGAACAGATCTGCTCCTCCTGGTATTATCTCAGCCAGCCCAACGATGTCCTCCTTAGTCATATCATAATCAACTATATTGCTTATTGCTTTATCGATGGAGTGTGTTTTCAAATAGTATGCATACTTCTGTAGTATCAATCCTGAAGAGCATTTCCTCAGCTCCTCCGGATTGTTTCGGATTTTACATGACGAATGCATGGAGACGGTGTGTAGAATCCTTTCTGCCTTTGAGTGTTTGGAGTTCTGTCCAAGCCACGATGGAAACTCTAGCTTCTTCATCAGGTGCCTCCCTTTGGTTGGGACTACAACACTGTACACTGCATGGAGTGGTGCCAAACTCCAGTCCTGGCTGACACCTCTTATAAGCTTTTCCACGACATCTCCTAAGCTAATTGAGTCAAAGCACTCTGAAAGATCTCTTGCACTTCTGAAGGAGGTTTTTAGGATGTTTTCGCTTACGAAAAGCGGGATTAGAGAGTAATCCTCGAAGTAGAGATCGATTTTTTCTGAAATCGATCTTCTCTGGAAAACCTCTCCCGCCACATCAAACACGTTTTTTACCACATTCTTTCTGACAAGATTTTCAGCCACTTTGAGATTAAGGGCCTTCCTAAGTGCAATGCTCTGTACCATGCTAATAGTATATCTTATGTCTCCTGCTCCTCTTGATATTATTTCATTTAGCAGTCCATCTGGGATTTTCTTTCCTTCCATATCCAATATCTGCTTGACCCTTGAGAGTATCTGCCTAGCATCCGGTTTTCTAAACCTTAGATCCAGGCAATAACTTGACAGTGTCCTTATCTTTGGGTTGTTGCGATCGTTGCATATGCATATGATAGGCACCACTGTTTCCTTAACTATGCTGATGAGCTCCGGGATTCCTCCCCTATCACTCGACATTCCATCAACTTCGTCCATTATGAGAACCTTACTTTTGGATGACCCTGGACGAAGAATTGACTGGCTGCTAACAAAGGCCTTTACCTTATTGCTTATTTCCAACTTGCTTCTAACGTCGCTGGCATTGAATTCAATTACGTTAAGCCCAAGGGATTTGCAGACAACGTGTGCTGTGGTTGTCTTTCCAATTCCAGGCTGCCCACTCAGGAGAACAGCCTTGTACTTGGTGCGACCCTGGAGATAATCCTCGAGCTGTTTTACGATCCCTTGATTCCCCACTATCTCGTCCCTCTTACTAGGCCTGTACTTCTCGCTCCACACACCGCTTGAAGCAGATCCACACTCGTCTCTAGAGGCTGCCTTCTCTGTCTTCTTCTCTACCTCTGCCGTACCATCAAGAGCCTTTGAGGTGTCTTTAATTAGGCTATCAAACTCTTCCTCGTCTAGTACTTTTATTCCCAGCTCCTTTGCCTTCTGCATCTTCGAAGGCCCTGGGTTGTCGCCTGCAACTAGAAAGGTGGTTTTTGACGATGGTACCGCTGTGCATCTCCCCCCAAGAACCATCACCTTCGTCTTTGCATCATCTCTGCTGATTTTCATATCTCCAGTAAACACAAATACTTTTCCCTTTAATGGCTCTCTCTCCAGAGGCATTTCTTAAGGAGCAAAATTTTGCTTTGCATTAACCATAGTAATTTGTACCTTCAGTTTCCACAAAAACCTTACTATGGGAATCCCCATGGAATTCATCCAGATGGTAAGGCTGGACAGTGGAGTTTTTGAGGGATCCAATTTATGGTCCCCATTGCCAGGGTACCCTGCATTTGGAGGACAGATAGCAGCACAATCTCTTGCATCTGCATTCTCAACCGTTGGAGAAGACTCGGTTCCAAACACAATGAGCATCTTATTTATCAACAAGTGCAAATCAGACCAGAAGGTCAAATATACCGTCAAGAACCTAAAGAATGGAAGTATCGTGGATATGAGGCAGGTGGACTGCTATCAAAACAATGTCTTGGTATCTAGTGCGCATATCAGCTTCAGCAAGCCAGACAACAATGCCCATGACTACGAGGGGACACCATACAGGATTTATGATGACACCTTTGTTCCATTTGCAGAGTACATATCGAAATCCCTAACGAATAGCTCTGCAAGCCAAGCAGAAGTCAATGCAAAGTTCCAGGTTCTGTACGACAATATGCTTATGATGTTCAATGTCCTAGATGTTGATGTGGGGACTGAGAATAAGGACATGAGGCAGATCCGCATTAAGATAAAGCAGAGGCAGGAAGAAGTAATTGGAATAGCATCCCTTGTCACGCTGATTTCGGACATACTGCTTGTTGAAACTGCTCTCATGGCATCCAACCTGACACTGTTCTCTAAAGACCTGTCTTTGCTAACTTCCTTGAATCATGTGATACACTTTGTGAATCTGGAGAAAAGCATTAATGACGGGTATATATATTACATTGTAAAGTGTAAAGGAATAAGAAACTCCAAGGCCATCTGCGAGGGGCAGCTGATACACGAGGATGGAACCCTGATATGCCTAACAGGACAGCAGGGTGTATTCAGAGTCAAGTCTTCGTACTCCAAGAAATAGGGCCATTCTTTGGATCTGTTGATTGCTAATCTTGCATTAAATGGCTTTTATTGAAATTTAACTTTGGGCTTCCAGCTGGGATCCCTGAAACATTATGGTTGTTGTAACTGTAGCAAGGTCAAACGCAGATGTTAATGAAAAGAAGGATGAGAGGTACTGGAACTATGAATGCTATACCATAACCACTGGAAGCATAGAGAAATACCAAATATATCAGCGCATGGGCCGGGGAAAGTATTCGGAGGTGTTCGAAGGCCGCAAGGACAGGGAGAAAATTGTGATAAAAGCCCTTAAACCCGTAAGGAAAGCAAAGATCTGCCGGGAGGTGCTAATACTGAGGAATCTTTCACACAAGAACATCATAAAATTGATGGACGTTGTTGTTGACCCTGAATCCCAAATATACTCCCTGATTTTTGAATACATAGAGCATGAGGACTATGCAAAAATATTTGAGAAGCTGTGCTACAAAGACATCGTTGAATACTCCAGGCAAATTCTTTCCGCTCTAAGTTACTGCCATAGCATGGGAATAATTCACAGGGACATCAAGCCACAGAACATGGTGATTAACCAAGCCAGGAGAGAGCTTAAAATAATTGATTGGGGACTTGCAGAGTTTTACCATCCAAAGAAAGAGTACAGCGTCAGAGTTGCAAGTAGATACTACAAAGGCCCCGAGCTATTGGTTGATTACCCGTATTACGACTATTCGCTTGACATCTGGTCGTTTGGATGCGTTTTGGCAGAGCTAGTGTTTAAGAAAAGGCCCTTTTTCCATGGGGAGAGCAACAGTGACCAGCTGGTCAAGATAGCCAGAATCCTAGGATACACTCATCTGAAAAAGTACGTCAGAAAATACAAAATGGCTCCTCTTAATCCAAAATACGAGGGAGTGGGTGAGAGAGTGTTGCTTTCTTCCTTTACTCCTCCTGGAAAGACCGGTTTATACACCAATGCAATAGACCTGCTAGAAAAAATACTAATATATGACCACCAAGACAGGCCTACTGCTGATGAGTGCTTAAGACACCCTCTCTTTGAGTCCAGATGACTGGATCCTTTACCGCCTTGAAGGCATCGAAAAACTAAACTCTTGGAGAAGACTATCCTACTTTATTCACTAGTTACTGTCCATTGGCCAAGACACACATCACGCCACAGTCAGATGGTCTGATCAATTATACCGCTGTTTGGTGTAGAATCTGCTCAAAGCACCTTTAATGGACGGTCCTCCTTCAAAGTACCTGGAAAATTCTTGCTTAGGCCTATCCACTTTGGGCTCATTATAAATACACCCAACCCTAGACTCCATGGATATCAGCTCATATGGGATCTTTTCCAGCAAGCTTCTGACTTCCTTCTCCTTCCTCATCTTTCTTGACATGAACGGAGAATCCTCGTAGGAATCGTACACAGGATCGCCACATCCTGGAACGATGATGTTTGATATCCCACCCAGGTGTCCAATGCACAATATATCTTCGTGATTGCAGAAATCGACGCTTGACACGGGCATTCCTGTCTTATGCTTCATGTATAATGCCTCACCACAATTCGAGTCGATAAAGTCTTTCCATATATGGACATTGTCGCCGTAGGATAGAGCTAGCATGTTTTTCTGGCTCAAAGACGTTGCAGATAAAATATGCTTTGTTCTCAGAGTATTGAGATGCTTATAGGTATTTCTTAGGTCCCATACGTTGACCCTGTTGTCCATTCCGGTAGTAATCATGTATCTCCCGCCTCTTTCAATCTCAATACTCGAAACAGTGCTTTTGTGACATAATATCTTCATCAGGTACTCCTTACTGTTTGGAGACCACAGACTGACTACACCTTTGACATTACCAGTGTGTATAATTGCATTCATAGGATTTTGCTTCATGGAGGTAACTTCTCGATTCCTCAAATAAATCTGGCTAACTATCTTCCCAGTGGATATGTCCTGGTATCTCAGGAAGCCCTTATCAGACGCGGCCACCAAAAGATAATGGTATGGCAAATACTCCATTTTAAATACTCCGCTGTTTTCCCTGACGCAGTGCATCTCTATACCATTGCCGTCGTACACAAAGACATTATTCTTCTGGGCCACCGCAATAAACTGCTCGTTGTGAAGGTATGTAGCGTCGTATATCTTTTCGTTTACATCAATCTCAAACTGCAGGTTCATAGACTTAGTGTTGAACGATGCTAAGTATCCTTTGCTGTTTCTTAGAAGCATATATGCCCCATTTCTGGAGTGCTTGGCGTATATTGGCCCGTTTTCAAAGCTTAGATTGTATGCTTGTTCGCATGCTTTGATACTGACATGCCTCCGTATCTTGTCCTGTGTCACCTCGTATGTCTTTTCATCTGAATCCGCCTCTATATATCCGCAAGTCTCTGTCCTCAAGATCCCATAATTCGTCACATCCCTATGCGCTTCCTCTGCTATCTTTTTGCTATTCTTTATTCTTTCTCTTACTATTTTTTTGGACATTCCTGGGCTCAAAATATCTCTACTTTTACTGCTGCAGCAGAGGCTCTCTTCTACAGACTAGTACGAGCAGCCGGCCATGCTGCCACCCCTACCTATACTCAATCTCTATGCACTCCCCGTTCTTGAGTTCATAGGCATCAATCTCAATGCAATCAGCTAGCTCTCTCTTTCCCCTTTTGAGGACGATCTGCTCGACATCTTTTCCTATATGCCTGCATATCTCCTCTTTCAGTTCTCTAATTGTCCTGTCGATTCCTATGGTGACTAGAACCGATATCGACATCCTATCAATGCACTTCAGCCTTATAAGCCCCATGGGGTCTGCCAAGAAGCTCAAAATCTAGTAATTCAACGACACACAGAGTCAATCAAATAGCTTTTATTCTCCCTTAGCAGGTATCAGCTCAGCCTCACCCTGGTCAATAATGGAGATGCATCCCAGTCTATGGCCTCTTTCGGTGATGCTTCCCAGCTCCTCGTTATTGGCACTGTGGAAAATAATCGGAAGTCCTCCAGCCAAGACGCTGTAGTACTCAAGCAGTTTCCTCTTTGTAGATGGAAAGTTCGACGAAATAACAAGGCACTTGGCCTTCTTCATAATCACAGACTTGATGGCCCGCTTAAACCCGACAATATATTTTCCTGTTCGCATTGCCAGCAAAAGCGAAGACGTGACATTATCGCCTTTGTTACTCTTTCCCCTCATCTCTATCCAGGGCAAATTTTTTCGAATAAAACCTCAACTGCCCCACCAAAGAGATCCAGAACATCTCCTGGAACACCATACCAGAGTTTTTAGCCAAATTTATTGAAGCTGGGCTTGCTAGCATCTATGTTTCTGTCGCATTTGACCTCTGCTCTTTCAGCAAGTCTCCTGGCCTTGTTCTTGTACTTGAGCCTTGGTATTCTGTCTTCTGCCTTTCTTTTTTTAACAAACCTGTTTCTTTTCATCTTGTCTGTTATGACTCTCTTCTCGTCCTCTGCAGAGCTCTCCTCCCTCTTGTCGCCCCTGTCCTCCGAGTCCTGCGGCGTCCTGGCAAGGGCCTCGGCCTTGCGCTCCATAGAGCATATCTTCTCAAGAAGAATGGTCACCTTGGCCAGCATCTCCTCTACCGGACTTCCGCTTCTATCCTCTTCGCTCATCTCTTTGTACAGAACAAGATTCATGAGATACACAGACAGCAGGTCGCTTTTCACATCAAGAATCTCGTTCTGGGGAGAAGATCTAGCCCCATTCAGCTCGTCGCTAACAGATTTAATGTCGTCGGCATAAAATCTATGCTCCATGGGGATAGAAGAAAAAACACATTTGCTTGTAACAGGCAATAAGGAAATGTCTATGCTGGTAGGAACGGCGCAGGCGCATATCATGTCTCCAGACAAGGGATACACGGTGAAAAGAATATCTCCATCCAATACCTTCATAGTGAAGAAAGGAAACAAGTACATAGAGATCAAGTACATGCTGGAGCTTGTCGAGAATCCCTTGGACCTTGAAAAGATCTCTGGCTTCGTTCCGTCGAGCTCCCTATGGAATCTGCTTCCTGCAGTCGACGTCAAAGGCCATTTCCACTTAGGGGATCGCCAGATGAAGCTTGCAGAGAAGGAGCTGAAGTTGCTAAGGCTAGACAATGGATATGCAAAAATTAATTACAAGGACACAGCAGACGTGTTGTGCTACATGAACAGTATCAAGGAATGCCCAGACTTCAACCTCAGAATGGACATTTATCCACAAGTAGTTAAGAAATGGGCTCTGGATAACTTTGTAGGAGACTCAACAGAAATAGGACTCTATTGCTTATTAACCTGCGATGAAGGAAGTGACATGCCAAACTTCCTGAAGCGGTGGAAAGAGTCAGTCCTGGATGAGGTGAGTGTAGAGAGCCTTATCAAGCACATGGACTCCATTTTCCTTCCTTCGGAAAAGAAGGCAAGGCTACGCCAATACCTCAGTAAATTGGTTGGATAGGCACCTGTTTCATATTTTTCTGAACCGATACTTCATTTTGACAGCATCAATCATCTGCCACGTCAATCACGGACCTATAGACACCATCCCCTGAATTGAAAAACCCCTAAGAGTCTCTAACTTGAGATGATAAAGAAACTTTCAGAGGTGAACTACTTGGAGCGGAGATTTCTTGCCTCTCTTCTTCTGACACTGTTTGTGAGCTACACCATGAGAAACAGGACAAGAACTCACAATCTGTTATCTGCAGTCCTGATCCTTTACATAGCCTTTGATTACAGGCATACTGCATACATACTTGCATCAATCTCCCTAAATACCTTCCTGCTCAGATACACGGAGACATCTGCATACATGTTTACTGTTCTGAACATCGTAATACTTTACATCTACAAAATATTCGGAGCTCTCTTCGAGGAAAGGATTTCCGGGTCATTCGACATCTCCGGGGTCTTAATGCTAATGACGATAAAGATGTGCTACCTTGGGAAGGAGTATAACAAAAGAACAGACACCGTAAAAGATGCCTTGTCGTATATATTGTTCATACCGGGCCTTATGTTGGGTCCAGCACCAACGTTCAGAAGCTTCATGGAGAACAAGTACGAAAGACCAAAAAGGCCTCCATATGCAACTTTTCTAAAGGCCCTTGGATTCCTGGTTCTTTTTCAGGTTTTAAGGATAAGTATCCCAAGAAGCCACCTTCTTGAAGAAGACGTTCTGTTACCAATGAGGTGGGCCTATTTGTACCTCTTCACGGTAGGAAACAGAATAAAATTCTACTTTGCATGGCACTTTTCCCACGGGTGCTTCGCGTTCCAAAACTTTCCAGACCTTCTGAATGCTGACTTCATGAAGGTAGAGCTGGCAACAAGCGTGAAAGATCTTAGCACCTACTGGAACGTATGCACCGGGGTTTGGTTGAAGAACTGCTTCTTTGTTCCGATGAAAGAAAAGTCAATATTCTGGGCGAGCATCGGAACGTCTGCAATTTCTGCGCTGTGGCATGGGATAAATCCATGCTACTTGATAATGTTCCTTTCCCTATCAGCCTCTATCCCGATTGTGAAGGAAAACAATAGATTACTCCAGAGCTTCTTCCCGTCTCTCTTCTGGGTGCTGTCCAGGATACAAATGCTTATCCTTACAACATATTTCTCCGCCTCCTTCTTTCTCTTGAGTGTTTCAGACCTTATGTATGTCTGGAGAAGCGTGTACTTTGCCGGCCATGTATTTCTTGCCTTCAGCTTAGCAGTACAGATAGCTTTAAGGCCCTTTCTTCCGCAGGTAGGTAAGAAAAATACTGACTGAGGCTGCACCTGCTTCTTTCTCCCCTTCCCACCTTAGAATTCCTACAGCATCACAGGAACCCTTCCGATGACCGATGCAACTCTGCTGGAAAGGGGAGGATACAAGGTTCTCGGGGTGTTGTGCATATCTAGGTCGCTGCTTTCCCAGAAATCAGGTGGCAAAGATGCCAACGGCATGCACAAGGCGCTGATTCAGAATGCATCTGGACATAAAGTTGTTTATTTCGTCGATCCAATAGACTTTGGAGCAGGAAGCAGGATATTTCTCAAGGAAAATGCAAGCTCCCCGCTACTCAGAAGCACCAGCTACACCATAACATGCAAAAAGAGTTACAGAACAAATACTCTATTGGTAGAAAAGTTACTGCTCAGAAATGCTGAAAATATGCATGGAGTAAGGCCATGACCCCACACGCCTAGTAAAGTGATCCAAGGACTTTTAATCGTTTTCAGCTTTTGCATCCTCAATTCCTTCATAAATATCAGTGGTTGTGCCCTGTGGCTCTGCTTCTCCGTTATCAGTTGGCTGCAGCTCGCTTCTCATGTGGCTTTCCCTTTCTCTGCTCTTGTACTCATCCTTAGAAAGATAGGACCTTGTCTTAAGAATGTGCCCGTTGAACTCTGCTCCATCAAGCTTCTTCATGGCATTGTCCTTGTCTTCAATGTTTTTAAACTCAAAAACAGCGTGGTTCCCGCTGTACCCAAGCCTTGCATAGGAAGGCTCAAACCCATGGTCTTGTACAAAGTTCTTGAAATCCTCAATGGCTGTGTTGGGAGCAATGTTCTCGAAGACGACCTTCAGATGATTGTTTGGATGATCCCTTGACATATGGTGCCTCTTTCTCGAATCCATCATGTCCCTCATTCCATGGATCGGGCATGCATTACAATACTCGCAGAAGTCTCTGCTCCTTTGCGGATCTCCCATTCGGAAGCTATCGCCACGGTACTCTGGGGATCTTCCTCCATATCTGTCAGAAAATCTTGGGTCATACCTTCCTGGAGACCTGCTTTCATACCTCATAGGCGGATAAGGTGCATTCCGGAAGCCCCTGTAGTCCCTGTGCGGAGAATATCCCCCCCTTCCCATGTCCATGTATCTATCATGGTACTCACCGTCAAGAGGTCTCTTTCGCCCATTGGCCCTTTCCACAGATATGGGCGCCCCGTCAATCGAATGGGTCCTCTGGTTCAGAACTCTTGTGATGCTACCCTCGGAATCAAAGTTAAGAAAGCCATATGTCCCCTTCAGACTTACATCCGTAACTTCGCCAAACTGTCCAAAATACTCTTTGATCTGCTCCTCGCTCACATGATTCGGGATCTTTCCTATGAATATTTGCATTGGGGCTTGCAAACTTAAAATATTTTATTTAGGAAACCAAAAAATGCCGACGGCCTGCCATTGAGGCCCAATTCTGCAGAACACGCTCTACACCCCAGGCCGGCACCACAGAATATCTTTCTACACCTCCGCCCAGGCCACCAATAGAACACAGACAATTTCTAAAAACACCCCCAGAAATGGCGTGTCCAAGTTATATCAGGATATATAACACAGCCGGATTTATTGTTTGCATAGTAGCTCTTCTGGCCAGCTTGGTATTCTACAAGACAATGGATCCAAGATATCTGAGAGTGGCTGGACTCTCCCAAACGTTTTTCTTGATGGAGGCTGCAAATATATCTGCAAAAAAGAGTAATTCTAGGTATCTTCCGACCGTGATGCAGCTAATATCCCGCATGTTCATCATGTGGGTTGTCTTCTGGTACTGCGGCATTATAAACTGGACATTTCCTGTCATAACAACATGCTGGTATCTCTCAGACTTGGTAAGATATGCCTTCTACACATTCAGGGCCAACACAGTCAGAGTAGTCCGGTACAACCTGTTCTTGCTGACGTCTCCGATAGGATTCGTACTTGAAATGTATTGCCTGAGGGCTCTATACAACTCGCTGGGAAAAATATTTTCCTATCTTGTGGTGCTGGTTGCACTATTATATATCCCAGGATTCATATTCTTATTCTCGCACATGCTAAGACAACGAAAGTGGTCTAGGAAAGTTAAAGCGTACAAGAGCAACAGGAAAGATTTATGAGCCTTTCTGCGCACACTAAGGGCTTCTACTAACAACAAGGCCTACCTGCCGACAATGCCGACTCATAGAAATCCTCATGGCAGCACAAGTATCTTTTCTGGGTATATTTCTCCCTCAAGAACATCCATGCAGTCGATTTCCGGATAAACCATATTCTTCCTGACAACATGGATATACTTCTTGACCCTGACAGGGGTGCCTCTATACAGCTTGAGATTCATAAATAAAACCACTTTCATGCTGAAGTCATTGCCAGACACTGTAGATGCTGTTGCCGACGGTATCTTCAGGGATGCCCTAAGTACTCTGCCTCCATCTCGATGCTCAGCCTCTCCCCCAGCAACATACTTTGTCCTCAAAATCTCTCGTCCCTCGACAGAGATATTAAGTATTTCATACATAAAGCACTCCATACTCTTGATTCTGGGCTTTCTCGATGGTATGGAGGCTTCAACAACCAGATAATCTCCCGAGTAGTAGAGCTGCTTATTGGTTTCAAAGTAAATATTGTATCTTTTGCTCAAGAAGCAGATTGGTGACAGCACGTCAATGGCTGTATGGAACCTCTGGAGCTCAGTAATGGGATCTATCACCTGGATCTCCTTCCTGGCAGTATATACCGGGTTATGGATGCCTAGTATATAGACCTCCACGTACAAATCGTATGTGCTTTTTACGTTGCACAGAACATCAAAGTAAACGCCCTTTATCTCCGAAGACCCCTCGTCCTCTTTCCGAAGCATGAACCTGAATGGGAACCTGTGATGCCCACTAGAGATTTCCCCCATGGGGTCATCGTTTGAATAAACTTCAAACTTGTGCCTATATCCGCTGCACGTCTCTTCGATCTCGTCGTTATTGTCACTTTCTGTTCTCCTGACCTTCTGTACCCTTAGCTTTACCACCTTAGATAGAATCAGATTTATCCTACCTATGCAAAGAGGACTTCTCATTTTCATGTCGATGGCTCCCCTTATCTCCGATCCTCCTTCATACATCTCCTTGTCGAGGTCTACCCTGATCCTGGTGTCCATTTGCGCCGGCTCTTATTTCCCTTATATTCAAACCTCATCCAATGCCTCTTCTTTCCCATATCTGCCGATTCCATAAATAAGCTTCCGCAATCGCAAACCAACCAGTCCAATCGTACAGATTTTTGCACAAACCCAAAGGCCCTTGGACGTCTTAATGAACCCCATAGGAAAAAAATGCCTGGTCCACTTTGGTGCAATTGACTGTGACATAAGCCAATTGGACAAGGAAACGATAGAGTACATCCGGCAGAGATTCCCTTCGGTGTTAGCAGACATTTATAGAAAGGCCAATCTGAAGGACAAGGCCATCCAAGCTCTTCAAAATAAGCTAGCCGGTGGAAGCAAGGCAGTCTACACACACGAAATACTATACAACTACATCTACTTTGAAGACTATTGCGGAGCACTCCAAAGGATTGCATCCTTAGACTTCAGAGATCAAACAATCGAATGCCTGTCGCTACAAATATTTATTCACCAGAAGACGCTGAACGAAAAGGTCTCCTGCCGATCAGAGGCATACAACGAGATAAACAGCCGTGTATTGAAATATTTGTTTATGCACTTCAACATCGATGTCTTCAGCTATTTCAGAAAAGCTCTCAATGAGTTCTGTAACAACAACAAAGAGTGCAAAGACAAATCATGCGGAGACCTGAAGATTGCTCTGTTTAAGAGCCATTGCAACAGAAAGTATCTGGAAAAGCTATGTCTGAAGTCCTTGGAGTACATATACAATGAGCTAGACCTTCCCGAGGCGCTGAGGCTCATGGTTCACAGAAATCCAAAGATCAACGAATTCTATCTCAGGGAATTTGCGAGAAGATGCCTTCCAGCCAACGAGGAGATCAAATCAATTTTAGAAAGGGCCTACAGCCCCTCCTTGTTTGACCTGCTAAAGAGAAGGGGCTCTCTAACTAAGCAGATTGTCAAGCTCAAAAAATACTATAGAGAGGACTACAGTGAGAAGAAAGTAAAGTTTGAGTCCTCATACTGCAAGAGGGTGAGAAAAAGCAGGAAGGAAGAATATCTGAAGATATATACCATGCCGGAGAAAGTGCGAAAAAGCAATAAAAAGAAGTAGATTCCTAGAAATTCATTTCATAGATATACCGACACTTCCTCGGGGGTCAGAAACTTGGACTCTTCTTGAGTAACAACAACGACCTCCACATTATCCTTGCTAATCTTGTCCTTCATCACCTTAGATAGGGTGCAAAGCACTTTTCTCAGAGACTGATCAAGTCCACTGTATTCCTCGTACTCGTTTTCAAGTATGCCTTCAACCACCTCGTGTCCAGATCCTATGGCCTTTGCCTTGTAACTGATATACGACCCAGACGGATCCAGTGAATACAGCCTGGGTTCGGTGTCGAATCCTGCTATAATCAACGAAACGCCAAAGGGCCTTCGAAATATCATTTTGGCCTCATCCTCCTCGCCAAACCTCAGGCTCAGGCTGGACAGGTATTTCAAGAGCCTTTCCACGCTGATGTTTTCTCCATACATGTGGGTGTGAGAAATGCAGAAGTCTCGCGACCGCTTCACAATGGTCTTTGTGTCGCCGCTTATCCCGGAAAACCCAAGCACAATATGATCGTAGATCTTGTAATGCTTTACCACACTCTTGGGATTCTGCAAGGTAGACAATATCTTCTTCTCAGAACATAGTATCACAAACTCCTTGGTTCTTACTCCTATTGTTGTTGTTCCCAGATTCATTGCCTTCATGGCATATTCAATCTGATGGATTCTTCCCTCAGAGCTGTATGTGTTTACACTTTGCTTAAAGTCCTCCATCCTGGGGTCTCATTTACAGACTCATCAGATTCTAAAACGCCTAGGCTGGGTACGCCCAGCCCAAAATTAGCAGTCAGCATACTCAGCTGCTTAGATACTCAATCCTGGACATTATGCTGGGATGAAGCGAGTTCAGGGTGTTGTATAGCCAGGATGGGGCAAGGAAGTCAAAAGAGTCCACAGAGATCTTATACAGAGTGTTTGCAAGCTTCTTGTTATAGTTATATTTCTTAGTAAGAAGATCTGCATACATTTCTGCATTTTGAGACGTGAGATTGTACAGCACAAACAGCCATGGTCGGATAGATGCAAAGTAAAGGCATATAAGCACAATAAACGACCCCTGCTTCGAGATGCCATTGCACACAAACTCCCCGGCTACATTCTTATACAAAAATACCAGAAACAGCATCTCGAGGCCCAGGATGATGAAAAAGACTGATATCTTTTTCATCAGGCTTCTATGGCAGGAATGCCCCACCTCGTGGATGAGTATCGACTCCAGCTGCTCGTTGTCTATTTTCTCCACCTTTCCATAAATCTCTATCCTCTCGGCACTTCCGATTCCTATGAGGGCCGCATTGAGGCTCTTTCCAGGTTTTTTTTCCCTATAGATTGAGTCCTCAAGCCCCCTGTCTCTCATGAGTCTCTGGATGTTCTCTGAAAACACTTCCGGCGGCACCTTCTCCATCTTACTAAGGTCTACGCCGGATATGGAGAAGATTTCAGACAACTCCATGATGAAGTAGGAGAAGTAGCACGAGACTATGAAGCTGATCCCAAAGATCCTGAGGAGCTTCATCGAAATAAGAATACAGATCGGAATGGCAAACACAACGGCAAAGAAACACCACAGGAGAATCGTCTCGAGGGACGGGTTTTTATATATCGCACACACAACATATTCTATGAATGCATCTAGCGAGAGCATTGAAACTACGACCGTAAGAAATGCCAATTCTATATCGAAAAACTGTCCAAAGACCCCGTTAAGAATCTTCATCCCGAAGAACCTTCCCGCCCTCGTAAAAAACAGAGTGCTGGCGACGAAATGCATGGTGTGTATCAGCATATCTTCAAACAGCTCCGTACTTCTTTTTCCTATTGCTTTTCTGATGTTAGGAATATACTTTCGGTCGCTCTTTGCCATTTCGTTTGTTACCAGTCCTTCTTCAAGCCCCGTTTCCCCGGAATCCAAGTAGTTTCTGATGATAAACACATTCAAAAGCTCGATTGTCTGGGTCAGGTATGTTAGCAGAAAGAATGTATAGAACATCCCCCTCGAAAAGCGCTTCATCTCTTTGTTTGTTGACTTTCTTTTGATACATATCAGGAATATAAACAACAGGCTTTATTTTCAGATTATTTCCTGTATCTCCCTCCTGAGTTCACCTTTTTCAGACATCTTCCGGACGACATCCAATCCTCCTATAAATCGACCTCCAATGTATACCTGCGGGAATGTGGGCCAGCTGTTTATCTCCTTCAGCTTTCTCCTAACATCCTCATCGGACAGAATATCAAAGTACACTATTTGGTCTTTTGTTACTCCTGCACTGTACAGGATGTCCATAAGAGTCTTTGTAAATCCACATTTTGGATTTTCTGGGGACCCTTTGATGAAGAGAGTAACTCTTTTGGGATCAACGGTGCTCTGAATCCTTCTTAGAATATCTCCTTCTCTTTCCTCGGCATATTCCCTGATTTTATCACTTGGATCACCGGAAACTGGAGATCCTTTGATTATGAGGACGGGGAGCTTGGACACGTTAAAGTGCTTCATAAACTCCGCCTTAAGCCTCTCGGACTCTCCCAGATTCACTTCGACATAATCAACACCCGCGTTTCGCAACATGTTGCACAGCTCGTTACTCTCGCTTTCATATCCCACAACCACATCGTATTCTTTAAGTTCTTCAAATGCGTCGTTATGATCCAAAACCTCCATTTTCAGGGGTTGCGACAGAGCCATTTGTCTACGAAAGACATCCGCACCTGTCAATTCTTTCTCTAACAATAGGATGCAGTGATGTTATTGCATTGAACAGGTACGTTGAATCTATGGTTGTGTTGTGCTCCAAGGCCATATCAAATAGTGCCTGGGAAAGTCCATCTCCATATCCATTGATCCTGGCAACTTCGTCTGCAAACAGTTCTGAGCGCTGGGCATAAACATTGGAAAACGTGAGGAACAGGGCTCTTCCAAGCGCCAGGTACATGATAAACACCATTAGAGCAAACGCCTCCGAGGACATGTCTGAAACCCCAAAAGCCTTGCTTCCCTTTGCGTAGATCGCCGTGAATGCCAATACTTCACAGATTACCATTGCATGCATGAGAATCTTTCTTTTCAATATGATGTTATCTATCGAATGCCCCACCTCATGGAACGAAACAGGATACAATTCTTCTACGTTCTTGGTAAAGTCTCCATATATCTCAATCCTTTTAAAGCTACCCAGTCCGATCAGAGATGCATTTTTCTTCTCCTTCGAGCTCTTGGCTCTATAAACAGAGTCCTCTAGCCCCTCAGACTTAAGCATCTCCTGTAGCTTTTCCGGAAACACCTCAAGAGGAACCTTGGCCAGCTTGCTCTTGTCTACGTGCCCGCTCCAAAGGGTGTTTAATATGTTGCCCGCCACAAAGATGATGTAAAGCACTATAATAAACTTTCCCTTTAGAAATTCAAAAAGCTTCATCACAAGACATATGTAAAATGGCAGCTCTATAAAAAGAAGAGCCACCATATTAAGGGGATACTCTATATATTTCAGGCTGCATATGCACTCCTCCAATGTAAGCTTTGTGCCGCACAGCTTTTCTATCGAGGTAATGGCGGAGGTTAAAAGCAGCAACAGCGTTATTTCCGGATTGAGAATCCTTAGTGACTTTGACAGCCTTCCCATCTTTTTTCGAATTTTACTGGTGAGCATTGTCAGTATGACCATTGCATGTAGCACGAGGGCCTTTATCTCTTTAGATATATTAGAGAGCTTAAGGTTGGAGGCTTTGAGCTGGTCCTTAGCAAATGACTCTGTGCCAGCGGCTATCTTTCCCGTGCATGTGTCGGGCCCAAACCATAGCTCTCCTTTCTCTAGCTCCCTTGAATAGAGATGTAGAAATCTGACTTCCCAGGCTACTGCCGCCAGCCTCACCAGAAAGAATAGGAAGAATGCTCCCTTGATTTTCCTGCACATCTACAGGAGCTAGTTCTTCTTTTGACTTAGTCGTGGGGAAGCCAATTGCATGCATTTTGCATCCCCTATTTCTATGTTTGAAATAATCATTTTGATAGGTCCTGGGACTGAGCTGTTTCCAATAGTGAACGAGAGGTTCTCAAAGGCCTGTCTCCCAATCATGAACAGCCCGATGATTCTGCACACGATGAGATCCCTTTCAACCGTTTCAAAAAAGTTCTTTGTGGTTGGCCTGAATGAAGAGAAGGATGATCTTATGAATGCCATAGGAGACAACATCGACGTGCCTGTGGAGTATGTGGGAATCGACACTTATGACGGAACCGTGGCATCTCTTTTAAGTATATACCCGATGATAGCATCTGAAGATGTTCTCGTGTGCAAGGGAGACATTGTGACCAATATGGACATTCAAGCGATGGCATCCAATTACTTCGGTACTAAGAAGATGTTCATGGTTATTCTGGGGAATGCCACATCGGAAGTGTCCATTCTGGGATACAGAGGTGACGAACTGGTGTTTTACTCAAGCGACAGCAATGAAGAGATTCCATTTCACCTGCTGAAGAAAGGACTAACCCTGACGAAAGATCTTGATGTTCTCCAGCTCTATATGTTCAAAACATCCCTGTTCAAGATGTTTAGCTCCAGCTGCTTTAGCTTCAAGCACGGGCTCCTACCCGACATTGTGAAAGACCTTGCCCTAGTGAACCCAGTTGGGATCCATAGACCTGCAAAGAGTTATGTTTATCAGATAAGGACGATTAGCAACTATTTATGGGTGAATACTCTGCTGAAGAGGCATGCGATTAGCATCGATAAGAAGTTGAAGACAAGCGAGTCGAATGCAAAGTTTATAAAGGACTATGTGAAGAAGTACAACCTCAAGGACTTGAGCAACGTGGTTGGAGATAATACAAGGACAGGCAACGTACTACTTCTCGACTCGATAATTGGAAGTGGATGCGACATTGGTGAGGAGTCAAAGATAATATCCTCGATTGTGATGGACAACGTTTCGATTGGACATGGATCGCACATTGAAGGATCGATAGTTGGGATGGGGGCAACTATTCTTGATGGGAGCACCCTGATCAACTGTAAGGTATCCCCGGGATATGTGTTCAATGAGGTGGTTCATGGAGATTCCCAGTCCTTCAGCAAGTAAAAACATTTTTCGAGCTCCTGCTTATCCTATTTCCATGGGCTGTGTGCCCGCCTGTACTGCAGTACAAAAAGTTGCAGCACCCGGTATTCCCGAGTGGTCTCCCTTCTCAGTACTACCCAGGCTCGCACAGGCTTAACTTCGGAGATCTGACGAGTTCCGGTGCTTTTCCGTGGATATGGCCGCAACTGCCACCTACCACAACAGAGAATATATCCGTTTCGGAAACCATATGGAAAGGGCATTTATTGACTTTTCAAAGCTGCCTTTCCGTATATAGTCCGTCTCCGACTCTGTGGTACACCTCAATCCCCACTCCTCTGCTGCTGGCCTCCATGTCTTTCAAACCCACAATCGCCTCACCAACCGCAACAATCGACTTTCCGATGATCCGCACAACAATCGTATCTCCCGCTTCAAACCCCTTCTTTATAAGGTCCTTGTACTTCAGCACACCTGGAATCATAACATCGGCTCCTCTGCACAGGGGCTCAAGTGCTCCTTCGTCTAGAAACACCTCATAGAATCCTCCGCCGTGTCCCTCGAGGTATCTTATAGTTGGAAAGTACTTTCTATTCAAGCAGAATAGAATTGCCGATCCTCCCAGAGATATCAGAGATGCCTTATTCTTGCACCTATGCACCATATATGTTTCGTTCTTCTCCAGTACCTCATACCCCAGCTGCTTGTTGATATCCCTTTTGTCCTTCTTTCCTAAGCAGCACGACGAGCTTATCTCCACCTTGTTAAACAGGCTTTTCATCTGCAGGCAGGGTAGGCCAATCTGCTGCAAAACTTGGCAGCAGAAGCCCAGGGCCATGTCACTAAGAACCCTACCCGAAAACCTGCCAAAGGGCAGCCTTGGCATTCTGCTACATCTCTAAAGAAATCGCTCTCCAAAATAAGACCCTGAACCATGGATGACAACAAACCAAAGTCCAACACCTTTACAGATGAAGGTAGACTACCACAGGTGGAATTTGCCATCAAGAACGTCTCCAGGGCAGGCACAATAATTGGATACGTGTGTTCAGACGGCGTTGTTCTCATGGGGGTAAACAAGGAGCCGACGAATGGGCCGATGGAGAAGATCTACCAACTGAGCGATAGTATTTATTGTGTGCTATGTGGACTGTTTGGAGATGCAATGGAGCTCAAGAGATATGCGCGGATAAAGGCCCAGGAAGTTCTAGAAAGATTCGGGGTGGAGTGCCCTCTTACAACCCTATGCAAATTTGTTGGACAGAGGAAGCAGGCGTTTACCCAATATGCAGGAACGCGGCCCTTTGGAGTGTCCTTTCTGTATGCCGGGGTTATAGACGGAAAATATGCCCTGATGTCCACGGATCCAAGCGGGACATCGAATCGGTGGAAGGGAATGTGCTACGGGGAGAACGAAGAGGCCATAAACAGGGGACTTAAGAACGACTTTCCCGAGGATGAAATGGACATGAAGACGGCCACCGTCGAGATATTAAGGCTTCTAGGCAAGGCTCGGGAGCTAGGCCCCAAGGAGGCAGACAGGTTGGAAATTCTGCACTTCTCTAAGGACTGCAAGAAATACCTTCCGTGTGATGAGGTTTTAAAGCTTCTTGAGGAAATACATGCCAAGTAGTAAAAGACGTCTTTTCCTTGATTTCTCGAGTTACTTGGATCTCTTCCAGAGTTCTCCCTGCTTGTTTCCAGGATGATTGTAGGCCCGCCAAAACCTTCCCGCCAAAAAGAGAAAAATAATAAAGGCTAGAATATGGAGAGTGTGGAGGCATGAAGAACTATAAAGTATTCAAGAAACCTTACATCCTCATTGAAGACTGCAAAAACAAATACCAGCCGTTTTACAAGGAATACGCTAACTCTGAAGCTCCAAAGCTTCATCTGGACAGTCCAACGCTGTGCTGCCCATTCCAAGCAACCAAAAAATACAAACAATCAGGTAAGCGAAGACACACCAGAGAAGGCTTCTGCGAGGTCTGTTATGTCAGGTTCAGCAACTACGAGGAGCACATCAAGGAGTTTGAGCACAGGGAGTTTGCCAAAGACAACTCTAATTATAAGAAGCTCGACACATTTATATCCACCTCGGCATTTGAAAGCGCAAGTCCACCGGAGGAGTATACTCCGCAGTCGCCAACCCTCAAACTAACCCCTGTCTCCAGCGGAAGAAACCAGGTTGGTGTTCACTGCGACGATAATGAAAAGTACAGCCAGACACTGCATTTTTCTCTGGTTAGCACAGAAGGTGATCTGGGGCAGGATGTCGTGTTGTTTGATCATTTCATTGCCGAGGTATTTGATAAATAGTAAATTCTGCTTCTGCTGAGTAGCATTAATTTTCTTATATCCCAATGATTTTGATTTGAAGGGGCACAGAGCCCATGAGAGAGCTGAAGTTCCATGAGAAGAAGCTTTTGAAGCAGGTCAACTTCCTTGAATGGAAGAACACAAACACGGCGCGCGAGCATCTGGCCATAGCAAAGTATGGCCTGAGGGACAGGGAAGAGTATACCAAGTACAGCAGGATAGTAGGGAAAGTGCGTAAACTCGCAGAGGCACTGGCAAGGCTCAAAGAAAGCGATCCAGTTAGAACCACCATAACCAAGAAGCTTGTTGGAAGACTATATAGTGTTGGGGTCATCAAGAACAGAAAGCTTGTGGATTGCACCAAGGTAACTGTTTCCTCATTCTGCGAAAGGCGGCTGCCGATGGTAATGAAGAGAATTCGGATGGTCCCTAGCTTCAAGGATGCCACGAGATTTGTCGAACATGGCCACGTCCGCCTTGGTTCAAAGGTTGTCTACGACCCCTCGACAATCATAAGCAAGGCCATGGAGGACTTTGTGTCCTGGGTTGACAAATCCAAGATCAAAAGAAAGATTGATGAGTTTAACGGGGAGTTGGACGACTTCAACTACGTCTGAACATCTCAGCTGAGTGAGCCCGGGCCACAGGCAACAAAGCATGCATAGCATTTGTAGGAGGACTGCGGTGATTTTAATCTTGTAGTTCCCGAAAAACCCTGGAATGGCAAGCGGAGATTTTGATGACACCAGAGACTACGAGAAATATCTGGAACAGGAGGTCGTTGTTATGCTGCGAGATGGGAGGTATCTCTACGGTGTGATGAAGTCCTTTGATCAATTCAACAGTGTAACACTTGACGGTGTTATCGAAAGGATATTTCACGATACCAGATATGCCGAGAGGAGGCATGAGCTGTTCATAATAAGAGGAGAAAACATAACAATGATAGGCCTAAGCCCTCCAGACGTGGAAGAAGGGCTGGAGCAGGCAGACTTCTGGGCCCTTAAGAACGAGATTCTGGGTTTGTAGGCCCACCCGCAAATTGGTGGAGATGTTTTCAATGCACATGGCCACACAGTGATAAAATATTGTGCTTATCTTCATACTCTACGTCCTTCTTAGGCTTATCCCCAAGAACACCCTTATCTCCCTCTTCTTCTCCCCTTTGTTTTTGTAGTAGATGTTATACTCTCTGTTGTCTGTTCTCATGGTCCCATTCTTCGATATCATTATCTTTGTATCGCTATTTTCTATGTATCCCTTGACCTCATCATCGTTAGCCTTTTCCCAGAATATCACCGAGTCCGTCCTGCCAGATATCGGACAGTAGAACTTCATGTTCCTCGACAGCCCGATATTGCAATCAACTAAGGTCTCTGTAGAGAATTGCTCGGGAAGAGAAAGGATTCTGTGGTGGATCCTTCTGTTCCGGTTGAACTTCGGAGTAAGGGCAATGGCAAATACTTCCCTTTCTTTCACAACAGGAAGAACTATCCTTGCTTTCCTGGAGGTAATTATCTTATATATGTCGTACACCAGATCTCCAGTCGAAAGCTCGTGGACTGTGAGAGAGTAGTCGTCTGGAACATCGGTATAGAACTCAATGTACATGGCACCTTTACTTATCTCCACCTCTTTTCTGAACTCCTTCTCGACAAACGATGTAGAGTACGGGCACTCAGACGCGATACCTAGGTACTCGTCCTGCCTTATTCTCAGCTGGAAGGCCTCCACAAAGTAGTTTGGAAACCGAAGGTTCATCGATTTGCTGTAGTAAAGGACTATTTTCGAGTTGTATCCGTACAGGCTCTCTCCCATCTTTACTACCTTGTATATCAAAACCTCCTTTTCCTTCCCGAACTTTACATCAATGATGATGTCTCCGTCAAAGTAAGAGTGAATTATGAAGTCTTCTTCCACCTCTAAAGTCGCATCCGAACAAGAGCTTGCCTGCAAGACGGGAGGGCTGCTCCTGCTCTGCACTCCGCACTCAATGACAATGCTGCGAATGTTGTCTGCCTCGTTAATGACCGTATATATCCCGCAGTCTTCCGAAAACAGCTTGATCCGCACCTCGTCCTGCGACAGAACCCTATATATCGACTCAAAAGGCGCCTTTGAGCACATTTTCTTCGAATAATACTCTTCCTCCGAAAAAGAGTTCTTTATATCCTCAAAGATCTCTACCAACTCTGTCTTCGCATCCTCATTTTTCTCGACGGAAGGAGATTCCATAGTTGCCTCAGTCATTTCATTCGGGGGCTTTTTGATATAGTCGAGCACCATCTTCTTGGAGAACCTGATCAGCTTGTACAGAGACGTCGATCCAAGCGCCTTAAACGGCCTAAAGTCCAGCTTTTGCCTCAGCTTGGATATCCTTCTCTTATTTATCATCAGATGCTCAGTTACTACATATTGGTAGATATAAAGAACCTCATCGACTATCCTGAAAACAATAAACTCCGGATTCTTTGGATCGTTTCTTTGGAAAACCAGGCTGTTCTTCACAACAATTCTTACAAACTCGTATCTCTCCCCCTCAAACACAAGCTCAACCAAGGACGAGTCGGGAGTGAGTAAGCTCTTCATCCAAAGCCCCCGGAATCTCAGGATCACGTCAGAAAAGATTGTCCACCCATACAGCTGATTCATAATCTTACTCTCCTGTAGTGTCAGGCCCCTGAAAAGCCTATTCTTTCCCATAAAATGTGAGACCTTGAGGGATGACCTGGGAATGGGGAAGTGTGTACAAAGTATCCTTTCTCTTCCATTGATGAGATATCCAGTATTTCTGTACACTACATCCCCATCAACCTCCACAATCTTGTAGTCCATCGAGGAGTAAAGAAGAATGCTCTCCACTATTTGCGGAATCTGCACACTGTGGTTTTCTAGGGTTACCTTCTCAATCTTGTGCACCACATCCTTAATCGGAGGAACAATAAATGGAAGATACTGCCCGCTCCATAGCGGATAGACCATAGTCCTCGACACCAGATGTCTTATGTATCTCTCTATGAAGTTGGAGATGGACTTTCTGAAGTAAAGCCTTCCTATCTCCCTGGATATCCCAGACTCCACGGTGATAGAAAGGGCTGGCTTGGACAGAAAGCAGTATTCATATCTTGTATCATAGTCTTTGGATGGGATTCTGACAAGAACATCTCCTTTCACCCCATTGACAAGTATAGTGGTCTTGAGAGTTATCCTCTTCGGAAGCTCCAGACTTAGAGAAATCTGGGCTCCTCCCTTGTATCTGATCCCCACTAGGACCTGAAGTCTTTCGAAAACTTTCTGCGAAAACGTCATTCTGCTTGCTTCTTTATCCTGTGAAGTAAAGCAAGACTTGAGGAAATTCGGAGATACCGTCGATGCACGCTTTCCTCTGCTACCTGCATCCATTTCTGCTTCTATGCTGACATCCCCCGCCTCTTCGGGCAAGGGACTCTCATCAGAGGCAATTGCACAACCATCCTCCTCCCCAAATGCTTCGTCTCCAAGCTCCAGGCTTTTCTTGATCTCATCCTCAAGAAGGAGCAGCTTTTCTTCTTCATTGTCTATGCACTTATGGTCTTCCTCGGAAATGATCCTGCGTATGTCGTCGTCCGAAACCACTTGAATGCTCTCTACATATGGTGCCTCCTTGCCTAAAGCCACTTCAACAACGTCAATGCTTTTGAAGTACTTGCCAATCCCCGAGGCTTCGAATCTCTTCAGTATCAGGGACTTGATCCTGCCTTCGATGGCATATGACCTCGAAATCTCAAAGTAGAGCCTCTGGAGAACAGCATTGACCCAGTGGGTGTCTTTACACCTGTGCATGCTCCTAATCACAGTCCTCATCTGCTCGTCATTAATCTCAACTCCTTTGCTCCTGTTGCTTATTCTCAGCATCTTCTTCTTGTTAACCTCAACAACAGCTCTTGGAGATAGACAGTAAACCACTGGGAAGGACAGGAGCCCTATTATAAACCCAACCACGAATCCAAGCATTTAGGGGCTCCCTTCTTTTCTCTATACCTTCCGGGCATGATTTCTAGGGATATGATATCACCCATAAACAAATCAGCCTATGCCCGTGAGGATCGTAACCTACAGCTCTTCAATAGATCTGCCCCCTACTATGTTCATCAGAGGCACACTGCTCCAGAATACACAGATGAAGCTTTCATACACACACATTCACTTTACAGGCGCTGTAAAGCCCATTCCTGTCTGTGACATACTTGCGGTTGAAGGCAACATGGTATCGATAGATGCCTTAGAAGAAATGAAGAAAGTCTATCACAAGACAATCCTGTGGAGCAAGGATGTGGTAAGTACTGCGATATGGTTCGTGGAAAACTTTGACGTGAGCCTAGACAAAAGCTACGTCGTAATAAGTAATAGCAACACAACCATCGAAGAGAGAGATATCAGTGGACCTGTATCAGAAGGAGCACTCCTGGACCCAAAGATAGAATATAAAAAGAGCATCGGAGAAGACTATCTGGATCGCAAGTTTAACAGTCTAGAAGAGAAAAAGGCCATAGAAAGCATATTTAGTAGACTCCGCCTGGCAAAAAATCAGTAGAGTTTGCCAAAATGCAAAAAATAGCTCACAGATACTTTGAAAACGTAAAGGAAACGTCCGTGCTAGAGTCTTCCTTGTCCTTTCTAAGCTTCTTGCTTAAATATTCCTTTCCTAGCAGATCCTCCACATTGAAGTTCTTCTTAGCCTTGGACTCATTCTCTTCACTATTCCCCCCGAGGCGGGATGAGTATTCATTCCTCAAGTTTTTGTTGGCAAGCCCAGGGTCCATCTCATCAAGGACCCCTAGAGCCGCCCTGGGCTCGAAATGGTCTTCCTCATATCCGCGATCCTCCTCGCGACTCGCTCTTTTCATGGCCTTAATCACATCTTCATCCACAATCGACGAGTGGTCAACCGCATTCACAACCTTTTCGATGTTCTTCCGGACCATTCCCATGAAAGCATTGCTGTCTCCTTTTACAAACTCATCCAGGCTTTCAGAGAACCCAAGCCTGCTCAAGACTCCAAACTCGACGTTTCCAAGAATCTTCCTTAATATTTGAGATATCTCAACCCTTTCTGCCATCGGTTGAGTTTCAACCTCCTCTCTTCTTCGGGTCTTTCTGGATATAGTCAGCATATCGCTTGGGTTGGCCACTAGCCCCTTGAACTGCGCGCTGAATCTGTGCTTGTCCAGTACTTCATCTCCGCAGAGCTCGATCTTAAGCTTAACCAACGGAATGCGGGTCTTCTCCTCAAGCTGATAACCTTTACATACGGGACCTGCTCCGCATGCTTCGTTGGAATCTCCTCTGCATTTGAATCTTTTTGTGTCAACATCTATGGCTGTAATTTCCTTGTTAAAAAGGCTCTCTTTCTTCCTTCCCAGATCAATCATTCCCCTGATCTTATTCTCGACCTTTTCCTCAACATTATCCCTTTCTTCGATCCTCAGGGTATCTAGCAGAAGTGGTCTTACACTTCTCAGCTTGACGTGTTCTAGGGTGCACTCCTCCCCAATCCTTAAGATATATGCATATTTGTCGTGCCTTTCGCCTTCGCATAGCGATGTTCTGACCGTAGACCCAGGCTGGAGTATCAGGCAGTCTCCCTTGACCACCATGCTTTCATGCTCATGTCCATACACAATAAGGTCAAAAAACCCCTCTACAAGATCCGAGGAGAAGTGCTCCTTCTCTCTCGGAATCCTGTTTTGGTGCAATATAAGAACATTGTACCACGAGTCATAATCTTCTGGCCTATGGAACACAATCCTTCCCTCACAAAACATCCTATACAACCTTCTGTCCTTGATGTGCCCCAACCCGTATATGGCGACCCTGTATTCCTTTTCCAGCAGCAGGGGATAGACATCTATTCTGTCTATCAAATTGTACTTTCCTATGTAATTGACAAGCCCGGCGCTTTGTAGAATGTCAATCGGAGACACCATGCTTATCCCACTTGGATCATCATGGTTCCCATGAATAGATACCACGGGAATCGAGATTCCGATGTTTTGGTCGTGGAAATTCAGAGCAAGATTCGATCTAAGCCCGGATCTTTCGTTTCCAATGCAGTATCTTCTGAAAAGCCCTATGGTCCTGTTTAAGCAGCTCCTGGAGGGCCTATTTTCGTGGAACAGGTCTCCTCCTTGCAAAACTAGGTCAACCCTTTCTCTTTGTGCAATGCCTAGGATCTCCTCAAAAGTGTCGTAGCTGTCATCAAGCAGAACAGGATCAGACTCTCTGTATCCCAGATGGTTGTCTGATGTTATCAGGATCTTCATTCCTGGGTGAGGAAACAAACCAGAATTTTTGCTCCGTCACGGGTAAAAGAGAAGGTGTTTAATGCTCATTTACACTGGCCTCCTCGCCGGCCTTAAGTTGGTCTTCAGTTCTTCTGTTTCCGCTGCTGTCCGCCGTAAGCTTCCTAATGATCTTCTCCATCATGTCTTTGTCATACTTGAAATACATTCCTGTGGAAGGGTTGTGCCACCAACTCTGGTATGATCCGTCCGTCATGTCAGTCCAATATTACATCCTCCTTTACATTCATAAACCCAGGCACAGTACCCCCCCTCTTCTCAACAAGTCTTTTGAGCTTGGGGAGTATTTCCCTGTCCTCTCGACATATCATTGACAGAGCCATTCCCTTTCTTTGCCTTCCAGTTCTCCCGCACCTATGTACATAGCCATCAACGGCCCGGGGAAGATCATAGTTTACTACCAGATCCACATCCTTTATATCAATGCCTCTTCCCCCTAAATCGGTAGCTATCAAGACTGCTCTTTCTCCCTCTAATGCTTCGATGACAGCCTTCCTCTCCTGCATGGTCCTTCTTGAGTGAAGTACTAGCAACTGCCTGAACCTCTTGTGAAGATTTTCACACGTCCTGATGCTGTTGCAGAACACAATTATTTTTTTTACTTCTAAGCCATTCCTATCCACACCCATGTTCTTTGCGAGCCAGCCCTCACAAGAAACTAGAATCTCCCCAAGAACCTGCATCTTTTCTTTCTTCTCAACGTACATAAAGAATTCCTCCACATCTCGGCCAACAGAAACGTTTCCAACCAAAATCCTTGTCCCCCCAGACCATTCAAAAGGCGTTGCAGAAAAAAAGCTGGCGACCTCTGGCTTCATCCTTTCTAGTATAAAAGTCACGTCGCTCCTGATGTCGTGCTGCATCAGTCTATCGGCCTCATCGACAACAACATATTCGAAGCCTCCAATGCTCTTTAATTCCAGAAGCTCTCTCAGCCTTCCGGGCGTGGAAATGGCCACATCAAATGGCCTTGAAACCTGGAGACGTTGCGACTCTATGCTTACCTCCCCCGTTATTTCCACAATCCTAAGGAGGCCTTCCGAAAACTTTCTGAATACTTGACCTACCTGTGAAACTAGCTCCCTTGTGGGAACAATGACCAGTAGTCTTTTGTCTCCGCTTTCAAGAAGATGGATGTGTGGCAGTACGTAGGAAAGGGTCTTCCCGCTTCCGGTCTCGGAAATAACATCAACGCCCTCTCCTGCCAGGATATACGGAATCACGAACCTCTGGACGTCTGTCGGATGCGGAGGAAGTAACCCCTTGTTGAACGAGGAAGGCCATTCCGTCAGAGGTTCTTTGCTGCCATTCGAAACAATCCTAGGAGACCGCCAAGGCCTTGGGGTATCGACAGTACAGGCCATCTGCTTCCTACTCTTAGTCTTTTCGAGAATCTTGTTTTTCAAACTCCTGAGCACCAAAGGATTCCTCATTGGGGATGACACAAAAGACAAATATTCCTGGATTAGTTTAATCATTTGGACATATCAAGCTTCTTGAGTACCTCTGATATTCTTCCATCCTCAGCAGGATATGATATATAGTCGCGGGCTATGTCGAACAGCACAGGTATGAATGGGGTCTTTATAGTGGGCCTTCTAGGTCTAAGAGAATCCTCTAAATATCTTATCACCACACTCCTAGGATATTTCCTCGGAACATAGGAGAAATCCTCTCTTACTTTTAGAATTCGGGATTCCAGCATCTTGAACGACAAGGGAACGCTGAATGTATCTATTGAGCCATCCCACTCCAGGCACTTCATGAACATGGCAATCCGTGAATAGTAGGACTTCAACTCCTCTGCATCCTTTACTGCTTGTTCGACATAGCCAGACTCAACAAGATTCTCACCCAGAATCGCCTTCAATCTTCTAAGAGCCTCCAGAAGCCTCTCCGCCTTCTTGTCAATGCATATAACCCTGGTGGGCTTGGACTCAATGAGAGAAAGGAGTTGTGCCCTTCTCCTCTCCACCTTTAGTATGCCTTTCGCAATGTCTGCGTCGTATCCATCATCCAGGGGTGCCTTTCCCTCCAGGAACTCGTTCCTTTCAGCCTCGCTATTGAATCCAACCGATATGTCATTCCACATGTGCCTAACCCTTAGGGAAGAAACATCGAAGTTGGATGAGGGAGACTCAAGTAGTGCATCAATCTGATTTACAAATGTTTTACATCCCGCCAAGCGCCCCCGGAGTCCTACAAGGGCATTGGTATCGATTGGTTTTTTCATGGCGTTTTCAAGAATGCCCTTTGTAAGGCAGCTGTACATAGCTCCAAACTCCGATCCGTCCCTTCTAAGTATCCGAAGGTTACTCTTCAAAAAGCCTGTGGAGTTGAAGATAAGAAACTTCGATAGATTCGATTCCAGTTTGTACAGGTCCCTGCCCTCCCCAGAACCCAGACCCCTCATCTGGACCTTAAGATAGTTCTTGTACCTTCCATAGTCCCCTTCCGAAAACCTATTCCTGTTCCTCATCACTTCAATCATCCTGAAGGTTTCCATGGGAGAGATTTTTTTTCTGTTTTTATCTGAGGGCAGCCTTATCCAAGATATGCAAGGACTGCAAGTAGAGTATATCATATCATACGGCCGAAATCCATTTACTTCCTTATGCTCTCCACCCTTCGGTTCAGCATCTCAATAAGGATCATTATCTCATCGTGGCTGAAGTTTCTACATATGAGGCTGAAGACTGACCCAACAGACCTTTCCTCTGTGTATATGAACGAACTTATATATGTAGACGCAAAAATCGCAATCAGCACCTGGCAGTCCATCCTGTCTGCTATTCCTCCATGCCCAGAAATGGCTTCTCCAAAGTCCTTCTTCTTGTAGGCCCTCTTCAGTGCACTTGCAAGAAATCCGCTGAACGGCGCCACGAAGGAGGCTACAAAGATGAACGGAATGATGTGGATGTATATACTTTGGACCCTGACGTTCGCTCCAAAGACTGTGAACTTCATGAACTTTTGGAACTGCTCAGAGTCTGCATCCCTTAGAAATCCACTGTTTACATGCAGATGCCCTAATGCAAACCCGACGGCCGTTGTGAAGATAAATGCTCCTATGAACCCTTCAAGTGTTTTCTTTGGGCTCAGCCGGTATAGAGGTCTTTTTCCAATGGACTTCCCCACTACATATGCTGAAATGTCATTGGATATCACAAGCAAGGCAGGGAATACAAACCAGAACCTTCCCTTGTTAAGATTGAATATAGCACACTTTGCCGCTATTGCCATCGTATATGTAGATAGATGGATAAGGGCAAACAGCCCCAGCTGCGGCTTCAGCCTCCCCTTTCTAAGTGACGCAACAAAGCACATAAATGCGGCCACATAGCTATAAAAGCATACGAAGGACAGCCTTCGGAGGAAGCACTTTGACACTCTCGAAAAGTACATCATCATTATGGAGGGAAAAACCAGGTACGAGTATATTGGAACTGCAAGTCCCAGGATGATTGATGTTCTCAGGTGAAATGGCCTTCCGTCCGATTTTCTTGTAATTCCTATTATCTCTCTTATGATGGATATTGTAAGAAAGATTATCAGTCCAAAGGAGTATATCTTGTCGTTCACTGATATCCAGCAGAAGCCAGAGATCATAACAATGGATAGGACTAATCTCCTGAAGAAGTTGGTCTTTGTGATCCCTGCTGCCTTGTTTTGTGTCGTCTCATAGCGTACTTTTCCGTTTGGAGTGATTTCGCCTCTTCTTCTGAGGGTTTTTGAGCAACTGTATGTGCCTGGGCTTTCCTCGGAATCCTTTCTCTCCTCGGCCATATTTGGGTTGAGGATGTTTGAGGATTGATTTGTTTATTCATCTCATCCTTTACGATTGTAAAGAAATGCCATTCTTGAAGCATGAAAGGCCACACATATATGGGAGACCTTGCATTCACTCCGATGCCTAGAAAATGTTGAGGAGGCCTTTAAGATGGCTGCTTCAAGGCCGGAGAGCCTTAGGAAAAGAGATGGATGCCTCCAGACAGCCTCCACATTGCCACTATCTGGGTAGAGGCGGGCCACACCCTTGAAAACTTATATTTAATATCCAAAAGCTTCGCCTCCCTTCCTAGGATCCGACACAGCATGAATAACCTTATTTCCGCCAACCTTCCTGGAGAGAATCCCCTGGACGGAGGTGAAAACAGTGTTTTGGAGTGATCTCTCTACCCTGTGCCCCGTGCTGGTGAGGTACTTTTCAAGATCTTTCGGTATGTTGTACTCCACAAATGTTATGTCTGGAAACAATTGGTTGTGGATTCTTGTCTCTGTTATCGCCTCCCAGAGGTTCTCCCCAGCCGACAAGTGGAATATTGTGGACATAATGGACGTAGGGATTCTTATCCCGCCGGCCGCGCCCAAGGCAAGGAGCTCATCTTCCTTGAGGAGCACAACTGGAGCTATCGACGAAAACGGTCTTTTGCCTCCCTCTACGGCATTTGCATGCTTTTCCTGCGCACTGTTTGGATATGGAATGTAGAAGTCGCTCATCGTGTTGTTGAATATTATTCCTGTCCTGGGATCCATGAATTTTGCTCCAAATTCAAGATTCACTGTGCTTGTAAGAAGCACAACCATGTCGTCTTTATCTATGGCATTAATGTGTGTTGTTCCATGGTCCTCCACCCCTTTTCTTTTCATTCCATACTCTTTTGTATCCAAAACCCTTCCCAGGTTTATTTTGTGGTAGGCTTCCTCTGCGGCGTCCTTTGAAACTGTCTCATAAACTATCTCTTCCCACCCAGGAAGAAATGCCGGGTCTGCCAGCTCTCCCCTCCCGGCCATGGCGAACTTGAAGACCTCAATGAGCAGGTGAATGTGGTTGAAGCCTCCGCTTTTCAGGCTATCTGCCTTCAGTTTCCTCAGATCATACTTTTCAAATATATTCAAGGCCTTCAGCACTAGCAATCCGCTTGTCGGAAGGCCTGTGGTGTAGACCTTGTAATCCCGATACCTTCCTTCTAACACGTCTCTGTAGACCGCCCTGTACTCCTCGAGGTCTTTCTTATCCAGAATTCCTCCCCTTTCTCTAACCGCCTTGACAACCAGGTCTGCAAGGTGCCCCATATAAAAGCTCTCTGGATGGTCCATTATGATCTCCAGTGTCCTGGCATAGTTTTCGCGCACAACCGTCTCGCCTTCTCTGAGGAGCTCGCCGTTTCTTGTGTATATCTCTCTCAGCCCCGGATCGCTTATTATGTAGTCCTTGAGCTTGTTGATTCTCTTTACAAGCTGGTTGCTAGCAGGAAATCCTCTGGAAACTTCTATGTTCTCAGGGAATAGGTCTCTCCATGGAAGTCTTCCGTACTTTTTGTGTGCCTCATATAGCCCGTATATCTCTCCCGGAACTCCAATGCTTAGTGCACCCGTCCCTCCAGCCTCGCTGAGTTTGTCTGCCGAGAGGTTTTTCGGAGCAACCTCTCTGAAGTCTATCATATCGAATGCATTGCTTGTCCCGGGGCCCTTTATCAGCATGAATCCCCCACCTCCAATTCCAGATGAAAAGGAGTTTATTATGCCGACGCAGATCGCAGATGCAATTGCAGCATCCATTGCATTTCCTCCCTCCACCAGCTTCTTCACACCAATTCTCGAGCATAGCGGAACCTCTGTACTACAGGCTCCGTTGGAGTACACCTCAAGGGCTCCAGGCCCTGGATTTCTGCTGGGATCTCCCTTAAGTACTGGAGCTAACAGGAATCCTAGTAGTGAAGCACACAGCTTCAGCCGGCCTTGCATTGTTTTCTGGAGGCCAGAGCAATCATTTATCAAAATAACCTGAAACAAGAGAGGGTACATTGGTGATCGCAAGTGCATGCATGTGCGTCCGAAATAACCCTTAATTTTGTGCCCTACTTCGTCCTGAGTCCAATGCCGAGAATTCCAGTCAACCCGCCAAAGGAATTTGAGAAGGTAAGGGGGTTTCTGGAAAAGATGGAGGCTGAGATGCGGCAGGCAGAGAATGCACCTCTTGCTCCAAGTCCTCCAGAAAACTACTGGCCCATATTCCAGCTTCATCACCAGAGATCCAGATATATATACAATCTTAAGAAAAGAGGCGAGATCAGCACAAAACTGTATGGGTATCTTTCGTCCAATCGGTTTGTCGATCACGAGCTGGCTTGTTATTGGGACAGAGTGGGATATGAAACCCTATGCTGTCTCAGATGTATTCAGCCTATCGATAGCAAGCATGGAAATGTATGCATATGCAGAGTGCCGCAAAGAAACATTGATGTTAGCCAGGCTCTGAAATGCGACAACTGCGGGTGCAGAGGATGTTCCGGGTACTGACTGAATGATATGGATTTCCGACGCAGGAAAGGGCATGAAATAAAACATTGTTTCACAAGGTGGATACATATTTTTCCCCAGGGCAAATAAAAAGGCCTTGATGCTTGTAAACAGGACCTTAGAGTACAAGAAGTTTGCAAGAAGAAGGGACACTAGGTTCACCCCGCTTTCTACTGCGAACGTGAGGGCATCCTTGAGTGATGTGAGGCGGAGCATCTCCAGGTTGGGCATCACCCAAGAAAAACATACCATGCCTTCGTTCTCATCGAAAAGAAAGAAAAAAGACGAAATTGACGAGATCAAGAAGTGCATAAGTGACCAGATTCTTCATGCAGAGAAGAGCATTGGCGAGGCTTTGAAGAATTTGAGTTCAAAGGTTCTCACGGAATGCATGCACGGATACTTCTTTGGACAGCTGAAAGCAGCAATTCGTGACTATAGAGGGCTGCAGCAGAAGTTTCTGAAGAACATAGACACGCATGAAGAGGCGGAGTGTGAGGATGAAGAGAATGAGAGCAACACAATGCTTCTTGAAAATGTAAAGGACTTGAGAAAGTCGATCTATGACCTTACCTCTGTCCTTCTCGATATGAAGATGGCTGTTGGGCAGCAATCGCTCCAAATAGATAGACTGGACTTTTATCTCGACTCTATAAACTTTTATCTTGAAGGAGCCAACAACGAGCTGGAAAAGATACCCGCCTCCCGTCGGAGAGTGAAGGATAAGGTCATGTACTCCATGTTACTTCTTTCCATTGTGCTTGTTCTTATGTCTATGATAAAGATCACCAGGAGCAAGTAAGAAATACCGGGCCAAGAAAATATTTTGGCAGATTCCGGGGCTGGAGAAATGAAAAGAGCAAAGACTGCGAAAGAGGGTGGATGGCCAGGAATTACGTTCTACACCGCGCTTTCCAAAAGCTCTGTGGACTATGAGACGTTTAGGAAGTGTGCGGAGAGGAGAATAGAGATGCTGAGGTGTGAGGAGGGGGACGGCATCATTTCTAAATGCCTTAGTACAAGCATAGAAGAAGATATTCTCTCCCACTTCTTCTGCAGGGTGGTGTGTTCCCAAGATGCATGGAATGCTGTCTGGTTTGTGAATGCAGAGGTGAATCTGCTCCGACTGCGAATATCTAAGAATCCGGGTGGTGCAAGAGCGTTTTTTCTGAGTGAGGTACTGCCCCACATGGATGGGGCAAGGACCCAAGACGGCGTCCTGGTGCTAGGAATGAGAAGTAGATACAACCCAGATGTCGTTGCTAGTGCAGCGTCTTCAGAGGTCCTTGTTCACTTCACGAAGGTCATTGACCTGATTGGAAAAAGGGCGGTTGTGCCTGAAGGAGGATACCTCAGGCTGAATGACGAGGGCATTGGATCGCTACTTGTCAGCGAATTTAGAAGATATCTGAGCAATAGGATGGATGAGCTAGTGGAGATTTCTTCTAACGAGCCCGATGAAAGAATGAGAGTCCTTTCCACAAGCTTGCTGGCGAATCCAACAGGATACGAGAGAGGTACTAACTTTTCGTTGGAGAGTTCGGAGAGATACTTTCCACCATGCATGCAGGACATAATGGAAAGGCTGAGAAAGAATAAGCATCTCAAGTACAATGACAGGCAGACGCTATGTCTTTTCCTTAAGGACTGTGGGATGAGTGTTGAGGATGGGATAGCATTTTTCCGAGGTTCGTTCAAGGCTCCCCGGGAGGTTTTCGACAAGGAGTACCTGTATTCCATTAGACACAACTATGGCCTTGAGGGAAAGAGGGCAAACTACTCCTGCTTTAGTTGCTCAAAGATAGCAAACATGACGAATGAGGAGAGAAGGAGCAGCTGTCCCTTTGTTGGGGACCCGGAGCATATAAGAGAGCGAATTAAGGATGTGGGGGCCGACATTGAGGATATTATGGGGGAAGGCCCATTTAATGGAAAGTGCACCAGGCTTCTCGAAAAGCTAACGTGCAGGAAGCAATCGAGGCTGGTTGCAACACCTGTTAGATACTATCTCGAGTGCAAGGATCCTGAGAGAAATGGTGGGGAAATTTGAGTGTAGATGTATTCAAGACATGTTAGGAAGAAGCCCTGGCGAATGAACGAAAAATCCCGATTGAACCTTATTCTCAAGTGCATTGCCTATACCAAAGAGCCCAAGATTCTCATCCTCATAAATCTGCTAGAGATAGCATGGAAGGCAGCCTGTATAGTGCATTCAGATAAGTTCTCTTTTTTTGTTGTCAACAATGAGACCATAGATACCATAAAGGGCGAGGACTCTGCGGAGTTTGCTCAGGAAATTACAAGGGCTCTGTCCGAGACGCGCAACAAGCTTGAATGCCTTGAGAGGCAGATATGTGGATGGTATATAGATGCACATAGGCTGGCTGAGGACGAGCTTGGAGAGGAGGCTATGATGGAGTTCTATCAGTATGTCGGGAGGGAGTTTAAGAAGATGTTTTCACAGTCGTATCATGCCAATGAGCCGTCTAGGGATGACAAGAGTGTCTGGGGAGAAAAGCTTTTTCGCACCATTGATGCATGTAATGCAAAGGAGGCAAACCAGAACCAAAAGATCGACAAATGGATAAGGAAGTTCAAGGAAGAGTTTCTCGGCTCGGAGTATGTCAGGTTCATAAGTAGAAACAAAATCGCCTACACAAACTACGCCTTTGAGAAGCACAAGAAAGTGATCAGGAGGATCCTTATGGAGGGCGAGTATAAGGGACATCTCTTTAATTTCCGCGCTCTGCCCCGGTGCTCTAGCTTAATACTGCGTCTTATTAGCTAGAGATTTGAATATATGCTTTGTTGTTATTGCCGCTAAATATTTTCCGTATCTCCCTCTCTTTCCAAAGAAAGGGCTTGAATTCTTCCTGTGGATGTGACCCACGGTGTGCTTTGATGAGCAGCAAGATTTCCTCTTTAAAGCACAAGTACTTAAGAAAGCTCGAAAGGTTTCCGTTTGAGTCGAAAGAGGAGGCCACTAGGGTAGGGGTGGGGGGTTGCACAGTAGGCTATACGAGAGGTCTTGTTCCATTAGAAACGCCATTTTCAATGAGGTCGGTCCGGGGCAGAAAGGAGATAGTGGTGCCTGACGCGCCTATCCAGGAAGAGTATTTGTCGTCGTCCTCATCTGGAGAGGACACAGACTCCGAGGGGTTTGAAGGAGATCTGCATCTAGTGATTGATCTTTTCGTGAAAGGGAAGGAGATTATCCGTGAAGCTCCACTCACCATCGTTAGGGGCAGGAAGTATGGTCTTGTGGGAAGGAATGGGATAGGAAAGACCACGCTCCTGAAGGCCATCAGAAAGAGGAGGTTTGGAATTCCAAGAGGAATGAGGATCTACATGATCAAGCAGGACCTGATTGTTGATGAGACTGTGGAGGACTTTGCAGGGGCTGAAGCTGGGAGAATACTGAACGGGCTGGGGTTCACCAAGGACATGGCGGTCAAGAACATGAGGGACTTAAGCGGAGGGTGGAGAATGCGTGCCCATCTGGCAAAGGCAATAAACGCAGATCCGGATTTGTTACTTCTGGATGAGCCCACGAATTACCTAGACATCAATGCGCTGAGTTGGCTTGAGGGGAAGATAAAAGAGCTCAAGACAGTAATCATTGTATCCCACGACAGGAACTTTCTCAACAACACCACGGAGATGATACTTCATCTGAATGATCTGAAAATCGATGTATACAGAGGGAACTACGAGAGCTTTGTGAAGCAAAGAAAAGAGAAGACGGCTTCAGCAAGAAGAGAATATGAAAGCCAACTCCTGGTCAGAGAGCACATGCAGTCTTTTATCGACAGATTCAGATACAATGCAAAAAGAGCCTCTCTTGTGCAAAGCAAGATAAAGATGCTTGCAAAGATGCCGACGCTTGTTGCTCCCAAGCAGGATCCCGTTATTAAGTTCACTTTTTCCTCCACACCTGCCCAAGGGGCACTGATAGAGTTTGTCAACGTTGTATTTTCCTATGGATGTGGAAAAGTGCTTGGGGGCCTGAGCATGAAAATCAACTCTGATTCCCGGATAGTGGTGGTGGGGGCCAACGGACAGGGAAAGAGCACATTTCTCAAGCTTCTGGCTGGAAAGCTTGAGGCAACGGAGGGCAGTATCATAAGAGCCCCATCCCTTAGGGTTGGATACTTTGCCCAGCATCACATAGACCACTTGAGAGTCAATGAAAATGTGCTCGACTTTATGATGAAGTCGTATACCCAGGAGGAAGCCAGGCGTGCTCTTGCATCATTTGGACTGAGTGTCGACAATCAATGCATAGGAACCCTTTCTGGAGGGCAAAAGAGCAGGCTAGGATTTGCAATCATCAACGGATTGAGCCCAAATCTCTTAGTTCTGGACGAACCTACAAACCACCTTGACATGGAGTCCATTGATGCATTGGCGGAGGCGCTTGGAAGGTTTAACGGGGCTGTTGTTTGCGTCAGCCATGATCTGAGCTTTATCAGCTCGGCTTTTAGGGAAATATATATATGCGAGGATGGTTCCATCAGGAGATTCTATGGAGACATCCTTGAGTACAAGAAAGGCCTGGGTGTTTAGATTAAAGACTATCTCCAACTTGTTTACTTAGAAGCTTATTGAATTCCATCTTTCCTAAGCTCACTTTCGTGAGACATGCTCTCAGGTACCACCCACCCCTTCTCGTGTGGAAACTCATTTCTAAGGTGTCTTGGGGTAAGGAAGGATTCGAGCTGCTGCTTTATCTCCTCAAACTTCTTTCTGTTGTTCATCTATTAGGTAGAGTCCTCGGCTATGTCTTATCCTTTGATTATGTGCATGCGGTCCTATTGAATTCCTTTGTGAATAGAACGTGTCCAACGTTTGATTTGGCTCCGACCAATCAGAGCACCTGGCACACACTCTCTATTGGACCTTATGAAGCACCGTGCTGCAATAGCATGGCAGACATTCCCTTCCCATACCTCCTTTGTTTTTAAAATGAAAAGAATGGAACCCTGAAATGATCGGGCAACTAGTTAATGCCTCTGTAGCAATGCTAGTTCTCTACAATACTCTTCAGGCATTCAAGGCATGCAGAGAAGATAGGAGACTTTATAAAAGATACAATAAGTATTTCATGGTCATTGCAGTGTTTCTTGTACTAGACAACTTGTTTTCGTTCGTACTCGACTTTATCCCTTTCTACCAGCTGTTTAAGCTGATGGTGGTTGCATGGATGTCTATACCTGCGTGCACTGGAGCGGTATTTGTTTACAAATTCTACATCCTGGGATTCATGGACAAGTACCAGGGTGATCTTGAAGAGATGGTTGAAAAGGCGAGGTCTGCGGTGTTCAAGTACTTCAATGAATGCTACAAAAAGGCGCAGAAGAACTACCAGAAGCACAAGAATGGCGAGGCAGAATGTGAATCTCTTGGAATAAGAAGCGAGGGGGAGGCCAGGGCCTCTCTAGATGATTCGAACATGGAAGATGTTTCTGATTCTGGATTTTCCACCATTGACTCGACTGTTGTCAATGGAGAGAAGCAGAGCTCTGCCTTTGATTCCAAGCTGGAAAGCAAATCTGCTGCCGATGCTCAGGAGTAAATAAAAGCTCCCTTGTGAACTATCTTTCTGAGTGTAGCTCTGAAGAAAATTTTTAGCACATCTAGTCCGATTTTGTTCCCCTTGATAATGGGAGCAATTGAAAGTGCAGCCCGGGCAGCTTTCAAGGTTTTTGTTAACGGGATCAAGAAAGTCAGACGTAAGGCTGGGAAGCTGGTATTCAGCTCCAAAGATGAAAGGAGGCCCTCCATCAATCCTAACAGAAAAGAAAGAGAGGCAGGTTTCTCTGTGGAGTCGAAGGTTCTGAACTCGGAGGAACTCCTCCCGGGTTACGAGGCTCCCATGAGCGAGAGACCCTTCAAAGGCCCCGTATTCATTGAGATGGGGCAGGATCCAGCCTCAATAAATGCTAAGCCCAGGAAGATAGGAAACGATATCTTGTTCCTGTACGACATTGACGATACTCTCTACCATCCATCAAACAACCTCCAAGAGATGGAAAGAAAGTTCCTTGTGGAGAAATTTCTCTCTCTCAAGGAAGGGTCTACCCCGGAGATGTTTGAGGAGCAGCTAAACGTAGCGCTCCTTTATTCAGCTCTCTTCTACAAGTATGGGAACCTTTCTCTTGAAGAATATTGGGAGATGATCTCCGAGTTCGATTACCTCCAGTATCTTTCTCCAGACATGGACCTGAGGAACTTTCTTCTTTCCATGAAGAATGTTAGGAAATGCTGCTTCACAAACGGTCCTCGGGACAGAGCCGAAAACATTCTCACGAAGATAGGAATCTTGGACTGCTTCGAGGTTGTCGTCTGTATAGGAAAGTATGACAAGACCTTTTGCTGCAAGCCACTGAGCGAGTCTTATGAATTCGTGACAAAAGTTCTTGGGATAGAGTCTCCTGGGAACGTTTACTTCTTTGACGATTCAGAGAACAATATCATCAAGGCGAGGGAGATAGGATGGAATGGATGGCTAATTACAAGAGACTGTAACATTCTTGATGTCTCATCCCGTCTGTTCCAGGCAATTTGCAATGATGCCTCTAGCCCTCATTTCCAAGAGGTGCCACCAGACATCTCCAGCAAGATGGCTTTGAGTTGAGGTTTTCCAGCTCATGAATGTTCCCATCTCCAAAGAAAACCCATTTTCAAATAAACGGATACTGGTACTATTCTAGCTCCGTGGCCAAGGGCATGCATCTCATTATCTTCTGAGATAGGAGCTGTTGAAGTCAGTATGTGCTTCTTATTCTGTTTCAGTTCTCATTGGCACACAGTGCAGCGATGATGGAGCTGTAACAGAATAAGACTTACTCAGAAAATATTTTTCTCCGTACCCACAGAAGCGCCTCTTGAGTTGGTGAAGTATGAGATGGACAGCTTAATGGAAACCCCATACACCAACATTATCATGCTTTCAGCTCTACGAGTTGTTTTGCCTACCTGACACCGTCACCTCACCATTGCAGATGTGTCTTTTCCTTCGAGAGGAAAGAGCTTTTGGCTCTATTCCAGGAGGACCGGATGTTCGATTTGAAATGACCACTATTAAGTTAAGCTTAATCGCAATATATGTCGATTTATTGCCCAAATTAAATCCAATACGACATCTAACATAGATGATAATACCCCATGAAAGAACTTATCGATGAAATCGAGGCCTTCCAAGCAGATATAAAGAAGGATCTGGGGCTTGACGATGCTCTTCTAACTAACCAGGCAATAATCGACTTCATTGGCAACTGGGACTACTTCTTAAAGATAAAGAACGGAGACGTAGGAAAGGAAAACAACCTGAGGACATTTAGAAGCTCCATGGAGAAGGTGAACATCAAGAATCCTGAAGGAGAAGTGTATGCCTTGGCAGAAAAGCTGAAGAGAGCATATCACCAGAACGAAATAAACTAATGGCTTTGTATCTAGCATCCGTTGAGTTGGTTAAGAAAGTCTGCAGGTAATACTACCAACAAGGTTTTCTCCCCGTCGGGATCCTTGTGGCATCAGTGATAATCAAGTGTGAGGTGTCAGAGCTAGGGGCTCAGTCTTCCCGAGTAATCTTCTTCGACTTAACCTGGTCCCAGTCGGTGCTCAGAACAGTTCCTTCGGACTCGTAGAAGGACTTCTCCATTGCCCTGCGGACATCGTCTCCAGATCTTTGATAGATCTTACTGAACAGATCCATCACAGAGGGGTTTTCCTCGTCTCCAGAGTCCTCCACCATGGTTTCTTTGCCGTCGTCCTGGGGCTTATCGGCCGGTCTTCCGTTGATCCCTCCCCATCTCACCATCTCAACCTTTCTGAGATGGACTTCTACTCTTGACCTGGACTCGATAAGTCTGATGTCTGGATAGACATCTTTGTAGAGAGAGATGGTTATGTCATTCCATAGCCTTAGCCTTCTGGGGCCCTCAAGCACAGGACTTATCTGGATGTCGCCCACAGGAGGCCTGTATATGAATATTATTGCAGTGTCCTTTGTTTCTGCAAAGTCGTATGCCATTTCCATCTGTCCTTTGTTTACCCAACAAAAATTTTGGTAAAATAGTTGTAACTTATTCCAGTGGAACCCAGAAATTGTACCGATGTATTATGCAATGAGGACTATCAAAGATCCTACCGCTGTGGTTTCAGCTGCAAAGATCGAGCATAGGAGGTATCCATGTGTTGCCATAACCAGAGGTGCAACTGTTGAGATCTACAATCTGGGCATGAAGCTAGTGGATGTCATACACCCCAATGGATATGTGACACTCATCGTTCCTGTGCCATTCAGAAATGCTAAGAGATTCCTGATGGTCTGCAGTGAAGGTGAGTATGTTATCATGAGTGAGAACAGGCCCGTTGTATGGGGAAAGATGCCCACCGCCTCGCTCTACACCAGATGCGTCAGGTCCTCGAGGACCCTCGTATTTATCGCTGAAAATAGCACTATTGCAGTAGCGAGCCTGAATCATGATGGACTAGTCTTTGGAGATGACATAAATGATTTTGGGTACTACAGGATCCTTGATTGCTTTTCGAGCAAGGGAGATGTTGCCTTTTTACTGGAGGACATTTCTGGAGACGTCTTCTACTCTAGATACCTGGTAGCATCTGGTAAGCCCAGGATGGTTCTAAAGGAAAAAGCTCTCCTTAGAAGGGGACTGGTGTCTGCAAGGCCCATGGGGGACGGACTATTTCTCATAGGAGGGGGAAAGCTGTACTACTATGCCAAAGGCAGGTTCATACTCGAGAGCGAATTTGCAAACCCTGGAGTTAAGAACAGCTTACTAACGGACAGAGGCGTTTTGCTTTCGATGGAGGATGGTGAGCTTATACGGGTGTCCCTGGAGAGGAGTGTTTCTGCAGATCCCAAGGCCCAGAAGGGGGAGGATGTTCCCTGTGAAGAGCTGTCTCTCAAGATCGAGGTCCTGGGCAACCTTGGGTCTTGGCTCACTGTGCTGCTCCACCTCGAAGATGAGTTGTATTATGGAGGGTCATTTTCCGGTGATTCCTACTACTTGAAGATAGAGAAGGAGCTGAAGATTCTGCGAACCTTTGAAAACAATCCACATCCTAGATCCCTATCGTATTTTGGCGCCTCTTTCAAGTATATTGCAAGAAATGCTATCAAGAAAATTACATATGCAATCGATCTTTTAGCAGAGTCCAGATACAACCTTCCAAGGGCCGTACGAAGGTTCGGGATGGCCGGCAGCATTCTTATTGTGTCATATCCAGACGAGGGAAAGGTGTTTACAGGAGCGATGGACGATGAAAGGTGCTTTGATGAAATCATGAACATCCACATCGACAATCACTGCTACTTCAATACCAAAAACCATGTGTTTTGCCTCAGAGACGGAGATGTCTTAAACTTAGAGATAGGGGGCATTGTGCTGTCCTCCTACGACAAGGACCTGTGCATTGTATTTACTAGAGACAGGCTTCTCAAAGCAATATGCCTGGAAACAATGGCATGTGTCAGATCCTTAGAATGTCCCTACGAGGTAAGTCTTCTTCACCTCAGTAGCCATCTGTTTATATCAACGTACTACGATGAGTTCATCATTATGGACCGGTTTCTACGGGTCATGCACAAGAGAAGGCAGAAAACCTTGAAGTCGGCATCTGTTGTGGACAACAGGCTTTTTTTTAGTGGCATGGATGGAGTGGGGTATGAAGCTGTCTATGAGGGAGAGTCGGAAATGGGCGTCGAGAGCATCATGTCTGTGCTAGAGGAGATTGCGAAGGAGGATAGATGGAAGCTGCTTGTCCTTAGGCCCTCATTCTCTTCTGATTGCATGATTGAGGCCATGGTCCCTGTTGGAAGGTACATCATGGGAATTGGGAGGTCTACCATATTTGTGGACCTCCAGGACTTCACATGCCACAGATGCTCTTTGGAGGGCATATCCCATGCTTTTGTTACAGACCAGCTGTATGTTTCTGTAGGGAAGTCGATCCACAGATGCCACTTTGGGTCTATCTCTAAGGTCAAGATCTCCACAGAGGATAGACTGCAGGAGGCAAGCTCCAGGAATGAATATGTGCTGAAGTTTTCTATCGCGAGTCACGGACGGGAGATTACTGGATTGGTCAATCCGATCCTTAGCGTTGACGATGACGCTGTTGTGAACTCGTATCTCACGCTAAAGGTGAGGAGATATGTATACAACTTCTTTCTCCAGGATGAAATGGTGATGGATGCAAGATTCCTAACAAAACACTACTTTGTTGTTGTGAGCAATCTTTCCAAGGAGAGCAGTTTCTCAACGCTCGCCATGTTCTCTACAAGAGGCAACTGCATCAAGCTAGTGTACGAAGTCACAGGCAAGGGCATTGCATATGCGCTGGATTCTTCCGGAGACTATCTAGTGACACACAGAGGTCCGAGCATATATGTATATAAAAGACAAGCACAAGTCCTCGTGGAGCTGTGTGCGATGAAGATAGATTTCATTCCATACAGAATAGTAATGCATGGAGATAAGATTGCTTGTTCCTGCATTTATAGGTCCTTTGGGGTCTTTACATTTAATCAAGAAACCAACCACTTGTCCTTGGCCTTTCTCTCCAGAAGCAGAGAGCAGGTAGAGTCCATGGTATTCGCCCTGGGAAGGCTTATTGTTTCCACCACGGACAGGAAGATTCTGCTCTTAGATGAGAATTATAGCATCGAGATTTTTTTTCCTGGGGATGAGGTGACAAGTATGTGTCCGGGCTCTCTGTCACTGTGCCGATCAGATTCCGTCTATTTCACAACAAGAAACGGCAGCCTTGGGATACTAACACGCCTTGACCTCAGCAGTGGAGACACCGACCTCCTGCTAGAGCTAGAAAAACGCGCTGGAGAGCTGGTTCCATTTCCCAGAAACAGGGCATGCAAGGTCATAAACATCGATACGATAAACAACATGAGCGACAGCGATTTGGAGGATTTTATTGCTACTTCGAAGTATGATAGAAATAGACTGATTGCGATACTGAACAAGGTCAACGACCTGCACTAGAAACAAACATACCGGCTTCACCATGACTAACCACATCCACTACGACGCTTAACAACCCCCTATGGGCCACACAGCCACATAGAGTAGAGCCTACCGGAAGTCCTTGGTGACTCTTGCTGTTTGCAGCGCCTCTATGATGTTTTCCTTGGTTATGACAAGCGAATCTGCATCGAAGTTCTGCTTCAAGCACAATGTTGCTGCATCCCTGATTAAACCTGCTATTTCTGCACCGCTAAATCCCTCTAATTCCAGCTCTTCAAAATCAAAAGGCTCTATTGGGACGCCTTCAGCACATTTCCTAAATATGTCGATGCATCCTTTCCTGGATGGTAGCGGGACCCTGAGGATCTTATCGAATCTTCCAGGCCGCAGTATGGCCTTGTCAATGCTCTCAATCCTATTGGTAGCTCCGATTACATACACATCCCCCCTGTCCTCAAGCCCGTCCAAGAGTGTCAATATCTGGTTAACTATGCGGCCGGTGAACTCATTTCCGCTCCTTTCTCCACACAGCGAATCTATCTCGTCAAAAAACAGGACGCATGGCTGCAGCTGCTTGGCCTTGTCAAACAGCTTTCTTATCTCTTTCTCGGAATCCCCGACATATTTGCTTATGAGCTCCGGTCCCTTGATGCTCAGGAAGTTACAGTGACTCATGTTCGACACGGCCCTGACAAGCAGCGTCTTTCCACATCCAGGAGGTCCATAGAGGAGGATCCCAGAAGGCCTTGTGATTCCGAGCTTGTGGAATTTCTCTGGAAACCTTGACGGAAAAACAATGCTCATATTGAGCTCATCCTTGACATCCTCGAGAGATCCAATGCTGTCGAATGTGATATCCGTTCCCTTCCACCGTATCTCCCTCAGTGCAGCCTCAAAGTCAGCCATCCTAACAACCGGGGACCCGTCCATCACAGCCTTTGTGGAGGCGATCTTCAGAGTTCTCTTCAAGTCTCTTGCAACAAATCCAGGCATCAGCTTCGCAAGGTCTGTCCAGTCAACCCCCTGGCACTTCATTTTCTCGGCGAGCCGGGCCAGGATATCCCTCCTCTCGTCCGTGGTGGGTATTTTCACCAGCAACGAGTTGTCAAACTTATTGAGACTCTCATGTATGAGTGCAGGATTCCGAGCAGTGGAGATCACAATCGATTTTCCCTTATGATTCTCAAGATACTCTGAAAGCTGCGAGATCACTTTCCTGTCGTCCTCTCCCAGGGCATCGATGTCCTCAATAAGTATGATCGATCTTTCAAGCAGAGAAGATTTCCTGAACGACTCCCGAAGCTCCTTGTCGGAGTCCATGCATGCTTTGACAATGGGAAGCTTATATTCCTGGCTAATGCAGTTCACAAGAAATGTCTTCCCAACCCCAGAAACACCATGCAGCAGGAGAGTGCTGGGAGGATGGATCCCAATCTCGTCATACGATGCTTTGGCAAACAGTGGGTTGTACACAAGCTCCGTTATCTTCGGTAGCAAGTACTTTATCCCCCCTACACTGTGGAGCGGTGGATACTCGCGGTCTATCTTCAAACTCTCGTTCAGATGCGAGGTAATATACTTATCTCTAAGAGCAGATCCGGCATCTCTCACTAGATTTTTTCTGTTCATCCAGGGGATATCCGTAGCTTACACAATTTCGGCTTGTCAAGATTGAAGCAAAGGGCCACAAGAGTTTATTGTACCGAGCTAATACTCGACATGCTTAAGATCCCCCTGGACCAGGAAGGTGTATTTCGGAAGCCTCGGCTGGGTACACAGTATCTTGAATGCACCTGCATTGATGACAACCACATATCCAAGAACGGGAGACCCGGCAACATCCTCTATCTCCCTAGCCTCGGAAATCCCCAGAACAGAATTCTCAGCAACCTCCACGTCTGAGGCCTCCACACACCCAACCTTCCTTGTACTTCCCAACGGCAGGGCACTAACAGGTGCAACATACATCTCTCCTATCCTTACAACCCTCCACTTGTACTTCACGTTGAATGTAAAGGGTGTGTACTCGTTATTGACACCCTTGAAGTACCTAGATATGCTTCTTCCGACCTCTTTCTCTTCAACAAAACCGCTCCTGTTTATCATCAGCTTCTCTGCTATCACATCCAATGAGTGGTACAGTCTTTCGTCTCCCACAACAACAACTCTATCAACCTCAAATCTCTTTATTAATGTGTTATAAAACGCAGACGTGCCTTCGGGACAGAGTATCAGGTGAAGGTCCTCTACATTCTTGGCCTTTATGGCTTCTTGCAGCTTGGTTGTCTGGAGGTCATATAGTTCCATGTTTGTTATCTCTGTGGATCCGTAGTAGAAGGACAGGGGATTCTTTAGCCGGAGCCCTTCAATGCAGTCTATTAAGGCATCCACATGTATTGTGCTCAGGGCGCCAGGAAATATGTTTCCCTTCGACGGATCCACCTCTGTGAACAGCACCTTCTTGCCCAGGCGCACAAAGAAGTTGATTAGCGTGAAGCAAAACGTAGATCTCCCGTTTCCCACTACCATGAATGTCTTAAGCTTGCTGTAGTCAAATCCCCTCTTGGAAAAGAAGCTGAGGATGTTGAATATCAATGGGACATTCGTTGTGTCGGACACATACTGGAGATCGCAGGCACCCTCGACCTTGAGTTTGCACCCAGAAAACGTGAATATGAATGTCTTTGTGTTCCTGAATGCATACCACCTTTCGTTAAGAAGCTCCTGCCCCTTGATCTCTGCGAGGCCCGACACAACCATCACTTTCAGTTTCTGAGTCTCGTTGACTTCAATTCTGAACTCCTGGTTTGGCTGAAGCCGTATCTCCATCACAGGGTGCATAGGATTTTTTTAATAAGCAAACAGAAAATATAAGGGCTGCCACTTTAATTGTAGGCCTCTCTGACCATGTCCAAGTCCTTCTCCATCTCTTCTCTTATGGGCCTGATAATCTCATCAATAAGTCGTGCTGCATTACTCTTGAGGTCTCCGGGATGGATCGATTTCCTGACAAACTCCTCCTCAAACTCCTGGTACTTTTCAAAGGCCATCTCCCTTCCATCTCTATCGGTAATTCTAACACACTCTCCCTTGAGCTGAAGGATGGGGAAGACAATGTGGGAAAAAATCATCATCAGGCCGTTGTCCTTGTTTCCCTCCTCGCAGAAGCATTTTCTTATCTTTCTCCAGATGGCTTCCTTGCTGTCCATAAGGTCAATCTTCGAAAGGTCGTCGGAGCTGCTCATCTTGTCTGAGTTCAGCCCCGGAAGCATTGGGCTCATCAAGTGTATTCTCTTCTCGTAGTTGAGAAGCGGGAGGTATTTCCTAGCATATGTAAATATCTTTCTCTGGTCGACTCCTCCGAACTGTGCATCCACAGACAGATGCACCTCGTCAAGAGCCTGCATCGACGGATACACCAACGAGCTTACCATCGGGTTTTCCACCTGCCTGACAACCTCTGCTCCGGCTTTTTTTGCGTCGTGCTTGGATGTTATGGATAGAATCCGATACAGGTCCATTGTGTATCTCTCAGACTTTTGGAACTCGCTGCCCTTGACAAACTGGATTCTATCGAGGTCGACGCACAGCATCTTCAGCGCAGACTTGATTAGCTTCTCGTAGTATGCGCATCTATGCTGGACTTTCTCGATGGGTGCCTTGAGATTATCCAGAAACCCGTGGATATCTGCAAATAAAATCTTTACGTTGCATCCAGCATCCACAAAGTCCTTTATCTTCATCAGGGGGACCAGATATGCTATATGAGGCTTTCCGGTTATTGCAGTCCCCCAGTAGACATTTAGCTCTCTTTCAGAAACAATCCTCTTCAGTTCCTCCTCACCCAGTATCTCCTGGAGGTTTCTTGTAATTAGATACAGCTTCTGCTCGACGCTCATCCCGATGGGCTCTATGGAATAGAATTTCATGTGATAGAGCTGGGGTGGCATGGAAATCGATTCCAAGAAGAAGGAGTACTTGGATCACCTGCGCAAAGGCCTTGAGGCGGTCATAGAGGTCCAGGAGAGGGAGAATCCAACAACCAGGTTCAAGTGCAAGCTTGTACTGGTGGAGAACAGAGTGGGTTCCTATGTGTATTCACTAAGGGTTGTATCGATGTCGAGGAAGGCCAAGATATCGAAGGTTCTGGGTGAAGAGAAAAAGATCTTTGTACAAACACCCAATGGGCCCTTGAAGTGTACGGTTATAGGGATAGAGGGGGATGTGGTCAGGGTCATCGGGCACAGGAGGCTCAAGGGGTATGATTTTGAGGCTGTCCTTGATCTGAAGCACAACAACAGGATTCTGTTGGATAATCTTGAGCGATTTGTGGAGTCTCGAAGGGACTTCAGCGATGCAATAGTAGAGACATGGAGAATGAACGAGGAGTGGGGATGTCCCGAAAAGGATGTGTGGGATGTAAAGAAGAGCATAGCAGCTGAGACGTCAGACTTGAATTTCTATGACTCCTCACTGAATTCAAGCCAAAGGAGTGCAGTGGAGATGCTAGGATGCAGGACTCCCTACAAAATACTTGGGCCGCCTGGGACTGGGAAAACAAGAACCGTGGTGGAGATAATATCCCAGCTCCTGGCGGCCAACAGCAGTGTTCTTGTGTGCGGGCCTAGTAATGTGTCTGTCGACAACATCATAGAAAGGTTTCTGAGGAGCAGATACTTTTTGTGCAACCAGCCCTCCTTCTACCGCCTTGGAAGCTCTACAAAAGGTCTCAGCCACCTGAACCTGGACTTTTTGGCAGAGTCGCATACAAAGTTTATGAAGGAAGAGAAGGGCGACAGGAGCTTCCGCAGGGACCTGAGGGAGAGGCAGAGAAAGTTTGTTGAGGAGAAGCAAGCCAACTCTCCTGTTGTGTTTGCCACACTTTTTTCTTCTCTCAAGGAAAAAAGAAAGTTTGACTGGGTTTTAGTTGACGAGGCGTGCCAGGCATCAGAAGCAGAATCCTTTCTTGCGGTTGTCAAGGGGAGGGCATTCATTCTAGTTGGGGACCCTATGCAGCTATGCCCAGAAACCTCGTCCTTATACGAATCACTTGCTCTCCCAACCATGCTTCTAAATGAGCAGTACAGAATGCCTTCAGATCTTTTGAGGTTTAGCAACGAGGTGTTCTATAGAGGTCAGGTCAAAAGTGCCACAAGGGAATGCACGCCCGTCTTTGGCAAAAGCTTTATTTTGTTTGTTGATACCCAGTACTTCGAGCTCTACGAGAGCGGAGGCGTTTCAAAGTCGAATATTGGCGAAGCTGAGATAGTCCGAAGCATTGTTGGGATCCTCAAGGAAGAGCAGGTCGGCATCATAGCACCATACACATCCCAGGTCCTGCTTCTGCGTGAGATGGTGGATGTGGAGGTCTCCACCGTGGACGGATTCCAAGGGCAGGAAAGAGACTACATAATACTAACGCTGGTGAGGTGCAACGATAGGGATGACTTCGGCTTCTTAGACAACGGAAAGAGGCTTAATGTTGCATTGACCCGGTGCAGAAAAGGACTTGTGATTGTTGGAGACTCCAGAACATTCAGGAGGTCGGAGACTTTCCGAAAGCTATTCAGGTTCCTAGGGGACAACTCCTTGTGCCTGGACCCCGAGACATTGAAGGACTTCGTAGCAGCAAAAAGATAACCACCGGCGTATCCAACTGCTCAATGATACAGAAAAAAACAGTAGGCTTTTAATGGATAAATCCGTATCTCAAGCTCATGGGACTTTTACAGATGTGATCTCTATGGGCCTCCTGCATACTGGGCAATTGCTTCTTGCTCCGGTTGCAGCCCACTTCACAATGCACCTGGTGTGGAACTTGTTCTTGCACGTTGCACACCGACTACTTGGAAACGACGAGTCGTGCATATCTATGACAAAGTAACATATGGGGCATTCCCTATGCCCCGAGATCTTCTCGTCAATGTTGATCTTCCACAAGCCCACAAGCTCCATGAACTTCGAGCACTTCTTGATCATCTCATTAATCCTGAGGTTTAAAAGGCTTTTTCTCCCGATCTCTGAGGTAAAGATTGGCTTTTTGTATGGATATCCTGATGGGATGGCTATCAGAGCTGTGAATAAGGTGCCTCCTGCCGTATAGGTGATTCCGATATCAAATCCATTGGTGAGCTTCCGGGCCTTAACCGTGACATCTGCTATGGTCCTGGACGCCTCCTTTAGTATGAACGAGTCCAAAGACACTTCCATCTTGGGAATGCTGGAAAAGATATTGGGAAACACAAATGCAAACAGAGACCTCTGCTCAAGGCCAGCATCCTGAAGAAACACCCTCCACTCTTCCTTTTCTCCAACCATCTTCTCGAAGAAGGCGTTAATGCTGATGTTCCTGACAATCAGCAAGGAGTTCAGGAGAAGGTCCCAAAACAAAACTGTAGACCCAAGGAAACACCCTCGGAGGAGAACATAGACCTCACTATCGACAGAGTTCATGTCCAGCCTTGATATGCTGTACATGTTGAGTACCGAATCAGCTATGTGGCCATAGATGCTCCGCAGTAACGGAAGGTATATAGTGTGTCTCTTTCTATAAAACTCCTTCCTCGACAGTAGATGGTCTCTTTCTATCATCCGGACCACACCCTTCATATCAAGACTTCTAAGGTTTCTGTAATTAGATTTGGCGAGCAACATTAGGAGATTATCGTCTGCTGACTCCCTATCTGCATTTGGAAACTCTGGGCATCCTTCGAATGGCAGCTCTACGAAATTAATGGGAAACCCTTTTCTGCATGCTAACTCCAAGGTACTGACTGCACGGCTTAACGCCTCGTTGCTGAGATAGGAGAAGTCAACAGATGCAACGAACTGCGGCGGAACATCGTGCTTTCTAAGGACATAATCGATTGCACGCGGTCCTCCGCGTTCCAGAAGCTGCTCAAGCTTCCTGTCACTGCATCTTCTCGATGGAAGACCCAGATCAGAAAATACCTTCTCGACAAAGTGGTGGTTTTCCCCCAGATAAATGCCTCTCCATCTGTCGATGGTGGACTTGCTCTGGAGAACGTTCTTACCCAGCATGTTCCTCCCATCCTCGATTCCTCTGCTTCTCAATTCTCGGTCCAGAGATTCGTCTTCGTCGTCACACATGGCGTCCAGGAGAAGCAGCAGGAATGCCTCTCCAGGACCCTTATATATTTTCATATATAAATCCCTGAGTTTCAGCAGCACTTGGCTTTGCTCTCTGATCCCGACATTCTTGTAGAAGCACTCATCCAGGTCATAAAACGGATTCGTGTAACTGGTGCTGATTGGAACCTCCAGCGAAGGCAGCTGAAGAACAACTGCATTGTATAGCATGTCTCTGTTGATTACGTTCTTTTCAACCATGCTCCTTATAAACCCACTGTCCAAATACTCTTCCAGGATCCTGCTGTAGTCAATGACCCTAGGCCGATCTACTCTGTCTCCGAGCCTGTAGTAGAAGTCAAGGTCCAGTGCTGGAGGAGTATCTGAAGACAAGTAGATCTCCATTAGGGATCTATCATCATATGAAAACACCAGTGACCTTAGAAGGTCCAGATCCTTGCATGCATCCATGAACAACTTGAGACTGTCCTTGCATACGGTCTTTCTTATCTTTTCCTCTTCCACATCCTCAGGATACTTCAACACTAATGGAAGAAGATCGCAAGTGAACGATGTATTCAGCATATATTCCTTTGGGAATACATTCACAGAATGCTGGAACACTTCCTCTACTTCCTCTCTAGTGAACTCCTGCGGGTTGAGCTCTACGTTTAAGATGTCTCCTCTGATGATCTTCCTCTTCCCTTGGACCCCATCGAGCGAGGATAGGAGTGCCTTGAGGATGTCTTCATTTCCATCAGGACCAATCGAAGAGCATTTGTGGAAGTGGTTGTCCTCTTGCCCGTTATCCAGATGCCCCATGTTTCTGGAGGAGTCCTTGACATCCATCTTGGCAACTAGCTTGCTAATGTCCTCATCCCCTTGGAAATGGATGTTTATCACGTTCTTAACCAGCCTGTTAACTACATCAAAGTCGACATTCTCGTTCAGGAATTGGAAGTCGCCAAGAAACTCGAGAATACATAATCCTTCAAGAGACCCATTCTTCAGATACTCCTTCAGATACTCCTCCTTGTTCTTGACCTTGGAAAAGACCACTCTGAGTGAGTCGGGGCTTCTTACAGGTATGTCATCGCAGACATTCAGCCTCTCCACCACCCTAGAAAGTATGTCGCCATCAAGATATTTTCCATCGTCTCTGATACACTCTGGCACAGTGTCGGATATATCCAGAAGTAGTCTCCATTTGAGATTCGCAAGCTTGGGGCCCTTGACCGCAATAACCTTTTCATACAAGCCTTCAATCCTCCCCAACGCTTTGCATAGCTTGTAGACCTCCCTCAGCTCCCTAGGCGAATTCAGATCTAGGTACTCGATGCTCTCTGCAGCCATCCGAGAGTAGTCCTTTCTTCCTTTCTTCACCAGCAACTGAAGACATACCAATCCAAGCACTGGATCTTCTTTGAAATCCAGCATCCGCACAAACTCGTCTTCTAGCTCTCCTATGTCGACAAACTCAGCGAAAATCTTCCTCGAAACGACATATTCAGGATTCTCTATAAATCCATAAAGCCAGGCAGAGAGCACTTTTTTGAACTTCGATCTATCCTCCACAGAAGAGAGAAGCTTGTAGAGCACGTCGATCGATAGATTTTTAATCTGCAGGTTCTGAGACTTTATGGTGTCCTCCACTATCTCTAGCAGTGTGTCGATGTTTGCTTCCACATCAACAGTATCCAGTACATCCTTAAGCTCCAGGAGCCCCCTGAGCTTTGTCTTCTCGCTTCTCTTTCCAATCTTCGAAACTATTTCGTAGAGTCTAGAGTCAAACTGCAGGCCCTCCACAAATGGATTCATTCAGGGTGCTCGATCTGCAGCTTTTTGCGTAAACACGAAAGTTATGAAACGCCAGAGGGGATCCCCCGGATGAATAGTCTCTTGGCGGGGCTTCTCTTGGCCTCAGAAATCTTGTGTTTTTCGCAGGAAATAATTTCTACAAACTGCTCCAAAGGCATCATCCGATACACAACCACACATCGGTCACCACACCTTCTTGCAGTCGAATACCCCTCAAACGTGATTCCACACCTGATATCCACACCGGTCTACAGAATTATTGAGGAGAAACTGTCTACCATTGTCATCTTCCGTCTGGAAGGTAAGAGGGTACTGAATGTTCCTTATGAAAAGAACCTGTGCAGGGTCTGGGAGTGTTCGCCTTACATCGATGAGGGTGTTGTGATCAAGGCCGTAGGGGCCATTGGGAACAGGGTTGTTTGGAAGGACAGTGTTGTTGATTGGGTTGTGATTCCAGACTTTACTATGCAGTTTGTGGCGTTCAACAGCTTCGGAATACTTCTTACACTCATAATGAAGGTGTACTGTGACCCGGAGAATGTTTTTCAGAGGACGGGAGGCCCCACGGATTAAAGTGTCTTTGTTCGACTTGCTGAGACATTGTTTTGAACGGATTTTTGTGGCCCTGGACAACCCTTGGCAATGGAGGAGCTTCTGGAAAGGGAAAGAAAGGCCAGAGTCAAGAATGACTATGAAATGCTTTTGAAGATATTTGAGGAGCTGATGAGCCTGTGCAAGTCTGACGAGGAGCTTGGGTGTCTTGTCCGGGTCCTTACGATAAAGAGGGGCCAAAACAGAGCGGCGATCAAGTGGATGATCTGGCAGCTGTTTGAGAGGAAGAAGGGAGAGGAGGGCTTTGTAGAGTTTTTCTCTCAGATCTTGAAGGATGTCATTGAGGGGAGGATCTTTCTTGAGGATGAAAGGATATACATAACAGAGGAGCTCAAGAGGAGATATGAGCTGTGCGGGGATGTGAGGAGTGCGCTGGATGTGGTCATAAACGTCCCTGTTGAGACATTTACCATGGTCAAGGAGAGTGTTGTGGTCAACTACCAGCTTGAGCAGCTAAGGCTCTGCGTGAGCAACCTTGACTGGATAAGGGCCGACATAACCATGAAGAAGATCAGGAAGAAGTATTTTGAAGAGAATGACGCCGCCGAAGAGAAGATCAAGTTTTACGAGCTTGTTGTTCAACTCCACCTTGGGCAAAGGAAGTATTTCAATGCATCTGATGTTTACCATTCCCTTAGCACTCTTGGGGAGAATGCCACGGGGTATGTTGTCCTGAGCTCATTCTTCTGTATTTTAACAACGTGTGAGACCGAGATGGAAAACATTGTGTGCAAGAAGTCTGGCATGTTGAAGATGCTCAGTGAGGACAAGAACAACGACGAGGTTGTCAGGTCTGTTGTGAATAGATTTCTATCCAGAGTGGTTGTAGACAGGTCGACGGCTGATGAGATCCTGCAGGCCTTTTCCTTTGCTGTGGATGTCTCTGTTTACTTGGATGACCTTCTCTCTGCAATCGACGAGCATAACTTCAGGATTATTGAGAGGTTCTACTCTTCGATCAGTGTCCAGGAGATTTCTATGGTGATGCAGAGCCCTGCAGAGGATATCATCAAGAAGATTTCGTTCATGGTCAACAACGGATTTGCACAATGTAAGATTAACCAGAAGACGGGGATTATTGAGTTTGAAAAGAGGAAGTGGAACGATAATGTTGAGGATGTAATGGGCAAGCTGATCAAGTGCAACCATCTTATACATAAGGAGCGGCTGCGCCTCTCCATTAAAAAAAGTTGATCTGGTATGCTTTTATTTTTCAAAGTGCAGGTCCTCGCCAAGCTCTCTAACTCTAGGCTTTATCATTTTCTGCAGTGATCTGATCAGCCGAAAGATCTCCTCGTTGCTGCATCCCTTGCAAAGGCCCGTGACAACTTCTCCAAGAAAGTATCTGTATCCCGGGTCGTTTCTGTACTTCGAGTTCTGCCTCACAATTCTCCGGGCCTCTTCTACGTGGTGTTGCTTTGGCCTTGCATCGGAGCTTATAAAGACTTTGTCTAGATCCGTGATAATCATATGGGCCCAGCATAGAGAGAGGAATTTAATTAATGGCTGGAGTGCTAGTTCTTCCTTTTTTTCATTCCTATGTACCTCTTGAATATCCTCTTCTTCTCCTTCTTACTGATTCTGGATGCCCTTCGGATTCTGTTCAGCTCCTTGACAGTTTTCTTCTTCCTCTTCTTCTCCTCTCTTATGTTTCCGCCTCCTCTTGACTCCGTTGCTCCAAGGCTTGCATCAGAGTCCTCGACACTGGCCTCTCCGGTGCTCGAGAGATCCGAGTCTGTGGTGCTTCCAAACTCCCTGCTTCTACTATCTGCAGCAAAAGCAAGAAGATCCTCCTCGTTTCCGACCTCAGAGACTCTGGATGGAATGAAAGCATCCCTCCCGATATCTATATCTTTCAAATACAATGGAATGACATTTCCGCTGATTTCCTCGAATAGATCGTTTCCCTTAGCCACACTGACGCCTTTTCTGCTGAAAAAGCTATTGATATTGTTTATGTCCATTATCAGAAACCTCTGGGCATTGTCGTGGTCGATTTCCACACTCTGCCCGACATCAATTACATAAACCACACCCTCAAAGTACAGGAGATTAAACTCAGACAAGTCTGCATGCACAAGCCCTGCTTTCTTGTACATGTCCCTTATTATCTTCACACACTGTTGGTAGCAGCCCTCCAGGTCCTTTATGCTTGCATCTCGTAGCCTGGGTGCAACCTCCGAGCATCTTCCAATCTGTGTCATCACAAGAATGTTGTTCTTCAGATAGATGGGCTCGGGAGAGGGAATCCCTGCATTGTTTAGCCGCTTGAGATTCCTGACCTCCTTCTCGGCCCACACCTTGATCAGCTTGCGCGAGTTCGACGTGCAGAATCTTTGAAATCTCTTTTCACTTCTGATGTATCTTTCTCTATCTCTGAAGGACATTATAGATGTCTTGAAAATCTTCACTACCACAGGAACTATCTGCCCCTCTCTGCCTGGCTCTTCTGTGACACTGTATCTATTCTTGATAAACTTGCTGCACAGGCTTGTACTGGCTTCGCCCAGATAGACATTCGATTCCTTCCCGGTGCAAAGGCTTCCTTGAAGATTCACCAGCTTCCCCCTGGCCTGCAGTCTCTCCAGAACCTTCAGCGTCCTCTTGTCGAGGACCTTGTCGACCGTTGCTCTGTCGGACTTGTCCTTTTTTCTCTTCTCTGCCCTGGTCTCCTTCATTTTCCACGGGTAGAAACTCCGGACTTTACAACGACCCGTCGTCAATAAATTCGCATACACCTGCATGCCTCATGAAGATAAAAAGCAGGCCCAAGCTGCTGGCAAAGGTGGATGCATTAGATATAATCAACAGAAACTTGGAGAGCCACAGTGACCAGATGGAGCTTTTGGAGAAGGTGCAACTGTACTGTAAGTCTTCCATGAGCAGGGATGATGCTGCAAGAACCAAGCAAATCCTGATCGACATGGGCCTTACCGAGTTCGAGTCCATACAACTGCTTGACTTCAGCCCCAAGTCCATCGTTTGCCTCCAGCTTGTGGTAGAGGATATGGAGGAGAGGTTCACCGACGAGGATCTCTTCAGAATCCTCAATCTGTTCAACAACAAATGAATGCTTTTACTCGTATAGGCAAATCTTTCCGGCACAGTCCTTTTTCTTGGCCCTGAAAAATCCAAGGTCCACAAGGTGGTGGACCATCCCAAATCCTTCCCTAACGCTTAGAATGATGCAATCGAACATCTTGCCATTCAAATACTCATTACTCTTCCTGTCGAGTATGTGCTCCGCTAGCTTGTTTCTACATACGGCCACCAGCTCCGAGCTTCCATCCCATAGCAGCAACTTCAAGGCCTTGACCCTCTTCATCTCGGGCCTGCTGCACCCACACACGTCGTCTATCTCCTTGTGTTCAGACCCACAAGCTTTGCAAACAACCGCTTCCATTCCCACGAAAGGCGCATATCTCTTTATGTGAACCCGGATCCTGTATATCCCAGGAGAGAGGATACTCTTGATCTCAACTATGCTTTGCTTTACCATTCCGTCCACCGCCTCAATGGCTCTCTCCCTGGATGCAAGCCCCCGAAGATATCTATTCTTTTTCATCCCGAGATATCTCCCGAGAGTCGTATTCCGCCCTATTTCAGAGATGCTCCCCTTACTTGATTCCGATAAGCTTGCATACAGGCGGTAGCCCACCTCATCTCCCTTCAGATTCCTGACCCTATACCACCCCCCAATCTCGCACTTGTCGGCCTCGGTGGCAAAGCGTCCCCATGCCTTTACAGTCAGAACCATGTCCTTGGAATAGTCTTCACTGCTCCCTTGACCCTGAACATTCTGGTTTATGCTGTAGTCTACAAACCTCAGGAGAATTAGGTTACTTCTTTCTCTCTGCTTGTCTATCAGTTCCCCGTTGAAGTCAAAGTACTGGCCTTCCTCCACTTCGGATATTTCCCTCTCCTTCACAAGGCTCTTCCTCTTTTGACGGAAGAGCTCTACAAGCTGCTGGATCCTTGGACTAATCCCGCTACTCAGAGATGTGTGGGGCGTGAAGACCACCTCAACGTCGTTGCTACGATCGACCACCGCCTTGCACGTGTCATAAAGTCTTAGCCTTCCAATCCTTACAACCTCTCCAACGCAGAATCCCTCGGAGAAGATTTTTGTTGGACTGAATATCTTAACGGACAACTTTTTCATACACTCGTCAGTCACGTCCAGCGTCATCATAAAATCCCTTCCTCTGCATCTTTTCCACTCCAGCCAATCCACAACCACACCATAGATTGTGTAGTACTTGTCTCCCGTCATGTCAGAAATCTTGGTGCATTCCCTTTCGTCCTCCTCTGCCTGCATAAGGCTTTCTATTCATCAACTCAAATGCATAGCTAAGCTCATGTCCAGCACAAAAGCTTGACACGAGTCCTGAAGATCGAATGCCAATTTTTTGACAGATGACATTAATTTAAGCGCCATAGAATGATGGAAATTAAAACTTTATCAGTACCCTTTTCAGGTAATGCCAAAACCGGTTTAAGGTACCGTAAAAAGAATCAATTTAATATATCCAGGGAACTCATGGGTATATTAAATGTCTTCGTCAAAAATATTTAAGAAACCTGGAAATAGGCTTCAATGAAGAGTCTCCCGTTGCTAGGAATTCTGGCGTTTGCTGCGAACAGGCTGAGTGCGAAGCATATCTCGCATCATTATGATGTGCACATCATGGGGAACTATGTGGACAGCCTCAAGAAGGCCAATCCCCCAAGCGAAAGTAACGAGATGATTTCTAAGGCCAGGTATCTCAATAAGGTGTACTTCGACATATGCGAGCCTGCATATAGGGATGCCGGGGCAATAATGACCCAGGAAAGATTCAAGTACATTGCACTAGTTCTTAATTTCCTCTATGAGTTCTGCAGCGCTAGGGAGTATGAGCTGGCTGCTGTAACTGCCACAGTGCTACACAACACATCCTACCTGAGGATCTTCGAGGCACCCGGATCCGATAAGTATAAGCCTAGGGGAATATTCCAGATATGCACCAAAAAAAACTATGCAATTCTCGAAAGCATAGCTTTTTTCTATCACGACTATGTTGAGAACCCCGAAAGGGTTGGAACCTTTTCCATACATGTTCTTGTGGACATCACATGCTTCTGGCTCCACATGTCCTTTGCCAAGAAAAGAAGGATCGACATCTACGACGTCCTCAGCATCTGCAATCCTTCGGAATACGAGATTCTGCGGAACAAGTCGAAGTACTCCCGCGAGGAGGTTAAGAAGGCTGAAGAGAGATTCGCAAATCGAGACGAGATCTACCAGAAGATGCTTTCTATAATATACATAAATTATTATAGGGAATGAGAATCCAATAAAGGCATACGAACATTCCGAGGTATTATCGTCTCCAGGTCCTTTGTAACGGCAGAGAGTTGGATGATTTGTTTTAATAGTCATTCTCGAACTTGGGAGCTACATAAAGCTTCATGTGAGAAACCCCGTCCATGCAGAGATTGAAGAAGACAGGCTTCTTTGTCCCCAGAAATATCTTCACCTCCTTGCAGAGTGGCACAACCTTGCCAATCAGATTGACATATTTCATCGCAATCTCTTGGGTTATAAGTGTGTTGGCCTCGATCTTCAGTTCTTCCCGAGCAGGGCATTCCTCAAAGCTCATCGATGCATCTGCATGCTCGCCAGTCTGGAAGAACATCAGTGTCTTGCCCTCTGCCTGTACACCAACTACATCTCCAAACGTCCCCACAAGTTTTGGGACATACATAAACTCATCTGCAGGTATGGTCGCAGATGCATCAAAGTCAAACTCTGGAATGTTATAGGCCTCAGAGTCCGAGGTAAAGAGCTTCAGCTTAAAGCTGAGAACATTCCCCTCTCTGGTGTTCCGGATGTTCAGATTCGTCGTTGCATCATCACACTCCATCCGGAATGTCCCTCCCCCCTCGACGCTCATTCCTTTGATTATCTTGATAAGCGTCTTGAGCTGGACCCCAATCACAAGCTCCCTGTCACACCGGTACTTTGTAAACATCGTTGACGACAGAAAAATATCTGCAAAAGCTACATGTGTCACATCCATCACCTGGATGGACAGCCCCTTCTCGGTGGCCTTTATGTCTGCCGTCTCCACAATCTCGCTCAGGCTCTCTAGAATCCTTTTCATTAGTGACAAGGCGTCGGATGTCGTCGTGTCCTTGCCCTTTTCCCTTGCAACCAACTCTAGTTCGAACATTTGAGGGTAAATTTTTAACTGCCAAATCTCCTCTGGGTGGCCACGGACCCAGAAGAAAGAACATCGACTCGTGGAAGTCTCTACTCGCTCAGTATCTCGTACTCATTCTTAAACCCCCAGCTCCTTGGATACAGGTCCTTCTCCATAATGACTCTCTTGGTCCTGCACACAAGCCCGTGGTCGATAATACTCATCTCAGGACTGCTTACAAGAGCAATCCCAAGCGCAACAGCCTCGCCCTTCGTCGTCATAATCACAACCTCCGTTCCAACATCGATGTCTCTATCAAACCGGAGAACCCCTGTGATACTTAGCTTTGCACCATAGCATATTGCATTGACGCAGCTGTCCTTGATCATAATCCTTGGATACCCCACAAGAAGGCTTTCCAACGGCAGAATCACCCTTCTGATCACCGTTTCGTCCTTCGTGGTGTTGAATATATATACTGCATCTAGTAGGTCGTGCAGTGTAAAGGCATCCTTTTCCGAGATTCTGCCGCTCCTTGTTCTCCGAAGCTCCTTCATCCTAGCCCCACATCCCATCAGTATCCCTATGTGGGTACAGAGGGTTCTAACGTATGTCCCTGCCTCGCATGACACCTTGAAGAGACCCAGCCTTTTCTCCCTGTTAAACTCAAGAATATCAATACTGTAGACGTTCCTTATCCTCAGCTCTCTCTTGACTGCACACATCAGGGGCGGCCTCTGGAACAAAGACCCCACGAGTCTTTTACTTGCTTTGTGGAATCCTTCTTCATCCGGCTCCGAAAGAAACTCAATCACACACACATACTCCTTTCCCAGAGACTGCTGGCTTTTTGTCAGCCTTGTTGCTCTATCAATGCAAATGGTCAAGACTCCACTCACTTGAGGGTCCAGTGTCCCGCTGTGCCCGGTCTTTTCGCACTTCAGAATTTCCTTCACCCATGTCACAACCTCGTGCGAGCTGGGGTTCGGCGACTTGTCTACGTTGATGATTCCATACTTGATATACTCCTCAATCCTTCTCCTCAAGGGCATGCTTCCGCATCCAAGCGGCGTGTAATGCCCCGTCCTCACCACCATCCTGTCCATATTTGCCAGGAGAAGATCCCAGACCCCCTCACCATCTTCTCCTGTCCTCGCGCCAGAATATTCTGGGCTCTTAGTCATTGTAGGGCCACCTCCAGCAAGAAAAATTTACCCGCAAGGAATAAGCCACCGCTCCGCTAGAATCCGCCTGTACGCCGTAGTAAATTAAAGATTTATTCTTCAAGCATCAAAGGAGATGGGGTAGAAGACACAGAGCCCGTCTATCGAGGTTGTGACAACATAGTCGTTGTTTCCCCTGCAGAACGCCACATCCTTGTAGAACTTCTGTCCCTGGTGGACAAACAGCAGATATCCAAGATCCTCGCTTGGGTCAAGAGACATGTCCCATATGCATACCTGCTCATCGCTGCCAGAGGCGAGGATGTCAGAATCCCTCCACCTCAGGCAACTGATCGGAGTCTTGTGCCTGGTGACCTCCTCTATTGAATGGTTCCTAATATCCATTAATCGAATCGTTCCTTCATCGTCTCCAAAGGCAAGAGTATAATCCCCGTTGAAGTCCACAGCATTTATGTCGGACCCAAATCTCTTCCGGAAAACAGTGCTTCCGCTTCTGATGTCTGTGATCCCAATGCTGTGGTCGCACGACCCAGAAAAAATCATGCCGTCGTGGTGGCAGAGTCCCTCAACAGAGTCCTCATGAACACTCATAGTGCTAACCTCATTGAACTTCCAGTCGTTTGTCGACACCTCTCCGCTCCTTGTTCCAAAGACACACCCACTATTACTGAAGCAAAGCCCATACCCAAGTCCCTTGCTGATCTCTCTTTTGTAAACCTCCTCAAACTTAGAGTCATGGACCACAAGTTTGTCATCAGACAGGCAGTACACCATTTCTCCATTCACTCGGACCTTATTATAGGACTCTTTTACGTTTCTCTTTGAGATCTTCATCTTTCCAGGTGCTTTCATCCCATTGGTTGGAAACAGATCGATGCTCACCATCCCAGGTGTACCTCCCTCGGCAGGGTTGGTTCCAAGTACAACCGTAAACCCCCTAAGAATATCAATGCTCTGTGCCGGCCAGTCAAGCGAAATGTATTCCATGACATTGTATGCGTCTTCGGAAACCTCGAGATCCTCGTCATCTCCACGCGGCTCGTAGACCTCGTAATCGCTGCTTGACAGACCAGAAGCATCTTCTCCAGACTCCTCCAAGCTCTGATGTGAGACCATTCGGGGCTCGGGCCCGGGGAATTTATCTCTCCGCGGAAACACTTCTCTAGAGACAGGAGTTCAAATCCACTGTCCATTCCCTCGTCCCAACTCCAAGACAGTTCTTTTCTCTCAGAAGATCACACTGCTCCCTTATCCACGCCCGTATACACTCCATGTTGACATCCTCCCGCGCAGAGACAGAAAAACAAGAAACCTCCCTGTCCGTTATATCTAAAAGACCGAGACGAAGAATAATGTCGATGCATCCCAACGCATCCTTCCTCTCATTCTTCGTCCCAAGAACCAACATGCTTCTCTTGGTCCACGCATTTCTGTACAGCAGGGACTTCAGCTCTTCCCTTGCTCCTGTCCATTTTCCCGGACTCTCGGAGGAGTCCACACAGTACAACAGCACGTCGCACTTCCTGTAGAAATAGTCCCACCTGGCTTTCGAGACTCTTCTCCCAGGTACATCATACACAACACAGCTCATGCAGCCCTCATTGTATTCGTACACCCGTGCGCCTCTCTGTCTCCCCACATACCTCAGCCCATCTCTGAATGCCTTCATCACTATCGTGGATTTCCCGCTTCTCCCAAGCCCAAGAACAACCACTCTAAGCCTCACAACAAATATGCTGTTGCAGATATCGACAAGCTTCTTCCTGAGCTTCTTACACACCTCAAGCATGTTTCCTCATCCGTCAACCTCTTTTAAAGCCTCCCATCCCCAATTGGTTTCTATCCTAAAGACGCCCTATCTTATTAGGCATTTATACTCGTCAGTTGATCAATGGCTTCTATTCATTTCTTTCTCAAAATACTTCAATAAGTCTATTCTTCTGTACCCAGAAACAGCCACATGCCTTCTTACAATCTCCTCAATCTCCTCCCACCCCGCAAACACCTTTTGGAGGTTACTCAGAAGATCGTCGAAGTCTTGGTTGTGAGCCGTAAAAGACAGCTCCGAGTTGCAGACGAAGCATGTCTTCATGTGTGTGTAGGAGCTCACTCCACACTCTGTGCACCTAGACTCTGCACTGTACAGACTCTCAACCTCCTTCCGGAGCATTTCAGTAACCTTGCATGCATAGAATGCCCTGGAAATGGGTCTAGAGCATTCTCTGCACCTTAGAGTTGCCTCCTGGGAAACCTCGCAGCAAGGACTCAGAAAAGATATGGCTTTCTGCACCTCGGACTTTGGAACACTTTCCACCCCAAATATCTTCCCTATCTTCCCTGCATGAAATCCCTTGACTATCCCAACAACCCTGAGAAGAGGCGGAAGAATCTGGCTTGATATGTAATATCCGTAGTCAATAGCAAAGTCTTCATCTGGGTGATATGCTCTTTTGTGGATTGCCTGCCCCGGGTCACCCTTCCCTATGACATAGCAGACAACATCTCCCTGCTCAAACTTCATTCCTCTTTCCTTCAGCCTCAACGCCAGGGAAACATGCGGGAGTGCTGCACACGCGTCGTAGCTTTCTGGGGCCTTGGACAGTGTGTTGTGAATGACAAACTCCCTGGCCGGAATCCCTTCGAGATCACTGCTCACCTTTCTAAGCTCGTCGTACACAGCTTCCCTGATCTTGATGCTTCCATCGTTTAGCACCATCTTCGGCTCGCCCTCGTAGAACCTTCTGTATGTCTCTGGATCCTCGCAGTCTGCAAGCAGCAGCTCCAGCACGATTCTGCATATCTTCCTGCTGACCTCACAGAAATCCTTTCTGACCAGATCCAGCCCCTTGTACTCAATCCGGCCCTTGCCATCGTCTGTCATGTAGAGGCCTGCATATCTCTTCTTCTTGTATAGCAAAAGCTTCTTGAAGACCTTGTCAACTTCGATCTCTATCTTCTTGTATCTCGAGTTGATTGCATCTTGCAGCCTTCTCGACAGCTCCAGTGCCTTTGTGTAATTCGACTTCTTTCCGGCAAGCCCGGTGTGCACCATCACAGAATCGGTGTCTCCATAAATGATCCTCACTCCACACTCTCCCTCTGCAATTCTTTTGGCCTCCAGAAGAAGGTCTCTGCCCTTGCTGGTTATGTATGCTGCCATCGTGTAGTTACAAAACCTAGATCCCACAAACCCAAGACATCCATATATGCTGTTGGCAGTCAGCTTCAGTGCTTTTTGCCTTATGTCCAGAGCCTTGGTTTCTTCTGGTGTCCCGCCCTGCTTCAACAGGTCCTTGACTGCTTTCCTTCTTCTGACAAATCCCTCGAGAATCCGAGGAAGAAACCCTCTCTCCGAATTCTTGGCATCCTCAGTCAGCCTTACCAGCTGCTCGGAGCTCATATTCCCGGAAATGCTTCTATCGAACATCCCAATCGTCGAGAAGCACACATTAAACTCCTGGATGATTGATGGATACAGGGAATTGAAATCCAGAAGAAGAACAAGATCCTCGTAGAATCCTGTCTGCGGCGGGAGGACCAATCCTCCGCTGTACTTCACCTCTCTCCGGCTGACAGTGGGAGGAAACAGAAACCCCCTTGCATACAGCTCGTGGAGAAGGGTGTATTCAATCCGCTCGGCCCGCAGGTTTTGTAAGGTCCTGTTCAGAATGTACCCAGAAACCTCGCTCATTTCCTTGGACAGGTCCAATGCCTCCGTGGCCTGGAATATTTGAAGTATTGCCTCAGACTCGGAAATAAGTCTTCTAAGCTGATATCCCAGCCGGCTGTCAGAGGGTTCCCGACCTTTCTTCAGCTCCAGAGACACCTCGAGGTTCAGCGCTGTCGACAGCTCCTCAACCGAAAAATCGCATCCCTTTATGTTTCCGCTTGCAAAAGTAAACAAGTCACACCTCACCATCCCGGATATTTCCAACTTCCTCAGAATAAGGCTGGGCAGGTTGTGGTAAACTATGCAATCTATGCCCTCGCTTGCCATCGCTGCATTAAGATGGCTTGCCAGTGCATCCGGGGTGCTGTGGAGCACATACCCCATTCCCTCAGCCTCCGAATTCTCGCCCTGGACTGCTGACCTCACGGCCCCGCAGCGATGAGCGCCCCGTACATACAAGGAGTACTTGAGGATGCCTGCCCTGCTGAACTCTATGGCCAGTGAGCCAAGGGTTAGCTTGGGAAGCTTTGAGTTGCACACAAAGTGGACCATGCTTGGCGACTTGACAACAATCTCTTGTGAAGAAGGCCCAGAATATCCATTGACTTTGACGACACAGGGCCCCCTGAGCTTCCTTGACACGATGATGTTCTCTATGGGATTTGCAAACTCCGTTATGATTGCTTCTGAGTGATCCGAAAAGAAGCTGTCAAAAGAAACCTTCCCCTCCGGAATCATCCTGATCATGTTCGTCTTTCTGTCAAGATTGGCATAAAACACATTCTCCTTCCACAGAGTTTCAAACACGCACTTAGACCCTCTGGCACCCACAAACGCCTCGACATCCCTCTTCAGCTCTTCGTCCTTGCCCTCGGCCGCCTTTAGAAAAATTGGCGAGTGTATGTTTTCTACACGTATCCTTCCGGGCGTCGAGTTGCATACGGATGCATCCGTGGGAGGCTCCTTGGAAAAACCGGTTAACTGCTTCCCGTGGAGAACAACCGTTGAGTCGTCTATCTGCTCGACGTGCAGTATGTAAAAATACATGGGATATCCAAGGACTCCACTTTTCATGCACTTCCTTGCCATAGGCTTGATACACAAAAGTTTAATCTATCTCACCAACAGATCCAAGGCGCTGTTCATATCTTGTAGTAAATCTCCTTTGTCGACGACTCCAGAATCTTCAGGTGCCTAACATGACTGTCCTTTCCCTCCTGGTGGTTAGAGTTGATCACAACCAGGATATAAATGCATTTCCTTGCAACACTCAGCGTCAGGAGCCCCTCAGGCTCCACAAGCTCGACAGAGCTTATTTCTCTAACGTCTTCCCTGGTCAGCCCGCATCTGACCCCGATCTTTTCCGGCGTGTAGCTGTCATCCTGCGTGAAACTCAAGAACAGCTGCACAGACTGGACATACCGGACCCTGTCAAAGGATATCTGGATAGAGTGTGGAAGCACATCATCCGTGGCCCAGTACTCAGACATGTCTTTCGACAGCAGCTCTCTAAGAGAGTGCTCTCTTTTGAACGAGCTCAGCCTGATCTCCATTAAGGGATTCGCCCCAACAATTATTCTGAGATGGATGCCCTCATAAGACCTCCAATGTCCTTCTTTGCAGATCTCCCCAAGGATAACAAGAAGTGCATCAAGATCGGCAGCCCACTCGCCCTATCTCTAAGCGACTGCCTTGCGTGCAGCGGGTGTGTATCTGCAGATGAGGCTGGGGCACTTTCGGAAGATCTTTCGTTTGTCCTTGACCTGTCGCCTCAAACTTCCTTTGTTCTTTCTCCGCAGTCAAAGATAAACATCTTCAACCTTTACAGAGAGGATGGCATGGAGTACAGAGAATTCGAGGCTGTCCTGTCTTCCTTCCTTAGAAGTAAGTTTAACATACACAGGATAGTGGACACCTCCTATCTGAGAAGCAAGATCTACGAGGAAACCTATAGGGAATATATGGCCACCAACCACCTGATAGTCAGTGCATGCCCTGGAGTCGTCACGTACATTGAGAGAACTGCGCCCTATCTCATTGGATATCTGTCGAGGGTGAAGTCTCCTCAGCAGATGGCGTTTTCTCTTGTAAAGGGGAGCAGAACGGTGAGTGTGATGCCATGCCAGGACAAGAAGCTGGAGAACGGAAGAGATGGTGTTAAGTTCGACTTTATCCTGACAACGAGAGGGTTCTGTAAGGCTCTCGACTCTCTTGGGTTCAGGAGACCTGCCAGAGCGAGCGGCAAGAGCCTCTGTAGTATGGAGGAAGCAGAGACGACTCAATGGAACATCGGAACGAGCTCCGGAGGATATGCTGAGTTCATACTTGGGAAACACTGTGTTGTGGAAACAAGGGAAATCAGAAATGGCATTAAGGAGCATCTGCTGGATGACGGAAGAACAATATCTCAGATCACGGGGCTGGAGAACTCTATCAACTACTTCAAGAGCAGCAAGACCAAAGGGCCGAGACACAAAATGACAGAGATATTCCTGTGCAAGAACGGCTGCATCGGAGGGCCTGGGCAGGAAAGAGTCAACGATGTAGAGATGGACATCAGAGAATATGATCGCAATGGAAGAGAACAGCCAAGGATTTTCTACTCATCACCTGGGCTAGAAGAAAAAAGGGTGTTTAGAGAGGTAAAGGCGAAAAGAGTGGACCTCAGGGTTGATTGGTGACGGCTTGGGTGGTGCAGCTGAAGAAAGTTTATTGCTCGAGACTGCAGCTGGGGAGAATCATTCCGATTCCAAGGATGCCAACAAGGAGATTCCCCACTGCCGCAACTAGTGGAAGTGTGTCCAGGTCCTTCTCCACCGTTATCATGCTTGGGTAACTGTCGAGTACTAGCAGCACCACTATCGAGGAAACACCACAGCAGAAGAATAGCTGCTGAAAAAGAGAGTGGGATATAAGGCCCATCTTGCATGCTCCAGCTAACACTCCCATCAGGGAGACTCCAACGAGCTGTGAAATCACTGCAAATGCCCTGTACAGTCCTTTCGATCGACTAACTAGCCTTCCCGACTCGTAAAACAGATGTGAAACAAGGATGGTCATTCTGTACATGCACTCTCCGCTAGGACCGCTGGCCTCACAGAACTCCATGCTGTAGAAGACCTCTGATGCACGAAGGGAAAAAGCAAACACCACGAGGATGTAAGCAGTTGTTAGGAGGCTGTGTAAGGTGACGATCTTGACTTTATCCTGGTCAAAGAATCTGCGGGCGATTCTGGTGGATATTGGCATGAATGCAAAGGCAGAGGAGCCCATTGAGAGTGGAAAGATGAAGTTGTAGGATGCATCTATGGACCTTGCGATGGAGGGGGCAAGCATCGGGAGCAGATACAGAATCGATATCATGACTTTTTCGACTGTGCAGAGCCTCTGAAGATCCCTTTCAAAGTTGGATCTGGACGAGACGCATCTTCTCATTCCAAGAATCTCGTATGCTATCCTGCCCATCGGGAGGGGCGCTCTGAGTAATTTATTTCCGTGTACCGCACCTCTGCCGGCAGATTTCCTGTGGAAGGTGTTGCCTTTTGCTGTTATAGGAAGCGTGGATTTAGCCCCCATGGGGATTCCGGAGCTTTCTGGGCCTGCAGAGCTGTACTACGACGAGGAGCAGTCCCTGAGGTACACGCAGAACAGCCGAATAGTTTACATCCAGAAGGAGCTTACACAAAGGTGCCTTGAACTGCTTGATGCAAAGGACGGGGGATTGGTTCTAGACGTTGGGTGTGGGTCTGGGCTTAGCGGATCTGTTCTTAGCGAGAGCGGCTACCCATGGATCGGTGTTGACATAAGCATGGAAATGCTGAAGCTGGGGATGGAGAGAATGGAAGGGGCTGGGTACATAAGGATGGACATGGGGGAAGGGCTACAATTCCAACCCGGGACGTTTGATGGGGTGATTAGTGTCAGTGCAGTCCAATGGTTATTCCATTCATACTCATCTGGCGACCACCCTGTGCGCAGGATCAGGACGTTTTTTACGACTCTCTACTCTGTCTGCAAGCCTGATGCCCGGTGCGTGCTTCAGTTCTATCTGAAAAGCCAGGGCCAGATCGAGATGCTGAAGAGTGAAGCGATCAGAGCAGGATTTGGAGGCGGAGTACAGATAGACAATGAGGGGACGAGGAATGTCAAGAGCTTTCTGGTGCTTACGCTGAGCGGAGGGGCGAGGATCAAGAAAGAGAAGAAGAGGGGGACGGGACGGATAGATAGGATTCTCCGAAGAAAGGAAAAGCTGAGGCTCCGAGGGGTGTGTGTGCCCAGAGACACCAAGTATACTGGTAAGAGAAGGTCCAAGAGATAATTAAATGGTTAGACGGCATTCCTTTGCTGCCTAGAGGAGATCCAAAACACACGGGAAATTTTTTGCCCTGAAAATGGATCACGAAGAGTACTTCAAGACAAGCCACCCGGTATATACAAACATCTCTGCACAGTTCACAGGGATAGGGCATCTTGTGGTTGATGGCGGAGCTCTTATAACGAATATCAGCAAGAGATATGGGGTGAAGTACGAAAGCCTTCCGCTACACACGTATATGCACGGAGTCAAGTTTGTGCTATCGAATCTCCGGAAGGCAGGGTTTGATAACATCATGATGTTCTTCAGGGCAGAGTCTGGGCACCGAAAGGTTATCCGGGAATATCTAATGAGGAGATTTGAGTGCATGGATGTCTCAGGAGTGTATGAATACATCGAGAATGAAAGAGTTGCACTGGTTCTCGGAGGGACTGAAGAAATAGAGCTCATGTTTCTGTATGAGTGCCTTGGAATCAGCCTGTATTGTAGTGTTCTGGACCATATGGAGTTCAGGGTTCCCAGCGTCTATGGATTTGTATACCGTCCTCTAGAGCACAGGGTGGAAAGGAAGGCTGCAACAGCGACCATTTTGGAGGAGGAGAGCGATGAAGGGAGTTTGGGGGACATTGACGACGAAATCAAGAGAATCAATCCTGAGATGAGTATTGGGATAATCAGCGACCTGTTTGAGAGCAGGATTAAGCCTTTTGGGCCGTGTGAATACTCTGTGCCTGCGGGGTTGTGCAAGAAGCTCATCAGGATGTTCAGGAGTGAGACTCCTAGAAGCGAGATGAACTTTGACGGAAGATTTCTCTTTCCGGAAGGTTTGGTGGAACACGGAAAGGAATTGACGGATTACAGCGATGTTGTTGGAGACAAGCACAGGGATATTGAGAGCAGGAACGTGGGGATGGAGCTAGATCTGCTGGTGAGTGGGAAAGAGATAAGCCCGACCTCGGCAGCTGTACACATGAAGAACATAAGAAAGTCTGCACAGTCTCTGTTTGACGGGAAGCTTCTATATGCTCCGATTGTCAGGGCCAAGGGCGGGAAGGCTCCGAAGATATCGCAGAAGCAAAGGGCGATTATTGCGGAGAACGAGAGAAGAATGAAGGAGGAGAAGAAGGCAAAGGAGTCGTCCTGGCTTAAGAACTTTTTTGGAAAGTACAAGGGCCTTGACAATCAGGGAAAGAGAAACATGCTGGAGGGAGTCAAGGCTGACGGATCTGGGATTTACAGAAGAATTCTTCTTCTCAAGATTGAGTTCTATGCAGACATGTGGAATCTCGAGAAGAGATCTGAGGACTGTGATGAAGGAGTCATTGTTCCATGCTACTTGAGCTGTATTGAGTACATCCGTGAGTTTGGAAGGTTTGGGCTTGAGGACCAGGCGCCGGATGCAGAGCTTGGATTTGTGCTTCAGAATCTGATTGGATGCGGATTTGAGGCGACTGCCAAGGAGTTGATTGAGAAGCATGGGCTTAAGGGCCTGGACCTGGAGTTCTTCACGGATGACACAAGCGCACCTAGCGAGTTTGATATCTGCTTCCAGCTGAAGCACACTGGAGACAAGCTCCAAAGGAGTGTGAACTCGAAGAAGGATCCACGTGTTCTGTTCAAGCCGGACGAGTGGCAGGTGCGTCTTCTAGACCTTGTTGACCAGAACAAGAGTGCGGTGATATCTGCACCCACGAGTGCCGGAAAGACATTTATCTGCTTCTATGCAATTGAGAAGGTTCTGAGGGAAAGTGACACGGATGTGGTAATCTTCTGTCTCCCCACCAAGGCCCTTGTCAACCAGGTGTCTGCAGATATCTATGCACGGTTTACCCCGAAGGTAAACTCCAAGACCTTTCTCCAAGGAAGCCTTATGAAGGAGTTTTCGATAGCGCCCTGGAACTGCCAGGTCTTGATAGTGATTCCGTCTCTTCTGGAGTCGGTGCTAAACACGCCTCCAAAGGGATTTATCGAAAGAATTAGATACATCATCGTTGACGAGGTTCACAAGATAGGCAGCGAGGAGATGGGCATTCCGATAGAAAGGATAGTCCATCTATCTCCGTGCCCGATGCTGGTTCTGAGTGCAACGCTCGGGAACATCGAGGGATTCTATGGATGGATGAAGAAGATAGAGAGAGAAAAGGGGAGGGACTGCGAGCTGGTTTCCTATGGCGAGCGATACTGCGAGCTGAAGCCCTATGTCTACTCCCATTCGTTTTCACCGAAGATGGTGCCGATAAACAACCTGTTTGCCTACTCATACTCGCATATAAAGAGATTTGGGTTCGGAAATGACATAAGTTTTCTCCCTGAGGAGCTTCTCCATCTGTATGATTCGATATGTGCAGTTCTCCGTAAGGACCAGGAGCATCTGATCAGCAAGATAACACCTGAGAACTTCTTTAGAAGCAACATAGTGACGAAGAAGGAGGTGGGAGAGTATGGCAGGCATCTTCTGGAAACGTTCCAGGGGATGATTGAGGGCGATCTGCTGACTCAGAAGCAGGTGAAGTATGTTTACAAGCTACAAACAAAGGAAACGAGAAAAGCCTTTGAGTCTGTTGTGGACTACAGTTCGGAGTACCTCCTTGAGAACATCCTCGACCTTCTCATGGAGCTTAAGGAGCGGAACATGTTTCCATGCATAGTCTTCAACACCGACAGAGACTTTGCCAGCAAGCTTGCATTGAAGGTACACCGTCAGCTAGAGTCTATGGACATGGAGAAGAAGAAAGACAAGCTCATTGAGAAGATGAAGAAGGAGGCGAAAAGGGCACGAGACCTGGAGAAGACAAAGGAAAGCTGGATCGAGGAGTCGATTGCTGCAGAGAAGAGCTTTCAGATGAGAAATGACAAAAAGAATATCAAGTACACGTTCCTCGACCCTCTGACTAAGCTGACTGATTATGAACTCGAGGAGGAGACGAAGTTCATAAAAAACACCGACTTTGAGTTTATTGACATGCTTTACCGCGGGATGGGGGTCCACCATGCACACATGAACAGAAAGTACCGGTCTCTTGTTGAGATTCTGTTCAGGCAGAAGCATCTGCAGGTGTTGTTTGCAACAGAGACGCTAGCCCTTGGAATCAACATGCCATGCAGGACTGTTGTGTTTGCTGGAGACTCCCTGCAGCTGGATCCGATGAACTACAAGCAAATGGCAGGGAGGGCTGGAAGAAGGGGGTTTGACACCCTGGGAAATGTTGTTTTCATGGGAATACCCAGACAAAGAGTGCAGAACCTCATGGTGTCTCTTCTGCCGGATATCAAGGGGGCCTACACCTACACAAACACAAGCTTCGTTGGGTTTGACCTGAAGGACTCGCTTATCAAGAATCCCTTGCTTGAAAGTACTCTCTATAGTGGCCAGGAAGGTCTATCCCGATCTATTGAGAAGCTTTCCATATCTGGAGATGACTCCTCGCTCTATGACTTAAGCAGTGTGTATGGGTCGGAGGAAAGAAGGGCCGAGCTTGTGAACCATCAGCTTAGCCTCCTCAAGCCATACTTTCTGCCGAAGTCGTATCTTTGCGACCTTGTCATCGGAAACAGAGACTCGGACCCCGAGATTCTGTGCTTTGCCCTTCTTCTGGAGAGCAAAATCCTTCCTCTGGATCCCGACTCTCTTATGACCACATTAGCACACTTCTTCGAAACAAGACCTCTTCTGTTTGACATGGGATGCACACTTCCTCCCCTAGACCCAGCGGTCTACGCGTTCTGCGGAAAGATCAACAGCATCTCTCGGAGCTCTGTCTCCAGGTTTTATCCCCCTATCCTGAGGTCTCTGCAGAAGGAGTCGTCCACGCCTCTGCACATCGTTGACTCTTTCCTAAGTGTGGTGAATCTGGACAAGATAAAGAATTCGTATCTGCTGGACTTCTTCAGGCATGGAAGCTGGAGCAGAATTGCTGCTGAGAACCGTGTTGGGACGGGAGAGCTCTTCAAGTCGCTGAGCGTAGTCAACAGTGTCGTTCTTTCCCTCATAAAGCTACACGACACCTATGGCCTGTGCAGTGAGGACAGGTCCAAGATCGTACGCTTCCACTCTCTATTCGAGCCGAAGTTCAAGGCTATGTTTGCCTAAATTAAACACTTCCCTACCCACACACCATTTTTTGCACGACTCCTTTTATTTCTTCTAATTACCGTGTATGCTAGGCTGCTGGACGTCTGCACAATAAATAAAGGAAGGTTTTGAGACACGATGGGAAAGATCGAGAAGATATATGTGACGGTTCTTCCTATGACCACCGACGAGTATGCAGTGGGGCATCTACACACCGTTTCGTCGATGACAGAGTCGGAAAACGCCGGAGACCTGCGGGTGGAGCTGGTGGGGGCAGAGCGTACTGTTCATGAAACCCTTGGGAAGGTAAACAAGACGCATAAGATAATGTACTTGAAGCCCAGATTCCCAAGAGTGCTTCACAGCCTTATTCCGGAGGATGCATGCATAGTCGAGGAAATCTCATACAATGCCTACACCAGATACCACACGTTCTACAGGAACAGGTACTTCTCGAGCGACACGTTCAACATGGTCTTCAACACAATCAACAGGGACGGGGCAGAAATACTCGAGAATCCATTTGGATACGACCCGGAGCACATCAATCAGATAGAGAGAATCAGCCTGGACCTTCATGCAGCCCCTGTAAACCCTGCATTCGACCCCTCCGTCTATTACCACGAAGAGAGCGGCCGCGGAAGGCTGGACGAGAACTGGGTGGAGACATACAAAAGCAGAGGGATGCCGATGATGGTATCATACAAGCACCTGACTGTTGAGATAAACAACTATATGATGGGGTGGGTTTCAGCAGAGATAGAGAAGGTCATGAGGGGTGTTATAACGTCTATCCAGCAGAGGATATTCTGCACAATGGATAAATGGTATGGAAGGAATAATATAGACAGGACCCAAGAAGAGGATCAAGAGGATGGAAATTTTATTGAATGAATCACTCCTCGCCTACCTTAGCCTCTGCCTTTTTCTTGCCCTTGTCTCCGTAACGTGAGTATGGGTTATATTCAATGAGTGGCTCCTTGTCAGCCCTTACCATGAACCCGGGGACATCGACGATCTGATCCTTGATCGAAATGCACCTTCCTCCAATCAGGAGTCTTGCATGGTGCACAGACTTGGCAAGCCCGGCTGCAAACACCCTGAACTGGAGGCGCCTTTCCAGGTAGTGGTTGATTGTAAGATCAAGAACCTTGTTGAGGCCATTAACCACCTCCTGCTTGTCGCAGAGGTCGATTCCGCCGAGTATTCCATACTTCATGAGTCTCCTAAGAAGAGACCTCCCATTTATGGGGATGTCCTCCGGATTTGTCGATGTAAGGAGTATACGTGCGCGTTCCTTGTCCTTTGCAAATATCTTTTCCATGACCCAGAGTTCGTGCTTATTCTTCAGCCCATACACACCAACCAGCTGTGCCTCTCTTATCAGCCGCTCTTTTTCAAACGGATCTCTCGGGGTGCTTGCTCTCTTGCTACCCTTCTTACCTGCCATTCGGGGTGAAAATTTTTCTTCCTATTCTACCACCTGTTGGTGCTGTGTACCTCATTAACCATGCTGCAGACCGAGCGCTCGGGTCTGGAGCTGCCATGCCGCGGTGGCGTGTTCATGGCAATTGTTAAATCCAATGCCTTTCTATCCCTGATGGGAAAGAGCGCCGTTCCAAATCTAGCAAGCCTCCTGCACAAAAGGATTGTGGTGAGGATTGGTGGAGGACACACACTCAAGGGATTACTGACAGGATACGACGCATTCATGAACATAGTGTTGTCCGAGGTCACGGAGCCTAGCGGTGTGGAAGACACTGCTGTCGTGCGCGGAGAGTTTATAGAGGACGTGGTGGTTGCAGAGGAAGCCTCTTTATCCGTGGCAGGCATGTGACGCTGCCCAATCTTAGGGTTGGAGAGTCTGCCATGGCAGAATTTGGTCCACGCTGCAAATTTTTCAGATACAGAAAACAACCCTAGAAATGAGGAGCAAGGGATACAGAAGAGGAACCAGGTATCTATTTTCACAGGACCACAGGAAGCACGGAGTTGCACATGTGTCGAAGTATCTCGAAAAGTACGAGATTGGAGACATGGTGGACATTCTAGTCAATCCGGCGATGATGAAGGGGATGCCTCACAAGTACTACCATGGGAGGACGGGACGCGTGTATGATGTGAAGCCCAGGTCTCTCAACGTTGCTCTTTACAAGAGGGTTCGTGGAAAGTATGTGATCAAGAAGATCATTGTGCGTATTGAGCACGTGAGGAAGAGTAGGTGCTCAGAAGAGAGCCAAAAGAGGATTCTTATGGCTGCAGAAATGGCAAGGGATGCCGAGTCGAGAGGAGTGGTGCTTGCACCTTCCAAAAGGAAGATTGAAGGCCCGAGGAAGGCGGTGGAGGTATCCCTTGATAACAATCAGCCCATTGAGGTGGGATACGAGCCCCACGTGGTGATCTTCTAATAAAAGCATTTTATCGAGGAGTCTATCCTTGGAGCCTGCACAGGAGGGCCCATTCCTTTTGCCGTATTCAAAAGTACAGAATTTGGAATCCTTCGATGAGGGGAGAGATGCCGATGGATGTGGAACACGAGCTCGGATGGAGATGCTCGGGGAAGCAGAGGCAGGTAAGGTGCACTCATTTGTCTCCGCTTAAGAAGCGCAAGATGGAGCCATCCCATGAGGAGGAGGGCCACACACAGATGGTCAAGTATCCAAGCGATGCTCTGGGGCTTGCCACGAAAAAAGCAAGGCGGCCTTCTGTTGTAAACATCGCAAGAGTGCCTGTGGTGCTGATAGGATATCTCCACCTGCTGCTGAACTCTGTCGTAATCGGATTTATATGCTATGTTGTTGTGTATGTACTAGTGGGGCTGCAAAGAGACATAGGATACAAGATGATCAGCCGGAGGGCACAGATACAGCACCAGATAGAGGAAGCAAAGACCTCCTATAGAATCAACAAATGCGACCCTGCCACAAGAGTGCCTGCAATAGAGGAGCTGTGCAGCAAGTGGGAGTGTGTGATCAAGAATGGGTATAGGTCTGTGGGATACACTCGAATCATTGCAGAAGTTTTTGGAGATGTCATGGATGGATTTGTTAGGAAGTTTTCTGTAAGAAGCTCGCTGACGATCGGATTCTTCTTTGTTCTATTTCTCGTGTTCAGGAGAGCAGCAAAGGCTTAGCCCTGCAGATATTAAACGACGCTATGGTTAAGAAGGCTAGTGGTTCAAGAGACACATGTTTATTCCTTGCCTGGGCTACTCACAATAATATTATTGATCGGAATATGTATCAGCTTTATTGCATATCCCAGAATCCCGAGGAAGCCGATTCCAATGGCATGGCGCTTTATCGACATGGAAAGCTCTTTTCCGGATGGCCTGACACACTTCTTCGAAAAGAGCCTGATGGACCTCAGGTACTCGGAGAGAAAGCTTGGTTTCTGGAGCTTCTGCGACATTTAGGGCTCAAGTACCCGAATTATTTTGAGGATCAAAAACAAATCGTCGGAACCACCAACAACGGGACAAAACAGAGCCACCACCGAGACTCGAACTCGGGGCCTCCAGTTTACTAAACTGGCGCTATAACCACTTAGCTATGGCGGCTAGCCACCCAACATCCAGTCTGCCATACTGCAGAGGCTGCCATCACATCCCCCTACAGACCACAACACAAAGACCACAGAAGACTTTTATTCTATAAAACATCGACCACCGTACCCTCACTTGCTTGTCTTTGACAGGGTCTTGAGCAGGAAAAACGTGTCCATCTTCTTTTCCTTACAGACAATCTTGAAGATCTTTCCAAGAAGATCTTCACTTTGCTCCTTTATATGGGAAATCCGGATCCTGGCAGACTCCTTCAGAAACTCAAGCCTCCTGATCCTTCCGGCAAACTCCCGGTCAATCTCCTCCATCTTCTCTGCATATCCAAAGTCTCGCCCCGTCCTTTTGGGCTCGCGAATCTCAATGTGACTAGAGCTCACCACATCGTCCTTCAAACGATTCCATTTTTCTCCTTCGCGCTCGGCCCACACAATCTTCTGGTCCACCTTCTCAATCTCCTTCTCAACGTCCTTCTTTCCAATAAAGGACTCGCTCTCCTGGAGCCTTCTTTCCAAGCTCACTCCATATTCTATCCTCTTCTTCTGCAGCACATGTTCCACACATAGAACAACCAAGTCCTTTAGCGTGCTGTCCTCTCCGAGCCTTCCATGCAGGTCAGAAGCACTTGTCTTTTTCTTAGGCGCCTCCTTAATAAGAATGCTACCGCTGAAGTCCTCTCCTCCACCTATACTCAGCTCCATCCCATTCTCCGCAATGCCCTCACATCCATCTTGTATGCATCCACCACTCTCCTCCTTCGCTTTCTTGGCAGAGGGTCCCTGATCCTCGCCGTCCTTCCTCTTGCCACCCCGGACAAACCTAAAGCTAAAGATCCCATCCGTGTTCCCTCGAACAGCACTCAGCTCCTTCCCCTCTTCAAGGATCCTCCGGACCTTCGGCCCCTGCCCGGCACTTCGTCTGAAAATAAACCCATCCAAGTTCTCAAGCATCTCACCAAGCCCAGTTAAGGGCTTGCTTTTCAAAATCCATTTCCACCCCACCCTGCCATAGCCAACCCCCACGATAAAACACCACTCATATCCCAGATAAACCTTTAATGATCAAACATCCTGTCATATACCCCAATCTCGGCCAAGTACCTCTTGACCTTTTCAACAGCCCTATACCTTCCTATCTTGATCCCTGCTATCCCATGGGGCATCTCGTCGTGCTCATCTTCCTCTGCAGTAAAGAGATCGCTGAATATCTCCGGCTTAACCCCGTCCCTTGGCATAATGCTTCCATGTACCTCTCCTGCAAATGTCCTTGTAACCATCTTTCCCTTATGCATATGCACCACTCCGATAATCGTGGAGTACACACATTCCCCTCCGACCTTCGACGCAACCTCAAGCACTCTCGGAGCGCCCATCTTTAGGAAATCCTTGGCATATTGCCCTGGAAATCCTCCTAGCCCACTCATGTGGATGCTGGTGTCGTCCACAAAGACAAAAGTGGACTCCGTGACCAGGTGGCTTACTTTCTGGAGCTTGTCAATGATAATCTCTTCCTTGCTTCCCTGGATCTCCTCAATGTCTAGTCTAATCATCTGCACAGGAGCTCCCAAAAACTCCTGGAATGCTTTGTACTTATAGGAGCTCGACGTTATAAACAGCGTCCGAACCATCTCCAGCTTGTTCACATCCAAGTTACAGGCATTGGCCACATTCTCCCTAGAATACACAGCCCTGGACAATCTTGTCTCCGGCACAGTCTCCCGGTCCTCCATTTCCACGGCTATTCAAGCAATTCTTTAAGAACAAGAGCCCCTCCAATTCACTTTACAAACGTTTAATCAATCCCAAAGGCACCTAGTTCCACCGTACATGCACAGCCTCATCCTCTCCTTTCATCGTCACCATGTGGGCCCCGAAATAGTCCCTCATTGCCTGAATCATGTTCCCCCCTCCCTCCTCCTTCTTCATCCCGTTAAGGTACATTAGGCAAGACGAGATCGTTGGAGTTGGCACCTCGCACTCAGTAGAGTACAGAACCATTTCCTTGAGGTCTTGGTAGTATTCGTTGCACAGAGACACAAATTCAGACGTAAGCTCAAAATCATCCTGTCTCTCCTTCCCCATGCTCCTAACCACGTCCAACAGCTTTCCCCTGAGGATGCATCCATTGCTCCACACTTGCGAGATATCTTCGATGGTGTATGGCCACCCATGCTTCTTCCTGGCTCTCATCAGCAGGTTGAATCCCTGCACGCACGAAACCATTCTTGCAAGGTAAAACCCCCTTCTGGCCGCATCCAGAGACATCTCCCTCCTTCCCTTCCCACCCTCTAACCTTTCGGAGAGCCAGCACCTTTTCTTCTTTGCATATGATACCATCCTGGATGCAACTGCCTCCATTATTGCTGGAATGGGCTGCCCCATCTCCATTGACGACACCACTGCTTCCATTCCAGTGCCCTTCTGCCCCGAGACGTCTGCTATCTGGTCAAGCACGCTTCCTCTCTCGTTCTCCATTCTCAAGATCGAGCACGAGATTCTAAGGAGATAGCTTTCAGACTCCATTCCGTTCCAACTGTCAAACAGTGAGGATATCTCCATGTTGCTCAACCCCAGGGACTTCAGGACTAGATATGTCTCGGAGATTATTGCCATGTCCCCGTACTCGATTCCGTTATGAACCATCTTGACAAAGTGTCCGGCCCCTCCCTCCCCAAGCCATACGCAGCAGCGCTTGCTTCCAGAGACCTCGACTGCAGAAATATCCGTAAGAAATCCTTGGACCTTTTCCCAGGAATCCTTGTCACACCCGACCATGATGGACGGCCCGTACCTGGCTCCCTCTTCTCCTCCAGAAATCCCACACCCGACGAATCCAAACTTGTATCTATTTCTTCTGATGGTGTCTTTGTATGAGGAGTTTCCCCCGTCAATGACAACATCGTCCTTGCCCAGGTATCTGCTGAGCTCCTCGAGAAAGACATCCACCACTTTTCCAGAGGTCAGCATCAGAAGAATGACCCTCGGAGAAGTCTTGATGCCCACAACCAGGTCCTCCACGGAATAATGGGGGCAGATGTCTCTCCTCTCCCTCACAAGGTCGTCCGTCTTCGAGGATGTCCTGTTGAAAACATGCAGCCTGTATCCCCTTGAGACAATGTTCAATGCAAGACTATGTCCCATCACTCCCAAGCCAATTAGGCCGATCTCCATTTTCGGGGTTTGAGGCATCTGAATTTATACTTGTCTTCCTAGCTATGGGAACAGCCCTGATTGTTGTTATGGAGGAAAAGATCAAGAATCTTGAGGAAAAGCTTTTGGTCCTGGAGCAGCTCCGTAAGAAGGCAGAGAGCTTCAGGCTTATGAATGAGAGCATCAGAAGGTATATGAACAGGGTTGAGGCGCTGGACACTCGGATCCGGGCTATAGACGCCCAGATAGTAAACTACGATCTCGTAGATCTTCTGAGCGAAGAAACAATAGACATCAGCTCAATGAACCTTGAGACGGTTGTCTCTGTAATGAAGGACATACTGTGTGCTATTTCGCAGTTCAAGGAGGATGGCTCAGCAGATTACCTCGAGAGGTGCTCAGACCTTTGGAAGAGAGTAAGGAAGATTGGATTTCTACGGCTGAACGAGGCGATCTACAGGTCGACGGAGTCTCTGATGATGGATCCAAGCTTTGGAGAGTTTGTCAGGTTGCTCGATAGAAACCTTGTGCACAGGATACAGGTGAAGGTCCTACAGTCAAGAAAGGCGGAATGTCTTAGGAAGTCGGCATACATAAGAAGCAACAAGGAGTTTTTGTTCAGGTCGATGGTCCAACAGGAACTGCACATGTTCCTTCGGCTGTTTCCGTGGGAGTCCAAGGAAATATACAATCGGCTGATGGACTTTGAGGAAGAAAGGCCTCTTGTGAACTCGGGGCTTTTTGAGTGCTTTTCATTCTCTGTTCTCAAGGAGTACTTCGAAAGCTGCACCCTGGAGGAGCTTGAGTCTTTGAGGAGCCGCTTGAGCGCAGATCTCAAGAGGAAAGCCCCGGGCATCTCTGTGGAGGGGGAAGCGGGCCAGGATGGGGAATTCTATGCAAATGTCCTGGTGCTTGTGTCTGTAAGGCACTATCTTTCCTCAAAACAAGCCCACTGTGCACAGGACGAGGTCGTTGAGATCTAGGCCTTAACAGCAGGATGTGAGGCAAGAAGGCCCAATCCAAAACAAGTGAAACGGGACTCATAAATCGTTTGAGTGTTGAGAAACAAACCCGATGGAAGAGAAGAGTGTGTTGGAAATAACAATCCCTGGATCAAGAAATGTTCAAAACAAATATACCGAGTACGAGGTTGTGTGTGTCACTAATAGCAGGAGCTTCAGAAAGTGCTACACAAAAGTCTTTAGGCGATACAGTGATTTCCACAGGCTTCACTGCAGACTCAAGTATCTCATGAAGGTGTTGCCGGAGTTTCCAAGGAAGAGATGGAATAAAATGAGTAGGGAGGTTGTGGAGGAGAGAGTGAGGATGCTAACAGTCTACATGAGATTTGTGTGCGACCAGCTCTTGAGGAGCAGAGAGGGCGTGGAAAAGATCGAAGCGGACATTGTGGCCTTCATACAAGGAAGGAGCTCTGTGCCAGAGACTTGATGTTTAAGATTTATTAAGGATAATTGGTGCAGCTTTCCTCATCCAGGAGGTCTGTGGCCTCCACCGTCTATTTCCCGGATGACGTCCAGCCTGTTTGAAGCCCTTGCTATTCTCCTTGCCTCTCTTCTCAGCCTCCTGGACTTCCTGAGCTCCCCGTTCTGCTCAAAAAACTGGCTCATGTAGAAGGGTGCCAGAAACATGTCGAGAGACCCCCTATTGGATACATATTCGTTACATTCCAACAACGCCCTATAAAGATCTTCGTTATAATAGGTTACGCCTTCCCTCTTATCATCCTTTTTTCTAAGCTGGATGTACTTCGAGTACAGGCTCATAAATGGCAGCTTGCCGTGCTTCAGCTTGTAATACGTTATGATCTCGGAGTGTTCCCCCTCTCCATTTAGATTTCGGTAGAAGTCAAGAAAGCTTTCAAACGAGGACAGCACCTCTGCATACCTGGGAGGAGGGGTAGGGTCTCTTGGGAAAACCAGTGGGTCCATCTCCGACGTGAAGACTACCCTTTTCACGTTACCGTCCAGGATGTACATCAGGGACAGTAGATCATTCGTAGAGGCGGGTTCTTCATAATACTCAAACATCTCACGGGGATCATGGATGCCGGGAAGAGATAAACAAAGACATTAAATTTTGAGTCTGGGATCCCTGGATGGATAGAACCGATGAGTTTGTGAAAGTTGTCCGGGCCACGCACATTCCACAGCAAGGCCGGGCTTCGTTTGCATCTCCATACATAAGAGCATTTGAGATAGACGGTGTGATAGAGAAGACGCTTTCGGATGTGGGTAAGATGCTGGACAAGGAACGGGTATACGAGTCCTTTGCCCTACAGTCGAAGATAGACAGGGCATGGGAGCTGGTGAAGGAGATGCGGGAGATTTCGGGCCTTGAGGTAAGGTGTAGGAACGACCAGGAGGCAGCATCGTATGCAAGTCTCAACGGAATGGTCCGGAACAGAGCGGCCAGATACCATATAAGGCTAAAGGAGCTTGTCAGAAAAAAGGACGCCCGGAGCCAGGCCGTGAGTGAAAGGAGAAGGGAGTTTGATTCTGAGCGCCCCCAGGAGCAACAGGACGTGGTGCTGATGGAAAGCGAGGTTGTCACCGAGAGGGTCAAGGAAAGGCAAAGGATCTCGATGCAGATCAGTGAGATAGGCCAGATAATGGAGGAGATAAGCATGCACATATCTCTCCAGGAAGAAAGCTTCAAGAGGATTGACGACCTGATGGGCACCTCCGACACCCTTATTTCCGGGAGCCTCGACCTCATGAGAAAGACCTGGGAGAATGTATCCAGTACTCGCCCTGCAATTGTCAGGTTTGTAATGTTCTGGATGGTGCTGGCACTGGTATTTTGGTTGCTAAGAAGATGATTCGGTATAATTAAAACAGCCAGAGTTTGCTATTGGGCAGGAATATGCGCCTCTTCTAAGCAATTTTTTATATAAACAAAACATTTGGATTCGCCACAGCGCAGGCTTCTGCAAAAGACTCATCTCTGCATATCTATGGCTCTGCTACCAGACGCGCTGATATTCAAGCAGCCTGTCTTCACAGGCAACAACAAATCTATCCCCACTGGAGCTCACAAGCTTGAGCTTATCCTTCTTCTCTACATTCTTTGTCTCGCAAGGTACCTTGAAATCCTCCTTCGATCCGTCAGCGAGATTGACAACATGGACGACATCCTTGAATCCCCCGGTGAACCCATAGTTGTTGGAACAGGATATCCTAAACCTCGCATATACAGCATCAGACTCATAGACAGCATTGATCTCGTCCATATCGTCACACAGCATGGTGGTGAAAATGCAGTTTTTGGCGTTCCTCTGGTCGTAGAGCGTGACCGAGTTGAGGCTCCTGGCAAGAATCAGATTCGAATCGACAAACTGGAAGTCGGAAATCGATCTCACCGCACCCTCAATCCCATCCACATCCACTCCATCTATTGTCAAGGCCTCCAGAGACTTCGAGGCCAGTCTCAGGTCGTTAATATGGATCTCTCCAGAGCTTGTCGAATACCCAAACACCATGTTCATCTCCTTGCTGAACTTCGTCGAGTTGATCACAAACATCAGATCACTATACTTGTGTGGCTTTACATCCACGATGGTGAAGCATCCATCGATCTTTTCCGGCTTCCACAGGTTGATCTTCAGATAGTCTGAAGACAGAAGAAACTGCTTGTCGTTGTTGAAGCTGAGGCTGTTGAGGATGCAGGGATGCACATTCTTGCACTCCTTGACACATACATACTCATACTCCTCGGAACACCTCCCTTCCAGAATCTCCTTCGTAGACCCTCTGTTCCGGATCTTCCATATCTTCAGGTTTCTTTCGTTTCCAACAACAAGAAACTCGTTCAGCCCTCCGTCGTCGAACCTCTCAATCGCCAACACCTTCTCTGCCACGTCGCAGCTCTCCAGATAGTCGAATTCCAGCTCAAATCCCTGGAACGAGTATAGCTTCTCGTCTCCGTAGCACTCCACCCTTCCGTCTCCACACCCTACATACAGCCGCTCCCCATACAGCACAGAGGTGATCTTTTCTTTGTTCTCTGAAGAATTAAGTTCTAGAGCAAAGGCTCTGCATTGCTTCCACATCAGGATCTCGTTCTTACCCATAGCTGGGATTTTTTATTAAGAAAAAATTGCCCTCGCGTCTGGGCCAACAGTAAACACAGGTTCTCGGGCACTTTTTAATGTAGTGTGGATCACTTGCGGCCTCTATAGAGATGCTTCGGCTTCCTGTCGTAGTAGTGTTTGTCATCAAACCTGGCCTTCTTTTTGCTTGGAAGTCGAGGGGGCTGTGCCACCTGCGTCTTGCTGTCCCTCCTCACATGCACGGCTATGTCTCCACCACTGTTTCTGGACCTGTGCTTCCACGAGTCGGGCAGCCTTTTCTTTTCCCGGAGTCGATTGATTATCCTCCTTCTTTCTATCCCTGCTACAACCTCTTCCTTCAGAGCCCTTTCCTCGGGAGACAGGACGTCGTATGTCTTGCAGTACATAGGAAGCAGGCCCTCCTCTTCCTCCTCAACTTCCTTGAGCTTCTTCTCAATGTCAGGATCGAAGAAGTCTGCCACATTCTTGCCGTCAACGATCTCAGGAACAATGTCGTATCTGTATTCCTCGGGGATAAGATATCTTTCCTGCTCATTCTCAATCTCCGTTACCTCTCTCGAGCAGATAAACGATTCCGCCTTCTCCCGAAGCTCCTTGGGTCTAACGATGGTGATTCTGTTGATGTACTCAGAGAGCCTTTCACTGTTGATCTTCCTTTCAAACCTTTCGTCAAGTAAAAGATCGCATGCCATCGCCTTGACCGCATCTATGTTCTCTTCCTTCTCGCAGCTCATCTCCATGTACTTCTTGCCCTCCAGAAAGCTCATGATCGCCTTCTTGTCCTCCATCCCAGACAGTCCCAAGACATCACTTTTGCTCAGAACAATGACCATATTCGAGCTCAGGAGCGGGTTCAGAGTGTTAAATAGATCCATCTGTTCTTCGACAGAGTACCCACACGTCTCGCTTAAGTCGATGAAGTACAGGACAACCGCCTTGATGTGTGCAAGGGCAGTTATGCTGAGCATCTCAATGGTGTTTCTGTTCTCAAGAGGCTGGTCGAGAATCCCAGGCGTGTCAATCACCTGCCACTGGAGATACTTGTAGTCAAAGTGTCCGACATAGAGGCTTTTTGTTGTAAACGGGTAGGGCTGGACCTCCACATCTGCTCTCGATATCTTCCTGACAAAGGAGCTCTTCCCGACATTTGGAAACCCGCACACAAGAAGAGTTCGTCCAGACAGGTCTATCGACGGCAGCCTACTCATGTGCATTCTGACCTCCTCCAGATACTCAAGAGTCTTTCCAAGCTTCTTGGCTGCAGACGCCATCCTCCCGAGTGCCGCTCTCTTCAGCTGCTTGCACCTGTACAGGCTGTCTGCAAACTTCAGAAGCTTCACAAACTCCTTCGAGACCTTTTCAATCCCGTTCTTCGCTGCGTTCACATGCCCAAGCGCAAGCTTGTAGTGGTCTCTGTCGTACAGAACGTTGATCAGATCTCCGTAAAACGGATGGATGTCTTCAATCCTCGGAAAGTCCGTGAGAATCGTTCCAAGTCTCGATGCAAACTCATTTCCTGCATGCTTCACCTTCCTCATGTAGAACATCCTTATCTTGACAATGTTGTACTGTGGATGGATGACCGTCGGCGTTCTTTTCTGAGTCTTGCTGAGAGATATGTCTATCAGCTCCATGTTCAGAGGGACCGGCGTTATATATCCAAAGTTCGCCTTCATTTGGGGTGCCTGCCGTCGGCGAAAAAATTGCAGAAATCCCTGCTCTGTCGCCGACCTTGTTTCTCTTTTCTGTACTCCAGGCAGTAGCCATAGATGCAGGATTCTTTAACCCATAGACAGATGCTCAGGTTGTACGAAGGAATGGTTTTCCTTCCAAGCTGCCCTCCAGACTGCACCTTTGTTCAAATAATACACCATGAAACAATTGGAGTCCAGCCTGGAGAGGAGTACCCCATTCCTGTATTCCTCAGCTACCAGGTGGTGTTCGCCAATCTTTGTATTCATGAAGGTAAGGCAAGTCTCATGACCGTGAATTACATCCAGGCCTACACGTCCTCCGAGGAGAATGGAGTGCTTTCTTACAGGGAGTTCCAAGGGGTCGAGATCACAAAGCAGAGGACATTGAAGTCTGAGATATATGAAGTGCTTCCTCCATTTGGAATCCGGGAGTACTTCGATGGAGCGTTTCTCTTCTTCAGGCTGGAAAAGCTGTTTGGAGGCGACGAGGTGAAGGGGTATGAGCTGCATAGCGAGAGGAACGAATACATAGAGAGAAGAGGATCCATTTACAAAGCGTATCCGGGCAGCAGGCATAGCTTGGAGTATTCCATCTCTGGGGAGAACTTCATGTATAGATTTAGGTCCAGATGTGTTTCTGGATGCCCATTTCACTTCAGACTCTGGAGCGCCTCGGATGTGGTGTACTTCACGGCAAGGCCTCAAAACAGCATTCTGGAGGTAGAGTGCCCGGGAATAATGACGTCAGACACATCGAAGGGAACTATCAGCATTCCCTTGGACCAGCTCCGCAGGCAAGGAGGCTTCTTGTGTGTTGGAGGATATAGGATCGGCTTTTTGCCTGAGTTCCACATGCATCACTCCGACCGCTAGGCCTTCGCAAAGTACATGATATTGGACTGCTGATAGCACCCTGAATGGAAAATATAAAGAGAAACAGAAGGTTCCTGGGAATCGCACTCATAAACTTCGCGATCTGCATATTTATTCTCTTCCATGCACCGATATTTATCCCCATGCCCTACATCTCTTCGAGGGTGTGCCTCAGGTTTGCGTCTCTGTTTGTATACACCTTTGTCTATGCATTCGCTCTTCTTGGGGCCAATGTCAGAAGAATTGCTCCAGTAAGAGTTACCAGGAAGGTGGTACCTGTGGGATAGGCATGTGGGGATGGTGCTCCACCAGGAATACTTGGATGAGAGAAAATTTTTATCCTCAAATGACAGAGGAGGTTCATGACAAGTTCTTGGAGTTCCTTTACAATACACCGAAGGTCCGGGCGGCGGCGGAGCAGGCGATATACAGGAACGAAGGAGTGCTACTGGTTGACCTCCGGGATGTTAGTGCCTATTCTGCAGAGCTGCACGCAGATCTACTCCTGAACTTTTCGCGGAACGTTGAGAGGATCGACAGAAGCACGGCTGTGTATACGATGAGGGAGTTTTCTACTGCGCTTGAGCACACGTCGTTCTGCAACAGCCATGTGATTTATAAGATCAGGGAGTTGAAAAGCAACAGGCTTGGACAGCTTCTGAGCTTCAGCGGCACGGTCACAAGAACCACGCAGGTCAGGCCGGAGCTTGTCAGCGGGACGTTTGTATGCAAGATCTGCGGCTCTGTTATCGACAACGTTTTCCAAGAGTTCAAGTACACCGAGCCCTTGACGTGTCCAAACCACCTGTGCACGAACAGGAGGCTGTGGAAGCTGGACATTGACAAAAGCAAGTTTCTGAACTGGCAAAGAATACATGTTCAGGAAAACACGGAGGAGATTCCTCCTGGGTCTCTTCCAAGAAGCATGGATGTGATTGTCAGAAACGACTTGGTTGAAAAGATAAGGGCCGGAGACAAGGTTGTGATGACAGGGTATTTGATAGTTGTTCCCGATGTGGTGCAGCTGATGATGCCTCAGAGCAAGAGTGTTCCTATGCAGAGTGGGGAGTCTGATGAGATTAGGAAGAAGAGGAACATAAATATCAAGGACCTGAACCATAAGCTCAGCTTTATGTGCATTCATGCAGGATGCAGTGTTGAGGAGGATGAGGAGTTTACAAACGAAGAGCTTGCCACGATAAGTGAGATGAGGTCGACGCCTGACCTTTATTACAAGCTGAGCCAGAGCATGTTTCCGTCGATTCACGGGCACTACTCGATCAAAAACGCGATTTTACTTCTGCTTGTCGGGGGAGTCGGGAAGAGGGCGGAGGGAGGAACAAGACTCCGAGGAGACATAAATATGCTGCTTGTTGGGGATCCCGGGACGGCAAAGTCGCAGTTCCTGAAGCAGGCAAGCGCATTTCTTCCGAGAAGTGTATATACATCTGGGAAGAGCAGCAGCGCAGCAGGGCTTACAGCAAGTGTGGTGAAGGATGGTGAGACCGGAGAGTTTACCATTGAGGCGGGTGCGCTGATGCTCAGCGACACAGGGGTGTGCTGCATCGACGAGTTCGACAAGATGAATGTCAAGGACCAGGTGAGCATTCATGAGGCCATGGAGCAGCAGACTATAACGATATCGAAGGCGGGGATAAATGCAACTCTCAATGCCCGAAGTAGCATCCTGGCAGCAGCAAACCCAATAAAGGGAAGGTACGACAAGAAAAAGACTCTGAGACAGAATATAAACCTCAGCGCACCTGTAATGTCAAGGTTCGACCTATACTTTGTTCTTATCGACGATGCAGATCCGGAGAACGATAGAAACGTTGCAACCCATGTTCTCAACAGCCATGCATCGGTCACTGATTCGGGAGTCCTTGCAAGTTACTTCACCAGGGAGCAGGTGAAGCTGTACCTGCGATATGCCAGGAAGAAGACCCCCAGGATGACTGCAGAGGCAAAGGAAATGCTCATCAAAAGGTACGTTGGCATAAGACAAGACAGTCTTATCCATAGCAACAACTACATGATGACTGTCCGGCATCTGGAGAGTCTGATTCGACTTAGCGAGGCGCTTGCAAAAGTCCATGACAACGATCTTGTGACAAAAGAGTATGTAGAGGAGGCGCATAGACTGGTGAAGAGCAGTGTTGTCGAGGTCAAGGGAGAGGATATAGAGATAATCCCGAAGACTGCAGACGAGCCAGGATTCATGGTAAGCAGCAAGGACTATGTGAGAATAACCAACTCCTTCATATATCTCATAAAGACGCGGGAGCCTATGGAGAGACGCGAGCTGGTCGAGGCGCTTCTGTCTGAAAGCGAGTCATCGATAGAGAGTGAGAGAGCCCTGGTTGATGAGCAGAACAAGGCAGAGAATGTGCTGTCCTTTCTTATAGGGAGGGAGGGTGTCCTGTTCATTAGCGACGGAAAGATCCACATCCATCCCAGCTATGATGTATGAAAAATAAAGAACCTTACTTTCCCAGGCCACATCTTTATTAAAGCATGGATAAGTGCTGCTAGTCCTCAAGGGCTGCCAGAATTGCAGCCACGTCGTTTGAAACTCCGTGCACCTCGCTTCCGGCCCAAGGATTCACAAACTCAGCCACGCCTTCGTATGGCGCATATCTGGCTAGCTCTTTTGTCTCGTCAACAACGCTCTTGTCTATAAACTCCAGCATCTTTTTACACATCTCCCTTCTGCGGCTCCTAATGAGATCAACGTCTCCATTCCCCTCGTTTACGGCATCCTTTATGTCCTCCTCCTTCTTCCTCACCACCTTCTTCATAGGCCCTAGGGGCTGGGGGTCTCTTATCCACAATTCCAGAGGCTGCATCCTCTTTACGCAAACAAATGGAACGTTCTGTACAGAATCCTGCTGGACATAATCTCGTGGAGCATCATCTTCCTGAACCTCGGGATGTCATCAGACGAAAGCCACTCCCGGTCTCCGCACAGCCTGTATCTCCCAAACATGCATACAAACACTCCACAGTCTTTTCCGTTTCTTTGCAGAGGGATTTTCCTCTTGAGCCTGATGGATATGAGGGGGTCTTTTCCATGGATTCTCCTCCACTCATCTCTTAGATATCCAGATACTCTCCGAGCCACGTCCCTGTAAACATTCCCCATCGAGTCATAGTGCTCGAGCACCATCTCCCTGACATCAAAGACCATTAGCATCCAGTGCCCTGGAATATGCACAGGAATGTATATCAGCCTGTTCTCAAATATGTTTATCCCTGAGGTCCACCTCTGAACCCACTCCACTCCTCTTCTACTCAGGGTGGTGTAAAAGAATGTGGAGAAGACATACACCGTAGCCTTTGAGTGCTTTGCAAGAAGCTCAAAATACACATTGATGATCTTGTCGTTAAGCAGGGACCCGTCTCTCATTCTTCTTATGTCCTCTGGGAGCAGCTCGTATCCTTCTCTCTTGACTGCTGTAGACACCTCAAGACAAGCCTCTGCAACGGCATCTAGTTGGCTCTGCCTGGAAGGAACGGTGTCGAGGATGCTTCCATGTCCGCCGCCTGTTGCATGGGGGTTTTCTTCTCTCAGCTCCTCCGAATCCATCCAAGTATTCCGAGCTATTTGGGGAGAACAGGACGGGTGCCCATACTTCAATGGAAGAAGACGGCCTTCAAAACAACCCGAGGGCTTTTGACATAGGAAAGAAGGGATTCCTGAGCTACGAGGAGTACAGAGGATACTGCCTCAGCATCCTCAAACAGCCGCTGGCAAGGAAAAAGACGGGAAATAGGATACAATACGACGATATAGAGTTTGGGTCATGCGGCGTGGAGATTGACGGCGTATTTGACTTCCTTTCTGCTGGGGAAGACCATATCTCGCTTGCCACACTGGAAAAAGCAGTGTCCAGGCTCGAAATGAATATCTCTGGAGAGGACATGGCAGCAATGATAAATATGTTCGACTCTAATGGACTGATATCCAGAGAGCTGTTTTCAAAGTCGTTTGGGTGAATCCAGATTTATTAGTGGCATCTGGAGGAGATGGGGAATCCTCTCCTCATTCCTTCTACTCTTCCCGTGGAATCTCCTCGATTTTCCTTATGTCAAGGGCATTAAATCCGTGCTCCCCTCCAACATATATCGTGTCGCCCTTGAAACACATGTCGAAAATACACCCTACTCCTCCTTCGATAAGCTTGAAGCTCTTTTCGTCCCTTATGTCTCCATACCCGACAGCTCCATTGCATGTACTGAATGCAATGCGGTTCTCTCCATCTCCTCTTATGCCTGATATCCCCTCCACTCCAACAGGAATCTTGAATGTGCGCATGCTCATGGGCATGTTGATCAAGAGTATGTAGTCGAAGTCTCCCCCAACAATGAAGTAGTTGTTCATGTACAGGATGCACTCCGGACTTCCATCAACCTCGATCCTCCCCAGAAGATGTGCGTTTTTGCGTACCACAATGCATCCCTCTAGCCCCAGGCAGACTACGTCACTCGAGGGCATCTTGCCGATGGCCGACCCGCCCCTCACATGCAGATCCATAAGCTTCCGGTGGCTCTCAGCATCGAATACCATGAAGTTGGTTTCGCTGAGAGTATATGCCCTCCCGCTTTCGTAGCACATATCCTGTATCTCGCTGTACTGGCCAATGCAAACGTTCTGAATGCACAGGTCAAGGCTGAACAGGTGCACATTCCCCCTGGTCGTTCCAACCAGCAGCTTATCCTTATCCACCTTTATCTTTGAAATGTCCTCGTTCACAGAGACATTGTTGATTTCCTCCTCCAGAGTCATCAGCGATATAGTTCCATCCAAAGACCCGACAAGGAGCTTTTCGCCGTCTATGAACTTGCAGAATATCACAGAGTCGCCGAAGTTCTCCACTATGCTGACGACGTCTCCTGTTTCTAGATCCATTACAGTGCATCTGTCGTTTCCTCCCCCATATGCCACCATACTCCCTCTTGGATTCAGATCCACAGTATACACCTCGCTGTCCATGGGACTCCATTCACTCTGCTTTATTGCACCCTGCTCACTTGCAGATCTTCATCCCCAGCTCTTCTCCAATCCTATCGATAACCTCGAATGCTCTCATCACATCCTCTGTGGTGTGCGAGGCAGAGACACACAGTCGGGCTCTGCTTGTCAGTATAGGCGTGGCTGGATACCCTACAACAACGACCCCGATTCCCTCGCTCATGCAGCGCCTTGAAAACTCGGCTACCTTTCCAGGACAGAGTATCAGAACAGGGATCACCGGCGAGAACTCGTCCCCAAGCACGAAAAACCCTGCACTTACAAGGCTCTGCCTCATGAGCACCGTGTTGGACCTAAGCTTCTCGATCTTCATCCTTCCAAGCTCCGTAAACTTTATGCATCTCAGGCTTTCCAGCACCTGCGAGCACACAAGTGGAGGTAGCTGGTCTCCATAAAGAGACATATCGCTGTAAAACCTTAACCATGTTATCAGCTTTCTCGAGCCTGCTATGTATCCTCCCATGCCTCCAAACGACTTTGTAAACGTCCCCATCAGAATGTCAACCTCTGTGAAGTCCACCCCTGTATGCTCGCAGACTCCCCTCCCGGTGGCCCCCAGTGCTCCTATCGAATGTGCCTCGTCGACAAATATGTAGAACTTGTACTTTCTTTTCAACTCAACCAGCCTTCTCAGCTTCACAACCGTTCCCTCCATCGAGTATATTCCCTCTACAATCACTATGATCTTCTTCCATGCCCTGTGCGTCAAAGGCTGTCCCTGCGAGATGTTGAAAACAAGCTTTCTCTCCAGGTCCTCCATGTTGTTATGCTCAAACACCCTTATGACTCCTCTGCTGATCTTTGCCCCCGTTATCAGCGATGCATGGTTGAGCTCGTCAGACAGGATGAGCGTTTCCTCCTCGCATATCACGGGTATGTTTGAGGAGTTCGTGCCATATCCCATGGAAAACACCATGCAGTCCTCCTGATGTAAGAAGGATGCCATCTCCTCCTCCAGCTCCCTGGCTATGTCATAGCATCCCACCTCCCTTGCGGGTGCCGCCAGCACAAGGGGATACCTGTACACAGCCTTGACGACCTTCTCCACAACAGGGCCCTTGTTGCTGCTGAATCCAAGGTAGTTGTAGGATCCGAAATTGAGCAGCTTCAGCCTCCTTCCCGTGAGTCGGAAGCTTTCGTTATAGTCGTCGGATATCCTCTCCATGACCGTCACATGCCTCCCTGGAACTCCAACAATGGGCCTCTCCCAGCAATCTCTAACTCTCCTGAATATTCTACGGCTGAAGAAGCTTTCAAAGCTGCTGTACAGAGGCGGCTTACCGTTGTCCAGTTTGTATTTCTTATATACCTTGGGGAAGAATATCTTTCCAAATGTATCCTTGGCGTGGCCGAGCAGAACAACAATCAGGTATGACAGATATGTGACCAGCATCACGCGTAGCGGAATCTTGTTCTCAAGCATTTTGGTTTGTTTGGATTCTTTAGAGTGTTTTGTTTAATTAATACTCATGTCATTCATATTCTCCAGCAAGATAGTTTACCTCGGGATAGTACCCGGCAGCAACAATCCGGCCTTCATAAACGAGCCCTCCAAACTCGCTGTAGACTCTCTCCGATGTTTCCAGATCCACACACTCTATAAAGACCCGGGAGCTCCCCGGCTGTCTGACTGCGTTGGCGTCATCTCTAGGAACCATTACGCTTGTTACTCCCGAATGCCCCAAGCACCTCGTCCTGACCGCCTCCACAATCCTCGAAGCATCTGTGTCCCAGGGCCCCATCAGATTCAGGAGCACCACTATTCTGGTCCTTTCCCTGCTGAGTGCGATGGGTCCTGCCATCCTTCTCGGCACAAGACGGGGGATATTCCTCCCAAGATTCAAGATCGAGCATCCTTCATAAGCTCTTGTTGAGACCAAGGGCAGGCCTGTGTCTGAGATGAAGATGTGGCTTGTGGCCCCTACGAAAGGACCGCAGAACTCTGGGTTTCTGAATGTGAAAGCAAAGTACAAGGGATTGGCACACCTTCTGAAGCTCTGCAGAGGCGATATTTCGTCTATGGCATCCCTAAGAGTGGACGGGTCGAGATTCAAGGGCCCAAGCAAGATCTTGTGCTCAGTGCATGGAACATCTCTACAGTACTTGCTTCCCCCGCCTATTGTCTCCAAAGCCCCGGGAAGCTCTATATAGCCTGCCGGACGGAAGAAGGTGAAGTCTCTGCTGCTCAGATACAGACATTCGGTGGCATCCGACCTTGAGGGAAACTCTATCCTGATTCCACCGTCTACTCTGCTGAGCACAAAGCTCCTGAAGAAGCGCGACAGGAATCTATGGAGCGAGCTTGGGCTCTGAGATGTTAGGCAGACAATCGACACACTGTTTCTATGGTCTTCCTCGGTAAATCCATCCGTTCTTAGCCTTGGGAGTAACAGCGGTACATAAAGGTCCTTCTCACACTCCCTTGTGATGTTGATGTTGGACTCAAGAATCTCTTCAATGTACTCAATTCCTTCAAACACGCATCTTCCCACGTCGAACAGATTCATCCTCCTGAACCTCCTGTCTAGTGGAAGCAGACCCATCCAATAGGGACTATCTTGCTCGGCTATAATCATCCGAAAATTGGCCGCAGCAAATAGAAGCATATCTTCACTCAGATTTATTAGTCAGATGCTTGTCTAAAGCTCCAGGATATTCGGATCAAGCTGGACAACCGTCGCAAAATTCGCAAAAAACATCCTCATAAAACTTACAAGAGTTCCAACCTGTTCCAGATCTAGCTCGCTGTGGGGCTTGATTACAAGATTCGGCATCATTATGGTGGAAATTCCCTCCATGTTCATATTATCCTTGTGGTTCTTTCCCTTGTCAGTTGCAATGTCGTGTATCACATATAGGAAGTAGATTGTCGCCTCAAGTACATGTCTATTTGTTTTTGGCATTGATATAAATAGCATCTGGCAAAGGATCACCTGGTCTTCTTCGTTTTCGACTTTTGCTATTTTGAACATCGTGTCTATCAGGCTTTCCGGGATGATGGTGGTGGAGTATTCCCTGAGGATTTCCTTGAATGCTGTTGTGAGATCAATCACATTGAAGTCTCGGATAAGAAGCCTTCGGGCCTCGCTATACGAAAGATTTCTATCGACACACGAGTTAATGGCCTTTACGCACTCCTTGATGGTTGTGATCGAGTTCCTGACTCTAAAAATCCCTCCAACCCTGCAGTCAAGACTCAAAACCGTCTCGGTCAGTATGTAGAAGTTTCTAGGGACTAGTAGCTCCCCTTCCTTTCCATAGCTGAGCCTTGTCACAACCCACTCGTACTTGGAGGGCAGCCTCAGTGTATCATGTTCAAACAACACCCTTGCAATCCTGCCTTGTTTCAGCTTGAACCTTTCAAAGGGCCCAAAGTATTCTCTGATCAGGTCATCGTAGTATTCAAAGAAGTTGCGCTTGTATGCCTCGAAGTCTTTCTCACCAAGACCATTCACTGTTCTTAGGCCTTTTCCGTGGGGCCGGCGAAGAGGTCTCTTCTCCATTGTTTATTTACCTTCTGTCTATTTCTAATTATAAAGTCAACCCGATATGAAACATCCTGACACCCACTTCCGAGAGTAGTAATGCCTGAAAGGATGGACATATCTCGTAACCCCACAGGATTTAACAGCCGAAACTCCTGTTACCTCAGAAGGAGCAGGGCTACATGGAGATACCATGTACCTTTGCCCATCTGGTCCCACTAAGAAAGTGGATAAACAAATCATTGTGGTCAGTGGCCTCCAATACATCTTTAAGACACGCTATGCTTTCAAACAGCTTGTCTTCAAATGACTTTATCTCTCTTTGGTCCAGTGCTGACTTGCACTCGACGTCTAGAAAGTCAAAGCAGAGGTCGAAGAAGCCGCTCCATGCATAGTATGCCTTTTCACTTGTTAGATACAAGTCCCGAAGCCATCTCTTTATGTTGGCAAGCAGGGTGTCTCGCACATGGTCCATATCTTTCTCTACCCCCATGGGTCTCATCTTTGAGTGGATCGAAAACCTGAATTTATCAATCACCGCCGTGACCATCCGAGCAAACCGGAATTTCTTGAACTTGCCCATGTAGTACGACAGGGCCGTAAGAGTAAAAAGGAACCTGAAGATGATTTCGAGCTCCGATACCGTCCTTGGCGCCAGGAAGTTTCCTAAGATGCACGGACTGTACTCAACAGTCAGGGTCTGCAGCATCGTAAGGCGCACTCTCTGCCGGGGCTGCATCTGGACATTCAGGATCTGAAGAATGTACTCGTTGATCGCGGTGTCGGACTTCCTAAAGAAAAGGCCCCTCACATGCCTTGATTCCTTGATGGCATTCATCTTGGCAATCGTTCTTTCGCTGGGAGAAAACATCTCGTCCCCCAGTTCCTCAAATATGTCCAGGTACAGAGACGACTCGTTCATCAGCAGATACCGATGCATCACATCAAGCTCCTTTGCAACATCATGCCTTAGGGATTCCATAAGCTGAGTGCTTAGATAGGCACTCAGCGATGTTAATCCCAGGTCTTTGTATTCCTTGGTGGACCCATGGAATATGTTTCTTCCGAGGATCCTCTTTCCAAGGTTGATCACCCTCCCGCAGTTGTAGATAAGTCTCTTATCCTCTTCCAAGAAGTATGGGACATTTTCCTCAACAATCGTATAGCAATCGGCCCAGACACATTCTGTGAATCCGCCCAACGAATCGCTCTTTCTCACCATAAACCCGCTACCTGGTATCAATCCTTCTGTAATCCAGCTGCTCACTTCCTCCTTTATCTTCTGCTTGCAAGGATGGATGAGCTCGTCATAAAGACCCAGAAAGCGGACGGTCTTGTCTCTTCTTTTCTTGAGATGGTTCAGTATCTTCACTCCCGATATATTTCTGATCTCGTCCACTATCTCTCTCATTTCCTCAAACTCCTCAATCCAGCCTCTCAGGCTTACCACAAGCGCCTCAAGGTCTCCAATCTGCTTCCTTAGGGCCATCAGGTCCCCCAGATATCTGCTAACCTTTGACTCAAAGCAGTCTCCCACTATTTCCCTGATCGTGTCAGAGGAGTACTGCGACTTCAGTACAAACTTGCTGAGAACTCTTACATTAACTGCCAGTGACTCAAATGGGAAAACAAGCTGTGGGGGATATGTTGGATCAGCAACCACTGCATACTGCTTATCCTTTACTCCCACCTTCATGTGGGTGGCGTCCAGTCCGCAGAGAAGATAGAAGAGATTCTCCAGCATTATGGCATGCCTTCCGTCCTCCAACTCCATCCTATCACCATAACCTTCTTTGTCCATGGCTGCGCAGGGGATCAATCAAGGTTTTATTTCTTCATCGAGATCTGTACCCCAGCCCCATCCACCGCAGATCAAACCTGCTTGTGAGTAGAGTTGGAATCGAAAACACCGCCACCAGGTAGGAAAGCAGGTTCAGATGTGCAACCGGCGTCGAGAAGCTCTTGAGGTCAAAGAATACATTTCCAAACAGAACAATGAGGTTTGAGAACAAGAAAACGAACATCATGTTAGAGCTACAGAACACGGCTGTCAGCGGGTTGTACAGGGCAATGGTACTCTCAAAAAGCAGATACATGCCTATGTGGAAGCTATGAAGGGCGAGTATCCAGAATACAAATGCTCCGTTTCCTAGCCTCCTGGATCCCTCGCTTGAGAAGTTGAACACCGTGTAGAGACAACCAAATAAAGCAGTCATTCCAAGCACTTTCCATGCCTTCTTCCTTGTCTTGTCCTCGGAAAAGCAGATTCTTCCGACCTCTGTCGTCATTAGAAGTATCGATATGTAGGGGACAGTTGCAACAAGGCCCTCCTTGTTCTTTTCCAGGAACGTCTCCCTTTTATCCGAAAAGATAAAGGATGTCAGTCCGGAAAACTTGAGGATGATTTCATAGACCGTCACCACCAGAAGGCCAAGAAGGAAGTTGTATCTGGACCTTATCAGAGAGTATATGAAGTTCACCAGTGCAAGCAGGAAGTAGAAGTTTATGTATATTCCATACTCCCTTGGATTTACGCTGATATTAAACCATCTGACTGTAAAGCACCTTACAAATCCCAGAAGAACGAGGATGAGGTAGGATCTTATGTGTCTTTTGGACCTGGCCTTATATCCCACAATCCCACTGTTGTAGATGAAACTCCCCACGCCTATGTCCATCATCGAGATGCCAAAGAAATGTGATTTTCCAAGCCTCTTTTCAAACACAGAGAAGTCTACAGCATATATCGCAATCACAGTTATGACGGATATCGCGAATCTCAGATATCCTACAACTTCTGTGCTCTTGTTACCCTCCGGCTTCCGAAGCCCTGAGTAGTTGAGCAGCATGGCCAAGCAGAGATACAGACCCCAGATTCTGTCCGGGAACACTATGGCACAATACTGAGGCACTATGCAAAACAGGAAGTCATTGAGTATGCTCTTCTTGTATCCTGACGAATAAACCACCAGAGACAGCACTGTTATGCCTGTTACCTGGAGAAGCTCGAGCTCGTTTGTATTTCTCATCGAAAAGGGCCCTTGAACACAGGGTTTAAGCATGTTCTATAACACGGCCTCCATTCTTTGAGTCCAAAAATAGAACCCTGCGATGCCAAAGGGTGAAGCAGAGTACTTCTTCACATACAGGACCAATGTGAAGGAGCGGTGGTACAGGAAACCCATTATAGATGTCCTTGTTTCTGAATTCAGAACAAGGACCAGAGATTATTTCCTATCAGCACTGGAGTGTGGGGTGATAACAGTTAATGGGGAGGCAGTGAAGCCCACAAGAATTCTCGGGATGGGAGATGTTATAAGACACACGGTTCATATCCATGATCCCGCACACCCGGAGATCGGTGTTATAAAGGAGGAGGGAGACTATATCGTTGTAAATAAGCCGCCGGGGATTCCGTGCCATCCTACGGGTGGGTATAGAGAATACTGTGTCACAAAGGCGCTTTTTGGGGACGAGAAGGTGGCTTGTATCAACAGGCTGGACATGCCTGTGTCTGGAGTTTTGATTCTTGCAGTAAGAAATCACTCCAAGTGCCTGGAGGCAATCAGGGATGCCAAGAAGATCTATGTTGCAAAGGTCTATGGGATGTTTCCCGACAAAGTGGATGTGGATAAGCGGATCGGATGCACTGAGGGTAGGTACCGGCACGTAAACGCCGGGGGAAAGGCATGTCTGACGCTCTTCAGAAGACTGGAGTACAGAGATGGATATTCGCTTGTGGAGTGCAGGCCCGTCACAGGACGCACACACCAGATCAGGATTCATCTCCAAAGTATTGGATTTCCAATTGCAAACGACATAATGTATGGAGACGGAGAGGCACCTCCACCACCTCAAAATGATGGTGTCTGTAATGCGGAAATAGATGGGTTTGACGACAAAAGGAAGTACGAGTGCATAGTGAGACATTGCAAGGGAAGAAACAACAGATCCTTTATCACTAAAGACCATTACATCTGCCTCCATGCATGGAAGTACACCTACAACGGCATAGAGTATGAGGCAGACCTGCCAGGGTGGTGCTCTGGATGGAGCCTGGCATCATAAATAGCAGAGATGAACATGGCAATAGCTAAGAAATAAATCAGGCTTTATTGAAATACTTCTCGAGATATTCCTTCCTCTCTTCCTCCAGTATCCTCTTCCTTTCCAACCTAATCTTCATTATCTGCTCCCTCCTCTCCTGCTCCCTCTTCATCCTTTTTCCATTGTGTCGAATCTTGGGTATCTTCTTCGGGTCATCGCACTCAGACTTCAGTATATTCCTAATGTACCCCACAACGTTCTTTTCCTCGTCAGGAACCCCAAACATCTTCCTGAGCTTCTTCTCTTTCCTGGGAAGATGTGACACGTCGTTGACAGCATTTGTAAGGCCGTCTATCTCCTTCTCGCCAGGGCGCAGGATTATCAGATTCAGCACGCAGATCTCCTCAGAAACTATGGATCCCCGGACACTCTTGCGTCGCCTTACTCCCTTGCGCCTGCATCTGTATCCTGCATCGCCCTTCGATAGAAGAGGCCTCACTCTCTTCTTGGTCAGATGTCCACTCACCATTGGAAATCCTTGGTAGTCATCGCCCCCAGTAATCTCCATGATCGTTCCCTCAAACTCCTCCCCAAGAATACCTCCATCAAACTGGTCTCCTATCTTCTTGTCATACAGGCGGACTTCATTCCTCCTCTCAATCTCAAACATCTTCTGCGTGCCATTCGTCGGGTATGCTATGTTCAACTAAAATTAGCCTTGGTCAATGCCCACTTACCTTCATTTGCAAGGGTGGCCCTGGAAAAAAATTTACCTCGAATTTTCCGCCGTGGTGGGGAGTACATCCAGGGACATACACCGTCCCCGCTCAGGGTCCTTCCCTTCAATCCCACCTGCCATCTCCCCGAGGATCTTCTCAATATCATTGTCCATGGCCTTCTCCATATCTGCCAGCTTATTGCTTACATACACGTCTATGGCATCTCCGATGCTTCCCAGGGCAGACATCCTTGCATCACTCACAACCATCCCCAGAAACTCTCTCAGCTGATTCGGAATGTACAGATTGCACTCGGTATACCTTGCCAACTCTTTGTTATAGGCGCCTCCAATCAGGTCGTAGAAGAATATGTTTGAGCTCTTCTCCGCATTGTATGGACATCCCCGTTTTCGTCTACACACATGGTTCCTATCAATCGACCCGCACTTGTAGCAAAAGATGAAGTCCATGTCTCCAAGATTGTACTTGACAAACCCCTTCCTTGCAAGCACTCGAGCCTCCTTTGGATTCCACCCATCAAACATATGCACCCTGCCCTCCACCTTATTCACATTGAAGAGCGGGCATACACTCATGTGCAGATAGTGCTCCTTTGCCGGCACATCTGTTCTTTCCCAACACTCTAGTGTCTTGTCACAGTATACACACCTCACCGTCAGATCGTCCGACTCAGCAGATAGGCACATGAACCCAGCAATGGAGAGACTTTCCGGAGTTGCCGCCCCGTAGTCCTCGGGCCATCCTGCAAATGTCTCCATTCTCCTCTTGAACGAAAACATCAAGGGCTCGCTCCTACTCCAAAAATCGCGCGTAGTGACCCAAAGATAATAAGACCAAAGAACGACTTTATTCACCCATGCATCCGAGTCCACCTTGTCATAGACTCACTTCTTGCAGCAGCCCAGAAGACGCAAGATCTCGCTCGTCGACTCGTCGTACTTTCGATCTCCTCTGCACTCAAGAGTCTCCAGCACCTCAGTAGCTATCTTCTTCCCTAAGGTAACTCCAGGCTGGTCGAAGGAGTTGATGCCCCAGTACAACCCCAAGATGAATATCTTGTGCTCGTAGTGTGCTATCATCGCCCCAAGAGTCTCTGGGGTAAGCTTCGAATAGCAGACTGTGATGGTCGGCCTGTTTCCTCGAAACGACTCCTTCGCACTGCCCTCCTTCTTTCCAACCATAAGGCCTCTGCTCTGCGCCAGGCAGTTCGAGACAACCATGTTGTGATACTCTTTCTCCTCGTGTAGCGGCTTAAGAGGCATGAGAAGTTCAACCAGCACATCCCTGGTTCCTTGGTGCAGCAGCTGAAAAAAGGAGTGCTGTGTGTTTGTTCCCAGCCCTCCCCATACAATCAGCCCGGTATCCCCTCTTTCCGACTGCTTCCCATTGCTCTCCATCTCTGCCTGCTGGAGGTACAGATAGAACTTCTCCATGTACTGGTCATAGCAGACAATGCACTTATTGTTGAAGCCGTTTTCAGAGTAGAACAGCTCCGCAATTGCATGGATCATCTCGGCATTCGATCTTCCTCTGTTTCTTCGGAAATCCTCGTCAACCGCAGAGGCTCCCTTGAGCAGGCGCATGAAGTTGTTAAATCCGACGTAGAGGGCAATCGACATCCCGACAGCAGACCACAGCGAGAACCTTCCCCCCACAAAGTCCCACATCGAAAACACCCGGGAGATGTTGTGTTTGCCGACCTCTTGCACATTCGAGCTCACTGCAACAAAGTGCTTACTTGCAATCTCAGACCTGTCTCTTCCAAGTTTCCTCTCCAGAAGCTTCATTGCAAGCTCTGCATTCTTAATCGTCTCAAGCGTTGTAAACGTCTTGCTCACCACAATGAACAGAGCCCTTTCCGGGTCAATCTTCTCGAAAACCCTGATTGTATCCGTTGCATCTATGTTCGAGATAAAATACGTCTCCACCCCCCTTCGGCCATAATGTCCCAGGGCATCGCACACCATCCTGGGCCCGAGATCGCTTCCCCCAATTCCTATGTTGACAACAATCTCTAGCTTCTTTCCAGTCACCCCGCATACCCTTCCGCTGTCAAAATCCTCGACAAATGCCTTGATCTTCATCAGCTCGTCATAAACCATCCTGCGGTCCTCATCCAGCTTTGCATCGCCATGTCCTTCAACCATCCTCAAGACCTCCTTGTCCCTCAGCGCCACATGCAAGACCTTTCTGTTCTCCGTAAAGTTTATCCGCTCTCCACCAAACATTCCGTCGATCTTCTCCCCAAAGTCCTTCATCTTCTCTAGATATCCGTCAACTATCTCTTCGGTAAGATGCGTCTTGGAGAAGTCGTAATATATAAATTCGTCCCCAACACTGGCCCTTCTGGTAAGCTTCTTCACCCGGTCTCTGTCGTTTTCAAATAAGCTTTTAATCTCAGTTCTCATCATTGTTTACTCCCTGGCGCCCTTATATACCTTCAAATTATTTATGAAACATCGCGGCAGATATCACATCCTCCTTACCACATAGAAGCCCTTGTTCAAGACCGGAACACCTGTCCGTCCCGAGTCTTCAGAGCATATCTTCATTATCTCTCCGCCTCTTTTCTCGCAAACATACACACTTCCGTTAATCTCAAAAGGCTTGCCAACCTCCATCTTCCGTGGCAAATCAGAATATCCAACATCTCTTGGAATTTGTACAATGTCATAGTCCTTGGACATTCTTTCCATGGGCTTCTCTTCTCGTCTTTTAACCCAAATTCCAAGAGAATCATGGGTGCTCTGGGAATGCCTTTCTGGGCAGGCTTGGAGAGGACGTGGATGCCGTGTTGTCAGTTCTAATGGAACGTCTGGGAAACATGATGTACTCATCCGTTTAATACCATGTAAAAAGCTGCGTTTAGGCCTCAGCAGAACACCACCTTCCCCTTTTTGTAAATAACGTTCTTGATCACCCTGCACGAGTATACAGACAGCCCTAGCCTGTCCCAGTCGTCCTGGTGCAGCGATCTGAGCTCTGACACAGTTCTGACGTCCTGTGCAAGAAGCTTACTCTCCCATATGGAAACACATTTCTCTTTGCCCACTAAACTTCCAATCTCCTGGAGAAACTCCCTTATCTCCACTGCTCCAGAGTAGTCCTTAATCGAGGTGTTCGTAGGAAGCTGCCTTTCCTTTAGTGGAGTCTTGTCAATCCCATAGAGCATGTTCTTCATGGCTCTGCTCGAAAACACAGTGAGCCCAAGCTTGTCCCAGTCCTCGTCCACAAGAATCCTCAACTCAAATACAGTGTCGATGTCATTCGACTTGAATGCTTTTATCCAGTTGGTGGCAGTCTCCGAAGACCTCTTTGTTGCAACAGAAACATCCCCCACAAACTCTTCAATCGAAATGTCGTTGTTATACTTGCTGTTCGGGCACTTTGTTCCATCAAAAAACCTTCCGCTTGCAATCCTTTTCTGCTCTTCTGCCGTCCCTTCGCCGTTGCACAGCAACTCCGAGGAATTGATCAACGGGGAGCTAGGCTCTCCTCCAGTCCTAAAGCCCTCGCATTCTCCAGAGTGGGGAGTGGCACATGAAATATCCATCCCATCGTTTCCAGACTTCACATCTATTTCCAATAGAGACTCTGTCTCTTCCATACTCAGATCCCTATCCGTTATCTTGTTGAAGTCGTTTCTAAGCCCATCCGCCCCGCTCTTCTCCTTCTCGGCATCTATGCTCAGCTTCCTGAGCGCCTCCTCTGCATCTCCACCTTTCATCTCTGTGATCCTTTCCTTGGCTTTCTCAATTCCTCTCGACAGGAGCTGAAGAAGCGTGTCTCTTTGATCCTCAGACACCACCTCTTCTTCCAACATCTCGCTTGTCACATCCTCAACAGTGTCTGTGTTCAGGTTGTAGTCAAACTTGATAAACCTTGCCATGCTCATGAAAAACAGCTGAAACGTAATCACATCGCCCTTGAAGGACAAAAAGCTTATCTCCATGTCATTTGCAGGTGCCGTCAGGGGAACCCCAGACATGCACTCCGCAGGAATGCACTCTCCGTTGCATGTGTTGTTGCTGTCGAAAAAGTGGTGTTTCAAGCAGTCGACACTTCTCAGCCTGTCCTTCTCAGAAACCAGGCAGTTCATAATCAGATTCCTAAGGCAGACATCCTTGATAGAGCTCAGAGCAACAGGAGGGACGCCCTGTATAATCGCCTTATAGACCTCTGCCGCCGTCGTGCATTCCTTGTACGGATATGCCCCCGTGGCCATCTCAATCAGACACATTCCAAACGCATACACATCAATCTTCTCGCAATATCCCTCTCCTTCAAACATCTCCCTGGCCATAAACTGCGGCGTCCCAACGACAGTGTATCTCTTCATTCTTCTCTCCTTTGCCACCCCGAGATCCCCAATCTTTACCTCTCCAAGAGCCGCATTCACAAAGATGTTCTCGCACTTGATGTCTCTGTGGATTATCGGGGGATCCTGGCTGTGTAGATACACAAGCCCCTCGAGAATGTGTCTTCCCCACTTCTTTATAAGCTTGACATTTAGGTCCCCTATCTCTGCTATGTATTCCCGGAGAGTCCCCCCGCTCATCAGTTCTGTGATAAATATAAAGCTGTCGGGCGTAAACCAATAGTCGAGAATCCGAAGCACGTTGGGGTGGGAAATAGACTTAAGAAGTGCTATTTCATTGGCAAACAGCCCTCGCTCCTTGCTGTCCTGCCCCTTCTCGCTAATCTTGATTTCATTCCATGCAACCTCCTTGCCCTCCTCCTGATCAATCGCCTTGTACACCTTCTTGAACGTCCCCTCTCCCAGAATCGTCTGCAGCTTCTTGTATCTGGATCCGTCAACTCCCCCCTTCTTCTCCTGTCCATCAGGGGCCTCTGCCTGCTCCGAGGCCTGCTCGCTCCTTGCAACTATCTTCTCGGCATCGATAACCTTTCCCTCAAGAGAATCCATCGGAACTTCTTCGGTGTCTTTCTTGCTCATTTAAAAATTCCCTTCTTACCCCAGGGCCTGTTTTTCATTTTATCGCCGCCCGATTTTCCAAACATTTCCGTCTGTTGGCTGTTTCCATGTCCCAACCTTAGAAAACATTACATAGAATACCCATTTATTCCAGCTCCATAGATGATCGGAACGACATGGAGCCGTCTCTCTACAGCAAGAACCCTACATTTCTGCCACACCCTCTATCACCGACTCGTCAATCTCAACTTCAGAGTCGCTGGATAGATCTGTGCTTTCTTTCGTCACAACAGTTCCCCCCTGCTTCTCGACAACCTCGACAACCTCGCCTATATCTTCATAGTAGTTCCCAAACACAGCAAGCTCCTTGATTGTATTCCTTCTGCAGAAGTCCACAAGAAGCTCAACGGCATCCTGCTCAAACTCGTTGTACGATATGTCGAGGATGATCCCCCCTCTCCTGGTGTCGTAGTCTCCTGGAAGAGGCATCGGCACAAACTTTTCATTTGCTCTTCTAAGAAAGCTCTTCACACCCTCGTTGCTCATCATGCAGTCCCCGGTCCTGAGCTCTCTCAGATTCCACTCGCAGTAGAGATCCCCTAGATATCTCGACCCCTCCAGCGATAGGAAGTTGTCCCTTATGTCAAGCACCTCGAGAGAGTGGCTCCTGAATGCTTTCAGAAACGCCAGCATCGTCTCCTCCTCGATTGTGTTGTACTGGATTCGGAGCTCTTTGATGTTCTCGAACTCCAGGAGTGCCTCAGAAAGCTCCTTTGGAAACGAAAAGAATCTGTTCTGTGCAATGTCTACCACCTCAAGCTTGGTCTTGTCAGCTATCTTCTTAAGATATCCCCCAAGCCTGCCTCCTCCAATCTTCCCAAGTCCACAGTTGTTCATCTTCAGGTGAACCAGATCGGTGGATGAGGAAATAAGCTCCCCGAGCTCCGGCGGAAACTCAGAACTTATTGCATTGTCGCTCAGATCGATCTTTTGCATTCTATGGCCAGCAAGTGCCTTTGAAAGCATGACAAGGTTGGAGTACAGCTTCTCCTTGTCAAGGCCCAGGAATGCACTGGACAGATTGACCACACGAAGATTCCGAACATTTCTAAGGACATTGCATATCTCCTCCATTGCCTCCTCGGAAAAATAGTTTCCGGATAGATCAACCTCAACAAGCTCGTCCATAGACATCTCCATTTCCTCCACCACTCCAGAGACATCCTCCTTTGTCTCGTATTTCTTCTTCTGATCGCCTATTGAAAACTTCATGAGTGAGGCCTCTGTTTCCACAAATTTTTACAGCTGCACGGAGGGTGTGTCTGGAAGAAAACGGGTGCTCCCAGACTGCTCTGGATTTGCAGGTCCAGGTCATTGGCAAAGATGATAAGGAGGTTGCACTCCTTAATCGTCCTTTGGAACTGGATATAATCTGGAGTGTGGGAGAAAGGAATGCTCAAGAATAGGGTGGAGGTAGATCGAAGAAGGCTTGACTTCAGTGAGGAATCAAGTGCTGGTGAGTATAATGGCAAGTACCTGGGGTTCCATGAGCAGGCCGGGGAGACTGGCACGTACAGAAAGGTAATATATAGTCAGGAAGGAAAGCTCGTTCCGCCCCAATACCACACCTGGGACAGAAACCCACATCACAAAGACACGAGCCCTAGCGATAAGAAGTATCATTCTGAATATCGTGAGGGGGAAAGCGATAGCAGGCTGGACACGCCGATATCTATCGAAGCCAAGTGGTCGCACTACAGCTCGGAATATTTTGAGGCATCGGACTCCGAGGAGTTTGACGAGAAGCTAGCATCTCTGAGACTCCTCATTCTCGAGGCTGAGGAGGAGATGAGGAGGATTGTCCAGGGAAGGGTGGACAAGCACCTTGAAATGAACAAGGAAGCTAATGAAAAGAAAAAGGAAATGAAGAGAAGGAAAAGAGAGGTGTTGGGGGAGGTCAACAAAGTGAGGGGAGAGGCAGGAGACAGGGACGACAGATCATGCGAGAGACCTGAAGAGGAGTCTGATGCAAAGGGGACGAGGATAGAGAGCTTTGCGGATTTCGAGACGTCTATGTTTCCCTATAAGTCTAAGAATGGAGCAAAGTCCTATGCCTGCCCGTACGAAGGATGCACAATGGAGCTTCCTACGCTGAGCAGAATCAAACGGCATTACATAGTCCACACGAAACTAAGGCCATTCAAGTGCTTGAACAAGGACTGTAACAAGAGGTTTTCCCGGAAAGATAACATGCTACAGCACTATAAGATTCATTGCAACTACAGTAATTACCGGTGACTGCGGGCACCTGTGGACTGCAGACATAATAGAGTGGTGTTCGGCGGCTTGACGGGGAAATCTTGGGTCCTGAGAAGACTTAAAATTTTTGCAGCATGCAAGGGTAAGATGAGCAAGCAAGCCGAAGAAGAGCAACTTGCATTCCTTGATTCCGGAAGGATCATTGGAATTATTAACCAGCTAAAGGAGAGCGAGGACCCGGAAAAGATAGTTACTATTCAGATCCAGGTGAACCTCAAGGGATTCGACCCCAGAAAGGACAATAAGGTGTCGAAGGACATGGTTCTGCCCTATAGGGTGCGGAGCCTCGACAAGACGATTGTGATCGCTGACGAGGCGCATGTCAAAGTATGTATCGATGCGAATCTGCCGTACGTGCCTATCGACGAAATAAGCGGGGACGATAAGAAGGATATAAGAGAGTCTGTTCTAAAGAAGAATAAGTTCTTTATCCTCTGCCCTGGATATAACAAGATTTACCAGCTCAAGAACATTCTTAGATGCGGAAAGACACCCCATATTCTTAGGAACGGCGACGACATCAACGCTGTTTTCGAGACGGGAAAGAAATCCTGCAAGCTCCGCATCCAGGACGACTTTTCCGTTACTTCGTTTACTGTAGGCCACACCGGGATGGATTCCGAGCACATATACGAGAACATCAAGGTGGGGATGGGACTGCTTGTCTCCTATCTAAAGAATGGGTCCCAGAACCTGAAAGGTGTGATGATCAAGACTGACCAGTCGCCTCCGGTGACTCTCTATTAAAGCTTTCCGCTTTCGACGTCCTCCGTTTTCTTTCTCGAGGGTTGCAGTTCTCTGGGCACAAAAGTAGAGGTGGATGGTGCAAAACGGATGGTGGCGATGGGATTCGAACCCACGATATCTCCCGATAACAGATCTTAAGTCTGCCGCCTTAGACCGCTCGGCCACACCACCTCGGCAGGCTGAGAGCAGGACTGGCTGATGCGCGGAACACGTGCATATATACAATTTTATTACTTCTTAGATCCTATTTGTTCTGTACTATTTGTTCTGTAAGAAGACATGCTCCTGGAGGACCCAATGATGTTTGAGAAGTTATGCTCAAGAGACTTGAAGGCAATGGCTGCATCCACAAACGGCCCAATGACATCCCCGTAGATCTCTGCATTCCGATTGGAAACTCCGAGAGAAAGGCAGTCCAGAATAAACCACGCTGTCCCAAAGAAGCTGTTTTCGTCGTTGTCCTTCTGGTCGGCGATGTCCTTAAACTCGGCCACGCTTTTCTTCTTCCTCTCTTCGTTCTGTATTCCCTTCAGCTCTCCAAGGCTTTTCTTCAACTCGGGAAGATCTCTGATGAGAAGCTCCCCCATTATGAATCCCCAGAATTCCTTCAAATCCTTGTCGCCCTTGGGCTGTGCTTTGTACAGGCCTGAGATGACTTCCTCCTTGTCGCTCTTGCTCATAATCAGGCTTGGCGAGCGGTACCAATCACCAAATAAAGGGCTGTGGTCGTTGAGATAGCTTGTTAGCCGAGTCATTGATGGATACAGAAGCTTGTAGAAGTTTCCCTCTCCAAAGGCCACTGGGTTGTGCAGAATGGCATTCCTGCTCAGCTGCTCGGGCGCAAACATCAGTGGCCTGCTTTCTAAAAACGCCGCCGTGCTTGGCTTGTAAAAGTTTGTTGGCTGAAGAACAGGGTCGTAGTACTTATAGCTGTTTTCTAGGCACATAGCCCATCCTATCAGAACTAAGCTTGAAATGGCACTCATATAGGAGGCTCTGTCCCTACTGAATTTATATTTTCCAATCTGCTCTGAAACAAAGTGTTTTAGAACTCTGAGGGAAAAAGTACCCTCGGCTATTGGATTGCCGTTATCCTTATCAATGAAAACCCAGATATTAATTTATTGATGGGTGGACGGGCCAGAGAAGAGCGCACAGGAGACGAATCAACAGTTCAGGACTCTCTGCATGTAACTGGTCACCACCTTGTGCCACGCTATGGCGCAAGGAACAGCGAGGCAAATGCAGCAACGCCATACAGCAGCACAAAGAGCGCCATGAGCCTCTTTATCTCAAATCCCCTATTCCAGAATGCAATGAAATAGTACATGGATGCAAACACAAAGCACATGAGCGTCGAAAACGTCCCCCCAATCACTTCGCAAAGCTTCTGCATCTTCGATACATTCATGGCAATTATGAAGGACAGAAGCATTATGAACAGACTCGTCACAAATCTCAGATGCTGGTATTTCCCATCCACAGAATACCTCGTGTCAAACAGGTCAAGGAAGTATGTTCTGCACGGGTGCGTCTGTAGCGGAATCGACATTGCCACAACAAGGAAATAAAACATAGGAACCATGTTCTTCATTCCCTCAGGCAGGCCTTCAAAGAAGTTCTCTCCCATGCTGTCTCCAAGAGCAAGGTAGTTGGTGAGCCCAAAAACTATGTATACCAAAGATGCCACCACCAGCACAAGAAGTGCAGTTATCTTCAGCGCTGTCTTGTCGCTTACCTTCATCTCGTTCTGCACGGAAAAGATGTTCTGGTGGCAAGTGAACCCGAACACAAAGCTTCCCAGCTCTCCCAGGTAGTTCTTATTCTTCGCCTCGGTGTATGTAGGCACCTCTTCTACATTTGCATATCTATACACCGACAACAGCACAAGACTCATGACTGCAGCAAATCCAAATGACGACGTGTACTTTAGCCTATCGATCCTGTGCATTAGTACAAACGGAAACACACACGCCACCACTCCAAGCATACACAGGGTCGGATAGCTGTTCTGCAGTCCGAAAATGCTTTTTACCGTTCCCGGAAGATTGTTCTTGAGCAGAACAAGATATGCCGTGCATACTAGGAAGCACTTGAGAGACACAGTCACATTCACAACGGGCTGCAGTGGGGGGTAGATGTATCGGGCTATTGTCGACATCGAGTTGTCCAATCCATAGAAGTCGTTCAGGTCTATGTACAGCCACAGCCCAAGAAGCGATGCCAGTGCAGAAACAGATGTCAGTAGAATCGTGTACCAAACCCCATATGTCTTGAAGAGAAATGGATATCTTAGTATCCCAGAGCCCAGAGTTGTCTTTATCAGATTTATAAAGATCGACCGGCATTCCCTTCCTGGTTTGTTTCTTTTCATATCTCAAGGGCTTTCCGATATTTCAGATAAGGTGGGTGCCTCCTGGAAGTATCCAGCTGGTTGGAGTCTCTCCACTGCTTTGCAGATAGAGACCATCAACAATTTTCCTTCTTTCTACCAACCCCTTTCGGATGTCCAAGAAAACAAATGCTGAAGCACCTACCAGTGCTAGAAAGAGCCTTACTGAGCACAGGTACTTTGGAGACCCCTCGTATACCACGAGGATTCAGAGAATCATGGAGTCGTACACGGTGTTCCGCGAGTGCATAAGAGATGGAAACTGCCTGTACGTCTCCTATGCTATTGCTCTTGCAGACCTTGTGGCACTTGAAAAGGCACCTCTGCTGAGAGCCGTGACTGCTGCATTTGATAAAACAAACTCTATTCTCCATCTGTACAACATTGACGAGCTTGGATACAGTGGATTCCATGACTCGTTTATTGAAGTCCTGGAGGACATGGCCGGCGGAGTCAGGAGGATCGAGGACATCCATCTGTATTCGCTGTATGACTGCGTTGCATATCTTAGGCTTGTCGTTTCGACAGAAATAAAGTCGAATCCGGACGAGTATCAGCCATACATCCCGGAAATCGACGTGGGTGCGTATTGTACAAGGTTTGTGGATCCCTTCTACCAGCAAGCAGGCTGTGTGGAAATATGTGCCCTCTCAAACAGCATACCAATAAGAATCCATGTTGTGGACGTCACCAAAGACAGTGAAGATGTGTATGGAAACCATCCGCAGAAAATCTCCATCCTCTACACCCACGGGCATTTTGAGCCTATATACTAGGCGGTGTAGATAGGGGAGAGCATGACGCCATCTTCTTGATAAAAGCCTCTCTTTCCCAAGGGCCTATGGGGGTGAGGCATGCCATAAAGAGCAAGAGAGTGGCCAATGTCTGGGACAGAAAGAAGACAAGAGTAAAAAGCCCGGAAAATGCCTCGAGCACCGGTGAGAACCCAAGAAATACCGAGGACTTTCTGCTGAACCACACTCTCAGACCGCCATACAACATTATTCTTGACACAAACTTCATCAATGACTGTATAAGGAAGAAATACGACATCAGGGAGCAGCTGATGAAAGCAGTAAATGCAAGCATCAAGATATGCATTCCAGACTGTGTAATTGGGGAGCTGGAAAGCCTGGGGAGGCCTTTCCGCGTTGCACTTGCATCGATAAGAGACAGCGACGTCCAGAGGCTCGAGTGTGATCACAAGGGAACCTATGCAGACGACTGCATCTTCAACAGGGTCTCTGCACACCGGTGCTACATCGTTGCAACCTCGGATGTGGCGCTAAAGCAAAGGATAAAGGCAATCCCCGGGGTTCCACTGATAACATACAGGGGGCAAAGATGCTTCATTGAGCGATTTATTCCTGCGACGCTCTAGAGTTCGAAATAAAGCAAAGAACTCCTATTCTAAGCTGTGTATTGTGTATCCATGGATCCTAGGGCCGACTCCTACAAGAAGAAGATTCCCCACCCAAGCAATATCCGAGATGTATCCATCCACGGTGATTCTCCGAAGCTCCCTTGAATCCCTGGTGTTTATGATGGAAACCACGTGTTGAGAGGCCTGGGCGACCACATGGTCATTGTACATTACCACCCTGCTGCTGAATCTGATGCTTGTCTCTACAAACACAGACTCCTCCTTGCACTCCACAACCAGTCCAGAGCATGATGTTCCAAGTATTCGCACATTTCCCCTTGTGTCTGCTGATGTCACGTTGTGCTTGACATCTCTTGTCCTGAATGTACTTGTAGAAATGCTGAAGACTCCTATCCTTCCGTCCACACACACGAACTCCAAATCATCTCCGCATATCGAGGTTGATGACACAGGTGCCTTGAACTTGTGTATCATCAGGAGCCTGTCTCCAAACACATAGCACTCTCCCTCGTGCGTCCCAGCAGAAACAACACCGCAAGAGGAGGCAAGAGAGGTTATTTCTCCATCCACCTTGAATAGGACATCTCCCGACTCCAGCGACAGGACCTCTCCACTTGAGTTATAGATGTAGATTCTGTCTCCGTAGGCCATTCCCCGGATCCTCATGTACTCGGTTGTTCTCTTCGGCAAGATTGTTCCATTTCCGTAAGTATAGGCCCTGAGCCTGCCTCCATAGGTTCCGCACCATATCTCCGATGGACTGCCCCTTGCCACGCTCAGAAACGACACAGAGTCTTCAACCTCTGTCGTAACATCAGGGGCACAATGCTCATCAGGCTCATACTCAATAACCACCCCTCTTTCCACCTCAAGGCCTCGCGAGCTTATCTCCTCAGCCAGACATCCCTCAAACTGCCGGCCATGTATGTAGAGCCTGTATCCTCCGTCTCCGCCGAGCACAGACCCTAAATAGCGCTTGAAGTCTCCAGAACAGAAGGATGGGCTTACGTGCAAGGCATGATGCTCAACCTCTGGATGCTTCCTATCCACAAGCTTCACCAGAACAGTGTCCATGGGTCATTCTGTGTCATGTCTTTTGGGCAAAGAGTCGGTAAAAAATAACTTTAATAGCGCATATTACATCCAAGACATATGTCTTGGGTCAATCTGGGCTAGCTTGAATGTGTCCATCCACTCGCTAATCATCGAAATCATGTTGTAGGTTCCATCCTCGCCTTTCCCAACCATCTCAGAAATCCTGCTCACAGCCTCGGAGCACACTCTCTTGAGCCCGTCGCCTTTCATGTCTACAAACATGCCCTCAAGCACAACCTTCATCAGATCTCTGTACCAGTCCCCCTCATTCAGCATGTCTGCATAGTGGTACATGATCGACAACATCGCCCCTTCTATCCCCTCTTTCCTGAAGAGCTTCTGGTAGCTGGGCCCTATAACTCCGGCGGCCCCCTTCCCCTTGCTCAGCCCTTCGGTTTCTTCGCAGCAAACAACCCTGTTCATAAAGTGCCCTGCTGACCTGGTGGCAACAAGGTTCCTGGGTCTCCGGTCCACAATTGAGAACGTGTACAGGAAGGCGCTATTGGTCGAATAGCTCGAAAGAAGTTTGCTCTTGAACCCGAAGTACCCTCCCAAGCTTCCATACACAAGCCTGAAGTAGTCGTCGATGTAATTGGTTGCCTTGAAGGTGTTGTACACCTTTCCATAGGCTATGTATCTCTGGCGCCTCGAAATATCGTATTTGTAGGTGCATGGAGCAACTCCTTCTCCCTTCCCGTTGCATCCAAGGCACGAGATTTCGTTTCTCCTCAAACCGTCGACATATGTCTCTCTCTGCGTCTCAATAACCATCCTGGCGTTGTTGACAAAATTCTCACCCAACCCTTCGTCTCCAGAAGATCTCTCCCTTTTCCTTATGTTGGGGCATTCGTCTCCCACGCCCCTTGTCCTTTTGTCCTTGGTAAGCCCCTTCGACAAATCATACCTGCTCTCGAGATCCCCGCAGTCTCCTTCCTCCACTTCGTAGATCGAAGCAAAGCAGTTGAGGTAGAGAAGCACACACTGGTCAATGCTTACATTGTACTCGCTCAGCCCCTCCTCCAATATGGAATCTATGTAGTGTACCGTCTCCTTGATGCATTCTAGGACAAGGACCTCGCTAACAACAAACGGAATAAATAGCTTCAGTTCAGCTCCTCTTCTGCTCAGATCCGGATTCTCACCCATGGATTCGTTGACCATCAGCGATAACTGAGGAAGAGCAAGCTCGGAAAACCTTGTCTTCAGGAGCCCCTTCATTTCATATCTATACATCTTCCCATCGCTTCCTCTCACGTGAATTCTATTGCACCCCATCCTCTTCCTGTACATGTACGACTGCCTGGGCTCAAACATTTCTATGTTTACAAGATTCTTATAGGTGCTTCTTATCTCGGAATACTGTCCAAACATCTTGTGCTCGTGGTTCGATCTGTGCAGTAGCATGTTGACCTCAAACTCCTCGGAGTTGCCCATCTTGTAGAAAGACTCCTCGACCACACTCTGGATCCTGCTTTTGAACCGCACCATCTCATCGATATTCTCCAGTGGGCAGATGCACTTCATTCCGAGAATCGAGGAGATGAGGTCTTCCTTAAACCCTTTGCTCAGTGAGGAAAGAGAAACACGGGAGATCAGCTCGTTCAGAAGCATGGCCTGGTCTTGTCCAGACGGAACAGTCCCGTGGACAATATGGGATACTGCACCATTGAAGATCTTTTCAATCTCTAGATACACAAGCTCCTCCTCCTTGAAGGCATGCGAGTTGAACGAGTTGTGAAGGTAGTGAAGAATCTTCCAGAACTCCCTCCCAAGCCTCTTGCTTTTCACCTGGTTGTATATCTGCATGATGTTTTCTAGGAAGAAGCTCTTCACTTCCGGGAGCTGCACAGAACCGAGCGGCCTGGCCTTGTTCTCCATCTTAGGCCTGCACATTTGCACCTCACATCCTACCTTTCCTTCTACAGGGACAAGGGTCCTTCTTATTCTTTCCCTGGCAGCCTTAAGAGGACCTGCAATCGCCTGTGGGTGTTCCTCGGATATCTTGGCGAGTATGATCTGCACCAGCTCAGCATCTTCCTTTGACAGCAACCCTATCAACTGGGGGATAAAGTATATGAACCTGGAGATATCGATTTCCTGAAGAACCTTGTGGAACATGTCCGTATCGCACAGAGAGGAATGCTTATCCATAAGCAGAATCAGCTTGAGAATCCCCTTCCTTGCCTTTTTGCCATTGCAGTACACAACTGCTTGGAGTAGCGCGACAAAGGCATCTTCCTTCGGCCCCACCCCCTCACCGTTGATTCTATTAAAAAGAAACTTTGCCCATGTGAGCCAGTTTTCCCCAACAACATTGCATATCTGTACAGACTGCAGGTAAAACTTCTCAGCATCAGAAAACTTCCCAAGCTTCTCACTGAACAACCCCCTGAAATTGAACAGAACAGAGCTCTGTGAGTCACTGAAGTGCTGGATATTCGTTGACCCGCACTGCTCAACGCCAATCTTGTACTCCTTCTTTCCAAGGAGACAGAGAAGCTCATACACAACCTTTTGAAATACATCTCCAACCTTAACGCTACTTAGGTCAAACACCTCCTTCAGATGAAACAATGCAGCATCATAATATCCGTGCTCAATAGCAGCCTTTGAAAAGCCATTTAGTGTCTTTGCCAACTCGTTCGTTCCCTTGGCGATCAGCTCCTTCTTTACCTTTATGCTGCCTTCAATCATTTCTTTCGGAGAAAACAGATGGGATGTCATGGGGACCCTTCTGCCTGGAGAAGCCGCCATCTCCTCAGCATAGCTTCTTCCAGGAGCCTTGTATGCCGTTTCTCCACCGTACGTCTTCTCGATCATCCCTAGCCTTGAGTATGCATGCCTTCTCCATGTTCTGAACAGACTCCACTGCTCAAAGACGTCTTGATCAGACGGCTCCTTATCCTTCCATCGGAACAGTATTGATGTTAGAGACTCTGCCCCGTCTATCCTATCGTTGAATATGGGCTCAGCCTCAATCATCTCTATTATAATCTGGAGGTACAGGAGAAACCTGGACCCCGCGTTGCTCCCTGCAGGATAACTTCTGAGCTCTAAAATGTTCCTTTCCAGAATCTTTCCGATCTTCTCCGCGGAATACTTTGCATATGTGCTTGCAAACGCATCGTAGAACTCCTTCTCAAACCCGTTCTTCCCGGTGTCAACCATGCTCTTGAATCTCTTCAGAGCATCCTGGTCTGTAAAGCTGGAAAGATGCCACAGAGACTCAGTGCTCAGCGAATAGTCTCCAGTCTCTATCCCTGCCTCGTAGCACACATCCCATTGCTGCAGCTCTCTTGCACATCTTATCCACTCATCCTGCCATTTCTTGTACTCATTCTCGTCAAACGATATCCTGTGCTCCCCTGCCTTTTTCTGTATCTTCTCGTAGAGATCCTGCGCCTCCCTTGTCTTTCCAACCTGCTGAAGGAAGTATGCTTGCATCGTCTCAGGGAAAATGCACACAGAGCGAGACATCCCATAGTATCCGTCAGAGTCCATAAGCCTTCTATATATCTCCGCCTTCTGCCGGTCATCCACATATCTCAATAGTGTAAACCATCCGTCTCCCCCTCTAAACACCCTGATCAGCTCAGATAGGTCGTCTACATATCTGTAGATGGGCTCAAGTCCCCGGACAAAGGCACCTAGAAGCTTCCCGTCTCCTGCAACCTCAGAACAGAACCTCATAAAGCCTCCAAACACATTTCTGCACTGGTCTTCATCAAGCCCAGACACCACAATCCTTATCATTCCAGCAAGCACAGGAAGCAGTGAGTCGTCAAAGTGGTACAGAATATCAAGGAGGTCCGGCATTGTTGTCCTCGATCTATACAGATCAATGTCCTCGAGAAGATTCATGACCAGCTTGAGTCCGCTGCACTTGTCCACAGATCCTTTGGAGGCTACCTCTTGAGACATCCACGGATACCACCCGGTGCTCATTTCGCTTTTGTAGTACTTATCTGCCACTACTTCGGTCGTGTGGTACGAAAGCATCATCATGGCAACGATGGTGTATCCAACTTTCGTGCTGTGTCTCCATTCCATGTCCAAAAGACGCAGAAGCCTCAGGTACTTGTTTGCAGGAAGGCTGCGGTTCATTAGATCCAGGTATCCACTCCTTAGAACCCTGCTCCTCGAGCAAAGTCCCCTCATGAAAAACCTCTGCAATCTATCTGGAAAGACAATCCCAGAGTGCCGATAACTGTTGAAAACTGGGAGCAGCATCTCACTCAGGAATTCTGCGTCATATCTCCTGTTGTCCAGGAGATAGATAATCTCAATCTTGTCTGCAAGGGTTACCCTGGAGTCAGACATCAGGAAATTTACCCTGCTTACCAAAGATTCCATGTCCATAGAGCTGTCTCCGAAGACCTCCAGAAATAGCCTGGTGACCGAGGACACAACACTCTTCATCCCTGAAGACCGCGACAGAACATAGAATATCTTTTCAAGTCCTCTGTCCACATGCCCACGATACATCTCACTTCTACTCTTGCTGGGGTCACCAAGTAGGTGCCGGAGCACTGCCAGGCATATCTCCATATCCTCGGCATCATTCGAGTGCCACTCACCACCTCCAGCCTCAATTCTTCTAGCCACCCTATCACAGAGTATGCAGAGAAGGTTGCACAGTGTACTCCAATCATATGCAACAACGCCCAGCTCCTCAGGAACCGTCCTGTAGCCCCACAGCAGATTGTCTATCAAATACTCAGCAACCTGGACACTAAGAGCCCTCGACTTGAAATGCGGCCCCACGATCGAGAAGACATTACGAAGAAGACGATTCTTGTACTCCTCACTCTTCTTGCTAGACACCTCCATCTCAACAAATGCAAACACATTATTGGGATTCACCCTCTGAGGAGAGTACTCCACCAATTCAAAGACAAGCTCAAGATCATACCTTCCAAGCACTTCCTCAGGCAAGTCCGCATCCGTATGCACAAACCTTACATACATAAGCGTGTATGTGTTCCTCATCACCAGGTCATACTCCACACATTCCTTCGGGGGATACCTCTTATACAGAGCCTCAAACAGTCTGAACCCCGTCCTCTGCTGCATAAGGCTTTCAGAGTTGAGAAGCTTGTAGATAGACCCTATAAGCTCAAGCCCAATCTTCTTGCTGATGAGTGCCGGGCGAGATAGAAGCAGAGGAAACAGAATCCACAGGCTTGTCTTGAACCGCACCTCAGATCGGAGCACAATCAGAATTATCTCCTCAAAAAGAAGAGGGTCGAAGGCATCCACAATCTTTTCCAAGCAGTACAGAGTATATTTCCTGTCCTCGTATGGAATCTTAAACAGGATCTCAAAGTAGACATATAGAGGCTCAAATGTGCACAAGTAGTACAGTAGGATTCCCCTGATGTTTGTGTTGTGCAGGTTTTCCTTGCAGTACCCAATAAGCTCCGGGGAATTGATGCCCATCTCTACAAACAACTCAATCACTAGATACCTGTTTTCTCCCAGGGAAGATCCCATCTGAGAAGATACCCGCTCGCTTCTCTTGTCAATGCCACGAACAACACCTCTAAGAGCCTGTAGAGAAAGCCCCTTCGCAAGGTATTTGGGGTCAATCCCTTCCACACACACAAACCACGGATCCAGCTTAAATAGCATCTCGAGGCTCTCTATCGAAAACCTGTTGATGCACTTGTCTATCAGACCCTTCATTTCTGCGGCATGCCGCGCTTTGGCCTTCACATCGCCATAGATCCCAAGAACAACCTGGATGTCCACAGGCTTCATCTCATATCCAACAAGATCAAGAAACTTGTACGAGTGCACAAACACATTTCTGTCTATGGAGTCGTTTCCTTCCAGCCTACAGTATATCTGCGATATTCTCTCTGCAAGCCTATCCTTCATCCCAGATACCACCTCCCTAAGCCTTAGAGAGTCTCTGCACATGCGAGAGCACAGGTTGTAGGCCGACGGGTCTTGGATCCTCCTGAACACACAGCTTATGAACTGCGATCCAAGTCTCTCCACATACCTGACCATCTGAGGATGCATCTTCGATGTGTAGCTTCTGACACACCCGTCAAGCACAAAGTAGGTTTCCAGGATTTCATTGCACAGGGATTCCTGACTTTGTAGCAGAATTCCTATTTCATATGCCTTTGCCAGCATCGAGTACCTGTCATTCTGCGCTATAATTGCAAACTCCTTCGGAACCCTGAACTCCTTCAGAATCTTCAGAACTAGCATCCCCACCCGGGGATTTTCAGGGACCTCTGGTAACAAGTGCGCGCAAAGCAGCATGTTAAGGACTTTGTAGTCAACCTTCTCAGACAGGCACCTTTCAACCTCCTCAGACACCACTCTTATTGTCTCCTGGGGCTTTGCCTCATACGCTGCCCTGAGATAGTCCCTGCTATCGTCAGACACATACTTTAGCAAATATAGAATCCCTGTCCTTACCTCTTCAAAAGACCTTCTATACTCAATGACAAGTAGATAAAACTCTCGTATCCAGTACATCAGCTCTTCCGCTTCGTTGTTGAAGTGCGGAGAGCGTGCTTCCGTGTGCCCGTGAACCCTCCTTTTACAATTGCCACACAGGACGTCCATTGCATCCTTCAAAACGAGCTCCATCAGATCCCTCATAGATAGCTCAGACAACCTCTTGTAGATCCCTCCCAGGACAACTACCAGATCTTCCTCGTCGTCCATGAGTTTCTTTTGGCATCCACAAAGCTTCTCGCAATCTACTTTGCCGCTCCTCTCTCTGTAATCAAATCCCATGTAGATTCCTGCCCCCTTCCACTCGTCGTTGCCTGCAATGTTGTCCAGAAACTTCTCAATAAGATACTTCATCTCACAGTCATCAAACGGACATCTTCCCTCTCGAACACAGAAGATAAATACCTGAAGGTGCATCATCATCACCGTCCTATTTCCAATAACATATTCCTTCTTAAAGTGTCCAAACACAACATCTTTATATCTTTCTAGAAGCTGAGGTGCATAGCTCTCGAATATCTCTCTCAACACAGTCTTTGAAAACTCAACAACATCCCTTCTGCTGTCGAAAAGCCCCACAACAAACGGCCTGAAGTGAGACATCATGAAGTACTTCTCCGTCCCTTCAGAAAGCAAGTAGCCTCTGATTCCCCTGTACCTGAACCTCAGAATAAAGATAACAAGCCTGAGAGGAAGAGAAAAGTCTTCCAGCTCCCGTGGAAGAAGATACAGGTATGTGCATGAAAACGCATCTTCGGGAATTCGGAGGAGAACCAGCTCCCTGATCGGCATGCTTGCAGTAAGACACATAATCCCATTGATTCCTGAATCCCTGCACCTCCTGTCTGAAGATCTGCACATGGATTCGAGCTTCGAGAAAATCGCTCCATACATCTCAACACAAAAGTCCTCAGACCTGCTTCCAAGCAACTCGTACATCTGGACAAACATTACAGAGAGGATCCTGAAGGGCATCGGATTTCCAACGTCGGAAAATGACTCGACAAGTGCATCAAGGAACGTGTCCGTGTCAAAGAGAATCTTGTACCTCTTACTCTTAAGCTTATAGAACGAGAATATCCTATGAACCATCACCGATCCGAAAATCGAGTGGAGGAGCTCCTGGGCCTTCTTCTCAAGTGGGGTTCCATGACAGCTGAAGAGTGCAAGAATTGCATCGTAAATGTACTGGGCTAGATGCCGACTTTCCGAGCATCTCCTGCCGCATATGGACGAAATGGCGCCGTGGACCGAATACACATGGTCCAATGCATAGACCACACTTCCCAGCCTCTCCATCTCATCAAGAAGGCCTGCACAGCATTCCAGCACCAAATCCCTTTTAAAGAACCTCCACCCAACAAGATGGTAGATCACCTTTGTCATAAACTTGAATGACGCATTCACTGCTTCCTCATCATCACACCTGGGCCCCAGCCTCCTAAACCTGACAAGGAACCCTTCACATCCAAACCCGCCAGCAGACATATCAAAGGCTCCTCTTATCTTTTGCACCGCATCAAAGAACAGAAGATGTGCAGGAACCGCATGTTTCTCGTCAACAACCAGCCTGATGAGCGCCAAGTCCTCGTTCATTTCCCCGGATTCCTCGCCATCCTTGATAAACACCCTATGGTAGCTCTTGAGTTTTCCGAGTATCTTCGAGCACAAAGACGATACAGAACTATCCTTCAGGCCGCACACCACATTCTGGAGAATACTCTTCCATGCCTTTTCAAGCCCCATAACCTTTTCTGGCGTCGAAAAGTCAAGGACATATACAAGAATCGACAGCGCTCTGACCCTTATTGCCCCTCCCAGCTTCAGCGCCTTTTCGATGGGGCTTATGAGAAGCTGGATGTCCGACTCAAGCAGATTGATGCTTATTGGTAGTGCAAATATCATTCCTATAAATATATCCTTGCCCTGGCTCTCATAAAGCTTCATGAGGTGCTCGACTATCCTTCCAAAGTTGTCGAAGATGTACTTCTGGAAGAAGCTACTCTTCTCTGCCATCGATCCAAAGCTGTTGAAGATCTCCAGTAGAACCTCGAAGTACTGTATGTTCCTGGGATCCTCGGTCATCAGTGTCGAGATGATCCTGTGCATGAAAAATGTATTTACTCTCTTTATCTTCTTTATGTCATTCCCAAAAAACGGAACAACATATCGCATTGCTTTCTTGACAAACCCAAAATTCCCGCCCCTGAGCTCCTCAATCAGACGTGGGAGTATATATGTACCTAGCGAATTTCCTAAGACTGCAGAGTTGCTCATCAGCCTCCATGCTCCAAAAAACCCTGCATTTCTTTTGCTGTATCTCAGGATCCGTTCAGAGCAGCACCTGACTATGTCGCTGGCAACGTGCTCTCTGATGAGAACCAGTACAGAGAAAAACTCTTCGATCCTTTGCTCCTCGCACAAATGTTCGTGGGAAAGCACGTCAAAGGAATCCTCAAACATCTCGTAGAGTATGTGGGTCTCAGACATCGAAAAAACAGCAGTACTTCCCGACTTCTCCAAAACCCCAATCCTTCCAACTACCTCTTTAAATCCAGAAATGAATCTTCCCATCAGCCTCCTGAATTCTTCTTTTTGGCCAGAACATCCAAGTTCAGCCAGCCTCTTGATTCCCTCAAACCCATTTCTCATGTCGTAAAAGCTTCTAAGGTAGAAGCTGCAAAGCTCCTCCACAGCACCAGTTCTGCCTCCAAAGCATTTACACATGCTTTCCACTGCCTCTAGGCTTGTCCTGATAGTCTCAATGTGCTGCACAACTTCATCGCATATCCTTTCCTCAAATAGCAGGCCTTTATTGCTATCTCCTGAACTCTCTTTACATAGCCTCCCAACCAAGGAGCAAGACGAAAAGAGAACATTAGACACCCTGGATCCGAACTCTATGTATGATGTTTTACTGAGACTTTCCTTCATATAGCCAAGTATTTCAGACAGCATTCCAATCCCCTTGGCACTTGTTGGCAATGCATCAGGTGAAAACAGAAACGGAACCATGTATATCTTGTCTATCATGGGGAGAGCCATCTCTCTGCTCGCCAGGCACATCTTGGTAAACAGCGTGTATATCTCGCCCCGGAGATCTAGGAGCTCCGAAGGGCAGTAGTACATCCCAACAAACGCTGCCTCAGAAGCAAACATCCAATACGGCCCAGACTTCGATACCACGGGAAGCTGCTCATATGTCAGCTTCAGGAGACTGCATATTCCAGAACACATACTTATCGAAAAGACCCTCTTATGCCCCACCAGGTCCATGAATCTCCTGCTCTCAAGAATCCTCCTGATGTTTCCATACACACAGGCTAGAAACTGGTCAACCTTAGTGACATGATATTCCAGCCCATGGAAAAAGGCTCTAGCATGGTTCAGCATTTCCGTAAGCGTAAACAGAGACATTTCAATAAGCCCCTCATCCCCATTCTCCATGTTCACAAAGAGGTCGTGGATCGTCCCGAGAAGAGCTCCCACATGCACATCCACTAGGTCTCCACTAATAACCCCAGACCTGCTCACCGAACCAAGCGCCTTCAGTGACAGAATCACGTTTGGAAGGTTGTCATTCCGAAGCACGTCATGGAGAGCATGCACCAGCCCTACGCTCCGGACATCCTTCAAGATAAACTTGTTTAGAATTCGAAGAACAGTGTATCTCGATTCGTTTCTCCCAGAAATAAACGACGACTTCTTCTCAGGTTCCGTACTGTTAAGTATCTTTGTGGCAAGCATAGCCAGTGATTCCAGAAACTCCTGTGGGAAAAAGAGAGTTTCGAGGAATTTCCCACTCTCCACATACTTCTTAAGCCTGCTAATCTTTGCCTCGTTTGGCTCGCTACCTGTAAAAAGCTCCTTCATCATGGGCTCCTCCTTTTTTTCTTTCTTCTCCAAAAAAAATTGCCTATTCTCTGGACATGGCGTTGTCGCAAGGGACAGTACGATGAAAAGTCTTTATTTATAAACTCCAACTCCATCTTAGCATACCCTCGTGAAAGGCAGTCCTCTCACATCTCCTCTCCCTTTTCCACCATACCTCTGAAGATGTCAAATGTTTTCCTCTTGTTGATTATCCGAACCTCCTCACTCTTGACACTGTCTTCAGACCTCTCAAAATATCCAAGAACATCTCTGTTCTCTTTTACATAGTCGACATACTCCGCAGGCATTTCATAGTGGGGCGCAAGGTCCTCTAGATCGCTACACAGGCTGACTATCTCCCTAACCACGCCAACAGGAAACTCAGGCAGGGCCCTGTTGTCGCAGATGCTCGACAGCAGCTCAAACCTCCTGGCCACCTCCAGAGACACAGACTCTATACGGCCCGTGGAGACTTCCTTGGCAAACCCGATCCTCAGGCTATTCTTGATGTAGGATTTCATCGGGGCTTATGCAAGCCCGACAACTTCTTCCGATGGCACAAACTAGGCCCTGGAGATGGAGCAGCAATTTATCCTCAGACTGCACGAGTCGATAAAACATGTGGTAGATCTCGGAAACTCAACAATAGACATATGCGACGACAGGTCTGTCGTTCTGACCCACAATAACAAGAAATATCCCGGGATAGTTGTAAGACTTCCATGCATAGTTGAGTCCCAGAAGACCATGGACAGCCGGCAGCACTACAAGGTTGCAGACATATCCACTCTTGTCGTCGTGTATCCCGACGACAGTTTCGATTTTGATAAGGAAAGGGAGATGTACGAGCTGAGTGGACTAAGCCCGCCACTGAAATACGTGAAGGCAAGGAGGTTTAGAAAGAAGAGTAGCAAGATTGAGTATGTTGAAGAGATTGAGAAGAAGGTTAACGATCTGTTGGAGAAGGACATGAAGGCCAGATCTGTTGAGGTGGTTGCAAAGGAAGAGAAAGAAACTTCTGACGATCTGGATGTGTTAGCAGCAGAGATTGAAAACAAGCTAGTGGACAACGCCGAGGCACACAAGGAAGAGGTGCAGAGCCGTCCCGACGAGATTGGGGAGAAGAAGGAGGAGCAGCCTCGGAATGAGGAGATTGAGCGTTTGGAGAAAGGGATTGAGGAGAAGAGGAGGCAGATGGAAAGTGCGCTGAATCCCATTCTCCAGAAGAGGTTTGAGTCCCAGCTCAATGTTCTACTGAAGGAGCTTGAAGACGTGAAGAAAGGCATGGAGATGGAATAGAGGACGGGCCTGTATGAATAAATGCTATTCTGCTACAGTAGGATTCGGATCTTGATTAATTCGGCGATTGGATGGATGATTTGGAGGATGAAAAAATTACTCCTTGGGGTTTTGGATGAAGTCAAACATGAACACTAAGATATTGAGGCTTGCTGTTGTGGAGATACTGTCGCAGAGTGGATTTGACAAGACAGCAGACCAGGCACTGAATGTCTTGACGGACATCCTGAGGTACTACATCGAGCATCTTGGGTGTAGGATGAGGAGAAAAGGCGAAAATGGAATTGTTCCTGAGCTTATATGCAGATTTCTTGTTGATGAAGAGTATGGAGAATGCGAATACCAGATTCCGGAGCTTCTGTCTTTCCTGAGGTACCAGGTGACTGTGAAGAACTATCTGAACGACAGATACAGCGTGGGGAGCGAGGAGTCTATTCTTCATATCCTGCGGGTTCTCCCGAAGAATGCACAACTTCGGATGGTGATGAGGAATGGAGGCAATCTAAACGACATGAACGAGGTTGAGAAGGAGGTTGTAGAAGAGGACGTGAGGCTTGACGAGTTTACAAAGGAATTTGTCGAGTCGAGCCTACAGAAGGCGGGGAAGAGAGAGGTGAGGGAGTATAGACTTGAGTCGGTGGATCTTATTGACGGGGAGCCCGCAAGGAGGGTGAAGATTGGGGATGGAGAGTTCAATGCGATCCTGGATCAGAAGCAGAATGGAATTGATTTTCTGGAGGAGCCTGGAGTGCTTGCAAGGGACTTTGCGATCTGGAACAATCGGCATGTTTTCAAGGGATACGAATGATGGGTGTATCTGCTTTGGTATTAAATGTACTCTTATTGAGTGTGTTAATGTGGTGGGATTTTTAGCTTTTCTCCTGCTACCCCATGGGTGTATGCTCGAATTGTTCCTGTGAAGACTTTGCAGAAGACACGGCGCAAGGGGCGGTCTACTGCACGACATGCGGGATGGTGCAAGAAGAAAATGCAATAGTTGCATCGCTGAACTTCAATACCGAGGGCCCGAAGGCCACCCTGAATGGACAGATTGTTGGGATTGACTCGAGAAACGTTGGGACTGGATTTGTTGACTCAAGCTACTACATCAAGAACACAATAGGCGGGATATGCGCATCTCTTGGGCTTGGTGTGGACCATGTTGAATGCTCATTCAGATGGTACAAGCTTCTCCTCCAGTACAACCTGAGCAAGGGGAAGTCGATTCTGTATACCTTAAGTGCATGCATCTACATTGTCTGCAGGCAGGAGAGGACGCCGCACATGCTGATGGACTTTTCGAATGCACTCCACATTGATGTATTTAAGATAGGAAAAAGCTTTTTGAAGATAACTAACATGCTTGGGATTGACATTCCACTGATTGACCCGTCGCTCTACATGCCACGGTTTGTTTCCAGGCTCAGGTTTGAAAGCAATGAGGTGCTGGGGCTTTCTCTAAGGCTGATAAGCAGAATGAAAAGAGACTGGATTGTTGTTGGGAGAAGGCCAAACAACCTGTGTGGAGCGGCTCTTCTGATCGCGTCCAGAATAGTTGGGGAGGAAAGGAGCATATACGAGATAGCAAAAATAGTTCATGTTTCTGTAAGCACGATAAACAAGAGGCTGAAGGAGATAGGGGACACTGAGAGTGCAAACCTTAGCATTGAGGAGTTTAATGCGACATGGATCGACAAGGAAGAGGATCCTCCTGCTGTCAAGATGAAGAGGATGGAGATGGCAAAGAAGCAGGAGTGCGAGTCTGGGAGCACGGAGACGCTTCTGTACTCGACGCCTCAGAGCAGTATCGACAGCGACGCCTCGTCTGATTCGGAGGAAATCGAGAGAAATATCCTTTCGCCTGAAGAGAGTAAGAAGAGGGAAATCGTGTGGGAGGAGATGTATGGCGACTTTATGAGGGAGCGAGAGAAGAGGATGAAGAGCGGTGTTAGGAAGGGGAAAAGAAGAAGAAGGAGCGAGGAGTTTGGATCGATAGTCGAAGCATTCAGAAGTCTGGATAAGAGGATCTCTGGAAAGCTGAACTACCAGGCAATCGAGAGCATCTTTGATAAGCTATGAAGTGCAGGAAGCACCAGCCAGTTGTCACTTGGATAGCGGATGGCCCGGCTCTGGAATTTGGCGGCTTTTTATTTACAGGGTGTAAAAGGGGGCCTAAGGGGAAATATATGAAACAACAAGATTATTTACCATGGGAGACGAGGTCACGCAGAAGATAGAGAAGGAGGTGGAAGATCTTCAGGGAGCTCTCAAAGACCAGCTGAAGACCCAAAGAGACCTTGGAGACCTCGAGGCGAACTTAAAGTCTGAAACGTTTACGCTGGAGAGGGCAACTGAGGAACACAAAGCAGCTGCAGAAGAGGCCAAGAACAAGCTATTCTGGAAGAACTTCAAGTACTTTCTCATTGCAGGGATAGTGGTGGTGCTACTTTTGTTCGGGATTTTTGGAAACATTTTCAAGAAATGACCAAGGATCTTGCGTGCACAAAGCTTTTAATATGTTTGATAAAGCTATTTCTTACTACCCATTCTTGATGCAAGAACTATCTTTCTCAGCTTGAAGTCCATTATCTTCACTGTCCGTGCCAGGGCTGAAGATATGTTCGGGAACGGAGGAGTGCCTCTCCGGCAAAAGACATCCGACAGCTCCCTGTGTATTTTCCCAAAGTTTATTCCATGCTCTCTATATATGTTGGATGTCCTGAGGTCGTTTATCTGTGGGCGGCTTGATAGCCTTTTCTCAAGAAGACTTCTGTTCAGTCTCATCATTCTTCTGGCGTTAGTCCTGCTTGTCTGGGCGTCTGCCACTTTCTTGTTCCTCACAGGGAAGTCCAGGTATTTGACCACCTCGTACAGAACATCGTTGTTCATTTCCAAGATGGTTCGGAGCGTTTAAAACCGCCTGACAGACATGGCCCAATCGTCTGTATCCAGAGAGTTATGAAGCATGACATCCTGGATTTGGAATACCCATTTGGCAGTGGAGGATTTGCCAATTAGGGATGATGAGCCTTGTGGAATGGAACTGAAGTTTGGATCCTTGCGGAAGGACACGCGCATAAAATTTACCCCTTCTATCGCCCTGCTCAAGAAGAGATGAAGCTAGAAGACCTGTTTATTAGACTGAGAAATGACCCGTCTGCGATGCCTGAGATAGAAAGAGAGATCCAGAGGTGTGTCGACTCACCAGATCTTGTCCCTGTCAAGGAGCTGATGAACTCAACAATTCCAGAGGTCAAGTTCTATGCCTTGAAGATTGTTGAACATAGAGTCCGAAACAAGAAGATGGCCGGTGTTGTCCCTGCGGAGGAGATTGAGCTTATGGGAGGAATGGTGCAGATGATTGAGGCGGACAAGGCTGCACAGGTGTTTGCCCTTCTTGGGATTTACGAGTGGCCCTCCAGCTTTCCCCAGTTTTTCTCGATCATCATAGACCTCCTGTCACACAAGAAAAGAATGGGATACAAAGTCCTGGAGAACTTTCTCTATCTGTGCAATTACAGCCAGGAAATCAATGAGGAAAGGAAGGACGAGCTGAAGAGAGGATGCGCTGTCATGTCACACGCATACATGCCCCTGCTTGATGACTCGATGGCCGAGTATGTCATCCCGATACTCACGGAGTCGCTTAAGATGATGCCTCGGACGTTTGATTGCAGCATAGTTCTAAGGAGAGGGGCCGAGTTTCCCGACAAGACCATCGAGTTCCTAAGTGATGGAATGGAGATGCTAAGGATAGAGGATGTCATTGACCTCGCATCCAAGATGGACATTTCATACGGGATGATCATGTGCTTTAATGGCTTGAAGAATAAGGCACCCCGGGTTCGGAACCTCAAGAAGATGTATGAGTATGTCTTTAAGGGTCTAAGGAAGGACTTGATCACATTTTCTGCATCCATCGAATTCTGGACAAAGCTCTTTGGGCACGATGGGTCGGAGGAAATAGTTGGAGAGGTACTAACAGAGGTTGTTTCGATCTACCTCAGCATTGATGAGAGACAGGGGACGGAGATAGAAGGAGAGGTGTTTGGGCTGTTCAATGCCATCTGCAGAAACTATCCAAGCTCTGTTATCGGGTTCCTGAGTGTCAACGGAGATTGCATAGGACGGAAGCTAGCTCTTCACTTTCTAAAGAAGCTCTTCGGGACCTCTTCTCCATCAAATGTTCCTAGTGGCTTTGCGTTTAAGGACCCCATTCTGCGCTGCTCACTGTCTGTTTACAAGAAGGATATTTCTGCCATAGACTATATCCAGTACTTCGACCTCAGCGAAAAGGAGGCCTGCAGGCTGGTTATCAGGATTCTGGAGCTGTTTCCGCTGACGGATCTTCAGCTTGAGCACATATTAGGGAGGTGCAACGCTCCGGACAAGACCTACACAAACGAGGTTATTGTCGAGTGTCTTACAAGGCTTGGACGTGAGGAACAGTTCACGGGGAGATGGACACACGACGAGCTCATGAGATTCTTCTTCTACATGAAGAAGTGCCCTGAGAAGTTCCGCCACCTTTCAAACTCCTACTATAGAGTCTTTTTAGAAAAGGCTCCTTTTGACAGATGCTTTGCTATTCTCAGGATGCTGGGGAATGTCCCCGAAGAGATACTTCGAAAGATATATTCGGACCTAGATACTTATACATTCATAGATGTTTCGTGCTTCAACAGGGATCTCCTGGGATATTTGGAAAGCCCGGGGCCATTCATTCAGAAGGAGGTTAGCAGACTTGTGAACGAGTGGAGTATTTCCGAGGACCCTGCAGACCTTATTGTGTGTGTGAAGTCTCTGGTGCATGTAATAGGCCATACATCCAGTGTCTCAAAAGATCACAGGTTCTGCCCATACATCAACGAGCTGGTTGAAGTCCTTCAAATAGATGACCAGACAGTTGTGAAGAAGGTGTCGGAGACATTCAATGCCCACAGTGGGCCATTTGATACACGCAGAGCTGTCTATCTATTTATAGTATCATACAACTCAGGAGCTCTTGAAAATGCACATCCGTCGATTGTGTCGTCTCTTACTGTATGCATAAAACAGGAGGATGGAGCAAGGGCCTTCAGCGATGTCTTGGGAATAGACCAATCAACATGCATAAACCTGAGAGAAGATGTGCTGAAGTCCCAATCAAGAAAGGCTCAGAGCCTCGTCAGGGTCTTTTTACAGAACTACAAAGGAAAGCCGCTTAACTCCCTCTACGCAAACGACTTTAAAGTTAAAGGACAGAACTTTCTTGAGAAGATCCCAAAGAAAGATGTTGAGCTTGAAATCGAAAGATCCTTTTTCGAGGACGGGGTGCAATAAAAACCTTTTAATCGTCTGCAGTCTTCTTCTGGAGACTCGAGGTTGGTACTACATCGAATACGGCCAGGTTTCTCTTCTTCAGCTTCTTTCCAAAGAACTTAAGGATTTTAGCCTTACGTTCGTCAACCACATCACCTCCTTCACAGACAGTATAGTCCTCGCTCAGCTGCATTTGGTCGTCCTTCGTGTTCACTGGGAGAATTTCAGCCATCTCTTTGTTTCGAATCACTTGTTTCTCTATAATTACACAGTCCGGACAAACATCATTTTCCTCAAGGAAGTCTTCATACTGATATGATCTCGCCTTTTCGATAGCCTTCTCATCCCCAAACATCAGGAAAAATGAGTCCTTGGGCATCGAAGGCATGCTGTACATAGCTCTTGCCATCTTCTTTCTGACAAACAGAATTTTGGCCTCTCCATCAAAGTCCTCTCTGATCTTCTTGATCGTGGCATTCGACATGCCCGGATTTTCAATGACCGCAACAAGAGGATACTCCTCTGCATACCTCCCGATCTTCTCCAGCCCTGCATGCCTTTTTTCCTTGCTCTTCTTTGCAACTGCTCCCATTCAGGGGTGGTAAAATTTTCATAAACGGTCTCCATCTAAATGACATCAAGCCTTTTCATAAGAATCAGTATGATTGTAGAAGATACCAAAAACATCACAACCAGGAGCCAAATAAACACAATCCCTGCCTTTGGTCTGGCAGAGAGCTTTGAGTGCATCCCAGGAGCCCTTAGGCTGAAAAGCTGGGCATAGTCCTGGCTGATTCTAAACCCGCTTTTCTGCCCTCTTCTGATTTCCTCCGCTGTGCTTTCGATCTGTGCAATCAGTCTTTTTCTTTTCTCCTCGTCAGCCATGAAGCTCATGAACCTTCAACCTCGTAAGGTTTTATTGCCGTAAGGAGAATAAAGGAGATCCCTCCTCTCGATCCACAAAAGGGGAAATTAAGGAGTACCGGCCGTCACAAAAGCATCCCCCAAAATGGCTCCTTGTTTCAGGTTTTATTTTTAAGTCCTCAGAGGGAAGGTAACAAATGACCTTACTAGAAGAAAGGCTAAAATCCTTTTTCCAGCTCAACAAGGAAATAATACTCCATGGAGAACTAAGAATTGCAATGGGAAATGAGGCATGCGACCTGGACTCGTTTATAAGCTCGTTGGTGGTTGCATATGCAGAAGATGCTGTCCATGTTGTTAACATGAGGAAGGAGGTCTTCATGGCCAAGGGAGAGATGATGTGGATCTGTAGCAGGTTTGGAATAAATGTGGATGACCTGATATTCCTGGTCAAGCCGACGCTACACTTTTCCCCAAAGGCAAGAAAAGTAGGGGCATACTTTGATGTCGAGGGCAAAGAGTGCCCTATATCTGGGAAGAAGATAAAGCTCCTCCTCACCGACCACAACAGGCCTGTCGAGGTATTCGATGACTGCGAGATTGAGCTGATCATAGACCACCACACGCTTTCCGACCATGTCTTTCCTGCAAAGAGAATATACATCGACCTAGATGTCGGGTCTGCAACCACACTGGTTTCAAGGTATCTTGGAGAGGATCTGACAAGGAAAAACCACCGCACTGCACCCAGGAGCAGGCCTCCAAAAGACGAGGAGAGAGAAGCCCTGTGCTCAGCCTTTGCTAGGCTCCTGCTTGTTCCGATTCTGATAGACACCGGATTCCTAAGGAAGCGCACAAGTATCTTCGATGTTGTCGAATACAAAAAGCTAAAAGACTTGGCAGGCGTGAGGAGAAAGGAGCTGAAGAAAGTAGTCCGGGCCCTAAAGTCTGCCCGCAGGAACGATTCCGAGCACGAAACAGACCTAATCCTCCAGAAGGACTTCAAGGCATTCCACTACAAGAAGTTCTTCTTTGGAGGGTCTACAGTGAAGTATCCATTCGAAGACTGGGCGGACAGGGAGGGAAAAAGCATCAGCGGCCTCCCAGAGAGTAGAACAGGAATGGCCCTGATGCTGCAGATCGAAGCCTTCCGAAAGGCAATGGGGTTGGACTTCTTCTTTGTGGCAACCAAAAACAGGGGAGTGAGGAGCATAATCTTTGCAAGCTTTCCTTTTGTGAAACAGCTCGTTAGGAAAAGCAAGATGAAGAGCATCGAATACAAGGGACTGGAGTATTACTCTGCAAACAAGAAATTGACAAGGAAGATTCTTGTTCCCGAAATAGTTAAGATAATCGACAAGCACACAGGCGATCCAAAGCGAGACAAAAAAGGCTCGTAATAGTCCAGGGCTTGCCGTTAGCAGAGGTAATCATAACAGGTTTATTACAAACTTTCTAATAAAAAGTCATCTGAAAGAACCAGGTGTCATGTCGGCAGACATGTCTCTATTGAAGGAAATATCAAATCCCCTTCTATAATCGCTCATGTGAGGATTACTTAGAGGCTCTGGAGCTTCCCCTCCCACCACCCTATGCTCCTGGGAATAAAAGTTTTGGGAGTGTGAGCCTCCCATCTTCTCGACCATGTCCTCCATCATCTGTCTTTCGTCTAGAACATGCTGCTTTGCATATGCATCTCCCATCCTGGGAGCAAAGTCTTCTCCGCCATGGTGCATCTTGCTTGGCACCAGGTGGTTGAACGGGTGCAGAAGATCGTTTCTTGGGACAATATACACGAGGAAATCAAACATCTCAGATGTCTTCACTGCAGCAGTCAGATCCGACTTCTGCAGTATCCTCCTCTTATTCTCTTCGGTGTTTATCCATGCACGAAGAGTAAGCTCCTCAATAAACTTCTCCGTTATCATAGAAAACAAGACAGGAACCTCAGAGGCGACCATCCTGACACCCTCTTCGATCTTCATCAGGCGTTTTATACGTGCAAGGGGAAGATTCAGGTCCTTCAGAAGGATTCTCTCTTCCATCGCCGCCTTAAAGGTTTGGTGCCAGAACCTGCTGATTCTTTCGTCTAATAGGTCGTACTCACTCCTCATCCTCCCAATCATCTATTTCCCCAATTAAATACATTTTCTAATACAAAACACGTTTCGGATTATCGGACTTAGCTTCGTAGGAATCTGTTTGCGTTAGATCTGCTACCATCTCTAACCCATTTGCGTGATACACATGTCTTTGTGGCAAAACATTTTAATTGCACAGAAGCCTTAACACCTCTTTACCATCAGACCTTCCAAACTTTACCGCCTTGTACCTCGTAAGGGGAGATATCTCGACAATCTCATCTGCTTCGCCCGCGGAAGGGTTCAGAACCAGATACGATCCTGGCCCCTTGCTGCCTTCGTACTCAGGCGCAGAAAATATGGTTACAACCTTTCCTCCGTGGTGAACTCTATATCCATCATCAACCGCCTGATGGCTTCTGACCAGCAAGTCCAACCCATTCCTCTCCAAAAACCGAGCTGTCACATCTGCTCCAAAAACCACCCCAGCCCTTCTCTTGCTCTCCTCCGTCCCGAGTATCTCCTCGGGATCAGACCACAAAAGCCCTTTCAGCAGCTCATCTGTATGGGTGTCCGTCATTCTGTATATCTCCTGGAGATTGTCCACCTTGACAGGCGCCTCAGGCAGTCCGCCATGCGTTATAAAAACCTTCTCGTTGACAATTATAGAGATAGGCAATGCCCTGAATGCGTCTTGGAATCTCCGATACACAGAGTCACTGCTAAACGGATATTTCCTCTTCACCTCATCGTAGAAGCCATATACCCTGTTTATATCAGAGAGCTCGTGGTTTCCCCTGGTCAGATGGACACGCCCGGGAAACAGAATCTTCAGAGAGAGGAGCAATGCAAAGTTCTCCACAGAATGTGATCCTCTGTCTACGTAATCTCCGTTGAATATAACCATTCTGTCTTTGTCAAATACCTTGTTCAGGATACTTACAACATCAAAATACTGCCCGTGAGTGTCGCCGAAAATCAGAACTTCCCCGCTGCTTTCAGTATGCACAACATTCTCGCAACCTAGCAAAATGCTTTCCCCTTGTTCAAGAATACTCTCCAGAGTGTCTGCTGGTATGCTTCTTCCGCCAGATATTTCCTTGGATAGCTCGTGCAGACTCTCCAATGTTACACGCTTCTCCAGGTGCTTCTCAACAATCACCTCGCTTAGCTTCATTCTTTTCAACAAGAAAGCCACCTCGGGGCCGGAGCTCCTAGTTACCATCTGGTCATACATCTCTTTATACTCCCTCAGCATCCCCAGCCTGAGATATATTGCACAGATTTTACACAGAACCTTATCGCTCTTGCGGTGCTTCAACGACTCAAGCCCAAAGGCCAGCGATTTCGGGAAGTTCTTTCTTTTGTAGTAGACCACAGAAATGTTATAAGCCAGCAGAGACAGCTGCTCCTCAAGCAGATCGTTCCTGGTGCCGGGCACGACAGACTTTGTAGCTTCCAGAAAGGATGTCTTGTAAATCTCCAGTGCCTCATCGATCATCTGCTTTTTGAACAAGGCATTTGCTTCCTGCCTCTTGAGATCCATTTCTCTGATATCCATTGAAGGGACACTTCTTTTCCTTCATTTATTTAGTAGACCTGCCTGCAGGAGGGGCGTATTCCTTTCCAGCCATCGGGCCTCTGGAATGCAGCAGTGCATTGGTTAGCTTTCCGTTCGGATAAAACCAAGAGTGTTTTGTATGCCACCACTACTCACATAGATATTGTTTATTTTCCGAGGCAGAAAGCAGAGTGTACGGAATAGGAGATGGCAAGCAGACAGCTAACAGCATTTCAAAACAGCATGCCTTGAAATGTAACTCCGGCCAAAGCAGGCCTGTGTCCTAAGAGATGCACTTCTCTACCGTCAACACAGTCTTCAGGATCCTTCTGGGCAGCAGGAGTATCTGGAAAGGGTATGACTTCCCATCTAGAGAAAGCGGAGGTCCCCAGCCCCAGAGAATTGGCTCAAACGGAATACAGGTTCTTAGGATTATAAAGAAGGGCATCCGTTCCTCGAGAGATCTTCTATACGGAAGTTCATGCGGTTTTCGAAGTAGTTGCATGGAATCAGAAGAATATCTCCGTGTCTGTAGGAAATCTTATCGGTCTAACAGGAAACGAGAAGTGCGTCCAGGAGGAAGACTCCATTCCGAGCTTTACGGCTTGCCCAAGACAGGAAAGTACCAGACATCCTGTCTCTCGCAGAAGTCATCCCCGCAAGGCCGGTCATTCTCGATCTTAAGACCTTCACCCCAGTATATGCCCAGGATAACCCCACCTGCACCATAGACCTCTATGCGGTGCGACTATCTTCTGCATCCGCCTCAGGGTGGATCCGTCTGTCCTGTACCAATATGTCGTATAGTTCTGCCCTGGCGAAACCCTCACCTCTTCTTTCTGGAAGGTGAGTCAAATCTGCTTATAAACACAGTTTTGTTCACAATCCTGTTCTCTACCTCTTTCCTTAAAGACTCCTTGAAGTCCACCCCGTCCTTAAGCAGCTTTCCAAACCTATCCTCATACTCATCCAGAAGCTTGAATATAGCCTCCTCAACCCTTATTAGATTTGGATACGCGCTGTTCCTGAACTTCTCCTCACTCAGGAGCTGGAGAGACGATCTGAACAGCCTCTTAGGGTCGGACGCTATCTTCTCAAACTCGTTCATCTTGTCTACAAGCCCCGCTCTTTTCTCCATCAATGACCTTATTGAAAGAAAGAGGTCTTTCTTGGACTCTAACCTTTCAATCGTCCTTGACATCTCTTCGATATCCTCCTCCGTTCTCTTGTAATCCTTCATGTCCTCTCCAAAAACGTCCAGAAGACTTCGGAGCAGACATCTCTTCTTTTCATATATCTCATCTAGCTGTCTTTCCTGCTCTCTTCTGAGATGCTCTCCATACTTTCTCATAAGAGCCATGTTCTCATCACTCAGATCCATCTCAATCTCCTTATACGGCATTCCGAGATATCCCTCCCTCCTTCTTATCTCAGCCTCTAGTCCTCTAAACTCTAAGTCCTTTCTTTCAACCTCCTCTTTATACTTCTTATGTAGGCCCTCAAGAACAAAAATCTTCTGGTCAATCCGAACCTCCGTGTCCTCCTTCGATAGCTGGGATAAAAACACACAAAGTTCTCCATACAATCTGTCTCTGCTTCTTTCCATACCCTCTCTCTTATTCCTCAGCGAATCTCTATACACCTCAAGCTCCCGAAGATTCACCACAGAAACGCAATCCTCGCCCTTCATCGGCATCAGCTCTGTGCACCGGATATCCTCCATACCAATATCGAAGATTTCTCCTTTTATCTGCTCAATTTCCTCAATAACCGTCTCCATCCTCCCCTCAATGCCCTTCTTCAGCACCATTATTCTACCAGACTCATTCTTCACATATTCCCTCACCACAGAAAGATTGCAGAGATCTGGGACCGAGGGCATCGGGACCTCAATATCGGCGCAATTCTTTCTCATCTCGCTCACCAGCGCATCGATCTCTTGTTGCATTTCTAGCTTCCGGTTGCCAACATCTCTGAGGACAGTTTCCATGGTCTCAACTATATGATCAGTCTCATTGCGGAAATAATCAAATGGATCCTCATCCATACGCTCCAAAGGCATTACTGCAAGCATGGCACTGTAGAGCTCCTGGATCTTCTCGTTCATTCTGCTAAGCTGGGAAAACTCCATTCAACTTATTCAGGTAGGGATGAAATTTTTGTCCTCAAGACCTGCATGAGCAGGAGACAGTCTGCCCTGTCACTCTCTAATGCTCCATACATTTCCCTTCATCTCACAGTATTCACAAAGTACATTGAGGAAGTCTTCAATGCCCCCAAGCTCGTTTTGTGCAATCTTTAGCACTTCAGACTTCCTCCAGCTCTTTTTCATCACCAGCATTTCCACTATCTTCCTTCTTCTCTCGTCTCCCGAGCAAACAGCCAGCATACCATTGGCCAGAACTGCCACATTTCCAGGTAGATTTCGTCTTATGGCGTCGGCCTCCAATAGCATCTCCTGTTGGATGCTTTCAACGGTACAGGGCTGGTGCTTTGCAACCAGGGAAGCTATTTCCTGCCCTATATCCACACCATCACATCTTTTTGTATCCTCGCTGAAGCCCCGAAGGTAGAAATACTTTCCGTCCCTTCTACAGAGCTCCTCAGCCAGGAAGTCCTCGTCCCCAACCACTTGGTACACATCCTTGGACAGGACCCTCTCCTTCCCCTCAAACAATTCCAGGATCCCATCCCGAATGCTGTGGAGGCTTTTTTCGTAGAACATATTCGAGAGGACGTATCTTCCATGGATAAAGTTGGTATACCTTGACAGTGCAGCCTTCACTGCATTTTCATCCCTGTACAGCAGAACAAGCTCAGAAAAGTTCACAACCTTAGCATTGATGATGGAGTCCCTTATCTTCATAATAGGCCTTCCGCTGCTTTCGGAAACCGGTAGTTTAGGGATGTCGCCGTATTCCTGGCACATCTCCTTTCTTTTGTACTTCAGCATGACAAACTCCTCGAGATTCATCCTTTTTATGTGGTAGTTGATGTTTTTTCTTCTATGATCTTTCTCTTCACGCGTCTCCGTCTTTCGGAACTGGTATCCGTCAATCTCCCGGGCACTCTTTTCCGTCTCGGGGGATTTGAACTTCGGGTTGAACAGATAGATGCATTCAATCCGCCTCAGAACAACAACCCTCTTGAAGTGGTCTATCTTCCCGTACCACTGGACGGATGATGGGACGGTTCCATGGCTCGCATAGGTGATGGCAATGGGCCTTTTGTCCTTTGCTCCTTGGACTCCCCGCCCTGCCCTTGGAATCCCCATGTCCATCTCCAAGTATTTGAACTGCTGCTTGTGGCGGATTGCTTCAATCCTGAAGTTTGTCTCTGTATTCGGGAGCCTGTACAGCACCACTGGGTCATCCTCTTTAGACAGCTTTATGTCATACTCGGCGACTATCTTCATCAGAAGGATCAAGCAGACAACTATAAATCCTCTCATATATGCAGAAAGTCGTGGCCCTTAATGAATGTCATGGAAAAGATAAAGGAGGTAGAAAGCGAGATGGCAAGGACTCAGAAGAACAAGGCTACGAGCAACCATCTGGGGATTTTGAAGGCTAAGCTGGCCAAACTTAGGAGAGAGCTCATATCGGCGCCGAAGTCCGGATCGTCTGGAGAGGGAGGATTTGACGTTGCAAAGACAGGAATAGCAAGAGTTGGGTTTGTAGGATTCCCGAGTGTTGGGAAGAGCACGCTGATGTCCAAGCTAACGGGGACATTCAGCGCAGTCGCATCATATGAGTTTACGACCCTGACAACGGTCCCCGGGGTGCTGAACTACAACGGAGCAAAGATCCAGATTCTAGACCTCCCTGGGATAATTGAAGGGGCAAAGGACGGTAAAGGCAGGGGAAAGCAGGTTCTAGCAGTTGCAAGGACATGCTCTCTCATCATAGTGTGCCTGGATGTTCTCAAGCCGGTCTCCCACAAGGCTGTGATCGAAAGAGAGCTTGAAGGAGTTGGGATTAGGCTCAACAAGCAGCCTCCGAAGATCAAGATAACGAAGAAGGACAAGGGAGGGGTGACGCTGATTGGAGACAGCCTGGATCTTGCAACAGTAAGAGCTGTGCTTGGAGAGTTCAGGATGTCGAATGCAGAGGTTGTAACGAGCGGGCCATGCACAATCGACGATCTGATTGATGCAATTGAAGGAAATAGAAAGTACGTTCCCTGCATATATGTACTGAATAAAATTGACTCGATCAGTGTGGAGGAACTGGATCTCCTGGACAAGATCCCGCACTCTGTTCCTGTGTGTGCAAATTTTGGGTGGAACTTTGACTCGTTGCTGTCGAAGATGTGGAGCTATCTTGATCTTGTAAGAATATACCCAAAGCCGAAGGGAGAGCCTATCGACTATGAAGAGCCAGTCATCCTCAGAAGCAACAAGAGAAGCGTGGCCGATTTCTGCAATGCAATACACAGGGGGATTCTTGCGAAGTTCAAGCACGCACTGGTGTGGGGAAGCTCTGTCAAGCACAACCCACAGAAGGTTGGAAAGGAGCATATCTTGAACGATAGTGATGTTGTTCAGATTGTTAAAAGTGTCTAGGAGCAATTCAATAAATGTCTTACATCTAGTAGAACTGCTTGACCGGGGCCCTGGGTTTCGGGGATGATGCGTGCATTCAATCTTTGCTTTGGAATCCTGAAATGCAATGATAACAATACCCTTGAAGACAGGAGAGGATGGACAGAGTACCAAGCAAGGACATAGAAAGGATGATAGCCTTCATAAACCATGAGGCGGACGAAAAGATTAAGGAAATGAAGATAAGGGCAACCCAGGAGTACAATGCAGAGAAGGCCAGGATAATCAAGGAAGAGACGTCCCGGATAGAAAATGGATTCTTGATGAAGCAAAAGGAGATTGAGAAAAAAAGACTTATGGCTGAGAGCTCGTTGGCAAACACATACAAGCAGAAGTATCTTGAGGAAAAGGTCAGGATTCTGGACGAGATTTACAACGAGGTCCTGAGAGTATGTTCCAAGAAGCCACTCAACCTTTCTCTGATGGCTCAGTGTATAGAGAAGATGGATGGCAAAGAGTTTATTGTATACTGCAACAAAAAGGACAAGAAGGTGGTCGAGAAGGAGCACAAAAGCGCAGAGATTAGGGAAATGGTGCCTGCAGGAGTAGGTGGAGTTCTCCTGTGCTCAAAAGACTACAGCACGATTGTGGACAACAGCTTTGCATCGAGGCTTGAGACAATTAGAGGTACATTTGAGGCAGAAATCAATAAAGCTATCTTCAAGTGTTTCTGTACAGCTGACTTGTTTTACCGGGACCTAGTATCTGAGACAAGCTCCTTGTTGGATGCCTCAGCTGGGTCTCCAAAGTCCGCCCTGCTATGCTGCTCTAGGGTGTATGTGGGAAATGCCTCGCAGAACGTTGCACCCCTGAATGGATCGCCTATAGGGTCCTTAGCCCTTACAACCTCAACTTCTCCGACAAATGACATGCTCGTCATTTCGCTTTTTATCCGTGCATCGATGTCTTTTATCTGCGAAAACCCCCCAGTCAAGAACACCTTCTTCACTCTATACTTTCGACTGACCTCATCCATTATCTCTGTCAATCCCATCTGGTCCAGCCCTATGATGGAGGGAGAAAAGACTATTTCAGGAATCTTCAGAAGATCCACATTTGCATTCATTCTTCCGATGAAGTGTCCGTTAAGAAGATCAGTAGTATCCGCCACATACGGTTCAAAGTGGGGATCTAGTTCCTTTATTTCATGGACAAGGCCTTTTAAAGACTCCAGAATCTTGTTTTCCTTGTCCAAATCCTCGGCATCCTGAATCTTTTCAATCAGTATCTTCTCGTCAGGAGTCAGCTCCCCCTCCTTAAACCTCACCTGAAACTCATATGTCTTTCTATTCTTCGCATCTCTTCTCAGCTTGCTTCTCATCTCTAGCTCTCTCTTCAGCCCCTGGAACTCCGCCTTCTTCCGGGAGATAAATTCCTCGAGATTCTCCAACTTCTCCCTCTCATCCTCCATGAGCGAAATATGCGAAGATAGCCTTTCCAGACTCCTTTCAACCCTAACCCTAAGTCTATGGAGAGTGGAGTGATACAGGATCTTTTGCTTCTTCTTCTCCTTGATCTCCTCGGCACCCAGCTCGGCATCTGCTGTGCTGAGAAGACGAGCATCAATCTCCGGTACAGCGCTGGAGGCCGAGGGCACCGCACATATCTTTTGCTTCTTATCCGCAGGCCTCTCCCTGAGTACCTCAAGCTCCTCGTCCAGAAAATAGTTTCTTGAGTAGTCTCCCGCTTTCATTTCCTCGAGTATTTCAATAGACTCTCTTCTATAATCTGGAGAGCATCTGAGATGTGGAATCAGAGCCCTGTAGTTCTTCTTGCCGTCAAAAAATTTGTTGAACATCAGTGCAGAAAGATAGTCCCCTGCACTTCTTCCCCCAAAGTTGATCTTATAAACGTCAGCAATCCTTCCCTCTTGGATGACAAGGCACGTGGTTGCAGAATGGGACATGTCCACAATCATACAGTCTTCTGCTCCCAGATTCCATAAGCACGAGTAGTAACTGTCTACCCCGATCTGTATCTTTTCAAATCCATACACGTCAAACAGGAATCTCACAAGCTCCTCGTGGGTTGGATTGAACACCTTTTCCGTGAATATCAGATTCCTCAGCTTCTCAGGCTTCAAGTATCCCAGGATTTTATCGATGACATGCTCCAAGACCTCGAAGTTGGTCACAACGTCTCCATCAAACATAGTTTTGGGAGAAGCGCCCTGAAAGTTCTCTATCGATGACACAGACTTCTGGCGATACAAGACATTCTTGAAAACCATCTGTGGGCTCTCACCACAGTATCCAGCCTTGCACTCATAGGTTCCGTTGTCAATCACTATTGTGTCGGTCTTGCTGTACTTCTCGTACCTGTTCTTGTCCAGAGGATTCCGAAGCTCAAGATACATCCAGGGCCAATAGAAGCAAATCTCTAAAATTCACAGGGATTTAATGTCAAGCAATTTCCTCATATAAAGGCCGAGCTTCTGTACACAACATCGCGTACGGCATAGAACACCCCAGAGTCTCTTCCATCTATCGTCACCCCGTCTCCACTCACCCTGATCCATACACAGTCCTCGACCAGGAGTCCATTCTCTTCCTGTTCAACCCTCATGCTCCCCTCGACGATCATCCTTCGCATCTCGTTGATGTCGGCATGTCCTATAACCATCCTGGGCCCTTCTCCAATGCACCTCACCATATCCCCGTCCCTAACTCCCCTGAAGCTCGCCACAGAATCGGTTCCTATTGCTCGGTAGTTGAGAGCATCAAAGCCTTTGTCCAGCTTCACCATCCCCATCGAAACATCAGACGACAGAATTATTTTACTTCTGCACATGTATACATCCTCAAAGCATGGTAGGTATTTAAATGTATGGTAGAAGAAACGCTCCGTGTCTCCATCCTCTCCAACGCACACAAGCTTCCGAGGAGACAATGTCTCTATTATCATCTTGCAAGAACTCAGGTCCGAAATCCCTACCAGATCAACCTTTTCAACCCTGTATCTCAGGGTAATCCCTTCTCCTCCAACCTCTCTTTCCTCTATCGTTGTCTCTTCCTCAATCTCTTCTTCAGATACCTCCTCTACAGGAAGAATCTCCTTTACAAACAAAGATCTGTCCATGTACTCCCCATAGTCGTCATATGCTCTTCTCCTTGCCACCGATGGAAAGACTTCATCTTCATCCTCACACCATATCTCATGTCTTACCTCGGACCAGTGTGTCTCAACCCCCTCAACATCAGATCCATCGCCTACACTATCTTCCAACACCTCGTCTCCATCCATTCCTTTCTTCTCACTCGCTTTTTCCACCAATCTGAAGTTGTACCACTTCATCGCTCCAGACTCCCTCCTAAGTATTTCGTCCATCCTGGGATCAATAAGAAGAATAACATTGTCCTCATCATTGAACTCGTGGAGAGTAGTTGTAAGCATCGCTCCATGAACACATTCATCAACAACAACTACAACATCAAATCTAGAAACATCCTGGTAGTACTTCATGAACTCAATCCTCTCAAATTCAAATGGATTGACCTTCTCTTCGGAAAACATGGAGGAGACCTTTTCCCCGGCCCATTCAATCATTGACTTTGCCCTTTCGACAAATCTCTGCCCAAAGTACGACAGGCATGCAATCTTTCCGTTTCTTTGAGCCATCAAGCCGTTGAGAATCAGAGCAACCTCCAAGAACCTCGAATATTTGACAGGTAGAACCACCTTTCTTCCAGAATCAAGGGCGCCTCCAACCATATCTCTGAATACATCGTCTCGCTTTGCAATCGAGATGTTCTCTGCCAAGACGTGGTTTCCATTAAACACACACAGACTGCAGTCTCCTATTCCAGAAAAGCTCATCCCATCAAGGTGGTTTTCTTTTCGGTGGTTCACGTTAAACCCGACAATGATTCTCTCAGGCCCCTTGCTGATTTTGTACAAACATCCTCCGATGGAATTCCCGGAGTTATATGCACATATCTCAACGTTGTTGACGGCCGTTGGCTGCGAGTACTTTATCTCTGATATTCTTTCAAAGCACCCGGTATCTACTGAGGACTCCAGGCCCATTCCCCTCAGATGCTCGTCTAGACATATCTTCCCAAGAACCTTAATGGGGACAGATGAGAATACCTTGTTGTAGTAGTTGTTCCGAAGAACGTAAGGCAAGCCCCCGATGCAGTTGATGTTGAAGCTTGTCAAGAGAATAGCATCGCAGGAGAGGATTTGCGGCAGAACGGGAGTGTACATAGACATGTCCATGGCGTATGGCGCCCCACAGTTCACTAGAATTTTTGTATTGTCTATCTCCAGCATATGGCAGTACACACCAGTCTCTGTTTTTATGAGCGGGGTCAGGCTTACAAAGCTAGAGGACATTTCTTGTGGGTAAAAACAAGGACGAAAATAACCGTGCTGCCCTTTTCTATGGATGAAAGCGAAGCCTTGGTGGGGGAGTTTGTTAGGATGTTGATGGACAACCACAGGAGATCGATTCCGACAAGAAAACAGAATGTTAGGGCTCTGCTCAAGGTCAAGCCGAAGGAGATGGCGACGCTTGTAGAGTCTTCCAAGAAGTATTTGGTGAGGCTGGGGCTTGAGTTGGTTGGAATCGATAAAGCAGGCATTGTTGATCTCCCAGTGGCTGAAAAGTACTTCGTCAGAAGGCTTCGGCCCTCGGGTGACACTGCAGTATGGTCGGAAGAGGAGTTCAGAAGACTGGTTATGACATTCGCCCTAGTGATACTGGAGCAGGGATCGGTGGAGATGTCCAGACTATGGTTTTTTCTGCAAAAGACGGAAATGTTTCAAGATGAAGACGATTTCTCTGGGTTCCTGAAGCGAGCAAAGGACCAGGGATATCTCTCTTCTTCCAAGGTCGAGGAGAGCCTCAGCATTGTCCTTGGATGGAGGTACTACTGCGATCTCGGCAGCTTCAGTCCCAGGGAATACTTCTGGAACCGCAGACATTGATACAAAGAAATTTTTTCTCCCTTGCATGGAAGATCTTACGGAAGCCTTTCCGTTGCTCTTGGAAGCCCGAGCGTCTGTGACGCAGGGAGAGTTTGAACACGGGATTGCTATATACAGCGAGCTTCTTGAGAGCATGAACCCCGATGACGAGAAGGTCCCTTATGTTTATATTGAGTATGCCGATGCTCTCATTAAAAGCTCGAACGTGTTTTTCATCGAGGAGATATCCCGGATCAGCGGAAGAAAGGGATTGAATTTGGAAGAAAGAAAGGGTGCCGAGGACGATCTGGAGATTGCATGGAACCTTCTGGAGATATGCAAGAGCGCCTTCAGCATATTGAAGGATTACGCGATGCTGGCAAGAACAAGGTTCCTTCAGGGAGAAATCTGCCTGCTGAATAACGAGTTCCGAGACGGACTGCATGAGCTTGTTGAGTGTGTTGCAGTGATGGACAAGATATATGAGAAGGACTGCTTCAAGTATGCAGATGTGTATCTGTCGCTTGCAAACTGCTATGAGTTTTTGGAGGACTTCGAAATGAGCAAAGAGTATTACGACAAAGCAATAGGAATATACAGGGCTGAGCAGGAAAGAAGGGAGTCTGATGAGGAGAAGAATGAGATTTGCGATGTCATAACCGAGCTTTTGCAAAAGGGGACGGAGCTGAGATACAAGAAGGAGAGGCTTGAGAATGTGGATCTCCCTGACGAGCCTGAGTCGGACGACATGTTTATCGACATAAATGCTTGTAAACGTAATAAAAAATAACCTGTTTTCTGTGTGTTGCAATGATAGCTTTCCTTCGAGTATAAAAAGATTTGCAAGGCCGCCCATGAGATGCTGGACGAGGTGGAGATGTGGCGAATGAAGAAGCTTCTGCGGAATCTTCGTGACAGCCGGGGAAATGGAACGTCGATGATATCGATCATTATTCCTCCCAAGGACCAAATATCCAGAGTCTCAAAGATGCTTACAGATGAATATGGAACAGCATCCAACATCAAGTCAAGAGTGAACAGGCTGAGTGTTCTTGGAGCCATTACTTCTGCACAGAGCAAGCTGAAGCAGTACAGTAAGACGCCACCTAATGGCCTTGGAATATTTGTCGGAACTGTTCTTACGGACCAGAACAAGGAGAAGAAGATCAGTGTTGGGATCGAGCCTATAAAGCCTGTAAATACGTCTCTATACATGTGTGACTCGAAGTTTCATGTGGACGATCTTCTAGCACTTTTCGAGGACGAGGCCAGGTATGGATTTATTGTGATGGATGGGCACTCCACAGTGTTTGCCACTCTTCAGGGAAATGTAAAGACGATTCTGCAGCAAATTCATGTGGACCTTCCGAAGAAGCACGGGAGGGGAGGGCAATCGTCTGTAAGATTTGCGCGTCTTAGAGTCGAGAAAAGAAACGCCTATGTCAAGAAGGTTGGGGAAATAGCAGGGAATCTGTTTCTGACCAACTGTGTTATGAATGTAGAGGGACTAATTTTGGCGGGGCAGTCGGATCTCAAGAACGAGCTAGCCCAGGTGCTGGATAGCCGCATCCAAGTGATAAAAGCGGTCGACACCAACTACGGCGGTGAAAGCGGGCTGAACCAAGCCATTGAGCTGTGCGAGGATGTTCTTAAAGATGTGAAACTGTCCAAGGAGAAGAAGATACTTCAGAGGTTCTTCAACGAGATCAACACGGAGAGCGGCAGATTTTGCTTTACCATGAGAGATACAATGCAATGCCTAGAAATGGGGGCTGTGGAAACGCTTATAGTTTATGAGGGCTTATCTGAGCTCAAGGATGAGGAATTGTTTGTGGACTGGATTGCTGAGAACTATAAGAGCTTTGGGTGCATTCTGGCATTTGTAAGCGACAAGAGTGCAGAGGGGATGCAGTTTATCGAGGGATTTGGGGGAGTGGGGGGAATCCTGAGATATAGGGTTGACATGGAGGATCATCTGGATGGAGACTACTCTTCAGTGGATGATGAGGAGATATTCTGAGGTGGTTGGCTTTCACGGTACAAGCTAGAATAAATTACTCTATTATTCTTTAAGTTTCCTGGTTGTAGCCCTGGATGGAAAACATTTTCCCGTTGCAGGAAAGTGTCGAGATTGAGGAGATCTATGGGAGCAAAAGGCCGAATGCAAATCCTCCTAAGGGTCCCAGGGCATTTAAAATGAGAAGTGGAGTCTGCAGCTTTACGGATGTCGAGACGTATCAAGTGAAATCACCGGGCTGGTTCAGGAAGGGTGATCTAAGCGCATTGGAGTTGGTTAGCATGAATAGAGTTATTCTGGGGGTCGGAAAGGAAAGATATATGCAGACCAGGGACAGAATAGTCAGTGGTTACGAGGATGGGTGTCGGCCGATGACCATTGGAAAAGCCTTGATGCTGACGGACATGGATCTGCATTCGTTGTTGGAGGTCTTTTCGTTTGTTGAGAGATGGGGGCTAATCAATCATCGGAGTCTCCTTGAAAAGGAGATCAGGTACTTTGAGACGCATAAAGGCGAGAATACATCTCCTCCAGAAGAAAGCCCGAAGAAAGAGGGTCAGGGGAAAGTGGTTGACTTAAAAGAACATCTGGAGAAATCGTCATGCAGCTGTGGTGGAAGGGCCTCCTTTTTCACAAGATCCCTCGTGCTTAGATGCGCTGAGTGTATCGACAACGGTGTCTATCCGCAAGAGTCTCTAAAATCAGACTTTTTCCCGGCCACCGAGTCTCTGCTCAGGAACATGTGGTCTAGAAAGGAGGAGTTTCTTCTACTGGAGGGAATTAATAGGTTTGGGGACGAGTGGGACTCTGTCAGCCGCCATGTGCAAACAAAGACAAAAGAGCAGTGCATATTCCACTTCCTCAGGCTGCCGACACTGGAAAACACACTTTCCAAGGGCGACTTTTCCATCGGAAGGCTGTTTGAAACGGCAGATAATCCTGTGATGTGCCTCATTGTCCTGATATGCGGAATTGTTCACCCAAGGGTTGCATCTGAGTGTGCGAGGACTGCTATCAAGCACATTAATAGATGCTCCCAGGACATGGTCATCCAGTATATACTGGACGCCGGAAAAGAAAAGGCGGGCGAGCAAAGGGACCTGGAGAAAAGGAAGATAGAGAGGCTTAGGAATGTAATGTGTGAGGCATTGCTCAACAAGATCAAGATGAAGATAGGAACTTATAAAGAGCTGTACTTATCTACACAGAGGGTGCGCAACGAGTTAGTTGCATTGAGAAGGAGCCTTGCTGAGGAGATAAACTTTGCTGGAGACGAGTGAGTCATTAAACGATTTGTCTGTCGATCAATTGTTTCATAATTTGAGCCTCTGGTTTATTTTTCTGGATTTGGCCAAACAACATGGGGATTACAACTCAGCTTGTCCAGAGCATTCTTCTTGGCGAAATGTGTGTGTTCACATTCATGTTGCTTCCGATATCAAAAGGGCTCAAGAAGAGTATGATGAAGCTTTTCCAGACATCAAAAGTCTACAGAGGATTTCTTCACATACTCTATGTCTTGTTTGCAATGATCCTTGTGATGTTTGTTGACTCTGCATACAAGATCTACACGGGGGAAGATCAGGCCAATCCGTTTGTGCTGTACCAGGCAGAAAGAAACATGTATCTGACTGGATTTACCTTGTTTCTGGCTGTTATATTCCGGATGTTTATTAGGATGATGTGCATGCTCTTCAGGGAGGAGGAATCTGCACTGCTCCTCAGAAAGCAGTCGATGAACCAAAAGAAGTATGTTGAAGAGATGCTGGAGGAGAATGCAAAGAAAGGCGGGAAGATAGACGACCTAGAGGCAGAGATCACAGACCTGAAGAAAAGGATCTCGTCTGGAGATATTTTGATAAAGCAGCTGAAGAACAACCAGAACGAGTACTTCAATCTGCTGGACAAGTACAACAGGCTGAGAGAACAAGTGCAAATGGAATCCAAGAAGTCTAAATAAAACTATTGATAAGATTGTGAAAGATGGCCGAAAATTTCCCCCGGACGATGAAGGAAAAGATCTACAAGGCATTTACTCGAGAAGGCGGCGTGATGCTTTCTCCAGAGGCATTGGAGTATCTTGAAGGCAGCATCAGGGGAGAGGCAATGCTGAAGGGTGTGTCTACAGAATACATACGGAGAAACGGGCCTGAGCTTGCCGACCTATGTCTAATTCGGGAGATTGTGGAATCCTTTGATGCCAAGCAAGATATTTACAACATCTTAAACCAGGAGTTCAGAGAACCAAATAGCCTATTGAAGTACAGACGCCTGGTGGAAAAAATGGGAAGGGAGATTACGCCTATATACCTGCTGGGCGACGAATGCAGCACCATCTTTGGATGTTATTATAAAGACAAGGACGGGAGGGAAGTTCTCGAGGACGACGGAGATGTGATTCCTCTGGACATGAGTGGATGCAGCGGAGACGTATTTCTCTGCGACAACATTTTTATTGGAATAGAGGGGAAAAAGACGGACGGGAGATTTGTAGGGCTGAAAGTGCATCTCCCTGGCATAGATAAAGGGGTCTGCAGGATGCCTAGGCTGGCGGAGAAGGATCTCAAGGTATTGTTTTTTTCCGACTTTCAAATGAGCGAAATTAATGGAAGAATCCTAAGAAAGATTCTGAGCAAAGTACAGGCAGACATTGTTGTAATTATGGGGAAGCTCTGTCTTGGAAGACTCTCTAGCATTTCGTACACCAACTTTGTAAATGGGTTCAGGCTAAACGGCATCCGAACGCAGGTTCCAGACATCATTCTCTGTCCGGATGCAGACGATGTCTATCCATCATTTCTTCCAAAGGAAATACAGGTGCCAGAAGAGTGTAGTAAGGTCATCAAGGCCGCAAGTAATCCGTTTACACTCGAAACCAGAAGATGTTCAATAGGAGTTATTAGAGAGGATATATTCAAATATAAGGAGAGGGGTGTTTTTATTGGGAGAAATTACGTAGATTCCTTTGTGGAGACCGTTCTGTCGCAATCCAGCTTTAACCCATTTGGAATTTCGAACCTAGATGTCGATAGAACCCCTGATGTATTTGTTGTAGGGCAGGATTTCTATCCATTTGTTACATCAGTGAAGGGAGTGACATTTATTTCCTGCCCCAGCTTCAAGGACGAAATGTCCTTCGTATCTTATGACCTTTCTTCTGGGGATGCCACTGTTCTTAACTCTAAGCATGTTCTAACGTAGCTTGCCTGGAAGGCCTCCGGATTCAGGGCTGCATGGAGAGGAAGTCTAGCCCAGGAAGCCTTTTTCCACCCAGCAGCTTCATCAGCACCCCTCCTCCGGTAGATACATAAGTAAAGGCATCATAGCTACCAAACAATCTGATTGCGCCTGCAGTCTCCCCTCCTCCGCAGAAAGACTTCTTCCCTTCTCCTTTAAGACTCTCCAAGGCACTCACCAAAGCCTCCGTTCCCCTCGAGAAACTTTGTTCTTCATACATTCCGGGAGGGCCATTCCAAAACACGGCCTTTGCCTTAGAAACTTCTCTCCTTAGCATTTCTATAGTTTCCGGGCCTATGTCCATTGCACTCCCCTCAGGGGGGATGTTGCTAGTTGTTTGTACGCTGTCGTTGCAAACAACCGTGAAGTCAGATGGAAGGATAATCCTTGTTTTGTGCTCCTCACAGATCTTATGTATCCTCTTTACTTCCTCTTCAGAAACACTTTCTCCTATGCTCTTTCCAACCTCCTTTCCCAATATGTATCTAATGAATGGAAATGCCAGTCCTCCGGTAACAAATAAGCTTCCTGTTTTCTGTCCAAGAGATTCCAGCAGCTTGATCTTGTCGGACACTTTCTTTCCTCCCAGTATCATAAGATCCACCCTTTCCTCCATGATTTCCTTAGTAAAGTTCAACTCTTTCTGGACCAGAAGCCCAGAGAATGAAGGAAGCCCGGTTCTCTGTATAGACCCGCATTCTCTATGCAGACATCCGAATGCATCTATAACAGCAACATCCATATTGTCTACGAATACATTTCTGTACTGATCAACAGCATCCTTGTCGCCGGCGTCTTCCTCTGCGGAATAAAACCTGAGGTTCTCCAGGAGTATCCATGGACTTTGCACATTCCCAACATCCCACAGGTCGCAGAAATCCAACTCTACGCCAAGTTCCTCCCAGAGGCGCGCCTTTAGTACTGAGTAGACAGGCCTCAGGGAAAGCTCCTTGGAATACTTCCCCTTGGGTCTTCCAAGGTGACTTCCAATAATCACTCTCCTGGGATTCCTAGAATGAAGAAGTCTGATTGTTGGAAGCACAGAAGTTATTTTGAAGTCGTTCAGAACCACAGAGTCCAATATCGGCACATTGAAGTCCACCCGGAGAAATACCCGTTTTCCCTCAATCTCCGCATTGCTAATTGTTTTCATAATTCTCAAAACAAGTCAACATATTGTAGCCGCCAGTCAAGATGTCCAAACAAACAACTAGCAAACATTTAATTTACTTCCGATCCAGCAATTTCTCTCAGGCCCTCAATAATGTCTGCATTGGTACAAGTCGATACATCTCCAGGCGGATCTCCGGCCAGGATACTTTTCAGGACTCTTCTCATGATCTTTCCAGTTGCAGTCTTGGGAATACCTTCACAGAAGTAGATTCTTTTTGCATTAACAAACTTTCCGATCTTGCTTCTCAGAGTTGTTCTCAGAGACGCTCTTACTCCTTCATGAGATGTTTTCCTGTCTTTCAAGACCACAAAAATGCAAAGGGCCTGCCCAGTAATATCGTCGCTTTCTGCAACAGCTGCTGCCTCAGCTATATGCGGATCCGTACATGCCGCGCCTTCGACCTCTGCCGTGCTAATCCTGTGTCCAGAGACATTTATCACGTCGTCAGCTCTTCCTCTGATCCACACATGTCCATCAGAATCTTTATATCCTTCGTCGCCCGTGAAGTAGAATCCCTTGTAGAAAAAATATCCCTTTCTGAATCTCTCCGGGTTTCCTAGAATCCCTCTGGTTATCCCAGGCCAGGAACCCTTGAGAAGAACACGCCCTAACTCATAGGCCTTCGCTTCGACAACACAGTCGCTTCTAGAGCTCGGATCCGCAATAACAACCTCTTGGCCTAAAAATGGAAGACAGGCACACTCAGGCTTTATGTCTACGGCGTGCGGAATAGGCGCAATCAGAATCCCACCAGATTCAGTTTGCCAATATGTATCAATAACAGGACAGCCGTTGAAGTTCTCACTAAACCACAGATGGGCATTCTTATTTATCGGCTCTCCAACAGATCCGAGAATTCTCAGGGAAGACAGGTCATAGTTGTGATCAAGGGGTGTTGTGGAAAAATGCTTCCTCAGCATCCTTATAACTGTAGGCGCAGTGTACAACTGAGTTATTCTATACTTTTCGACCATCTTGAAGAGCCTGTAATACGAAGGATAGAAGGGCGTTCCTCCAAATACAACGGTCGTGATTCCATTCAACAGCGGCCCGTAAATGACATATGTATGCCCTGTGATCCATCCTATGTCTGCCGTACAGGCAAAAACATCGTTTTCTTGAAGATCAAAGCATATTTTGGAAGTAAGCATCGCATACACCAGATACCCACCGGCCGTGTGGATAATTCCTTTTGGCTTTCCTGTACTTCCACTTGTGTACAGATAGAAAAGTCTGTCCTCTGCATTGACCGAGACACAGGGAATGAATTCATTCTCCCTCTTCAAAACCTTTGACCATATCAGAATCCTTCCTCCAATCCCATCCAGTGAATCTAAGATCTTTCTCTCGTCCAGAAATGTGTCGAAGACTAGAACAGGAATTGATTTTCCCTTGAGCGCTACCCTTGTGTTCTCAAGGAAGTTCATGGTGGAGTCTTGCCTTGCAACGACGTCCTGGACTATTAAAAGCTTGGCATTCGAGTCGTTAAGCCGTAGAGCCACGCTGCTTGCACTAAATCCTCCGAAGATTGCATTATGCACAAGACCAAGCCTAGCACATGCAAGTGCAGAAAACACTGCATACGGGGACATTGCCATATACATAGCAACCGTATCTCCCTTCTCAAGACCTTCGTCCTTAAGTATGGTACAGATCCTTATAACTTCATCAAGGACGTCTTTGAATGTGTAGTAGACCGACTCCCCATCGTTTCCCTCATAAATAACCGCGACTTTGTCCGGGCTGCAGGCCGCATGTCTATCAACGCAATTATAGCATGCATTCAACATACCTCCTTCGAACCACCTTGAGTTCTCAAAGTCATTGTTGTAAACCCTGTCAAACATCCTGTCCCACTTCAAAAGCACCTTTGCTTGCTCTCCCCAAAAACCCTCTTTATCCTCAATAGATCTCTTGTACAATCCCTCATACTCGCTTCTGTCCATTTGCGAGGGTCATCATGTCCTGGCCATTATATTGAGCTCTAACTCCGCCGGATTCGCAAACCTGAGAAAAATTTTGCTCCTTCTGTCCTCACATCACACATGACTCAGCATCTCTCAAAGTTCCTGTAAAGTTCCTTGAGTGTCACAACAAGGCCAAAACACTCCAGAGCCCTTGCCGTCCCGATTATCCTTCTCTTGAGGATATTGAATAGTTTCGTAGACATTTCTACTCCGGAGTAGAGTGTGGATACCACGTCAATGATGTTTTTCAGCGTCTCATACTCGGAGCTCCTTCTGATCTCAAACCCAGACCACAGCTCAGGAGCGTCGATGCAAATGGTTGATATAATAGGAATACCGACGATATGCTCCTCAATCACCTCTATCGAAAAGTAGTCATTGAGCAGCGCCCTTGTTTTGTCATCCATCTTGCACCTGAGGCGAACGAGTGTCCTTTTCTTTTCGAAATTGCCAAAGTCATTGATCAGAGATTGGTAGAGATATTCCTTGAGCAAGGGTACAGTCTTGCAGTTGAGGAGTGACGATCCATGCTGAACCAGGATGGTATCTCTGTCTTTCACTCCGACATAGCTCAGGGACCTGAAAAAGGTAGTATCAACATCAACTATCTCCAGTCTCAGCTTACTGAGAGAAAAAAGTCTGAACTCTCTCCTTTCCGTTGTTTCCTTTTCCAAGCACTCTGCAATAGACTGTGACGTAGGATCTGAATACACTTTGATTGGGCTTTGAAAGCTGTCCTTTGGAAGCGGTTTCAGCGGCTTCTGCTCATAGTCGAGCTTACTTAGTCTTTCCGCAATACATTTGCATAGCCTCTGGGTCATAGACTCCTCGTTGGAGAAAAGCACCTCTCTCTTGCTCGGATGAACATTAACATCGACCATGCTCTTCTCCACATAGAGCTCCAAGTATATAAGGGGCTGCTTCTGTGGAGGAAGGATGTCCTTGTACACCTTGAATAGAGACTCCTTCATCTCTTGGCTCACAACAAGCCTTCCATTTACAAAGAGGACAAGCATGCCTTTCCTCAGGCAGAACTGCTGCGTCGAAAATATAACAAGGTACTCTTTATCCGATACAAAGAGCAGCTTGCCATCTGCCTTGTAAAGTTCGTTCAGCATCCCGACCTTTCTCTTGACTCTATCTTCATTGGAATATCCGTCCTCTCCGACGCATACTCTAGACTTAGGCAGCTCCTGTAGCTTCTCCCCATAAAATAGCTCAAAGGAAATCCTGCTGTTGAACACAGAGTACATTCCCACCAGCCACATCATTTCTCGAATCTCCTCCCTTTTCTTTGAAAAATGCTTTTCTCTGACCTTGTTATTGTAGAAGATATTCTTGATCTCAACAATGGTTCCATCCTTCATCCCGACGCCTTTTATTGTTATCATTTCTGTGTCTCTGTATACAGCCTCATAGCCAATCTCGCCTTCTCTCCTCTTGCTTCTGACCTTGATTCTGGCACATCGGCTTATCGAAGACAATGCCTCTCCGCGGAATCCATAGGAGGACAACGAAAAGAGCTCTTCCTCCTTGGTGAGCTTTGAGGTACAGTATTGCTTGCATAGGAGTTCAAAATCGCTTTCGTGTATTCCATCTCCATCGTCCTCGACCGTAAGCGTAAGTCCATCCTGCTCCATCTTGATCGTTATGTGGGTGGAGTTCGCGTCAAGAGAGTTTTCGATTGTTTCCTTCAGGATGTTATAGGGCCTTGTGATGACTTCTCCTGCAGAGATTCGAGAAATCACGTCGCTAGGAAGTCTTTTTATCTCCATTCGAAGAGGGTACGCGTTTACTGGTAAGAGCCCTTATTCTGCAAATGCGCCTTCTCAGGGCATAGGGCTTCGACCCTTCCTTGCCGGGTAATAAACATCTGAATGTTATGGAGCACTTTGGAGGTGCCCCGAAAATGAGGGATTTTGTAACAGGAACCACGGTTGTTTCGTTCAGGTACAGGGATGGTATCATAATGGGAGCAGACACGAGAGGATCTTACGGGCGGCTTGCAAAGCTTAGCGGAGTTCAGAGGATATTCAAGGTCGGGGACCAGACACTTCTGGGAATGTCTGGGGAGATAAGCGACATGCAGTACTTGGTCAAAACACTAACCATACTGACTCAAGAAGACAATAGAAGAATAGATCCAAAAGGCTACCACAAGATGATCCAGAGGATACTTTATTCTGCCCGGAGTAAGATCAGTCCCCTGAATCTGAGTGTTTGTGTGGGGGGATTAAATGCAGCATCTGATGGCGACAGAAGAACCCATACTAGGGAGAAGATGCTCGGATGTGTCAACCACCTAGGGAACTTCTACTTTTCGGATGTGGTATGCACGGGAATAGGGGGCTATCTCGTTCTTCCATTTCTTAGGAATAGGGTGGAGGGAAGAGAGGAGGAAATAGCAAGAGAGGAGGCCATAGGTCTTGTTGAAGAGGCGATGAGGATCTTGTGCTATAGGGACTGTAATGCATCGAATGAAATACAGGTCGGATATGTTGATGATCAGGGAGTTCACATATCAGATCCATATCAGATCAAGACCAACTGGGATGTTGGGCTAAGAGAGGATGAAATTGTTATTGAATAAACAAACTTTTCTGAAGCCTTGTGATGCCCGATTTTAGAAGTTGAAATATCTCTTTTTCCATAGTCCCGGATGGAGCAAGAGGAGATCAAGATGATGATTTTGGATGGAGCAAGGGCGCCCCGGCACATAAATGGAGTCTACAAGCTGTATGCAAGCATCTCTGGTAGGGTTTTGCCTCGGTGCGGGGCGAAGATCCCTGCCGGGTTTATGATGAAAATTCCGAGTTGCTATTTTGGAAAGATTCAGAGGACAAGAATAAAAAAGCTTGGAGGGGTTGTGGACAGCGATTATAGAGGAGAGGTATGTGTGCTTGTCTACAATGATACCGACAGGGAGTTTGTGTATGAGAAGGGAGATGAGGTAGGAGAGATGGCGGTTTGCAAGATCGCAACCCCTGAGATTAGAGACGTCAGTTCCAATGAAGCTTCCCTGCAGTAGCAGAGTTTGTTGGCTGTGAGCACCTCAGATGCCGGCGTCTAAGATATTAAAGGTTTAATAAGATCTATTCTCCTCAAAATCCTTTCAGCTGGTTCATCAGTGACGTGGTTTCTTCTTCGACTCTTTTGAGCGTTTCGAGGAGTAGATCCCTCACCTGGCAATCCCTATCTGCCGTGAGGCGTAGGAAGACGTGGGTGTCTGCAGGATGTTCAACCCTGTATGCACTAAACAAGCATCTCTTGTCCTCCAGCAGCTCCTCGGACAGAAGGTTCCCCAGTGTGTGTGTTTCATCCTCTATCCTTAACTCTATTGTGTTGCGAGTGTTTCCCACATAGTTCATTGTTACCTTTCTTGTGCTTGCCATTGGAGGGGATCCAAACGGAATTCTAGAAAGGGTTGTCTCACCCGTGCCTATGGAGATCACCAGCTTTCAGGGGGGCTGAGACAGAATCGACGGAGTGAACATTTAATAAAAATAGCCTGCACCCCAAAAACAAATAGTATAATGTCGAAAAAGGTTTCTATCATAGGTAATGGAAATTGGGGCACTGCAATGGGAAGGCTTCTTGCAAACAACACCGTGGAGAGCACCATATTTGACAAGGACGTTAGGATGTGGGGATGCAGGGAGGAATACGAGGGGAGGTTCCTGAATGACATTATCAACAGTGATAGAATCAACCCCAGATATCTCCCAGGAGTCCATCTTCCCGAAAACCTGAAGGCTGTTGATGACATATGCTCGCTTGCAGACTCTGACGTGCTTGTTTTTGCTCTACCCCACCAATACATGGGGGCCATAGAGCCATTGAAGGGGTTGGTGAAGAGCAGTTGCATCGGAGTGTCGTTGACAAAAGGATTTGTTAGTGCAGAGGATGGAGACATAGATCTAGTAAGCAGATTGATCCACAGGATCTTAGATATAAATGTAAGCGTGGTGATGGGGGCAAACATTGCAAGCCAGGTTGCCCAGGACATGATAAGCGAAGGGACGCTGGGATACACTGATGAAGATGCGGCAGACATAGTGTACAAGCTCTTCAACAGCTATGCATACCGAGTTACCAAGATTAAGGATATATATGGCGTTGAAATCTCAGGAACTCTTAAAAACATTGTCTCAATGGCATATGGGTTTGCAGAAGGTCTTGGATATTGCACCAACACAAAGGTAGCCATATTCCGAAATGGATTTGCCGAGATGAGGAAGTTTTTCAAGTTTTTCTACCCGATGGCCACTACAGAATCCCTGTTCCAGTCATCGGGGGTGGGAGATCTCCTTGTATCCTGTATGTCTGGAAGAAATTTCGGATGTGCAAGACTCATGGCAGAAAAGAGAATGAACCTGAGGGAGGCTGAGGAGTCCATGTGTTTTACGAAGCTCCAGGGGCCAGGCACAGCTCTCATTGTGTATAACTATCTGAGAAGGCAGAAGAGAGTTGATGAGTTTCCTCTTATGAGCACAGTTTACAGAATATGCTATGAAAATGAGGCGTATGATGCTATTTTAGAATGTATTTCCTCCGAGTCGGTCGAAAAATAAAATGGTAAAGCTTTCTTCTGGATACGGAAAACCACCTCAGATCTTGTCTGCGGCCTCTGCAAGAGTCATGGGATTTGCTGTCACCTTCCGATGATGTCTGATTGATGTGACAGGGTTTTAATAGATTAGCAAGATGAACACCTGAAACAAAGACATGCATAAAAATGGTGTAAACAAAGGAAGGGATGGCAAGGGATGAAAAGACAATCTTTCTGTTTGACGTTGATGGAACGCTTTCTGAGTCGAGGGCAAAAATGCCCGAGAAGATGGGAAAGATGCTAGAGTCGCTCAGAAGGAAGGTTCGGATAGGATTTGTCGGGGGATCAGACCTTGCAAAGCAGAAGGAGCAAGTCGGGGATAATATTCTTGAGATATTTGACTACGGGTTTCCGGAAAACGGCGTCAGCTTTTATAAGAATGGGACTCTGGAGTCCCAGGAGAAGATAATCGATGTGCTTGGAGAGGAATTTTACAAGGAGTTTGCCAACTTTGTTCTTCGGTATCTCAGTGATATAGATCTTCCTATAAAGAGAGGCAACTTCATCGAGTATAGAAACTCCATGATCAACATCAGTCCAATAGGAAGAAACTGCAGCCGTGAGGAACGCATGAAGTTTTTTGAGCTTGACAAGAAGGAGAAGTTTAGGGAAAAGATGGTTACAGCGATGAGAGATAGATTCAAGGACAGTTGCTTGGTATTTTCTATCGGAGGGCAGATATCCATCGACTGCTTCCCAAAGGGCTGGGATAAGACATACTGCCTAAGGCATATAAAGAAAGAGGGTGTCGAAAACGTGTACTTCTTTGGGGACATGACTATGGAAGGGGGAAACGATTACGAAATCTATAACCACAAGGATGTTCATGGAATAAGTGTTGGAAACCCCGACGACACCTACAGAAAGGTAGACCAAGCACTAAAAAAGATCGGACTTGGGGGATTGGAAGAAAATTAAACAATGTTGATTCTGTTTGGTCTTCAATAGAAGAAAGGATTAATAAAGAAAAGAGTGTTTTAATTAGTTATGGCATCGATTGCCTCCTGTTGCCCAACGCTAGCCGTCTGATGGCTCTTGATTGTCTTGACCTTTCTAACACAGCAATTCTGCAGAGGGAATATCTCACTTCCTAGCTCCTCAATCCTCTTTCCAACAGTCTCATTCGCAAGCTTCTTCATGATCTTCTGAACATCGCACCCACTCAGCTCTTCTTCAATAACGTCAAACATAATCTTTCTGATCTTCTTCTCATCGGAATGCTTAACATAGCATGTCTTCTTGACATATCCTGGATGCCGTCTGGTAACACCCATGACGAACACCCTGAAAACGCTTCCGTCCTTAGCAACTATGTCCTTTTGTGCCTCAATAAGGGTGTGCCATTTCTTGATCATCGCCTTGTGCTTGTCAGACGTCAGTTCCATCCCATCAAAGAATCCAACACACTCGCTTCCCTTGATGTCCCCTATCTTGAATATAAACTTGCGGTGTCCAACATCATTGTTTCCGGTAAGATCGGCCTGGTTGACGTCATATCTCCTTCCTATCATGTTCATGTAGGAGTTCTTACCTGCAGACTTCGTCATCAAGGTCTTTCCGTTGATGTTGTTCGGGAAAATGGACGGAGATCGGAGAGTGTACCACTCCTTCCTTGCAAATGCATTCTGTCCACTCTTCTTCTTGGCCTTTCCCTTCTTATTTCCCTGTGGGTATGAACCTGGTGGTTGTATCGCCTAGAAATTAGATGTGTTCTCCCAAATTCCACTTACCATTTCCTGGGGTGGCGCAAATTTTTGCTTTTACTACTCTCTGCCAGTATTCACGGAACCCCGAGGAGGTCACCATGTCTCAGACTGAAATACAATTCTTTTTCCATACACATCTTCGAGTAGCTTCTTAACCTCCCTATTTAGCCTTGAATTTCCGCTTACAAATATTAAATACTGGTCGACGTCTTCAACAGGGCTTTTTCTGAAAACATCCTGTACATACACCTTGTCATCCCTGGATGCAGCGGTAAACATCCGGACGTTCCTGCCGGTCCACTCGTCAGGATACAGAAAGTCCTTGTTCTTGTACCGAAATCCATAGAATATAACAATTTCCTTGTCCTTGAACTCGTTGACACAGGCTCTTGGAAGCGTTATTCCGGTCCCTGTGCATACAAATAGCAGCTTGTCCGAGTCGAAGTACAAGTTGCTCCTTTCAACACCTATTTTTATTACATCGTTTAGACTGAGGCTCATCAAGTATTCAGAGCAAACACCTCTTCGAGGCTCAGAAAGAAAAGTTGTATACCTTACAATCGCAACAGTAATGTGGTATAAGCCCTTTTTCTTCGTTACCGAAAAGAACCTTGGATACATGGCGGGTACAAAGCTCTTGAGAAATCCAATGTCAACTTTTATCCTCAGATCCTTAAGGACCTCAAACACCGTTCTCCTCGCTCGAATTACATAGTCATGATACAAGTCATAGTCCTGTGCAATCTCCTCTATTTTCAAAAGGATTTCTTCCTCCGTCCTGTTCTTCTGGCCCAGAAAATGCCTAAGTGCAAAAAAAAACGGTTGGTGAGGCTGCGAGTTGAAATCTACCACATTCTGCAGCATCCATACAGACGAAACCCCATCTAGATCCCCGTCCCCTATGCCGTTGTAGCTCATGAACTCCCTGTAGTTGTAGTTCTCGGGGAGAAGGGACAGGCAGTCGCCCGGAAAGAATTCTTTGTAGTCGGGGATATCAAATACAAACTCCACTATCTTTTGAAAATGGTCGTCAGGTGTCAATACCCTCTTCTCAACTAGCCTTGAAACGTACCTCTTGGGTTGGGTGGAAATGAAGTCCGTACACGGTCTTGATATGTAAGTCCTCAGGTAGGCCGTAAGCTCCAACAGCCAGGGCCTGAAATCAGAAAGAAATCCTTCTCTGTCCTGGGAATCTCCGCTTCCTCTTCTTATTACTGGCCTTGCGCCCAGCATCCTGAGTCTATTGAAAAGCCTTTTGGAGCAGTAGTTGAATTTTTCATATGAGGAATCTCCAAGACCAAAAACAGCAAAGCTCAGATGTGACAAAATAGTGCTGGGGAGATCGTCCCTAGACAAAAACGACCAGAACTTGGTCATGTTGAATGGCTCCGCCCCGTCTCCATGTGTTGAGCAGACAAATATAATAAGGTCTATGTCAAGGATCTTCTCGATGTCGAGGAGATCCATTTCCATCACCAAGCACGCATCCTTCTGGCCTGGGCTGTACAAAAAAGCATCCAAGTTGTATATTGTTTTTGCATCATATCCATGCATAATTGCTCTTGCTATTAAGTTGCTAACGTAGATTGCCGTCCCCGTCTGCGAACCATAGAGAATAGGAATCATCAGGGGAGGATGGTCCCAAAATATAAGCACAAGGAGATATTCAGAGCCATGGCAGTCCCTATGGAGCCAGTTGACATACACATGTATTATGCCGAGAGAGCCGCAAAGTTCTTAAAATCAAGAGATACAAGGAGACAGGTTGAGGAGATCAAAAGAATGGAAGCAACGGTTGCCATCCTTGACTTCTGCGGGAAGACTCCGCTGGTATACAAATTGTTTGCAGGAGTGGAGAAAGAGGTCTTTGTTGTATACGATGTTTCCAAGTGTAAGGAGAGAATAGGAGAGGTTGTCAGGAAACACGACCTGGTCTATGTCCTTGAAGATGTCGAGAGCATGGAGAAGAACATTTTCTATGGAAACAAAAGGGCCATCTTTCTCTTATTCGATAGATTCAAATTCATCCGATGCATATAAGGATGCCGCACGAAAACTTTTCAATGGCATCTACTTGGAGCAGTTGAATTTCAGGAGTATCTTCTAGCCCATTGAAGAAACTGTATGAAGACGCATTTCAATCTGAAGAAGCAAATGAAACCGATACTGACGGCTGGAATGCCAAAAAGGCAAGGCGACATGTTGTATACACAGTATAACAATCTTATAATTGAGACTGATGTCAAGACATTCAGAATCGCTAGGGAAATACCGTTTGGGTCGATTAAGTGTTTTGACGTTCGAGATGACTACATGATTGTATGCTCCACAGAAATAGTTGTATACAATCTTGTGCGTGGAATGGCTGAGGAAGTTGTTTCTCTTTCAAGGTCCGAGGCATGTGCAGTGTTTATTGATGAGCTGGTAGTTTCTGGTGAAAAGCCAAGTGTCTTGTCGGCTGTGGTTGGCGGGGTTGACGGCTCTGTCTCCAAGATAGATCTGGTTAACAGGACGCCTGTGTGGTCGTATAAGATGGAGAATATGATAGTGAGGCTGGCCGGACTTGGGGGCATGGTGTGCTCAGCTGATTCCAACGAGTTGTGGATTTACAAAGGAGGGGATGAACTTCTGAAATATCAGGAGCCGGATGTTGTTGGAATAGCATACAACGGACGGGATGTTTGCACAGTTTCAAGAGAAGGGATTTTGGCTATTTTGGAGAAGTCCAAGCGGATATCGCTGGGCATGGGATGTGATTTTATGACTGGGGATGATGAACACCTATACGTGTGCAGAGGTCGCATGATCTACGTATATGATTACGATGGTAAGGTCCAGTATAGAAAAGATATTTTGGGAGAAGAAAGGCAAGGTATGGAGAGTGTGGTGAGACTGAGGAAGGAAGACGACAGCTTTGAGGATGAGAGTGAAGAAAATGGATCGCCAAATGGAAAGGAGTGGAGCGGGACCCGTGGGTCAAGTAGTAATGACTGTTACGAGGATGAAAGCGGGACCGATGATGGACTTAAGAGAAGGAGGCAGACAGTTGACATGAGGAACAATAGCCCGAAGGAAACTGTCGAAGCAGACGATGGAATGGCCATTGAGGGCATGTCAAAGGACATTATATTAACTAACGAACAGGAGATATTTCTTGTTGATGAAGGAACGATTGTTTCTGCTATTATTGGAAACAATGATGAAGTGACGGACATGAAACGATGGAACGATGTATTGTTTGTTGCCACCAACAGTGGAAGGTTAAGATATACATTTATTGATACCTGTCCGGGGAGCTATGCATTCCGGGGACATATTGTCCCTGCTCACGACGAGGCGATTATGTCCCTATCGATCAGCGGAGACTTTCTAATGACGGGCTCACGAGACAAAAAAGCCATTCTTTGGAAGATTTCCTTGAGGGATGCAGAGAATGGGCAAGAGAAGAGCCTATCCCTGAAAATGATCAACACACTGGAGAACAGCCTTGGGGGGATCAATGGATGTGTTCTCGGGGCCTCCATTTTTGTATTGGTTGGAAGTGACCAGATTCTCCAGATATGGGACTACAGAGACAATGTGTTCATGGAGAGAATCCACGACAAGGAGATTAACGGGGTCGAAATAAATGAAGAGAGGAAGCTTATTGCAACATGTTCTCAGGACAAGAATGCAAAGATTCTGGACTTTGAGGGAAGAGTTCTCCATGTTCTTTCTGGACATACAAAGGGTGTGTGGTGTGTAAGCTTTGGAAAGAATCTTATGGCAACATGCTCTGCAGATACCACAGTGAAGATTTGGAAGATAGAGACTTTTGAGTGCACTGGAACCCTTTCTGGGCATAGAAGTGCTGTGTTGAAGGCGCAGTTTTACCGAAACGACGAAAAGTTGGTTTCCGGATGTGCAACAGGGGAAATGAAGGTTTGGAATGTCAAGAAGAAGATATGTGAGATGAATCTTGATGTTCATAGAGATCGGGTGTGGGCTTTTATCAACACGCCACTGCTCATAACATCCGGAAACGGGTCGATAGCCTTTTTTGAAGACGACTCTCTTGAGGTAGCAAACAGTATGATAGAGAAGAAGAATGAGAAAGAGATGCAGGCTATCGAGGTGGAGAGATGCCTAAGAAACAATCTGAATGTCAAGGCTGCAGAGATACTCTCCAGGACCGATGACTACAAGGTGCTGTTTAAAACGCTGGTAAGGTGCTATAAAGAGAGGTCAGATGAGGTTTTCAGTATCTTTGAGGATAAGCCGAAAATGCTCTTTGATGTTATTTTGAAGCAAGGGACATTCAAGAACTGTGTTGTTATACAGTGGCTTCTGGAAGAGGCTCTTAAGAGGAGATGGAGGATGAGCGACGAGGTTGCAGGGAAAATACATAAGATTCTAGAGAAGCACTCCCGCTCCATAGATGGGATTTACTCAACCCTACTCGGATTTACGATCTTTGAGAGGAGAATCTGATGCAGTTGTTTTATTTCCGATGCCGAGCCTGAAAGTGCATGTAGGCATTGGGTACCTCCGAAACAACATACTGATTGAATTAATGATACGTGTTTCATGTTCCTCTTATTATTATTTTCGCCAGATAAACACATGGAAAGCATGAGAAGCCGATTTTGCTCTACGCTTGGGCAGGTTTACAAGATAATTGGGTCCTCGCCTCTAGTTCCTGTGTTTTTGTCTCTAACATACTTCACAAGGGGAATAAAGACAGGATACTACACATACGGAATAATTGCATCGGGAATTCTGCTGGGACTGTCTCTATATGTCGTCGAATACATAGGAAAGAAAAGAGAGGAAGAAGAAAGACCGAAGTCTTTGGGGGACATATCGAAGGGATTTTCAAGGCCGTTATCTGAGGCTGTCGATGTGTTGGCAATATTGTCGAAGTACACAACGCTTCTCATCATAGTAGATGTATTTTTCAATGTGCTGTTCATCTACTTCCCCTTTCTGGACGAGATCAGGAAATCGATGGCTGTATACAAGATATTATTTGGCCTGGGATCTGCGTTGGTGGGGCTGACCTTATATGTTTTTTCTACGTTCAGCAGGAAGATGTTTCTTGCCGTCTCCGCGTCGGCCAGTATTCTCTTTGTAGCTGCAGTGGTGATTGGATACTTCCTAGGGATGAACTCTGCCCTTTCGAAGCCGTCGTACTCTCGGGGAAATCTTCTCCCATCATTCTTCTGGGTAACCACCATAGCATTCTATACGATGGAGTTCGTGTCCGGGGGAGTCAAGATCGTAGGCGAGTCGACGCACAGGGAGAGTGCAAAGTATGTAGCTGCTGGAAGCATGCTATCTGTTTCTGGAATGTATCTGATTCTACTGCACTCGGCAGGATGGATAAGATCCAACTACAACTCGCTTGACATCCTAAATCTCATATTCCTCAAGTCATCCAAGCTTAACACTTACCTGCGAAAGTCCACGATTGATAAGTATTGCATTACAACCAAGGCGATGTGCATCTTCATTCCAGTCATATGCATTTCTCTGTTTGTGACGCAGTTTGATGCCTTCATTGAGTCCTTCAAGAACTTGGTGAACGCAGAAAATGACAACAAGCTATGGCTCCTGTCTCTCCTTATGTTGAGTATAGTATTTATACAGGTCTTATTCAATGAAATGATAGGGACATTCCACTTCTATGTGGTGCTGGTCGTGATTGGAATGACTCCCCTGCTAGTATATCATCCATTCATATGCTATATCTTTGCATCTCGAAAGATCAAGTTCTTCACAGCAGTCTGCATCCTTGCAATAATATTCACAAGCGCGACCCTGGTAGGAACCATAAGGACACTGATAGACATTCTACAGAAGAATTGAGTCTTCCTATTGGGAATAGGATCACACACAGGACAATTAAAGTCTTTAATCAACTCTGCCTTGTTTGGTTCACTTTAGATTCAGCCTCCTATATCCACCGCCCGACTGGCCTTTCTCCTCCCCGCAGTTGGGGCAGTTATTTGAGTCAAACGTAGTGGCCACATCGCACTTATGGCATCTGTAATCTCCGATGCTTCCTAGATTTCTTCTGCAACTGCTACAGGCAAGATACGGACTGCTGCTTCCGCATGGAATGCATGAAATGTAGCATATATGGAAGGCGTATTTGTCGTATCTGTATTCGGAATCGGCCATAGTTCCGCAGTAAGGACACAGGATTTTCTTTGGAGGCTCGGGATACCCTTCCGGGGTGTCTATCTTCTTCGGCGTAGACTTACATCCACATGTGAAATAGCAAAGGTCGCTGCAGCACCACATGCCAAACTCGCCTCTTTCTTCTAATATCTTTTTGGTCTCAGAATCTCCAGTTCCACTGGATGGATCGGAGTCTCGGCAACCAATTGCATATGGAAACGATGTCTAGGAAGTCATTTTCTGACGATGCTGAGTAGCATTGACTTGTTTAGTTTTCCCATCCTTAGTGTCAGGTCGATACTTTTCTTGAGCTTGTAGAGCTCGGTCCCTTGTGCTCTCGACGACCCGAAGTAGAAGACAATGAACCTCAGCCATCTGATTGCTGTCAGGTGATGCATGGAATTGTCAAGCATTCTTGATATTGCTGGCCTTAGACTATCAACCAAGGCTGTGTCTAGATGTTTGACAACCCCCTCGATTCTATCGGCTGGGCAGGAAAGCACGACTTCTTTTATGACCTCATATTTGTTAATCCTTAAGGACCCTATTGCAGCCTTCAAATACTCCTGTCCACTCAGATATCCTCTTATGGATTCCGGTGTTAGGGACACGTCCAAACGAATCGGAATAAACTTGATAAACGAGGGCTCGTAGATGCTTATGCCTTCTCTAGTGAGAATATAAAATGCTCTCTGGTTGCTGCTGTGCATTATTTTCAGAACTTCAATGACTCTTGCCTTGTCAAAGGGCTTAGAGGACTCTTTTCCAAGGGCTTCCTTATAGTTTTCCCACTCCCTGTTATCTGAAACGCGAAGCACCTGAACGACATCACCTGTATCTGCCGATATTATCTTTATGGAGTTTGCCTCTCCTCCAGAGATGATGAACTTATTGTCGAACGTGAGGTCGAGGCTTTCTATAGGCTTTTCGCTGATGAAAACTTCGTTTCTTTTCCTAGCCTTTAAAGACGCTTTGATTCCTCTTTCATAGTTTAGGTTCGAGTCGTAAATGGCCAGCTCATCCACCGTAGCAACACAAAGCCTGCGGTTCCTCACCGAAAATCCTGTGGCCATTTTTCTGATCTGTAGCTCTTCAACCGTCTGGGAATACACATTCCATCTCCTAACTGTGTTGTCATAGGACAATGTGTACAAGGAATCTCCATCCCATTTCATTCTAAATACAGGTCCCTCGTGCCCTTTCAGCACATCAATCTCCTTTCCCCTCTGAAGATCTACCACTTTTATGGCATAGTGGTTGAAGTCAGCAATAAATAGCAGAAGATTGTCATCACTAACTTCAGAGGCAGATATCCTTGCAGGAATCTGGAATGACCTGTAACAAACTCCATTTTTCATGTCCCAAATAGACACTCTTCCATCCAAGCAGAGACACAGGACAGAGTTCTGGAGGATGTGTACACTGAACACGGCATGCGTGGCATTTGGATCCGAAAAGGTGTGGATGCATCTCTGCTCATCATATATCCTTACCTTCTTGTCAGAGCACCCTGCAGCTATCACGTCCTTTTTTACATCCATTGATGCTATCCGGGGAAGATCCAGCTCAAACACAAACAAGTTAAGAACCAGGTTGTATATACCGATGAACCTAGGCCCTTTCACTGCAATGGAATCCCCAGATAAGGACATGTCCAGGATCTTGTGTCCCACTGATGCACAATGAACCACTTCCTGCCCGCTATAAATAAATAGGTTCTCCTCAGACTCCTTGTCTGTGGCAATAGCCACAAGGCCTAAGTGGCAGCTGGAGGCTAGCACCTTTGAGTTGAGATATATAATCCCCTTATAGGTAACATTCTCTCCGTCTATCGTAAAGTACAGTATAGAGCCGTCCTCGCCGACAACAACCAGCTCATTATTCTCTGCTCCAAGGACATATGCCGCTACCGGAGTGCTCATCGTGTTGCATATTCGTGTAGACCGATTGCCAGAAATATCAAACAGCCGGACCGTGCAATCTCTACTTGTTGTTATTACCCGGCTGTCATCTATAAACTTGACGCTTATGATATCCAGAAAATGCCCAAGATTCCTCGAATGCTGTTTGAAAAGAGGGAGCTTGAACTCCTTGGGGATGTGCCATACCTCGAGCATGTTCGAGCACCCAGCCACTATCAGATTCTTGCTGGTATCTATACAAGAAAATCCTCGTTTGAGAGATCCTACCATCCTGTTTTCATTGCTCATGTACATCCTTTCTTCGGTAACTACAAAGAATTTTTCGGATATACTGAAGCCGGTAATGGTTCCTCCAACATCGCAGATCTTGGTATATTTCCTACCGGAAACCCTGAACAGGTGGTTATTTGATGAGAAGTACACGTCGCCGTCGTAATGGAGCCCTCTTGCTTCCGACTCTGTTGGAATGACTGCCTTCAGCCTGTATTCCCTCATTGCGTGGGTAATTTTTTGACTGGGGAAGAAGCTTCAAGAAGAAGGAAAAACAGAAGCTCTGACGCATAGTATCTATTCGGTAGGATGTCAAAGGACGCACGGCAGGGTGGTTGCGGCTGGTTTGGCCTGATTTATATTCGATAGATCCAAAGCCCCGGGATATGTCAAACACTGTGACGGTGACCAAGGTAAAGTTGAAGCTGGTACAAAAAAAACCAAGACATGTAACATGGACAGAGGAGACCGTTGACAACGAGGGATTGGGGAAGAAGAAAAGCAAGATATGCTGTATATACTGCTCCAAGGGCAAGGACAGGGACAAGAACAAGTATGAGAGACTGTAAGACCGGCTCTTGCCAAGGGCGCATGAGTGCTCGGCTAACAGCTTCGAGCTAGAGTGGCCGTTCACCCATCGGCTATAAGGAATAAAATCTGTTAAATATCAAGCCCCTTAATGAAAGGACTCTCTGTTAACGATGTCTTTTCCACAAGGGAAGAAGCAGAGAAGGCTCTGGCGGAACATGCTGTGCGAAACAACCTCAACTATGACCTCGAGGAAACACCCAAGTCTGTTGCCGTACTGTGCAAGGGAAGAGAGGAGTTTGGCTGCGAGGCCAGAGTAGTTGCACAGTTAAGAAAGAAGGACGGAGTATTCGTGGTGAAGAGAGTTAGACTGGCACATAAATGCCCAGCAGTGACATCGAAGTATGGATCTCCCGACGAGATGGTTCGAACTGAGGTGCACAGGGTAATAGGAGACAGAAATGCAAGAATAGGGGAAGTCATATCTATTCTGGCAGATATGAATATAAAAATGGGGTACTTTTCTGTCTGGAAGGCCATGAGGCAAGGAGACGAAACGGAGAAGGAGAACATAAAGGAGGGCTTGGCAGGGGAGAATGGAAAGGGGGATCTGTTTGACAGGGCCCTTGAAGAGCTTTCCCGGGAGTTCTTGGAACTTAATCCTGATGCGGCTGCTCGGTATCGAGGGAAAATGTTCTTTTTCTCCTTCCCCTCTTATCTTGAGATTCTTGTCCCAATTGTTGAGATAAGAATATATAAGAGGACAGAGGGGTTTGTCATTCTAGGGGTGCTTCGAGATCCAGCATGGTTTCCGGTTGTTTATTCCTGCGTGGTTTCTGACCTTGCAGATAGAGACGATGCATTTGGATACTTTGTTGACTCGATGCCCAGCCTGTTCTTCCTTGTGGACTTCGATGTCCATCTCATCCGTGTTCTTAAAGAAAAGGACAGAGAGTTTTTTGTAAAAACCCGTGACATATGCAAGTTCTATTACAACAGGGGCAAGTCTATTGATGCTGTAGAGGATGTCTGGAACAAGTGTAACAACGATAGAGAATGGAGTACTCCGGAGCTTGCCTTTATAGATAGAAAGAGGTACTTGAGGAACTGTTGTGAAGTGGACATGCTTGGGCTACAGAACACAAGTGAATGCGATGTCGAATTCATTGGTCTGGGGATTTTCAATCTCCCGTTCTTTGATTGCATCAATGCGATTCTGAAGCTCATTAGCGACAATCTGAAGCAGAGGAAGAAGATTAATCTTGGGGAAGGAAAGCATCTATTCGGCAACAATGTCATAAGTAGGATAGAAAAGAATACCTCTATGGAGGTTGCAGACAGCTTCTACAATGTTGATCTACAGAATCAAACATGCACATGCGGGAGATTTCAGGAATTTCTAATACCGTGTCCCCATGCCTGCAAAAAAATACTTGATTCCGGAGAGGATCCATACTTGTATGTTAGTGACTTGTATTCGAAAGCAAGGCTGCTTAAGCTCAGGGATGTAGTTCCTGTTGTAGATTTGCCGGTGAAGTGTCAATCTGATAGAAATCTGCTTAAACGCGGACCTGGGAGGCCAAAGAAGATACTGGTTAGAGAGCCCCCTGTTGTTAGAAGCTGAAACGTCCACAATCACTAAATTTTTAATACTACACATAGAGGCCGGGCTTTATAAACCTATCTATACACCATTTTTTCCCATTGCTATGTTGACTAGCATATATACAGAACTAAAAAGACAGGCTATCATGCATAGCGCGCCCAAGACTGTGCTCACTGCATATTCTTTTCTTACCGATATGAAGAAAGCAAACGGAAAGAAAAACGATATGAAATTTGTTACGGTTGCACCTGCTATGCTTATTACAAGATCTGCAGACAGGTCTTTAACCAGGGCCAATAAGAAGCAAAGCAGAATCAGAGCGGTCATCAGAAAAATACGAGTGCCATCCGTTCTTCGCCCCGGCGGAAGGACACTGAGTATGGTGGTTACCAACGGGTTCAGCTGCATTGGGAAACTTCCAACAAAGATCAGAATGCACCCGTACACTGCGGCTCTCGAGGATAGGAGGTATCTGTCAATGGTGTGAGATAGCTGGATGTTGATTAGAGAGTCTCTATCTGCAAGTACTTTCAGTAGATCTCCATTAAGCCTGTTTCCAAAGAGCGAGTATCCGAGGTGCCCTATCGACCCATAGATCAATCCCCCTCCAATCCCACAGCATATCGATACAAACCTGATCTTTCCTATTGAATTGCTTGACATTTCGTTCAGAACCTTTACCATGTTGGACTGGCATGCCATTGCAGTTATAAAGATCGGAATCGAAAAGGAAAAGCCATTGGCGAGAGAAGTTGCTTCGTAGGAAGAGCGTCCAGGATAGAAAAGGAGGTTATAGAACACAAGGAGGAAGATGAAGTATACAATCGAAATGATCATGGCAAGTGACACGTATTTCAGGCTAGAAAGGTTTTTGTGAGAAGAAAGAATAAAGAACGGGATTAGGAGAATGACCACGATTCCCTTTCTGACAGTCTCAGGGTCAGGCCAAATAGGTAGTAACATCGGAAATGCAACCACAATCAAATCAGAAAGATATCTGTAAAGACAGACATTTGCAGTAAGACTATTTACAATAACAAATGCATCGAGGACATGCTTGAACCTGGGAGATATGCAGACACCAAGTGATGAATATGTTTGGCCCACGGGCATCTTCATTGCAGAGTAGGAGATACAGTACAGAGAGAACGACGTGAGTGAGGAGATGAGAAAGATGACGCCCCATCCGTAAACATATCCAACAAATCTGAATGCAACGGGCGTGAAGTATATGCTTGCGCCCATCATCGATGTTATCATTACTACTATAGCAGAATATTCTGTCAACAACTTTGACATTTTCTTTGAAAAAACTATAAGGGACTTGGAAGTAAACATTAATCGCAGGAGAAGGCAAGACATAACCAGCACTAGAAATTAAGGAATTCAATTAGTTGTAGTCGCAGAGTCCTCGGGGATAAGCTTGCTGGTTGCGAACATTACAATGCGAAGATAGTCATAGATGTTCACGCACTCATCACTCTCCCCTTCAAAAATAGAAATGTTCTCCTTCATGCCGATTCTCCTCAGATGCTCTCTTGTGTACTCATTGGACTCGTCCTTCACCTTATCAAGATAGCTCTTGTACTCCGAAAGATCAAGCCTTTCCTTGAGGAGAATATAAATAAAGGCATGGGACACCGCAGTGGCGATATCACTCTTATTCTTGTCCTTCAACTCCTCGTTCTTATTCTCATCATCAGCTTTTTGGGTCCTGTCCTCCTTCATGGAGATTGCAATGTCAAGGATATTCAGGTTAAGTATTTCTTCCAAATCCTTCTCTACATTCCTATTCTTAAATAGGGTCCTGGTAGCTGCATCCAACCCGTTTCTTAGGTGGACTTCCTTACCAGAGACACTGTCTTTGATACAAACACCTTCTACACACGAATCGCACACAACCCCCTCGTCCAGAGTTGATAGGAACCTGTATAGGAAGCTGAAGAAGACAGATCCCTCTATAACATCGCCACTGTCAGAGAACTTTCCTCTGAGCTTAGACTTGTCAAAGGCTGCATTTGCTGTCTTATCGTCCATAAATATGTAATAGAAGTTGTACAGGAGATATCCCGTTACAAACACTACTACAAACAAGGCACTGGTGATAACAGCAAGCTTCTTTGGTTTCATCATTATGGGCTTAAATTTTTTTACCATTTATACTTTGAAATATTCCGTTTAAGGAATATGCAGAAACCTGTCTTTCTGCAAGCCTTTTTCAGATTGCACTACATAGCTATGGACCTACTGAGGATGCCCAGTGGCATTCTTAGCATAACAAACATATGTTGAACACCAGAGTCGCTAGAGACATTGCAATAAACGCCGCACTCAGGCTTAACTTATTAATTAAAAAACCCGCACTAATTGCATCTAGTAAGAAATAAAATTTGAAATGAAAGATTTTATCGACTTTGAAAATGTGCCACAAAGAGAATTAGGTATTTAGCTATTTACTCCCTGCTCCTCCTTCTTCTTGCTAACCGAGCTGTTGTTGTTGCTATTATTCCTCCATCCGATCATACCAAAGAGTGAATCAATTAGTCCCTTTCCTTCATTATCAGAGACTTCAGATACCTTTTTTCCCAGACTTCCACCGGCTGCTGCAACAGACGCCTTTGCTGACAAGTAAGCCTGTTTAATGCTTCCCTTTTCCATATACCCGTTTGCTTGAAATATGGAGGTGAGTATATGCTCGATCACATGCATGCTATCTTCTTTTTTTCCTACCTTAACAAGTATTGTAGATTCTGCAACCTCACGATTTTCCTCGTCCAAGCCATCAAGGAGATTTTTGACAGATTGATTCTCTTTGTAGGTCTTTCGGAATTGTAGAGTCCTCTTGTCTTCTTCAGGAATTCCCTTTAGCCAGATCCAAATATAAAGCTCGGCCAATGCTGTATTCAGTTTTTCGATCTTCCCTTGTTCATCTGCTCCCTCGGATTCTTGATCGGATCCTTCTGATGTCTCAACAGCCGAGAATGCATTTGAGACGGTCTCCGCAAGTTCATTACGGTTTTTATCTCCTTTTTTCAGGATTTCAAGAATGACGTCCTTAGAATCCTTAACCCTAAACATCATGTTTCTGGCCTCGGTAATTGCATTCTTTACGTATTTCCCCTTTTTACTTTCTCCTTCTTCTTCGGAAGTCTCGCCACAGCACAGATAGGACGAAAGACTATCGTCAGCAGACCTTAGGACCTTATTCAGACACACGAAGAACTTTGAGAGCGTGACGTCCTTGCCCTCTTCGTTACTTCCTGAATCCTTAAATCTAAACGGAACCTCTCCATTAAGTTCGGTAAGGTTTTCTTCGGTAAGAGTACCTAATGGTCCCTCCCAAAGCATGAGTAACACTAGAGTAAATATGGCTATTGCAACTACCACAACCACCAAAGTCTTTGCGATCTTACTCTTCATGATGGACATGGGATTTTTTGGATATTTATAGTTTTGTGAGATAATATACTTTTTTAGAAATTTGCTTACCGCCAAATTTATTCTCAGGTTCTCCTTATTATGCAGAGAAAGCCGATCACCTTTCTGGAAAAGTAATAAGGGGAGATCAGCGATTCCAAACTTTCTTTTATTCTTCTTCTCACTGGTCTGCCGGTGGAAAGGTACGCAGAAGGATAATGGTGTACATGTTCTTCCGATTGGCCTCCTAATGCAGTGCTTTTTCAGTAACCGAAGTACCAGCTCTAGGCGCGAATTCTTGAAAATCTGTAGCAGAAAAAGAGATATATAAACAAAAACGCTCTCAGAAGGCGGTATAGGAGTATAGACCTTTCCCTTAAGGGTGCTAGAGGAAATTGCCTGCATGCAACCAGGAAGTTGAATGACTCGGAGTACCGGAGGAAAAAGCTCTTCCGGAAACTTTCCTCGTCTAGGGGATACAGCAGATTAAATGCAAGAGTAATACACATGAACATGTACTTGAGCTTCAGATTCAGCACCAAGTTTAGTAGGGAGCAGGTGAAAGTGCCTGTTATAAGGAAGATTGGAGCAAAGTTGAAACTGAGAATGTAGGAGACCAGAAGAACAGGAATCCATGTCTTCAGAACCAGATAGATGAAAATGTGGAAAAAGTACGTTCCAGGAGAATAAATCCTGTTAACCTGGCTATGAACCTGAGCCCTCTCTTCATTGACCATGGTTCCCCCCCTTGTAAAGATTATAAAATATATCCCCGTTGATATGATTTTGTAGTCCACTAAATCCCAGTTGTAAGATCTTATTTTCCCAATAAACACCATCGTCTCTCTACCGATGGAGACAGCCGAGGTAAAAAAAAGGCTGGGAATATGCAGAGCATCGTTGGCCACGGTACAGATCGAAGTAGTGAGTATTTTCTTCACGAGTTTTTCTGCGAAGACAGACCATTCTCTAAACACTTCTAAGAGGCTCTGGAAAGCACCTGAAAATGTAAGAGTAGTTCCAAAGGCTGCATCGTTGAATATGGATGCTTTAAACTTCAGGATAATAGCTAGATATACATGCATCAGAAATGAGACTATGAACTTCTTGAAATCCTTAGTTCTTCTCTCTTCAAGAACACACTTTCTTCTTGTTAGTAGCAGAGAAAGTCTGATATCCACAGAGCAAAAGTACTGGGCAAAAAGCGCTTTCAAGCTGCTCATATAGCAATTCTTCATAGGCTCTTTCCAGATAGCTTTACGCTCTAGACTCTGGAGAAGCCCGGTGCTCTGAATCTTGTGGACGACCACATCATCCTTAAAGGCATCTACATCCAAGTATGCAGAATCACTGGACGCATCTAGTCCAGGAGCCGCTGAGTATTTGTCTACTTCCGAAGCATTTTGGCAGCAGGGTGCAATGAGATTTGCTGTGTTCTCCAGCAAAGTATGCTCAATAGCTCCAGAACTCCCACTCACATCTGGTGGAGAATCTAGAAAGTCCCCAACGGACACATCGGAAATGTTTTCTTTTCTTCCCTTCTTGCTGTCGTGCTTTACTTCGGTCTCTCGCAAGAAATTCTCAAACAGCGTTCTCCTGTATCTGCGAACCTCCTCTTCTATATAAAAGTTGGCGCATTCGAAGCCATCACTCCCAATGGTGATACAACCATCCAGGCCATATTCTAAGGGAAAGTCCACCTCCACTAAAATAAGACATCCGGTGTTCCTTGCATATTCACCAAGAAACGATAAATACTTTTTTGTGGTCTCATAGGGACTATGAAAGTCTCGGAGAACAATTATTTTTGCTTCCGAGGCAACACTTATCGCAGCCTCCCACCTTCTGGACTCGGAAACAGTTAGCCCGGATATAGCTGATTTTCGTATGCTTTCCAAATCAAAGGCATCTATCATGTTATTGACTTTAGAAAAATTTACAAACTCCAGCGAGCTTTGGACGCTCTCACAGGAGTAAAACATGACAAACGGATTCATCATCTTCTGAAGTTCTTTATAGCTCATGGGACTTCCACCAAAAGAAATGGAGCCGCAAAGCCTCAGGTCGGTGCTGGGAACTGCAGGAATCGTCAGTGAAGCTATCAGGGCATCCCGGAGGGTGTTATAAAGACCAGTGATTCCGCAAACCCCTGCAGCCAATATCCTCTGACTCTTACATACTTCTCGTCCTTCCACAGTGATTTCCACATTTTCTATTTTTAGAATTCCATTTACCTTTGGATTACCCATCAACTTTGAAGGGGGGGATATGTTCTGCTCCAATAACCGCTAAATTAAAGAGGGTCGAAAAACATTTATGAGTGACAAAGATGTCCACAGATCCGCAACTCTACGTGTCGAACATGTGTTGCATAGACAGCTCGTCTAATAGATCAGGCATATCAGCTGTTCTTCTTATTGATTGTTCCCTTTTCAAACTGTTTGGGCGGATGTAGCGGATGGGAAATTTATGGAATAGATGAGACGGATACCTGAAGCCTCTAAGTATGAAGAGAAAGATGTTACATTTATGCCTGGGCATTGGGATGATTGGGGCACGCCGCTACAAGTTGGGCTATGGGCTGAGGGGGCCGCTCCATTCCTTAGAAAGCAGGCTTTATAAGGGCTGGCTATCAAACTACCAACCGCAATTAGGCTTCTTTTCTGACAGCAGTAGCGGTCAGTGCGACAGCAGCAGTGACTAAATAGCCAAAGAGCTTGTACAATAAAGCCATATTCGATTCTTGGAATACTTCTATTAGGACAGCCTCTCCATCCATTAAAAGAGTTACAAGAGTTGGCTTTTAATCAATTAACTCAGGCTTGGGCCACGGATTCACCATTGCTTAGAGAACCATAAGGAGAGAACACCCCATTCTCGTTGCTATGGGCGATAAAATAAGGCAAATCACCTGTTGTCAGGGGTGCTTTGTTAGTCTGAAGGTTTTCTCCTGGATCGCTAGAGACATAATAGTTTCCAATAGACGGATCAACAGGAACCTCGAAAGTCAAATCTTGCGCAGGACCACCATCTACGAAGTCCTTGAACTGCTTTGGATCAGAGGCAACCAGGCTATCTGGAAGGATCTGTGTCCTTGCCTTGTGCAGCCTTGCAAGATTTTCAGCCCTCTTTATAGCTTCATCCTGATCCTTCTTTATCATATCAAGCTTTTTGTTTAGAAGCTCGTTGTGGTGCTCAAAGCTTAAGTTATTGTTCGCCACATTTGCGACCGGAACGGTGTCCTTCACTAAAATCAGCGGGTTGGATGATCTCTGGGCAACAAGCCTTTGCTCTTCTTCCTGCAACATTGCAGCCCTGTTGGCCATTATCTTTGCATTCAACTCCTGCCTCTGGGCAAGCAGCGCACTGGCCTCAAGCTTCGCAGCCGAGCTTATGGCACTGGCCTTCAACGCTTCTCCTTGTGCATGATGTATTAAATGGTGCAAGGAAATCAGCCTCTCTCTGCTGCCTATACCTTGGCCGTCTCTTGATGGAGAGACATATATTCCTATATTTCCCTCGCTAGACCCATCGATACTTGGAGCCAGCACAACCCCGCTTTCCCCAGAATCAGGCCCTACGTCTGCAACTAAAGGACTTGAGTTTCCTGAGATATAGACAGGGGGAACTCGTCTTGCGTCAGTTATTCCTATGTCACTAAGAGGTTTGTCCAAGCGGGGGGAGTTGTAGGTCTTCCGAAGATTACTTTTCAGCGGAGAATGGCTATGATACCGATTATGGTGCCGCACATGGGTCTTGGCTGGAGACTCTGCGCTCGCAATGTATGTCACAGAAAGAATCATCAGAAATGGCCTCATAGCTCCAGGCAAATACTTTGCTTTTATGCTATGTTCTAGGTAAAACAGGATGTTTCATGATTACATAGGCCTCAGATAACAAATAGACTGGGCTCCAATGAGGACGGTCCAGTTGACTCCTCAAAAATGAAGTGAATGACCTTATCTCCGAGTTAATGGGCCGTGTTGTGCCGTAGCCCTGAATGGAAGGGGTTCTCCATAAGATAAATGGTCTTTTGAAGAATCCTAGGCTAGAGGATATACTGGCTGTGTTCGAGATTGACGGATATATAAGGCTAAACAGAGTGTATATATCTCCGTTTTCCTTAAGGCAGCTTCTAATCAAGGTGGCCGGGCTGGATCTGGTTTCGTGGCAGATGACCCCAAGCGGATTGTTCTTTCAATTTAGAACGTTCTGTCTCAAGTTCTATGGGTCCGTAAACATAGTGGTTAAACAGAAGGTATTTTGCATAGAGATCGACTTCGATCCCAGTATTGACGGAGGAACGGGCGTTCCCGTGCTCAAGGAGCTGGAAAGATATCTGAAGGGCTGCGATGCCCTGTTTTTCATGACATACTTTGCAGACATTGACAAAGAAATACTCCACAACCCGCTCTCTGAGAGCCTGGAGTTCCTGTACAGGAAGAATTCTGTAAGAAAATAAAACGTGTTTGTTGAGTGTGCGCTGAGAATATGCTTTTTTAATTCTCAAGCGGGTCGGTTGTTTGCAGAGTTAAGAATATAAATTTGAAAAAACAAGCCCTAGAAAAACAAAACAATCATGCTTGATAACATACAGGAATATCTCGGTGTCGTGAAGGCTAAGCTGACTGAATTTTATGAGAAGGTGTTTCAAAACTTTGTAAAGTCTCTTTTTGGAAAGCCTTCTTCGATTCTCTTTCTTGGGATAGACAATGCGGGAAAAACCACGCTGGTGAATAAGTTGAAGAGCGACTCCACAGATGTCTACATGCCTACACACCACCCCAGCACTTCTTATATAGAAATAGGAAATCTAAAGGCACAGGTTATTGATCTTGGGGGGCACACAGCGGCGAGGCTTGCCTGGAGGGATTACTTCTACGACTGCCACGGGATTGTGTTTATAGTTGATGTTCATGATGTCGAAAGATTCCAGGAGGTAAGGGAAGCATATGAAACGGTGCTGTCACTGGAAAAGAGGGCGCCAGTTGTTGTACTTATGAACAAGATTGATCTTGAGGGACACACGCCGGAAACGGCAGAGGCTGACTATCAATGGAAGTCGTGGCTCAGCCAGGAGACGGGGATTGAAAACCAGGAGGATCCGGAGCGGGGGCAGGTTGTAAAGATTTTCTATGTCACCATAACAAGTGGAAGCGCTAATAGCATAACTGGCCCCCTTGCACGAGCTTTCAAGTGGTTGGAGGCCATGATTACCTATAATAATAAGAAGGAGTCTCTATGAATAAAGCTATACGTTTCTTTCGAGCCTTGCAAATCTAATTGGGCGTTTCCATTTTTCATCTTGAAACAATATTGATTTTAATATCCACTTATGTTCTGAATCAGGTTTTCTTTACTAGTCAAATCTGAAACTACAAACAATTTAAAACGTCTTTACTTGAGAGGCTGAATGAGGATGGTCCACTGCATTCTTTCTACAAGCCTATGCATTACAGGTATTTTGACTGATGTAAATTCTCAAAGTCTATTAAAAGCGGAGGAGCTGGAGAGACAGTTATTGAACGCAGAAGACATCCTTATGATGGAACATCTGAGGAGACAAGGATTCATTATATATCCAAGCAAGGCTTCTGGTAGAGCTTTAAATGACCTCTCCTTACATTAAATAGGTTTCCTTTAGGGTGTTTCTTTCATAAACCGAGTTCTCTAAATCAAGCCTTTTTAATGGTGTAGAAGAGCTAGTACCTGATTTTGAGTCACTTCGTAGGGAACTATTATCGGGGCGTTTGGTTTCTTCAGTTCTTCAAGCGTCATAGTTCTCTTGTTGTTGTTCATAGGCATATATTTTCTATGCATGTAAGGGCTTCTGTGGGTTGGGAGGCGATCCCGTCTCCTCAATCCGTTGCGATGAGATTCCCTACTGTGTAAACTATGAGGATGGACATGAGGATGGACATGGGGATGGACATGGGAATTCCTACATTCTACTAGAGCAAGCATCATCGAAACAAACAGAGAGTATAGATTGCACAAGCTGATGTTCATTCCTGAATAGAAGCAAAACATGCCGCAAAGTTTATAGATTAATTTTTGTTTCGTCTGTTTTAGATTTTTGTACTTCGCGCTGAAACATGTTGAAAGTGAAAGCCCATACCACAAGATCATTTCTGATAAGTTCACAAAAGGTTGCTGCTTATTTGGTTTAATCTATTTTCAAACCGCCGAGATTAGAACATATCATGCCAACCTAAGGTTTTCCAGTGCAGTTCCTATCTTATCTGCCAGGATCGAGTCTTTGGCTTGTATCTTGACTAGCCATTCCCTTATGCCGTTGGCACAAAGGATTTGAATCCTGTCCTCCGACCCGTCCTCTTTCCACGACAGGTTTATTATGATCCATATAAATGCAATCGAAAGGTTCCTAGTCGTGCTTACTTTCTTCATATTGTCCAGATGCCTTGTAGTCAGCACCAAACTTTTGAATTTGTCAGAGTTCGCACTTAGATTGACTATAGTGTACAGTATCTGCAGCAGGACATGTTCCTCCTTGCTGCCCTCCGAAATAGGTGTCCTACCGGCAAACTCATCCAGATAAAGAAATATAGAGTCAATCATATCTTCATAGCTTTGTACAATATAGTCTAGAGTGTCATCACACAAGAGGTTTCGCATCAGATTGAAGCATCCCTCCAATATCTCCATGTCCTTGTTCTCCTCGTACATGTCAATAAATCTCTTGAAGAACCTCCTGTCCGTTGCCTTGATGAATACCTCCTTTGAGTTGAAGCTAGTGTCGTACAGAAAGTTCTTGAAAATCTGCAAGACTGTGTGTGGAAATTTAAACGTGTAGCTTAGAACCTTTTCAACGCCATTAGACGCTATAAACTTATTCTTGTAGTCTCCATACTCCATGACTAGATTGACCAACACACCCAGAATGCTTTTCTCTATAAACCCCGCCCCCAAATTCTCCACAGGCACCATCTTGTCGATTCCGTCAATGGTGTCTGGAAACTCGTTGTCCAAAGCATCTATTAGCAGTTCTACAATAGGATAGTCTAGAAGACCTGACCTGAGAAACGTAATGCTCTTGGTCATGCTCTTTAGAAATAGTACAATCATAACGAAGTCAAGGTCTACTTGCTTTCTATTTACCTTCGTCTTGAACGTTCCAAAAACACTAGGGATCATTTTGCTTCTAGCAGCGATCTTCCTGTTCTCCTCCAGCCCTGCCGTTAAAGAGTACATGCAGAACAGGAGCTCAGGAGTTAGTTCGCTTGGTTTAGTCTCATGAAATCGATCAACAATTTTAGAAACAAGCTCTATATCTTTGCAGAATAACTGCGCCTGGACGTCGTCCTGAACCACAAAACCTATCAGCACTAAGGATTCTTTTCTATACTGTGCCAGCTCGTCTAGCTCGTACAGTATCCTTTCCATGATCCTTGTGTCTTCAGAATGGCTCATCCTATACAGCTTTACGCAGCATGAAAGAACCTCCAACTTGTTCTTTACATTCGAGTCATCTACCCTCTTGAGTATACGGCCAATTTTGACGTGCTTTCCCACACCTTCGTCTATCAATTCGTTGAGAAGTTTGATACCCTGAAGATCCGGGTTGCATAGAATTTTGATGACCCTCCTGCTTCTAAGCCTAGCCTTAACCCTTGTGTCCGTCTCCAGCATTCGATAGAGTAGCTCGATTACCTCATTTTTAATCGCATTGAGGCACAGGGACTGATGCTCTATCTCGATTACAGATAGGAAGAAGGCTAGATACTTGTCATAAAACGAGGCCTGGTCGGTCTCAGATATAATTATTCTAAAGGACCTAAACATAGAGATATGGATGCTGGAGGGTGGGAGAGATTGAGACTTGATAAATTCAAAGATTTGGGGAATGCATGCCCTGACACCCTCTCTAGTGTTCTGACACCTGGACGTTGATAGTAGGGCCAATATTTCTAAGCTCATGCAGTTCTCTTCGGCGCTTCCGTTGAAGTCCCTCTCCTTTGTAAATCCAGTTTCAAACAAAAGAGTCTTTTCTCTTTCGTTACAAGTTATCCTGTCCCGAAGGCTCTTCAGAAACAGTGCTTGCTCGTCCCTGGAGCAATCTATCACTCCAAAAGGATCGTCGTGGAATGCACTCGCGCCATGATTCATTGTGCTTTTTCTAACACCTTCTTTTAACCTAATACATCTTCCAATCAGCATACTTTTGTTTGAATACTGATGCGTTCAGCAATTGGCCAAACCTAATATGAAGAGACCAATGAATCACAAGTTTTCTTGGAAGCAGTGTATGCCACGGACAATGTTTTAACAGCTCATGCGTAAGAATTTAGCAAGCGCTGTCAGGCTTCATCACACAGAATATCTTCTTTTTGGCGTTTGCTTCTTCAGACTAAAGAAAAGAACATCGTAAGTCCCCTCCTGTTTCCATTTTGCGATTGCATTCTTCGTAGACTGGTATCCACATGCAACAATTTCATCGAACTTCTTAAAGTCCATAGTCCTGTATTTCCCGAGGTCAGGTCTCAGCATAATTATATTTCCATTTGCTTCAAGCTCTTTCATCTTTCGCTCAGTAGAAATGTAGGCCAGCCTGTATTGAATCTCCTCCATCGTCACAAACTTTTTGTTTCCAAAAAACTTGTTGAACAGAATGGTAAATCCGCTGAGAGTATCCCCATAGTCAAAGTGGTCGTTCTCCAAGACCGTTCCAACATCCACAGTGATGATCTTCTCAACCTGCATGCCCATCATGACATCTGCAGGAACATTGTTTAGATACCCTCCATCAACTAGTAGCTTCTTGTTATCACATATTGGAGGCAGATATCCACAGAGCCCCATGCTGGCTCGAACATATCTCCACACCATTCCATTTCTATGCACCTCTTCTTCATAGCTGACTATGTTGGTGGTGATACAAAAGTACTCCAGCCATAGATCCTGAATTAGCCCATCTCCAAAGATAGAGTGGAGTGACCTGTTAAATGCATGGCCAGAAAACATGGAGCAAATGGGGTAGGTCAGATCCAGTAAAAGAATCCATATATTCGACATCTTTCTGGAAAATCTTTTGGCTTGTTTAAATACGTGGTAGTTGTTACATTCTTTCGCATATAGGGCGCCGATGAATGCCCCCATGCTTGTGCCTCCAACACAATCTATAGGAATTCCTTCTTCTTCAAGAGCCTGGATAACTCCAATGTGAGCTAGGCCCCTTGCTCCTCCTCCACCCAAAACAAGGCCTATTCTCTTTCCCAGCAATGACCTTGCAAGTCTCTGAAAGTCTTTGGAACAGAACAACATGGTTTTCGAAGGAAACAAAACATGATGAACTCTATCATATTGTCCAAAGCTTTCTTTCCTGCTTTCTAGGTACCGGGGTCCGTGGTTGATCTTTTTGCTTTTCTTGACACTTCTTTCGTCAGAAGCTCTTCTTTCCTCGTAGATCTTAACAAATTCGATCCTGCAGTAGACGTTATATTCGGGGATGTCTGCAAAGGTCGTTCCAACAGCCAGCAGAACGTCCGAAAAGTTTAGCAAATACCTAAGCAACCTGGAATACTCATTTTCCACATAGATAAGAATAATTTCGTAACGCCTCGACATCTTTGTAAGATAGTCCATAAATCTAACCTCTTCAGTGGTATCAAACGCTCTTCTTGCAAGGATTTCAACAACATCTCTACGGCTGAGGAGCAAAGAAGAAGCGCCAATTGCAGACTTGAGCTTCCTTGAAAAAGATTCGATGTCCTTGTATTGCCCAACAGGGATTATGCTGACTATCTTTCCATTCGCCTTGTTTCCACTCTCAAACAGTCTTTTGGTGTATTTCTTAAAAAAGCTCTTATCCCTTTCAAGAAAGTAGTCAACCAAAAGAGACGGAATCCGAACAACATCTGTTATTCTAGTTGCTATGGACGACTCGTTCCAACTCTCTCCAAAGATGCACTCCTTGCCTCCGATCACCGTTCCAGATGAAGACTCCCTAGATGCAGATTTCACACTTCCCGCTCCAATGTAGAAGATCTCCTTTGAAGCGTCTCCCTTCTGAGCAATCATATCTCCAGGCAAAAGCCTCATCCACTCAGCAGATTCATCTATAATATGGAGAGACTCATCGATGTCTAACAGCATGGAATGGTCGAATTTCTTTTCATCTAGCCCGAACTTAAGCAAAACTGATGAGCTGCACAGAAGGACTGAAGAATCCTCTCTTGCCTGGATCTTTATCGACGAATATAAGTCGAAGAATAGAGAAAAATATCCAAAGACAGATCCTTTTCCAAAAACAAAGGCACTTTCGCCGGCCAGTACTAAAATCTCTCCAGAAACCACATACATTATGTAGTCCATAGACTCTTCGCTGTCTTTGATAGTCTCGCCTCTGCCAATGAGCCTCGCTTCAATGTCCCTTCTGAGAATCTCCTTTCCATCGTCCAGGTTCAACAAAAGCTTTTCGTTTAAAAAGGACAAGAATAAGTCCAAATGGCCTTGGCCATCATCCTTGATCTTCATAGTTTCCTTTTCGACCAGCTTGCTCTCCAATTCAAAGTATCTACAGGCTATCTCAATGCATGACTTTCTAAGCATGGAAAACAGAATGTACCAGATGTTGTCTCTAACTAGAGATGCATCAATCAGAAGAACCTCGACAGAGCCCCTTGCTTTTTTGGTTCCTCTTGTGCTATATCCCAGCAGCTCCATAGATCCATTAAGAAAAGAACCTTTTTCTTTTACACAAACAAGGTGCTCCCTGTACCATATCTCCACCAAGCCCTGTAATATAAATCCAGGCGCTGCTATCGTCTCTCCATTTCCGTATGTCACTCTCTCCCAGCTGCTCAGGATCTCTCTAATTGACTGCCCTGGATAAAAATTAAACAATGGATATCTCTTCATTGCATCTTCCAGAGACATGCCAAGCAGCCTTGTGGATGCTGTTTTCTCGATGCTTCTCGACTTGATCTTAAAGGGAACTGTCCTACACCTTGAGGATCCATAGTGCCTAAATCCAGCCAGCAATCCAGTTACAACTATTATTGCAATTAGAAGAGATAGTGATACCATTCACAATGGGGGTCAGCATTTTCATCGACGTTTTTCCAGGGACCATAAAAGGTTCCGAAGAAGAATAAAAAAAATAATTGATATCTTCCCGATGGAGGATAAGAAAAGCACGATCCAAGTGGAGGTGCGAGTAAATCCCAGGTTGGACAATGCAATAGAAAGCACCCCAACAGCACTGACCGTAGGAACAAAAACTTATACTTTCAGCAAAGTGCATCTCACGACATCACAGACGCAAATGTACAACAGAAGTGTCAGGCATCTTACAGAATTATTTCTTGAAGGATACAACTGTACAGTGATGGCATACGGACAGACAGGGAGCGGAAAAACTTATACAATGGGAATGACACATGAGGACATGACAGGGATTGTTCCGCAATCTCTTAAACATATATTCAAGGCGTGCCAGGAAATAGACTGCGTCTTCATCGAGGTTTACAACGAGGAAGTAATTGACTTATTTAGCAAACATAAGATGCCACTGAGCCTGAGGGAAATGAATGGAGAAGTTACAATCGCTGGAGCCACTGAAGTAACCTTAAGATCATACGAGGACGGAATAGAGGCACTGAAAAAAGGATCTCTAGAAAGAACAACAAAGTCAACCAATATGAATTCAAAGTCATCCAGAAGCCATGCAATATTCACTCTTTTTCACAGGAAAGAGGTAAACGGATCATTCGTAACATCAAAGTTTTCTTTTGTTGACTTGGCCGGAAGCGAGAGACTCAAAAGAACTCTGTGTGCTGGAGATCGTGTAAAAGAAGGAATATCCATCAATTCAGGGCTTCTGGCACTTGGAAACGTCATTTCTGCTTTATTCAAGAAGTCCTCGCACGTCCCATTTAGAGATTCAAAACTCACTAGGATCCTCCAGAGCTGCTTGAGTGGGTATGTTCTGATGATAGCTTGTGTCTCTTCCTCCCATGCAGATATCAGTGAGACACATAACACCTTAAAATATGCAAATAGAGCAGCTTCGATAGAAACTACAGTAAAGATGAACGTACAGATCGACGGATCAAAGTTTACAACCCTCCTGCTGAAGAAGGAAATACAGAAGCTGAAGGTGGAAAACCAAATGCTTAGGGAAAGGTTTAGAAGGGAATCCAGGGCCAACATAGAGGAGTTGGTTTCAGAAAACCGTATGCTTAAGTCGAGGATAGATGCTATGGGCTTTGAAAAAGACGATAGAAGAGAGGATATAGTACAAGAAATTCTAAAACATCCTTTTGTGCAAAATCTGATCGATGAAAATCAGAGGCTTAGTGACATGGTTCAGAAGATGTCGGAAGAATCTAAGAATCAGATACTCCTGAATGCAGGTAGCTGCTTGAATGAGACGGAGTACAATAAAGATCCCACGGGTACTGAAAAGAGAGCCTCAGAGAATAGAATAAATTCTCCGGAAAGCAATTCTCACAAGAAAAATAGCGAAGAGCTCTTGAAAACATCCATTGGCCGGAATAGATCCTCTGGGGCATCACCAAGCCAAGCCAAAGACAGTGGGTACAAAGATCAATTAGAAAGTCTAGCAAAGGAGGAGCATTCAAAAATTGATACAATAAGAAGGCATGTCGATTCATTAGAAATATCCGACACATGCGAAATTATAGAAAGCCAAGAAGTAAAGCAAGAGGATCCCAAAATTCACAAAAGAATCGTGACCTTCGATCTAGGCAGAAGCACTAAAAAATATGCTCTCTTCACACCAAGAAAAGAAAAAATAACCATGGTCACAACTGTTGAAGATAAATTGGCCGGGTATCTTCCCACTACATTAGCACTCTTCGATTCCCACCTCGTATTTGCATCTATAGATAATAAGATCCGAGGGTGGGGCGATAGAGTGGAAATTCTATTCACAGAAGAAGGCGTTAGATGCATGGAGGGATCTGAAGCTCTCTTATACACAACAAGGGGAATACTAAAAAGCTTTGATTGCAGATCAGGCACACGCCCGGTATATGGTTTCAGAAGCGAAGTCTCAGCACTGCTTTCCCGAGATAACTACATATTCACTGGGCATGAAGACGGGACGCTTTCAATACTTGACCAAAGAAACTCCAAGTTGGTATTCTCCGAAAAGGTGCACTCAGGAACCGTCTTTTGCATAGAAAAGATCGGGCCAGATACATTCACAGGCTCCAGAGACCATACAGTCAAGTGCTACAACAACGGACTTATAACGCTTTCTCCACCACACCTAGACTCAGTTCAGGGGTTGCTGTGTTATAACGACGAGCTAATAAGCTTCGGAAGAGACTGCTCGTTGCGGAGATGGAGAAACAAATCAATAGTTAAAACAGTTCCATATGCACACGACTCATGGATCAAGTGTGGAGCGTCAATGAAGGACTCGTTTGTCACAGGATCCAAGGATGGAATGCTTCGGTTCTGGGACTTTTGGGACAACTCGGTGTTCTGTGTCGGAAAAACAAAGGCAGCAGGAGCAATAAACTCGGTTGTATGGAACGGAGCAATCGTTTATGTAGGGTGCCAAAATAAAGAGATTCTGGCTATAAGATGTAGATATGATGGTTGACATCTGAGAATCCATAGTAATAAAAAGGTTGATCCCAGATATTTTGCACAAACAACAGTTTTCTTTCGAAATGATAGTAAATGTCATAAGAAAAGGAAGTGGTGTTACATTAAACAAGGAAAAATCTGCCCTATAAACTGGAGGCATGCTGCATTGATGTTAATTACTTCCTTAGCATAGTACACCGTTCCTTGTAGCCAGAAAGCACTGGCTTTTTTACATTAGATCCAAGTCATCAGTCGATGACACTTCCGTCTATTCTAAGGGTGCAGCACTGCTTCATTGTCGACAGCAAAGTACAGGGATTTGTAGAGGAATGTCACGGGCATGGAAAGTCTTACAGTTTTTAATGGCATTTCCCATATAGTGTGAGATTTTATGCTCAGAATGTGATATGAGCATCTGATAATCGATTTGAGAGGTTATTTGGCAAAAGAATGGAAGAATACTTGGAGGGCATATCCGTAAATGTAGAAAGTGTACATGAAAGGGAACAAGGCCTTTAGTGAGTTGTGAGAAGCAATGCATGAAAAAATGTTTCAATGCGGTTCTTCGAAAGGTAGACAGATGGCAGAGTATGAGAAAAGTATTGTAAAAGAAATTGGTAAGATGATGGAAAACGCATCTACCGATGTGGATGAGAAAGAAAAAAAGACATGGTGAAGTATTCAAAGTAATGATAAGGAATATGGGAAAGTTCTGAAAGCAAAGTTTAATAAAGACAACTGATAGCGTAAGACATCTGAATATACTATTCTTGATAGAAGGATGTTATTAGATGCACACAGAAAAGATAACACATGACATAGTGGATGCCATTTCACTTCTTAAGATCCCAGATGCAGGTTCTTCATAAGTGCAGAAGAGAGTAGAGTAGATTCTTGGGGTCTCCTGTGACAGTTGGAGTTCCTGAGGCTCAGAGGAAAAGGATTCCAGGGGTTGTGGGTTGAGACGTTGAAGGACCAGGATGTTGAGTTGTGTAACACTTCCGTTCGAGCCATAGATCTGGAGGAAATAAAAGGTAGCGTGAGGACGGTGGAAAGGAGAATGGTGTGAATAAATCTGAGGTTCTCGACGGTCTTAATGTTCAGTGCAAGGGATCTGTGATGTAGCTTGGTGTTGTTGATGAATAAAGCAAACGGTGCTGCAGTTAGAGAGCAGAACGATCTGCTGTCTGGTTGTCAGGGATGGTCTGTGTTGGGATAAGGAGTGTGATGGAGTGGAGAGCTATTTATTCGTCGGGCTTTGATGAAAAGATGTTCTTCATCTTGTCAAATAAGCTGGAGTAGTAGTTATCGAAGATGTCTGCGTTCATTATTAGATACGCTAATAACGCATAAGCGATGACGATAGAGATGAGTATAAGGACAAAGACCGCGATTCTCCATGGTGCAGTAGGGGGAGGGCTCTGTTTCTCTGGAGAGAGCTTCTCCCTGAGCAATCGTATCAGGATGAGTATGGAAGATATGATTGCAAAGTAATAACAATGCTTGACTTCGTCGAAGGCAGGCACTAAATCTCCTGCAGAGCATAGTAGTATCAGGATGTCAACAAGGACGTTGATACCAGTGTCTGTGAATCCGATCTGTCCTGGAACAAGACAGCAAGATGTGGAGAGGAGATAGGTGAGTGGGACAGTGAAAGAGGGAAGGATGAAAGAAAAGATAATTGGATCATTATTATTTTCCCAATCATCATCTTCCCATTCAGCAAGGGTGAATGCAATTATTGAAAGGATGGAGATGATGGAAAATGCAAGAAATAGGAGATTGAGGGTGTAGTAGAGTATGCTTTGCAGGATGCGCTCTGGTTTGTTATGTGACTTCCAGTTGGTGTGGAGTAAGGCATACTGTACTGCTGAGTATGAAAAGGGGAGGAGTACTGTGATGAATCTGAGGAAAAGGCTATCTTCAAAACTGTCTTCGTCAGAGATGAAGTACATGGTGGCTGGGAATGCAATTGACACGATTGGAGCAATACCGAGGATCTTCCTCCAGTGTCGCTGGTTCTCGGCGTGCTGCTCTGTTCTGTGTGGCTCTGGAACGTGTGTGGTGTTCATGTGGGTAAAGGAGAAATATGGATGAAATGGATATATTGATATGATTGGGTGTGTGGGGGTGTTAGATTTGTGTTATGGTATGGGATATTGGTGGGGTTGTGCGGAGACTTGGAGTAGGAGGGTTGGGAGGCAGTGGGGATCTAAGAGCTTTGGGGATGCAGATGGATTGGATGTGGATTCTGTTCCTGGTGGAATGAATTCCTCGTGAGACATATTGTGTGATATTGTGCAGTGCAGGTGATGGATGTGTGTTTGGTCGATGGCCTCCGGGGGAGAAGGATCTTAGTCGGAGGGCGAAGAAGCAGTGCAACGGGTGTGGGAGACAGCGGGCCCTTGAAGATGTGAAGGTTATTGGCATGTACAGTCGTGCTGGTTGGGATATCATGTGTCTCTCGGATGGTGGAGGAGGTGAGAAGCTTGAGGATGGGTTGGGCTGGAGGTTTAGCAGGTCGAAGATAGAGATGTTGAAAGGATCGCTTGAAGAAGGGGCGGGTTTAGAGACTTGGATCTAGCTCCGGTTGTTTTCCACGGGGACAAGGTTGCTGTGCTGCCGGACACTGGCGGCAGGAGATGGATGCAGGAGAAAGGGCATGTGCTTCCCAGTTGGCGGGCTACTCCCATATTTGGCACTTCGGTCGGTAGCATATATATGCGTGTTTGGAGACAGCAGCAGGGCTCCGGATCTGATACGTGAGGCGTTTGAAAGTCCGCATTTCAAGAGGTTTGATGGTGCTGGGACGTACAAGGAGGCCAAAGGGAGATGTGGAATGAGGTTTGCGGACGTGGTGAATGGAGCGTTTGGGCAGATCAGCGATATGGCGGATAAGGTTGGGAAGGGAGAGCCAGAGGTTTGGTGTATTTGGAAGAAGAGAGGAGAGGTGGAGATGCTTCTGAAGGTTAAGGAGTACAGGAAAGGCTATGGATCAGGGAAAAGAAGGAGGAGATAGTTAATAGGCCGCTCGCTGCCGACAAGTATGTGTGACGGGTTTTTTGTCCGGACAGGTAAGTACAGGGGGGGGGCGGGAGATGGAAGGTGGCGGCTCTTGGGGTACTTTTGGGAGAGGGAAGAAGAGGGAGGGCTTTTCAAGAAGAGGGAGGGCGTGATCTACCACCTTCTGTTCAGGTCCACTGGTCTGAGAAGACAGGAGAGAATGCAAGGCCGTTGATTGTGAAGGGAAATGATGTAGACGAGGTAGGGGAGGATGCAGGGAGCTCCTCGTCTCTGGATGGTTCGGAATCTTGCTGTTCTGAGATTCCTGAGATGCGGTAATATGAGGGGAATGAATAAATATGATAGATGTGTGTTGTTTTGATGGGATGGCTAGGGCGGAGATTTGGTCGAATGGGGGCATTCAGGATTGAGAGCAGCCTCCTGGAGATGGGCCATAGATGATGGCAAGGCAGATAGTGAGGGATGTGTTCTGGGGATGTGGGAGATGGACATACAGTGGCATGAAGGAGCAAGGACGTGGGTCTTGGTCTTCTCTTTTCGACTTCGATTCTAGTTAGTGGTGAATGGAGTCTCGGACTGAGCTGGATTGAAGGTGATAGTTGATGAAGAGCTCTGGGTTGCCTGGAGGGGAGATATATGTTGGGCTTAGCGGGTTGTTGGAATGGGACATAGATTGATGGAGGAGAGGGGATGTGGCTGGCTGTAGAAGAGGTTGAGGATGGGGTATGTGGTTTGCTCGGGGGAAATACGGAGAGAAAGTTCCTTGATGGGATCAGAAATGGGAAAAGTTTTTCGGTGATGGAGACGGGCAGGCTTTGATAGACTAAAGGGATCTGGATTGGATGTCGGAGTCGTGGGTGGTGGGGCTTGGGTGTTGGAGTTTTCAAGGAAGTGCTGTTTGAGGTCGGTTATAGAGTGTATGTGGTAGTGGTATAGCAGAGGATGTTGTTGGGGTGGATGAGGATGATGAGTTGAGACTACGAACTGTTGAGTATCTGGGGGAGGAGAGTGGGGACGATGGAATTACGATGTTGGTAAACGGGGCTGCAGAGTGTGTTTGCGCATATGCCAATCCATGCTCCTCCCTGTGCTTGTGTGGTGATTAGATGAAGAATGGAATGGGCTGTCGCCTGGTTGTTGAAGATTGTCTGTGTTGGTGTGGGGCTGGTAAGGACGTCGGTAGATAGGTAGGGGTTTATTGGTGAGGTTCTGATGGAAGGATACTCTTCATCTTGCCAAGTAGGTGGAAGTGGTCATCCAGGATGTAGATGGCTCCATACCCCAGAAATGTGTAGACAAGGACAGCAAGGATGAGGGTGAGGATAAGAACGGCAGCCCTCGATGATGCAGTAGATGGAGGACTCTGCTTGAATAGACAGTGCTTCTCGCTGAGTAGTTGTAGAAGGACGGAGATGGAGGATATTATTGCAGAGTAAGGATAGTAATTGAATTCCTTGAACACAAGTAGCACATTTACTATACTGCATACTGATATCAGTATGCTGATAACAGTGTCTGTGAGCCGGATCTGTCGTGGGACAAGGAAGTAGGAGCTGGAAAGGAGATAGGCAGGTGGGACGGTAAAAGAGGGGAGGACGATAGGGTAGAAGAATGAGGCAGCATGATCCCATTCATTAAGGGAGAATGGAATGATTGAAAGGATGGAGATGATGGTGAATGCAAGAAGCAGGAGACTGAGTGTGTAGTAGAGTGTGGTGTGCAGGATGGGCTCTGGTTTGTTATGTGACTTCCAGTTGGTGTAGAGTAAGGCATACTGTACTGCTGAGTATGAGAAGGGGAGGAGTAGTGTAATGAACCTGAGGAAAGGACTCTCTTCAAAACTGTCTTCGTCGAAGATGAGGCACATGATGGCTGGGAATGTAATTGAGACGAATGGAGCGATGTCGAGGATTGTTTTCCAGTGTGGCTGGTTCTCGGCGTGCTGCTCTGTTGTGTGTGTGATGTTCATATGGGCAAAGGAGAGGTACGATGAAATGGATTTCATGTGATAGGATTGGGAGATACGGGGGTTGGAGGTAGTAGTAGGTCTTGGCGGTTGATAGGTTATAGGGGCTCGGTGGGATACGGATTGGGATTTGACTTGGGCTGTGACGTCTTTGGAGGGGTGTTTCGGGAATATGGACCATGTTTGGACGTTGGGGGGCAAGCTGGGGCTGTCTCTGGTGTTTTGACAGAATGATGAAGTGGGGTTTGGGCAAGGGAGGAGATTCGGGGTTGCAGTGGGCCCTGGATGTGGAGGAGGGCAGTGGGAGATGATTGGGGGCTCTGTTTCTGTGTGTTTGGTGTTTGGTTCTGGATTGGCTTCGTGTGTGTGGCATCCTTCTGTGTGGTTCTTCTTCTTCTTCTTTGGGGGAGGCGTGCCTTTGGTTGGGGGCTGGAGGAATGGGTTGCCTGGCTTTGGACGGCTAGTGGCAGCGACTGACGGTGGTTGTTTGAATGTGCCGCAGTTGTTTGTACGGGGCGGTTGGCATCTAAGACGAGCGGACTTGGATCGGAAGTCTGGATGATCTGAAGGCATGGGTGCTAGATGGGATGCAGGGCGTGGCATGGGGGCTGTTGGAGAAGCCAGTGGGGCTGGACCGGCTTCAGATTGGTTGGAGTGCTTTGGCTTGGCAGTCTCGGGGAGTTGGGTGGGCGCGGCCATCGATCGGAGACGTGCAAGGACTGCTGCCCAGCACACGGATGCTCAAGAGGGGATATTCACATGTCTTTAATCGGGCAAGCAGGCAGGCGCTGGGGGACGTGTGTTCAGCCGACTATGAGCAGCAGTGGCAGTCGTATCGCCGGAGCCTCTTGTGCAGTCATGGAGTGGAGTAGTCGCGGGCTGATTGATGGGCATTCGGCAGGGCGGTGGGCATTCGGCAGGGCGGTGGGCACGGTCATCAAATAGCTCGGTGCAGTCTCCGGATCTGGTGCGTGATGGCGCGGCGAGTACGGTGCAGTGTTTGATCCTGTGTTCGCCCTGGTTTCGTCGTTGGTTAGCAAGGTGAAGGAAAGCACGGATGGCAGTGAGCATGGAGCATGGGAGTCCACGCAGTCTTATGAGGGGAGAGGGCCCTTCCGAGATTGGCAGTCCTTTCGTTCGGGCGGACGGGTTCTTCTCTGCTTCGTGCAGCATGCTCTGCTTCGTGCAGCATCCGGCTTAGTTCATCGTTCATCGAATGCAGCAGAAAAGGCCTCGATTCCTTTGAAGATCATCGACGGCTTGGGCACATGATGTCCTGAGGGACTTGAGCTTTTGGGCAGGGAGTCGAAGGCGGTGGTGGCATCCCGAAGAATCTCGTGGGGTTGCGCTCTCTGGGGTTCTGGGACGTTTGGCGATCGGCTTTTCTGGACGGCTCGCCTGACTGTCTCTGAAGAGAGGCGTATCAATGCCATGGGGAAGGTAGAGGGCTTGAGGCTTATTTCGTGTATGCACCGATGAAGGTGTTCCAGGTCCGGCTGGCTTCGAGGCAGTCGAACTGCACCTCGCTCGGGGCCAAGAGACCAAGCTCGGGGCCAAGAGACCAAGGATGGCAAGCCTCTGGGGGATCTCGACCTCCTGGACCTCTTGGTCCGGGCCTTCGGTGACATGGGGCAGGGCGCTCCGAAGGGCGTGTTTGAACGTTTTGAGTGGCCTTGGATAGTCGTCGAGAGGGCATTGGCCGCTCGGAAGCAGCAGGAAAAGTCTGTGGCATCTTGTTTAGAAGAGGGGCGTGAAGTGGACGACAGCCTCCTCTAGGGCGTCGAGGCACTGGTGGCAGCATCGACAGCAGCAGTTCGTTGGGGCTTGGGTTCGTTTGTCTCCAGGCCGTTTCTGATACCGTCGAGTAGGTTCTTGTCTTGCAAGGGATGATGGCGGACGATTCTTTGCTTGATCTCCTATAGCATCGGTGATAGGCGGCCCTGTGGCGTCCCATGGTGCTCCTCCTGTGCAAAGGCCCTTTCGCGATAGTTGAGGTCAACTTTGCGAGCGGTGTTTTGACACGGTTGTGTTGGATCTGTGGGCGGGATGTGTGTTGGCGATCCTTGCACATATGGGTTATGAATGGGGGGATTGGCGGCAGGATCTCGGGGCAGAAATGTGCCTGGGTGCGGGGGGGATTGTGGAGGGGGAACGGGTCTTCTGATGGGCTGAGAGGATTCGGTTGTCTGTCGTAGGCTTTGTAGGTTGCCGGATGTGATTGTGGGAGACTGTTGATTGTGGCGACATCGGGGGATCTTTTGGCGTGGCTGTGGCAGACACAGGGGCTCTGAGATGCCGACTGATTGGGTAAGGAGAGGGCTGTGAGGTGGGATGGATGGCACTGACTGTGGGTGGTGGAAGTGCTGGATGCCGGAGCCCGAAAGGATTCTCGGTGTATCGGGGGCTCTGAGAAGGAAGCAGAGTTTCTGTCTGTTTGTCTTAAAGGGGATGTGTCATATTACAGGAGTGTGGGCAGGTGAAGAAGGGTGGCAAGGATAGGGAGTGTGGGATTGTTGTTGGAGGTGTTGGGCGGATGTGGGTGTCTGTGGGCTGGAATATATATGATGTACTTCTGATGTGTCTTGATTTTGGGGGGTTTTAGGGAAGAATGGGGTCTACTTGCTTGCTTACCTACTTACTTACCTACTTATTTATTTATCTATTTATCTATCTATCTATCTATCAGGGAGTCTCTAGATGTATCGAGGATGGCTCTAGATGTATCGAGGACATACATTAATGGGGGCGGGAGGTTTAGGAGGGGCTGAAGATGGGGGATGGTTTCGGGGGAAGATGTGGAATGGATCAAGGAGATGTGTCTTGATTTGAGCTCTTCGGAATCTGGCTCGATTTGAGTCTTCGGATCTGGGGATTGGGGGCTCTGGAGTATGAAAAGTTTGTAGAGGAATGGTGATGAATTGAGGAATCGGATGGATGTGTGTACTATTACAGGCATGACGGCTCGGGGGAGGTTACGAGTTAGTCGATCAAGCAGATGGTGTTGGGTTCAAGGGGGCGGAATGTATATGGCGACAAGGTTGGGGTGTATCCAAAGGGAGATGTGTGAAGGAGCTGTTTCGGGGCTCTGGGAGGAGGGAGAGGATGGCGGAACACGGACGCAGATGGGTAAGAGAGCAAGGGAGGTGGGGCTTGAAGAAGGGGTTCTTCTCCTGTGGAGGACCCTGGATCTCGGGGGAGTTGGAGGTCGGAAGCTCGGATCTGAAGGTCAGTCTCTTTCTGAGAACTCGGAGCAGAGGAGTTTGATGAGATGGGGGTGTGGAGGAAGTTCTGAGAGGAGATAGAGACGGGGTGGTTTTTATGGATGTGTGAGTTCTCTGGGGGGTTGTCTTGTGGGGTTCCTGAGAATGGAAGGAGGAGAATGGCGGGAGTGTTGGAGGGAGACGTTGGAGGGAGGCATGGATGTGGAGTTGTGGGACCTTCTGTCTGATTGGACAAGGAGCGGAACAAGGATGGCGGTGGGGGGACGGTATGAGGTCATAGGATATGGACAAGAGATGGGTGTTCTTCGGATTAGGATGGGGGTTTGTGGATTGTGTGTTGTAAGGTTTGAACTGTGAAGGAGGATGGATTTGAGATGGTGTGCCTGAATGGTTTGAACAGCTCGGATCTCGTGGGGGTCTCCGTCTTCAGGGCAGGGCATGGATGATCTGGGGGGTGATGAATAAAACGAATGGGATTATGGTTGTGCTCTTGTTTTCTACTGGGATGGTTTGGGTTATGTGCGGCATTTTGTGGATGTGAGTGTGTGGGGCTCTCTGTGTTGGGGGAGTTGGGTGGGGAGGGCGATGTGGTGGGTGGTTGGGGCAGGGATGGTGTTGGGATGAGGGGGTTGAGAGGTGTTTATTGATTTTGGGGGGGGGGAGGATGTGGAGACTCTCTTAGGTTGTGGAGTAAGGCGAAGTAACCATTTAGGATGGCGGAGGTAGGATGGCGGAGGGCAGATGGTGAATGGGTAGGAGCGGCGGAGATGAGGAGAGGGATGGGGACTCTGTCTGGGGCAGTAGGGAGCTCTTTTCGGATGGGCTGTGCTTCTCCCCTCGCGATTGTGGCAGGATGAATACAGTATGATTGGTTTGCAATAACAATACTTGGATTCTTCGATGGAATGATAAGTACTAAACTTACTAGAGGGCATGGGATGGATTGGGATGGATTGGGATGTCGATAAGGGCGTTGATACGGGTGTCTGTTCGGGCGGTTTGTTGCGGAGAAGGTGTTGCGGAGAAGGTGTTGCGGAGAAGGTGTTGTGGAGAAGGTGTTGCGGAGAAGGTGTTGTGGAGAAGGTGTTGTGGAGAAGGTGTTGCGGAGAAGGTGGGATGAAGAGAGAGGGAGGCCGATAGAAAAGCATGAGTGAAT